ATTGCTTGGTGATGTGCCCGGTATTCGAATAGCCACATCCTGCCTACAACACTAATCAATGCGGCTAGCTCAGTAGCCGTCGCTAATTTCTGGATCCAAATTGTCCACGAAACACGGCCGGCATATCAGCCTTGCGGAAATCTCAGCATCCTAGGTTAGCCGCAAGCCGTGGCCAACTGCATGTTCACCGCATTTCGACATGGCAGCCTTACAAATGCGTCCGTCGCCCAAAGCTTCTTTGGGGCATGGGACTGATGGGGCAACGTCCTCAGAAGGGGTCCACTCAAGGCTCAGTATCCCTACGTGATGTTGATCAGCACCTCGGCGCATGCCATCATAACAGGCTGAAAATCACTTCTGGGTCGGCTAATGATTTCCGGGTGTTACCAAGGTGTAGAATACCAGATCGAGTTCTACAATGGAGGGGTTTAGGGAGATGATATATGGATACTCGTTTGGAAATACTTGCCTCGGGAACATTCGATTCGGCAAAGGACGTCGATGGCACATTTTTTTCGTGCCGCCAGCATGAGGAGCATCGATGAGCCACATAGTCCCATGCAACAATGAGGCAATCTGAGGCGAACAGAGAATGTGGCATCGACATATTGCGCCGGATCCAACATCAGTAGATTATGTATGTAAAGATAACAAGACTTGATTGTGGCTTGCTACATTCCATTTGGAAGGTTTTGCATCCTAGCCTGATACAGGATGTCGGGTAAGGTTTAAGCACATTTAGACGACTCGATTGAAGAGTTGGGACTGGCCGACCTGTTAAACTCTGGGCGAGAAAGCATAGGGGAAAACAGAAAAAAAGACCAGACGGAGATTCGTCTGATAGTTGAGTTCGACACTCGAGAGTTTGGCCACTAACAATTCGCAGACCTTCCAAAAATGGGATATCAAAAGGCAAACCGTTTGAGCCCTTGGCGGTCTCTCCCTCAGGGTCTTGGTAACGCCAGACGCGGGCATGCAGTGAAATTCCAACCCCCACAAATTTGCGTCAACCGCTTATCTGCTTCCGAGAATCCCATGACGGAAACGTCTGGGACCCAATACATGTGGGACGAAGGAAGTGTAGAGTACACATAACTTGCGGCTAGCCGCTGTGGATTACACGATAACGGCAGGGCTCAAGTGGACGCTCTTGAGGGGGAGGCTGAACGACTAGCACGTAGATACCCGTTCCAAGCGAGGGCGGCACGGGGACGCAGCAAGCCGAAAAGGCCAAGACCATGGCCCAGGCTCAGAAGGAAAGTAAGTTTGCTGATGTTCTCGTCATGGTCTGCTTTGACACCTGCAAGATGCTGGGTAAGGGAAGATTGGATGGATGGATGGATGGAGCCGACATCCGCTGGGTTCGAGCAAGACCCCTCAAGATTAGGTTAGCATCGTTTCTGTAGGTGTAGCTGTGGACGGAAGAGAGCTGTATTCCCCCTCGTATTGAGAGAAAAAAAATATGGACGTTCCCCCTGGATGAGGGCCATATGCCCGTGAGGTAGAACATTTCCTGGTCGACTCTTTGGAAACGCACCGTCATCTTGGCTATCTCACTGGCTGGTATCATCCCAAGTGCCGCTGGAAAGGGTGGAATTCCGCAGCGTCTCAACAACGACGGACAATAGTACATTGTTGACCGCCGCCATAAAACAAGAGGCTAACGGTACCAACAGGGCAGGGAAATTGGAAGAGCCAGCTTAGAGAGCACGACGTCAATTCTGCCCACGCTTCAGGAGGGTGTTTGCGTCCATCCATACCAGGGCGGGGCGAGTAAATCGTCCCGAGGCCGAAATGAGGTTTTGGAGGCTGGAGAGCTCAAAAAACAAAGCCCAGACATTAATCAGGACACACAGGCAAAAGCCAGCGGACGGTAATCAGACCGTAGAGGCATAAGGTAATGACATGTTCCAGCCAAGGAGGTCTACTGGCTGGGCGGGCTGACTAAGGACTTGGAGGATAATCAAAACGCTTTCTTCTGTTTGTGGTCGTTCCCTCCGCAACTTTGGTCCCACATCTTTTTTCCTTCTATTTTTTTTTTTTTTAAACTTGGGGAAGAGGGGGGGCGGCAACTTGAATTTAGCATTTGAGCACAGGCTCAGAAGCGGAAACAGGCTGGCTCAGATCAGGCTCTGGCGCAGGGTACAGACACAGGATGTTGGATTTACCATTAACACCCAAGGTGTAAAGCTGGCAAGGAAGAGGGAAACTCTCTTTTTCTTCTCTCTTGGAGGAGTGACATTTTTGGAGCTTTGGGGGCGGCTGGGCGGCTGGTCGACTGGGCAACAGGGGTTTGGGCTTGAAAATAGCAACCCTGGTCCTGCATGCTGATCTGGTCTTCCAGACTAACCTAGTTTACAAGCGCATATCCTGGTATCCGTATTCGACTTTGGTACTGCGGGTCGATTCTCATGCTCGGCATGGGGACAATACGGGCTACTGTCCTCCTTCGGAATACTCACCTTTCTCAATTTTCCCCCCATTGCTCCACGGCGCAGGCAACGGAGTGAAGGGTGAATGGAACGACCGAGTCAGCACGAGGGCGGATGATTGGATTCGTTCATTTGCGTGCCAGCGAGGAAGAAAGGATGAGAAAGAAAGAGAGTAAAGCCACCGTTGACGTTATACCTATGAATGGAACGGGCACTACGGTACTCGTGCGGCACTTTTGGCTGGGAATACCGGGCGCATCGAGTCTCCCACCCAAGTCTCCCCCCCTGTCCCCAAGCTGAATGAGGTACTGCCCCGGTGGTGCCCACCCTGGTTGCTAATAACGTTACTCTAAGCTTAGCGTTCTGTGGTTTGGATTTCGACATCTACGTACAACGTGGAAAGCGCCGTCGGACCACTTTTTGAGAGAAGATCATGGTGATCGCAGGGTGGACTCTGCTCAAGTATCCGTACCTCGGCGAACAAATCTTCATCGACAACCTCAGTTGCGGCCTGGTCATCAGGCTGAGGAGCGGGAAGGGCCAAAGTGTCGTGCAAAAGGCTCGCCTGGTGGTACACAGTGGTCTGGTAACGACAGTAGGGGAGCCGGATACAGCGAACAGGTAGTAGCAATGTGAGGCGAATGTCGAAACCAATAATACGAGATGGATTGGGGCGAAGGTGCCAGGCTGTGGCGGTTTGGAATGTAATGACACGGTACAGCGCCGCAAGACGGTACTCGACTTGTCATGCCTTTTCTCGCATTAGACCAAGTACCTAAACCAACATTGGGAGGGCTAAGACGAACGGACTCACTTCCTCTTTCCCTTGCTGTTGTGTCCTATTACTGCTGCCCTGTCCTCTCTGGTGGACTTGACTCTCCTAATTGTGTGTGATCTCCATCCCCATCCCCATCCCTTCCTCCAGGGCGCTTCGCCAACTAAACAGCCCCTCAGACACCCGCCTCTCACACACACTCTCTCTCTCGAGTTCTCTTTTTGTTTCTTCTTCGTAACTTGCCTTTCCATTTTGCCTCTTGGCCTCACGACGAACGACTCACTCTTTTTCACTTTGCCTTGTCTCTCCTGCGAAATCCGTCTCCTTGACGACGCAAAAGTCGAGAGAATCATCTTGCTCCCTGCCTTAATCTAATCCCAACCGCAGCCGTGAGTGACAGACAATTATCCGACGCCGAGGAACAACGACGGCAATCATATACATCATCACCTTCACCTCATTACTCTCGTTCCCGAAAAAGGACCAAACGAGGCAGTGCGCACAATCGCGCGTCAGCTTTAATTGTTCGGCCGCTCCCTTTCATCAATCCATTGCTCGCTCGCTCATTTTTGGTACGCCTGCCGCCTATCGAACCTAAAATCCGGCAGGGCCACCAACCCAAGTTTGTACAACTATCGAAATAGCCCGGGCGGTTCGCAGGCTGCCGAATGCCACCATCGCTGCTCCTACTCTAATCCATCCAACGCCTACGCCGTTTCGCCTCCATCTGAAACTACGTTCGCTGCATTCGCGCGCCGCAACCCCCTTTCTCTTCCGACTATAATCCCCATCCGTTCCAAAAAAGACCTTCATCCCATCGAGTTCCCAATTTGTTGTCTATATTTGCGTCTTACTCGCCATTTCTGTTGTCGCCGTTGTTGACACGACTCACGACCCCTTCTCTCCGACCCGCCCCAGGTCGACCAAGGATCGAAATTGGAGAGAGCGCATCAACCGTGCGCTTGCTTAGGTACGCAATCTGCAGCGAATAAGCGCTATAGGAGACGAAGAACAAAGGAAGTTCGAGGAAAAGGGGAAAAAAATCATAGCACGGCACCCATTTCGGACCAAGAGTTCATCGCTTGCTTTTGGGTCTGGCTGTTTGTCCGATGTTGTGAAAGCTGCGCCAGGATTGCCCACGTTTTCTTGCACAGCTTCTCGCCCTCCTTTCTGAAGTCATTGCAGCAAAAAAAGGCAGTGAACAAGGGAGTAAGCAAGGTTGCGCCCTCTTTTGAAAAGCAGGTCATTTGCTGGCACCTTCCCTGCTTGACTGTCGCCCCCCGATTTGCTGGCGCAGAGACGCAGAAAAGCCGGGTGGAAAAAAGGGACGCTTCCCCGTTGATTCGCGGTCTCCCAAGGAACAACCCCCCCGCCAATAGCAGGGATACGAGGCCTGGACTATCCACAAATCTTGCCTGGAGGTGCCTTCCTCCCAATAACAACTCTTGTGAGTATGACCTCCTTCTGCTAGCCAGCGACCCGCATTTGCAACGCAACCGACTGTCGTCTTTTCGCTGCTGCTACTGTTGTTTTTGTTGTTGTCTCTTCACTTTCTGCCCCCCCAATTGTCGATTTTCTGCATCTTTGAGCATTCCTTCGAAAAGCCCTACCCCCTGACGATAAGATTCGAGCTCGAGTTTTTCTGTCGTCCGTTTTTACGCGCGACAGAACATCGCTCTCCTTTCGAAAGGGTGAAGTCTCCCTCTTTCCCAACCCGACTTTTAACGACCATACTCGCTTGTTTTCACCCTCCTTCAAGAGCCAAGACTAACGATGGATTTCCTCACAGGACCATGTCTCTCCCTGAAAGGCCCGGAGCGAGCTCTCCTTTCGAGAACAGTAGATCATACAGGAACTCGCCTTCGCGACGAAACCGTCCCGGAGATGTCGAGACTGGCGGCTACTATCCCGTAGGAGGACGACCCTCTCATCAACGTGGACTTTCTGCGGGTGGGCATTCTGCGACATCTTTCCCCGAGACAATCTCGTCTCCTAATATCAACACAGAGAACATGCCGCTTTCGCCGACGTTCGAAGCCTCAGTCGCAGGTCCTTCTTCGCCCGAACCTTTCCAGAGAAAACGAAGTTTAATTCGACCCGAGAGACACAGGATCGACAAGGACCACCCCAACTATTACTACCGCAAGCATGCCGCCAACATGAACGTTTTGCCGTCCGCGACTGGAAACGACCCGATTACCGAGGACATGGAAGGGACAACTGACGTTTCAGGGCGCTCGCAGACCAACGACAACTACTCTGACGCCTCTCCGCCCAGGGGCCCAAACAGCAGGCAGGGCAGCGTGGAGGAGAAGAAGGGAGGTCCGACCCGGACAAAGACGAAGCGAGTGAGCCGACACAAGTCGGGCAAGCTGACCAAGGAAGGAAAACGCAAACAGCAGGTCGAGCAGGTTAGCCCGCCAAGTTTCTGGAACGTCTACTGTGCCATCATTACCTTCTGGTGCCCCAACTTCATGCTGAAGTGCTGTGGTATGGCCTCCAAAGCCCAGCAGCGAGCTTGGAGGGAAAAGGTCGGCCTGATCAGTCTCATCCTGCTCATTATGGGCTTCGTCGGTTTCTTGACCTTCGGTTTCAACCAGGCTGTATGCGGAACCCCTCCACCTCGTCTTCGCGTCAACGAGGTGTCGGGGGGGTACATGATCTTCCACGGAACGGCCTACGACTTGTCTGGTTCTCGCCACCCCCCCGCTGACGGTGTGCCCATGATCAACAGAACTCACGGCGCCAACGTTTTGTACGACTTGCCTGAAAAGAACGGTGGAAAGGATGGCAGTTTCTTGTTCCAGAACGTCAATGGTCGTTGCAAAGGACTCATCACCGCTGCTGATAAGTCTGATGTTCCTACGAACAGCGCTGGCGATCTGGCCTGGTATTTCCCCTGCACAGTCTTCAACCAGGACGGATCTTCGAAGCCTAACTTGACCATTCCTTACTACCTGGGATGGGCGTGTCACACTACCAAAAAGTCTCGCGATACATTCTATCTTGATTTGAGCGGATCTGCTGACGTCTATTTCTCCTGGGACGACATCAAGAACAGCACCCGAAACTTGATTGTCTACTCTGGCAATGTCCTCGACTTGGACTTGCTTAACTGGTTTAACACAACCCAGGTTAAAGTGCCCGCACGCTTCAACGAAATCAAGGACAAGAGCTCGGCCGTCAACAAGGCTATTCGTGGACGTGATGTCACCAGAGCCTTCCAGTCTTCCAGTGACAAGCAGATGGCTGAGTGTTTCGAGGAGATCATCAAGGTCGGATCTGTCGATACTGACACTGTCGGTTGCATTGCTTCCAAGGTCGTCCTCTACGTTTCGCTGGTTCTCATTCTCGCCGTTGTCTTGACGAGATTCTTCCTCGCTATCTTCTTCCAGTGGTTCATCAGCCGAACATACGCAGCTGCCAAGACGTCTCAGTCCGGAGACAAGCGCAAGCGTAACCGCCAAATCGAGGACTGGTCTGAAGACATCTATCGAGCACCTCCTAGACTGCCTGGCGATATTGGAAGCAGCGTTAATGGCTCTTCTGACCGTACCAGCAAGCGTGGCAGCTCCTTCCTTCCTACAACTTCCAGGTTCTCTGCTGTCTACGGAGCCGGTGCGGTTCCGCCCGCTGCAAAGCGTGCTCCGACGACGATGGCCAGCTCCGGAGCGGGCAACAACATGCTTCATCCAGGCAACGCCATGTACCGCCAGGGCAACGACAGCCGCTCCAGTTTCCTCCGTTCGGACCCTTACACTAGCACTGCCAGCCCGACTGAAGGCCCTGGACCTGCAGGCTTCATTCACGAGGCTGTGGTTCCGCAACCACCTGCCGATTGGATGCCGTTTGGATTCCCCCTCGCTCACACTATGTGCTTGGTCACCGCCTACTCTGAAGGTGATCTTGGTCTCCGAACAACGCTAGACTCTATCGCCATGACCGACTACCCCAACAGCCACAAGGTCATTGTCATTATTTGTGACGGTATCATCAAGGGTCAGGGCGAAACCATGTCGACCCCCGACTACTGCTTGGCGATGATGAAGGACCATACTATTCACCCGGATGAGGTTGAGCCTTTCTCCTACGTAGCCGTTGCCAGTGGTTCGAAGCGACACAACATGGCTAAGGTCTATTCCGGTTTCTACGACTACGGTGCCAAATCTGCCATTCCCCTCGAGAAGCAACAGAGGGTTCCCGTTTTGCTCGTAGTCAAGTGCGGCACACCCGATGAGGCTACCAAGTCCAAGCCGGGCAACCGTGGCAAGCGTGACAGTCAGATTATTCTTATGTCGTTCCTCCAGAAGGTCATGTTCGATGAGCGTATGACTGAGCTCGAATACGAAATGTTTAACGGTTTGTGGAAGGTTACAGGTATATCGCCTGATTTCTACGAGATAGTACTCATGGTCGACGCCGATACCAAGGTCTTCCCCGATAGTTTGACTCACATGGTTTCTGCCATGGTCAAGGACCCCGAGATCATGGGTCTTTGCGGAGAAACGAAGATTGCCAACAAGCGTGACAGCTGGGTTTCCGCCATCCAGGTCTTTGAGTACTTCATCTCTCATCACCTGGCCAAATCCTTCGAGTCTGTATTTGGTGGTGTCACCTGCTTGCCCGGTTGTTTCTGCATGTACCGCATCAAGGCGCCCAAGGGAGCTCAGGACTACTGGGTCCCTATCCTGGCCAACCCTGATATCGTCGAACACTACTCAGAGAACGTCGTGGACACCCTGCACAAGAAGAACCTTCTGTTACTCGGTGAGGATCGCTATCTGACGACTCTCATGCTTCGAACTTTCCCCAAGCGTAAGCAGGTCTTTGTTCCTCAAGCCGTCTGTAAGACCACCGTTCCCGACACGTTTGCCGTTTTGCTTTCTCAGCGTCGACGATGGATCAACTCGACTATCCATAACTTGATGGAACTGGTTCTGGTCCGTGACCTGTGTGGTACTTTCTGCTTCAGTATGCAGTTTGTCGTTTTTATTGAACTGATGGGAACGCTTGTGTTGCCTGCTGCTATTGCTTTCACCTTTTACGTCGGTAAGTAAAGATTTCCCTAGCTAATGAACAGAGCTCAGCTAACATTCTCCAGTCGTCATCTCCATCGTGAATCAGCCGCCGCAAATTATCCCTCTGGTTTTGCTAGGTCTTATTCTTGGTCTTCCCGCTGTTCTCATTGTCCTGACCGCACACTCATGGTCTTACGTTCTCTGGATGCTCATCTATCTCGTCTCCTTGCCCATTTGGAACTTCGTTCTGCCCACTTACGCGTTCTGGAAGTTTGACGACTTCTCGTGGGGTGATACCAGAAAGACGGCAGGTGAAAAGACGAAGAAGGCTGGCCTCGAGTATGAAGGCGAGTTCGACAGCAGCAAGATCACCATGAAGAGGTGGGCCGAGTTTGAGCGCGACCGTCGGACGCGCAGCAACTACTGGGGCTCCAAGGAGAACGTCGTGGGAGGCGGCAACACCTGGTCGATGCCTCCAGGACACCACTACAATGACGAGTACTACCAATCTGACGCATAAAAAGCAAAATCACACGGCGGGCGTTATTGTTTGAGCAGCATGAGGATATACTGGGTTTATACGAGAGGCGCGATCAAGGGCCTTTGTTTACACTTTTTCCCTCCCCCCTTGATGGTTATTACCAATACAGAAGGGGGGTTTTTACGGCGTATAGTCAAAGGGCTCGGCACTTGTAATAATGGGAGATGGCCGAGTGTGTTTTCGTGTCGAGATCTATTTATTCTACATTTTATTCCCCTCGAGCTGGAAACCTGACATTGTTTTTGTTTTTGCCTCCATTGTGCCTTGATGATGACGGACTGCACACACTGGCTTCTTGGTCACTCTTCTCTACTGGAGCCATTGGTCTGGCGGGAGCATGGCGCTTTGCGATCGTGGGAAGGACTGAGTACATACACAAATGCGTGTCTGATGGTGGTTTTGTCTACCTTTTCCCCCCTGAAATGCATAAGATCGATCCATCAATAAGTCTTAGTAGTAAATCAAATCCACCCACCTACAACACAATAGCCATCATCCATTGACTATTGCCCGTCCGTTCGACCGTCGGTTTCCGTTGATCCGTCTCTGCCCTGTGCCCAGCCATATCCATTATTGGAAGGAGAAGAGAGCCCAACCTACTGTTTCTGCACCACGTACAATGAAGTAATAAAAAAAAAAAAAGAACAATAAACAGAGGACACCCAATAACTGCCAGCCCGCCTGCCTGTCTGTCTGTCTGTATGTCTATCTATCTGTCTGCGTCGTCCTCTGAGCCCCCTTTCGCCGTTCCGGCCGAGAAGCGCATGTCTTGTTTTGGATCAGATGCACATTTCGAATCGGGCCATTACTCGTTCTACTAGGCCTCGCGTTGGGTGTGGGAAGAGAGGGGGGCCGGGGGAGGGAAACGTATTTTGACACATCCAGACCAAGGAAATAAGCAACGATGCGCGGCCCCAGTGTAACCACACCTTGGGCGATGCGACGAGGTAGCTTTCTCGTTCACTCTCGCGCGCAGGAGGGGATTTTATTTTTATTTTTTTTTTCACCAGAGAAGAGAGGAAGAGGGCGGGATGAAGAGTAAGAAGAGGAATCGGGGCTAACGGTGGCTTGTCTGCGCTTCTTCTTTGGGGGAGACTATTCATGAGATTGTGCTTTTCTTACCTCGTCCCGTCCCGTCCATGCCGCTGTCTTTGCGAGATCGGTGATGGCTGCTGCCACCTCAACTACTGCTACTGCTAGTGCTAATGCTGCTGCAGCTGTTGCTGATGCTGATGCTGTTGCTGCCAGCGTCATTTTCCCATGATCCCCCTCTCAGGACTCACGGCACTCAAAGAGGGAACCGGAACGACCGGAACGGAAACGGGAACGGATCTAATTATTAGAGACCCCGGCGGCCCGGTGTGAGTGTGGAGCTGGGCTGGGCTGGAGCTCTTCATCCCAACCGCCAGGCAGGCAGACAGCGGGCAGACTTTACTGTTGAAGGAAAGCAAAAACAGCTGGTAAGGAAACACAGACCAGGCACAGACATCGGATGTGGGAGGACTACACTCCAGTAAGGGAGTGAGGGAGAAAGGGGATCGCATGAGCTGCAGGTAGCCGAGACACGTTCATTTGATTTTGTTATCCAGCCCTTCTCTCGTTGGCTGGTTTGTGTTTTCGTTTCTAGCTTTTTATTTTTATTTTTTGTGTGGCAGGCATACTAATTGCACGGTCTTTGCCCGATGGAGCCTAAAGTCTTACAGTGACTGCGCGAGAAACGGGCCCTTGTTGATGGTGTTGTTGTTTCTTTTTCCTCCTTCTCAGAATCGTAACCGGTGTGCCGTGGGATGGTCGATATGCTGGTACCCGAGGCGCGGCGCCGCAAGCTTGGGTAGTAATGGTGGTGTGGACTCCTTACTACTATGTAAGCTCCTCTTCGTGTTCTAGAAAGTACCCGCTCCCCCATGTATCTCGGGACGGGCTGGCGCCAGTGACGACGGGAAATGAGCATGATCGAGTCTCTGGCTACATAGCAGAGGCGGGATTCATAGGTAATCAAAAGCGTTGCGGATCTTAGTCAGTGTTCTAGCTGATCCTTAAGGAAAACGTTGTTGACAGTTTCCGAGTCGACCCAGAACCTGTTACCAGGGAGCGCTGTATTTCTAATGGGGCACCTGGCCGATCATGCTGTGAGATATTCAACTGGGCCGCCCTGGTTTGCCCACTCTTCTGCATGCCGGTTGGCTGCAACTGCTGAAGGATCCTGCCGGCTGAGGCAAGAATACCGCTGGCCCAGAGTTTGCAAAACTGTATGATTATGTGAGCACTGACTGTATGGACAACCAACTCTCCATTAGTAGGAAGTGGTATGAGTTTTTGGCCCCCCGCCCCCCTGTTGTATTCTGAGTCCCTGCGTGATAGGCAAGGGGGACAGGCATTTGAGAAGAGAGCCTGGCAAGGTGAAAAAGAAACGATTTTGCGGAGCTGGAAGTTGGAGCTACGGAGCAAATGGATTAGTATTGGGTGATTGATACTCGAGAGACCGCACGCTGCTGAATGTGATTGATCACCTCAACGGGTCTCTTGTCACGCGGGCGAGGTTGGGGTGGACTCTGTCTCTACGACGGGTGACGGCTGGCAGGCGGTCCCTGGTATTCCATTGCCGGATGTCGCCTGTGGCTTCTCTTGGAGGATATAGTTGGTCAGCTTCTGCATTCCGCTGCGGCTTTATCGTTATGTCAGCTGCTATAGGGGGTTAGTTGGCGAATGAGGCGGTTTCGGCGGTGTGCAGGTGTGAGTCGCCGAGCTCGTCAGCCAGCGTGAGGCGGCCGCGAAGTATGCCGTTGCTGCGTCCCGCGATAGAGAGGGAAACAGAACAACGGACTAGGACGAGGCAGGGCCTGTTCTTGGTCGGATTCTGCTGGCAGGTGGCAGTCGGTGAGCGCTCTATCAACTAGTTTAGGTCGGGGTGGAAGGGGAGCCTTCCTAATACAACGACTTACATGAATGTGGGCTGGCACCCCTGGAAACCAAGGTCAGAGAGTGGCCTTGGTGACAGGTCATATTGTACGCATTGGTGCTATGGGAATTTCCTTGACATATGCTGCTTTTCGTCAATGCTCAAACTGACGAGCAAGAGGCGACAAAAACACATGTCGTAAGATCATTAATTGACACAGGGAAGCTGAAGAGCGACATAGATGTTTAAACCACAGCTGAAGGCAAGGTGCATCACCGACCATTTGCTGTTGGTTTTGAGCCCCCCCCCTTCCCTTACCCCTTTGGGCTTCGGGCTTTGGGGAAGGATCTGCAGTGCTCTTTAAGTACAGGAGATAATATGTCAAGTGTATATTCGCGCACTAGAGCATGTTTGGGATGCCAAACGTGGTTTGCATAACTGCGTTTGTGATTGTTAATGACTAACTAGCGTTTTGCGAGAGTCAGGTCCGCCAAAGACGTTTAGGCTACGATTAACCTCATGACCGTCCACTCAACTGTGACGTCAGAGAGAGTTGAAGAAGTGAAGGCGGCCACGTTGTGGAAGGAACAAGGTGAGAAGAGGGAAGGAGGATGAGGATTAGACTTTGACCATGTTGCCCTGTTCTCCCTCTCACGCAACTGATGTCTAGTTCAGTTAGTTTGTGGCGACATGCGTGCTTGTCAAAAACTACGCATTTCCATCCCTTGAATCTGGCTGCGAAGGGACGCTTCTGTGCGACATGAGGCGGCTGGGGTGTGAGTGGCCCCGGCCTGCCTGACTGTCTGCCAGCGACGCCAAATTTACCCACCCTAAATATGCTCTCCATCTTTCTATTTCTCTTTCTCTGATGCGTTTATGATGCGTTCATAACGGAAGACAGTGCTGCATATTGCGCGCGCTTAAATGGCTTTCCTTTGATTCTGCTCACTGCTGGGCTGCACTGCGGTTCCCTTGGGCTCAGTACAGCACACCATTTTCTGCTCAGAGTCAGCCATGCATATGATATTGGAGGTGGCGTCCATAGAAACACGGCGGAGCCAGTCGCTGGCTGGTAGGCTAGGGCAATTTCCCAATAATAGTCCTCCCTCTGTGCGCAGAAAAGAAAGAGATGCCCACATAGCAGAGCTCGGGTTCCCCAGAAGACAGGGTTCCTGTGTCCTTGGTATGAGGTTGGCCAGCATGAGTGGTCAAGGGCATGCATGCCCCTCCCGTCCTTCCTTGCGTGTGTACATGGCAATGTACACAGCAGTGGTAATGAAATACTGCTTTGCTGGTGGAGTGGCGTCCTAGAGCCAACCTCACCATCGCCTTTGCTGTCGTTTCTCTGCACGCGTCGGTCCAAAGTAACATTTTATGCCCTGCGTACCGTGAAAGCTCCAGAAGAAGCCGCGATGTCGAGCTTCAGCTTGAGCATAGATCTAGCGGCTGAAAAAAAGGAGGAATGCTTTTGTCTCCCATCGTCATGACGTTGCTCGTGGGAGCTGAGGTACATGATCGCCTTACTGGTTGGTGGTGGAGGAAAATCCAATCTTTTGTCCTCCTCCACAGTTCCCGAACCCACAAAGACTAGCACTGCTCTTCCCAGCCAGCACCCAACGATTTAGTGAGAAAGATTGGCAGAGCTGAGGGATCGGGCCTTGTCGCGGCACCAAAAGCTAGGGTCCCACAAAATGTACTCAGGCTGGGGATATACTTGAGATCTTGTACGCCCAGAGTCAGTTTCACAAGTACCTTGCCATCGTAGATACCTTCCTCAAGCCCATGTGCCCTGGGAATGCAACTCAACCATCAGACCGTCTCGCTATGCGGCCCGTTGTTTGGTTGGCGCGCCTTTTCCTTCCATTGCCATTTCACCTTACCACTGACTGAGGTTACCCCCATTGTCCTTCGATCCCAGCCAAAGACATCCCGCCCGGGTCCCAGTCCCGCTCCCGCCCTGCTACAACACCACCAGTACTGGACTCGACCTGACTTAAGCCTGACCGCATTCTCTCGACAGCCCGGACCAGACTGCAACACCCTTTTCCGTCCGTTCACCCAGAAGACGACTTACCACTCTCCGCCACGCATCCCACGACCACACAGGGCAAGCGTTAATACTACACGTTTCGAATTGACGGCACCCTTCATCTCGAATTCCCCGCTCCAGTACCGAGTTGCCACCACCCTTAATAGACGTCCCACACCGATTGTTGACTGCGCGAGATCTGGATTGCGGCTGGTGTTTGAGCTGCTCTTGTAAGGAGAAGCAGCGGAGACCCTTGATCTGCATAACAGACAGGCAGTTGACACCCGTTAAAACGACTTCTCTCACTGAGGAGGACTCGGAGCTGAGGAGATATCCAACATCCTCCACCCTTAACCGCACGAGAGGACGCATTTATCCTACCCGACGACGGTCACTTGCCCTTCCCTGCGCGCTTCACCTCGATGATGCCCATTTGGCCGCCACTGGCCACAACTCAGACTTGAAGCGAACACAATGCGCCCGAGAACCTCAGAAACCGCCTCCCAGCCTTCCCAGGCGCAGGCGACTCCCGCTACCTCGAACAATCACCATAGCTTCGCCTCTGCCACGCCGGCAATTGATGTTTCTCACGACCATCAACACCGTGAGCCCAGTCAACACCACCACTCCCAAGAACCACCAGTAAACGGCGCAAACCTTGCTCAAGTTTCTTACCCTAGCACCGATCCTCTATACTACCACCCGACCTTTCCTGTGGTACCATCATCCTACTACCACGACCCCCATGCTTTCTCCCAAGACCAACAGTATGATGATTACGAAGACTACGACGAAGAAGACATCGACGACGAGGACGACGAAGACATGGATATGAGCGACAGTGACGGAGGTGCTCCCCTGGACCATGTAATGACCGTCACTAGCATCCTCTCTCCCATGCCCGAGACCGAGGCCGGCCTAAATACTCCCGAACATTATCCTGGGAGCCCTCCTCTCGAGGCCTTCACTCACACTGCCCACGGGGATCAGCTCTCGCCCACAGAACCTCCTGCTCACATGGTTACCTATTGGAGCGTGCCGATGACTGGCCCTGCGTTCGACCCTGCCGGCCCTCTTCACCCTACCCCGCTCAATACTATACCCTTTCACCCTATGTTGAACTCCGGAGGCTTGGAAGATGATGACGATGATGACGATGTGTTCTATCCGCCCGTTGCTGAGCAGCTCCAACAGTTTCAGGTCGGGGCCATGGACGAAGATGAGGCCGCGTGGCAAATAGCAGGACCTCCGGCTGTCAGCAATCCAAATCCCAGCACACTTGGCCCAGAGAACCTTTGCTTGACCGATTTCTTAAAAGAATGGGCCTGGCGCAGTCGTGGCAATCGCTATCAGCCTCGCGGACCTAGTCCTGGAATCCAGTCCCTGAATAGACAGGCGGCAATGAAAGTCGCCCGTGTGGGCTATCCAGACCTTGAGGGTGACAGATATGACGTGCAAGGTATTAACTGGGAAGATCTTGGGGTAACACGGATGAAGGCTCGCGAGCGCAGAATTTTGGACTACAAGAACTATACCAACAGAACAGGTTCAGATGTGTGGGGTGTAAGTTTGAGCCATGTCCAAGGAGTTTCGCCACGAGGCTAACTTGAACTTTGTAGCCTCACTTGCCAGATCGAATCATTCGGAACACGGAGAATTTTTTCAAGTTCCGCCGGATGGATATTCGTCAAAACGTCCACTTGGCTCATTTCCAGCTGCGTAACATTTTGGCATGTGCTGGGAGAAGCCGCGCTTTTTACCCGGGACAACGGGTTGTGCACCAAATCAACCCTGTGTCCGGTCAGAGTGAGGTGGCCATGGACCTGGGCGATTTGGGAAGTGTTCAAATATCAACTTTGGATGCCAAATGCGGTATGCTCGTTGCGGGTACTTTTAACGGCGAGTACTGCATGCGTAACATTCACAGTCAGGACAAGAAATATACCGAAGGACAAATTACCAACCACATCAGCGGCATCACCAACCACTTACAGATTCACGAGTCACGAAACTCATCGGCACCAATGGCCGCCTTCGCGTCTAATGACCAGGGCTTTCGCGTTATGGATGTAACCACTGAAAAGTTTGTCCTAGATACACAATACGGCTGCCCTATCAATTGTTCTGCTTTGTCCGCCGACCGCCGCTTACGCGCAATGGTTGGCGACAATTATAACGTCATGATTGCCAACGCCGACACTGGTGAGATTCTTCAGGAGCTGGGTGGCCATCGCGATTTTGGGTTCGCCTGCGACTGGTCAGATAATGGTTGGACTGTGGCGACCGGCTTCCAAGACATGAGCGTGAAGATCTGGGACGCTCGAAAATGGACCAATTCTGATGGCACCAGTGCACCGCTCACTACTATACGCTCAGAAATGGCTGGAGTGCGTAGCTTGCGATTCTCGCCCACTGGCAGCGGCCCACGAGTTCTCGTTGCAGCTGAAGAGGCCGACTTTGTCAACATCATTGACGTTCAAACTCTCGCTCACAAGCAGACCTTCGATCTCTTTGGAGAAATAGGGGGCGTCGAGTTCACGAACGACGGGCAAGACCTCAACATTCTCTGCATGGATAGGACGCGTGGTGGACTGGTCCAGCTGGAGCGTTGTGATCTGGGCCAGTCCGGAGGTTTTGAGCCGGCCAGCCAGGCCATGTCGCTAGATGCCTGGTGGAAACCAAACCGAAGCGCAACCTACGTTGAGGCTGACCGTCGCCCAAGGCATCCTGCTCACAGAGAACGAAAGGCGTCACTGTTTGATGACCTGGAACCTTTTTGAAATACATGATACCCGGAACATATCACCACAGCTCGACGATTGCAATAACTCTTTGGATACGATCACTGGTTGCCAGGCGTAGACAAGCCTAGATGGACGGTGTTCAGTTGTTCCTGGACCCTCTTAACCTCGCGGCCTCATCTATTCGTAGAGTAGCATCGCGGTCTTATTCCCACTTTTACACCACTATTTTGTTTTTCTTCGCTTCTTTACCCGTTTCCCGATACATGGCCGACATATAGAGCTCTCGAAAGGGGTGTGACGGCGAGATAGTGTGGTAGGCAATAACAACTGAGCCTTTCTTTTTTCTTTCTTTTTTCTCTTTTTTAAGACTAGCACAGCGTGGTAACTGATCATCATTTTGCATGGAGGATTCTAACGACGTTACGGCGGGCATTCGGAATCGGTGTCCATAGGTCTTGTTTTATTTTCTCTTCTTATTCCTTGTAAAGGAAACGATTATGTGCCTCTCGATCTTTTGGACATAGGGGATCTTTTGGGGGCTTTGCGGTCAGCATATGATAACTATTTTGGTCCATGGGGACGAAGACATGATGTCGTACGAGGAATATGATGACATATCCTTCTTTGGCTTTGCATTCTGGGACTGGCTGGATAAGGCTGGCTTTAATCCAGAGGTACACATTTTCCGTTTGGTATATGACAGGTTTAAGGGGCGCATGGCAGCTAGCTTCCATAGATTAATCGAGACATGGACGTTGTTGAGCTTTTCACTCTCTACCTACTTTCCCTTGTTGTGTTGTCGCCTCTTCTTTCTGCGGCAATCGGAAAACAGGCTGGCGCCCGTGAAGGCCCGGGTCTCCCACACACCTCTGATATAAGGAACGTTTTTGTTGTACGCTGCGCATAAGCGTTGAGACGAGTGAAAAGGCATGAGGTCATGCGAAGAAATGCAGCACAGACTAAGCAGCGCCAACGTCTCCCAAAGACCATCCGCGCGATCTACCGCGGGCGGCCGGTCGGTGTAGCGGGCTCGAGCCTAGCTAGCTAGCTAGTCCTTCCTTCGGGGGCGTGTGCCTGGTTATTTTATTTTTAAATCGCCCTCATTTTCCAGAATCACCACCAGCGTTGTTGGAAATTAAAACCCACCGTCGGCGGCGCAGCCACAAAAAAACAACCGAACGTCTTTTTTCGACTGAAAGCCAAACGTCCTTTTCCCAACCTCCTCCTTCCTCGTCTCCTTCATCCATCTACTCTTCCCTCCTTCCCCCCCTCCCCCTCGTTTTTTTTTTTTTTTTTTTTCGTCGTGCTCTTCTCCCCTTGCCGGTGAGGGTTATTTCCGAAGTAAGGGAGACTGGTGCCACCTGAAACGAAACGAACCGCCAATGGAATTGCCTTGATGGTCAGTGGTTTTTTTCCCTGGGATGTACTTGACTATTCTTGCCTATCAATATGGGTTTTGTCAGTGGGGTATGTGTGTGTGTGTGTGTGTGTGTGTGTGAGAACACGGACCAATTAGTTCGGATGAATGAGTGCGGGTGTTCATCTGTTCATATTCTGTCTGATGAGTTGCTTTCACATTTTGTTCCTCGAGTCCTCCGGTTTGTCGGTCCTGAGAGGTTGCGATCGGTGATGTGACATATTAACCATTGAGTGATTGGCTCTGAGTGGAGGTCAGAATAGGCTGTAGTGCATGGAATGCCAGCCATATTTTCCATGTTAGTATCGAATAATGTGTCGTATAAGCTTACACCCTCGCCGAAACCTCGCTCCTGGGCGCTTACAAGGTTGACAAGGGATGTAGTCAGCAATGTGACCTCTGGTTGGTGCGGGCTTCAAAATGTTCAATACACACACTCTATAATTGCAACATTATGGATCGAATTGCTCATAAGGCCAGTGAGTTAAATGACACATGAAATAATTGGTTCTCTTTTCTTCGCTGGCACCATAGATCCTGCCACGACGGCCGTTCGTTTGACCAAACATCTCCAAAAATTGCTGATACATAGGGAAGAATAAAACAAAGAGGGGGGGAATTGTCAAATGACTAAACCCGTTCCCCTCCGTCGCTGACCAGAAGGTTATATATACATACACGGACGGAAAACAATATGCTACATAAATTCCGGACGTCGGAGGATTAAGTCTGCCTCTTCGTCTTCTCTCTTTTTCTTCTCCCTTCATGAGATGTGGGAGGGGGGTATCCAATTGACTTGAAGGAAAACGTCGTCGAATTTGTCGTCGGATAGAATGGTGAATTAGACATTTCATGTACATCTATTTTTCTTGTTTATAGAGCAACGTCGTATGACAGGGCCAGAATGTCGTAACCGTGGTCTCCTGAGTTGATTGTCATGCCGGAAAACGTTGATTTCAAGCCGGGCTTCCCTCATCTAATTGTTTAGAGGAAGAGGTCACCGCAGCCCCAGGTGCGCTCGCAACCGCAAGCACCGGGCTCCTTCCACTCGTCGTTGTGGAAAGAGAAGAAGACGGTCTTGCCACCAGCGAGCTCCTTGATGGAGGCAATGGCAGTAGCCTGCTCGGCCTTACCGGGGCAGGCCTTGCCGTTGCAGGAACCACCGGAGGGCCAACCGCACTCAAGGTTGAGGGCCTTCTTGCCACCGCAGATCTGGCTGCTCTCGAGGAGCTCGATCTGGCCCTTGACGAAGGTACCAGCATCGGAAGCGGCGGTCTCGGCGTTGAAGTAGGGGTGGATCTGACCACCGACAATGTCGATGACCTCGCAGATCTCGGAGATGACATCGCCCTGCTGCCAGACGCCGACGGTCTCGGCAGTGGTGAAGGGGCCGGAGTAGCCAGCGCCGGAGATGGTGGACTTGACGGAAACGATGAGCTGCTTCAGGGAGGAAGCGGAGCAGCGGCCCTGGAAGATGCACTCGTTACCAACGACAACGAGCTCGACCATGGACCACTTCTTCCAGGCGACGATGGCATCAACCTGGTCCTTGATCTCCTGGGAGTTGGGGTCGCAGGTCTGCTTGACGAAGATACCAATGATCATCTTAAGACCGTACTTCTCGCAAGCGGCACCGACGTTCTCGAGGGTGGAGCAGTCGGTGGAGTAGACACGGACGGTGGTGAAGCCAGACTTCTTGATGGTAGCAATGTCAGCGTCGACCTGGTCAGCGGTCTTGCAAGAGCCGGAGGCGTCCTCAGAGAAGGGGGTGTAGGTGATGGCCCAGTGGTCTCCGTTGGTGCCGCCGAGACCGCCGCCAGTAGCGGGCTTGGAGGGAGAAGGAGCGGGAGCAGAGGAGGTAGTGGGCTTGGGCTCCGGCTTGGGCTCCTCAGCGGCAGAAGTCGTAGGGGCCGGGGGAGGGGGAGCGGGGGCCTCGGTGGTAGGCTTGACGACGGCGGAAGTCGTGGGGGCCGGGGGAGGAAGGGTAGGCTTGGGCTCCTCGCTGGTCCAGGGGCAGACGACAATGACGCTGGTCTCGGTGACGGTGGTCACAACGGCGGGGCGAGTGTAGGTGCCGGGGGTGACGACGGTGACGACGGGGTAGATGCAGGTGGTCGGGACGGTCACGGTGGTCGTGGTGGGAGCAATGGTGTAAGTTCCCGGGGTGGGGCAGACGTAGGTGGTGGTCTCGACAACGCTGGTGACAACACCGTTGGTGGTCTTCTCGGTGGCGTAGGGGCACACAACGGTGGTGGCATTCTGGACGACAGTGGTGACACCGCCAAAGGTGTGAGTGCCAGGGGGGACCTTGGTCGTCTCAGGAGCGCAGACGGTGGTGGTCTGGCTCACGACGACGGTGGTGGCCGGGAAGGTGTAGGTGCCCGGAGTAGGGCAGACCTCAGGGACAGGAGTCGGCACGTCAACGGGAGGCTTGAAGGTGGACGTGGGCTTCTCCGGGACGGGGGCCTTGCTCGTAACAGCGGAAGGCTTGCTGGGGGGGTTAGGAACCACTGTTGATCGTCAGGTCAGCATGGCGATCAACGGGAGTGAGACTTTGCTCTCAAGTTCCGATCTTCAGTGGCCATGCCATAGGGCAGAGGGTAAGACTTGGATACTGAGTGGGAGGGATACACATACGCGTAGGCTCGCCGTAGATGGTGGTGTAAATGGTGGTGCAGCCAGGAACGCACACCGAGGCCTCGGCGCCTCTCTTGAACAGCTCACCGTGAGCGTGGCGGTGGTGGGATGCAGCGGTGGCACCGCTGATGGCCGCGGCGGCCGCAGCGAAGATGGATCCCTTCATGTTGGAATTAGGTTGTCTTTTAGAGGTTTTTTGAGTATTATCGACGGTATAGTGTCGGTATGCGAAAGCGAATGCCCGCTAAAAGAGTGAAGCGGTAGTGGAGGGCTTTGTGATAGAGACGAAAGGACGACGAAACTACGTTGACGGCATCAACTCATTTGACGGTGTTTTCGTAAGGAAAGGGAAAGAGGGAAGAAAAGGAAAGAAACTGGCGGGACCGGGATGTTATTATTATTGTGGTTGTTAGATTAGGTAGAAGGCTAGTATCCGTACCTTTCATGGGTACGACTCTGTGAGAGTCCCTGACCTGGGGGGCCCTGGGGGGGAGCCGACCTTGGGCTGGGGTGTGTGCACGACGCGGTGCGGTGTGTGCCCGCCCACCTCCAGGATGGATTCATGTGGATGCCCAGATGTGGGCTGTAACGTATCGGTCCAGCAGCTTAGTATAGTACTGAAGGTGTGGGTGTGCACCCCGGCGTAGGTGACATTTGTTTACCAGCCGGGGACCAGTGAATCCTGGATGGGGATGGGGCCATGGCCGTATGGACGTATCTCAGCCAGGCCAAGAACCGTCGATTTTAGTGCGCACAAGCATCGCAACAAGGTAACTCGACAGCAAACTAGCCCCTGTATGCTTGGCAGTAGGCCACGGCAAGAAGTCGAGCGAGCAGCTAGAGCCAGAACGAGGAGCTAGAGCCGTTGAACGGTTTAACCAGACCATGAAACCGAGGAGAACGGTGGTGGAGCGGGTCAGGATCTTGATCATGGTTGAGTATCCGTATGGAGTAAACCAAGCGCCACTACGAGCTTGTCGGTCTGGTAAGAATTCAACGGAGGCATTACCATCCATGGATCAAGCTCGGCAAGGGGCCCAGCAGAGGAACAAAATGTACGGGTATTGTAATCTGGGAGCTGCCACTGGTAGCGAGTCAACGAGAGGCTAAGCCGGGGAAGCCATATCAACGTCGCTCGTGAAGATGATTTGACAGCGCGCAAAGAAAAGGGGAGGCGAGATGGCAATCCCGGTTAAGCGTAGTTGGGGGGGGACCATTCTTGGAAGGCCGAGAGGATCCAGTCCCAGTGAGCAGAAAAGAGAACGGACGAACAGGACATAGAGGCGAGAAGAGGCCGACAGACGGAGCCGGGTCCCTGACCAACCGAATCCACCAGAGGATGGAGGGCGTTTAATTGACCAAGATTTGATGACTGTGCAAGCTAAACCAAGACGCCAGAAACGGACGATTCAGAGACAGACACGGGACCAGTTACGTATGACTGCATAGTGTCTATTGAACGCGTGGTTCGACGTGGGAATCGGCTCCTTCCAGGCTCCTACGATCAGCAAGGAACAGGGCGAAAAGAAGCAAAAGAAAGCGTGCGACTGAGACAGAAAGCAAGAAACAAGCAGGGGAAAAAAGGGGACGACGTGAGCCACCGACAACAGCAGCAGCAGCGCCACCACCACGAGGGGAACTAGAGAAGGGGGAATAGGCCTGCAGGCCAGAGGCGGAGCTGCAAGGTACCCGAAGTGGCAGTCTGCTGATTGGGGAGGGATCGGCGGGTGCGGGGGGGACCTGTAAGGGCTTTTGCGAGGAGGGAGAGCGAATGAGCGGTCTCGACTGGTGCGTCCGGGAAATTAGCTTAGCGACATTAAGCACCAAGGACCCAGCAAATTAGATGAACCTCTCTCAATCGCTGTTAGACTAGCACCGTACCCATCACCACCACCATCACCACCAAAGATAAGTGAGCCCTGCACTGTCCTTGCGTCCCTGACGAACTGGTCGCCGGCTTGTCCATTGGCTTGGCACTAAGAACCGGAAGAACAACCTGAAGCTGTCCATATCTCAAGCTTCTTTTCTCACCGCAGTATCACGATGTCACGGCTAGTCACTAGTGTAGATTTGCATCGGCTGGTCCAGTCAGTGCCCGTTGATACAAGTCCACGCAACGACCTCGCTTGAGCAGGTGAGTGCTCGCCGCCAATCTATCATGTCTCCAACTCAGCCTGTTTTCGCAAATGGCTTTTGCCGTCTGTTCCTGATGACAGTTTATTTTTGTACCAGGTCTGACAGGCTACGCTGGTTTGTTCGTCCCATCTGCGTCGTCGCATGGACATGTTCAAGGACAGGCTAGATAACCCACGGTCGGGTATTCCAGACCGACGAATGCATCTGTTCGTACCAACACCAGCAGGCCTCCGTTCTGCCCTACGCTGATTATGATGATGATCTTCTGCACGTTTTGGGAAGATGACCAAATTGAACACGGTCACACAAATCTCGAATCGGCCTGTCTCTGCTTTCCCACCCGTGTCCTCCGTATTGAGTACATTAAAAGAAGATAATAAGCATCCCCCACAATCTCTCGTGTTCGTAGCCGATCAACGGCGTCTCGGCAGCCATCTGTCTCATCTGCCACGGCGGAATCTGGAATTACGTTTCTTGGGTGTTATTTCACAAGTGCCAAAACGGGTGTCAAAGTCGAAAAGGGGCGAACCAATCATCTGACCTATCTGACAACGAGCATACTATCTATGTATGTAGGATCGGTTGACTGCTACTTATCTGTTGATTATGTCCGGTCTAAAAATGAGATCAGCTCTACATTCACAGCAATGCGATGCCTGCACATGCAATGCACACACACACACATAATGCGACCTGCCAGATGCAGGGCTCAAGGTCAACCAGACGAAAAAAAATTACCCGACAGGCAGACTACCCATCACGGCCGCTGGGTCGTACACTAACGCGCCTCACCAGAAGGAGAAGCCCGCCGTTGGCTGTGCACAAGCCTGCGTTACTTCCAGGTTCCTTCAGCATTGTGGAACCCTTCAAGCGTCTGGGGGATGCCCGCTGCAAGGAACCACCACTACACTACGAATTTTGCAGGCAAAACGGGAAGTTTACGCCTTACAAGTCCGCGGGCGCGGCACCACAAGAACCGATGATGTCGTTTTGTGTACAGGTTGCGGAAATCCTAAGCAAGCCTGAAAATAGGGCTCCCACGCCCCCCCGGCTCATAAGTAGCGCAACACTCTCTCAAGCAAACCATCTCCAGTACTCCGCGTGCCGTTGAATATCCGGGTAGGCGACCTACCCGGAATGCATACGATCCGACTGTTACACACGTTCAATGGAGAAAAAGCATTCTCATCCGTACATAGTAGCAGAGATGATCTTACTGCTATCTTGACTCGCTTTTCTCTCCGCGTCCTCAGTCATTGTGCACAAATCCCATCTCACCCGTCACAGCATGTTATGCATCTATGCCAAGTGGGCATCAAATCTCCCGCATAACAAACATAAATATCAGTCAACCCCAAAGCTTCATCTCAGTGGGGATTCCCACGACATCCTATTTCCCACCCCTTTTTTCTTTCCCAGCTTGTTATTTTTTGCCTCATTCCGCCCCTCCCTTGTTCAACTGTACATAGTATCCTTACTGCATGCCCATCTCCGCCTCATACTTCCCGGCTCTTCTTCTTCAAGAGAGGAGCCGAGCAGGCCAGACGTCTGGTCGAGTTATATTTCCCCCTCCACTTTTTCCCTCGTATTGTGCCGCACATCTCCAGAGAACCCAACTCCCACCCTTCCGGAGGGGTTATGGCCCCCCCCAGGCTACTCAGCTGCACAGTCAAGGCGGCCCGTCAACTGTAGATCCTTTCCTTCAACTCCTCAGGCCCAATCTTCCCTCATCTCCCAAGTCTCCCAATGCGTGTGATGTGCAAGAGAACCCGCCAAGTCTAGAACCCTTGTATTTTTCTTCTATGATGTTTTATTTATTTTCCCAGTCTCACTCGGGGCAGGCAAGTTGCAAGGAAACATCCAGACCCCCCCCCCCCCTTTTTTGTTCCCACCGTGCCTCTCAGCCTTGGAATTGATTCCCTGGTAACTCCTCGGAGCCTTATTCGGCTCTGGTTAAACTAGCGGTAACCAGTAGCAATGACAAGATGAGGAGAGAGGGTAGAAAAGGCTTAACTGCGCACATCACTTGATCCAGCCCCTTCGAGCCCCTCGAGACCAGCAACTTGCAGAAGGCCGTCCTTTCCGCCCGTTTGACCCCTAGATGTCAACCTTCTTGCGTCCGGCCCACCTTCTTCTGCCCATCAAGAGAGGGAGGGGTCCACGCTTTTTCCAAGTTTTTTTTTTTTGTGGCCAGGTGTCCGACTCAAGAAGCACAACTCGGGGCGTTGTCTACATAGTATAGTAGTAGAGATCGATCCCCCCAAAGACCAACCCCCCCGGTCCCGGGCTGGCCGGCATCTCCCCGAGGTGTTTTCCGGAGCATCTTTCGCCTAGCAGCCTTTTCGGGCTGAATTTAACTTGCGCTGATCACGGCTTCGGCATACCCGTTTCACTTGCATTTGTTTTTTGTTTTTGTTTGTTTTTTGTGTTTTTTGGGGGGACGAGTGTATTCAAATGAGTCGCTTCTTTCTGTCTACAATCTCAACGAGACAAGAATCGGTAACCTTTTTTTGCCCTTCAAGCGGAAAAGTCTCAAAACGCTATACGGTTTAAACGAAATGCCTGACAACGTACATAACACCTAACTCTAAAGAAATCTACCGAGTCCTTCTGTCCTTCGCCATCAGCCTGCCAAGCTCGCGCCTGTCCAAGAGAAACAGTATTGTCACAGTGTTGAAGCATGCCTATGTCTCCCACAACCCTTTGACAAGCCATACATCACCCAGTCATAATGTCCTTCATACCTCCTCATCACTATCGTCGCCCAAGAGCTCGCCCTCGTCATCGTCTACGATGGCATAGTCGCCTCTGCCACGAGCAAAGCTGTCTCTTGTCGTAAACCTGCGGTTGCCCCGTCCAGACAGCCAGCTGCCTCTGCTGCCGCCGCTCACCCTCTCATAAGCAGAGGTCGCGCTACGCCACACGGCGGAAGCGACAAGCGGCAGCGCCGAGACAACGGCGACGACAGCCGACAGAGCGATGACAGGGTATTTGACCCACGGCGCGTCGCCATCCAGGCTCGGCGACTCACCCAGACGGATCTGGCCAAACTTGTCGTTCCAGTTGTGGTATACCCACCAGCCGACAGCAGCTGCCAATCCGATAGGAATGACAACGGCAAAGAAAATGGCAATCCCGGAAGTTCCGCGCCGTCTTTCAAATTCTTCCTCCTTGCCGGCGCAAGGGTGGGCTTGGGATTGCTTGTCAAGTTCCTGGCCACCAACGCAAGTAGTAAGAGGAATTCTGCGATACCCGGTAGGCTGGAAATACTCGACGGCATCGGGGTTTTCCTTGCACCACTGCTCTGAAGAGATCGGAGACTTGCCCTCGACAAGACTGCACTGCTTATGGTTGTCGAGTTCGAAGTTGTAGTCACTGTCAAGTGTTAGCAGGCAGGCGAGATCAAAATAGGGGAGCAACTACGTCTACGTACCATTCGAAATCAGCTCTCGTGCAAGTGCAGTTTTGAAGCTGGTAGAGGTGGTCAACTCTGCCGTCGTTGTAGCAGTTCCGGTCATCCTTCTTGCGCAGATACTTCGAAACATGTCCGAAAAGACAGTTGTCGGCCTGCAACGGGTGCTTCGGTGACCACGTGTAGTAGTCAGAGTCGCCATTCTCATCGTTCTTACAAGGACGGTCGGCCAAGCCAGTGAAGTCGACATTGACGGAAAACATTTCGCCATCGCCAGATTTGCACCAGATTAGGAAGTTTCGAGACGCGCCAGAACGAAGTGTGGTGATGTCCAAGACAGTGACTTCCTTCTCAGTAAAAGTGAAATCCTTCCAAGTTTTTCCCTCATCCAAAGTGTATGAAAGCATGTTCGTCTTAACAGGATGCTCACGGCTAGCGCGCTGAACAAGCACAACGATAGAGCCTTGGTCGCCGTATTGCCAAGTCCAAGCCCCCTTCTTCACATTCTGCCATGTGATACCGGCATCTGTTGTCATGAATGTGTCCGCGTCCTTGATGGCAGTCAGGCTCTCGCCAACATTGCCGTTGGCGAACATCAGCCCCACAGCGGTGGCTGCGGAAAATGTCTTCTTCTTGTCGGCTCTTTCAGTGTAGTGGTGCAGGTGAAGAGCACACTTCTCATCGCCTTCCCTACTGCTACACTTGTAGTTGTCGCCCTTGACGTCCTTTTGAGGCGGAGGCAAGAAAGTCCATTGTGCACCATCATTGTGCGAGATCTGGGTTTGAATCTTCTTCGGCTCGCTGTGCTTGCCACGGTTGGCCACAGTATTGATCAACGCCACACCCTCAAGACCTCCAATCTTTTCAAAGTCGACATAATAGTCGTCGTTACAGTTGACTCCGGGCGCACTCATGACGTATGATGTACCATTTGAGTTACTTTTGATGATGCTTCCATAGCGACGGCCCTCGGCAGTCTCTGTAGCCACGAAGAGGTTCACGGCATGTGTAGAACTGTCCAGGACGGTGTAGGCGTTTTGGCGGGAAACCTTGAAGTTGACAGGGAAGTGAGCCTGAGCGTAAGTCACACCGTCCAAACTAGCCAGAGCTTGAAGTCCATCCTTTGCCTTGTCTTCCGCAGCAACAACGATAAACTCGGCCATGGTGGCAAAGTCCTTGACATCTGACTGGTGATATTGCTTATCCTCGTCGAAAAAGTCCTTGCTAGAAACGATGACCTTCGGGTTGTCCTTTTCGTTGTCCTCGCGCTTGTTTGCCAAACAAACAATCTGACGCATGTCACGGAACTTGTAGGCCGAATTTCCTGTGAACTCGCACTTTGTGACATAACGCAGGGCTGTCTTCCAGTTATCGCCACGGTCCCTAGAAATGGACGCTTCCTTCCAGCATTGCTCCTTTCCGTCAACCTTCTCGCACTTCTTTCCAACCCAGATAAGCCAATCCTTCTTGTCAGGATGGAAAGACAACGGATTGCCTGATCCAGGTTCAGAAGGCGCGTCGAAGTGATGGAAGTGCTCAGCGTGGTCAATGGTATATATGACTTTCTTGGAGTCAGTTGTGAAGAAAACGGCATCCTTGAAATAGTAGTGTGGGTAGATGCCTCGAATATTCTCGTCCTCAAGTATCCTATCCCACGTCTTGCCATGGTCCTTGGTCCGCCAGATCCGCTTGTCGACACTCATAGAACCGTCACGACCGTATTCGACAGGTCGAACAATGATGGTTTCGTCGGCATCCTTGTTGGTTTCACCACGCTCTAGGTAAATCTTCTCGAAGTCATTCATCTTCGTCTCGAAGACGTGCTGGCTCGCCTTAACCTTGCCATCAGCAGGAACGCTCGGACGTGTAGTGGTGTCAGAACACTTTCGGTCTACGAGATCATCCTTCTGGGCGCCACTCTTACGCTTGCAAGTGTTTCCAGGAATCAGGCGCCAGCCAGAAGAGCCCTTGAAGGTGGTGTCGGGCTTGTCGTTCTTGCAAGCTCCATCAGGGGCAACGATTGGCCCTGCCTTGTCACATTTATCACCGTTCCTGATAAAGTTATAGTCACACTCGAAGTCGGCATCCGTGCATTCGCAGTCTTCGGTAACTGGGACCGGGTCTTTGAATTCCTGCTTGATAAAGCAGTCGGCCTTCTTCTTGCGGCGCCGATAGGTTTGCTTGTGGCCCATCAAGCACGTAGGCTTGCCATCATCATCGGGCCGGGCGTGCCAATCTTCCATATCGTCGTCTTTGCAGGTGCGCTCGTGCAGGCCCTCAAAGTCCAAGGCGATAAGATGAAAGTTGGGAGTGTCGCCGGCTCCAGTTCTTCCAACAAGCAGGAACTTGAGGCTTGTGGAATCTTGGGTTGTAGTGAGGAGCTCGGGCTTGATGCGGAGATCGTCCGGGAATGAAGTCTTCTTCCACGTCTCACCGTGGTCAAGCGAGTAGCTTACCTCACTTACATCTTCCTTGTTGGAATCCTTGACAGCGACCAGGACAGAACCCTGATCTCCAAATTCGTACTTATGAGGGCCGTCCAAGGCCTTCTTCCATGTCACACCAGCGTCGTCTGAAACGTAGAGGTCGCCTTCACCAAACTTCTTCAAAGACTTGCCAGTGTTTCCGATCCCGAGAACAAACCCAGGAGCGGGACTGGAAAAGACTCTACCCACGTTGTCAAGGTCCGTAACCGAGTGCAAGTGGATTTTGTCATCGCCTGCCTTCAAATCATGAAAATTCCGGCCGTCATCGAATGTGATCTTGGTCACAACTTCTTTTTCGGCCCTATGATTCTTTTCTACTTCCTCCCAGTTCTTCACAGTGTTGACAATAAAGATTCCCTGGACACCAGTGACCTTCTCGAAGTCAACGTGGCCTTTGCTGTTACGGTTCGTATGTTCAATATTCTCAATGAAGTAAGTGCCATTGGAGTTACTTGTGAACATGACACCCATGGGGTTGGAGGTTCCGGTGTTCACAACATCAACTTGAATGCTATAGTTGGTGCTTTCCAAGACAGTGTAGGCTTCTTGGTTAATCTTATGCCCATGCGCAGCGGGGAACATGGCGCGATGCCACTTGAGAGTGTCGTCGGTCACGAACAGGGCCATCTCATCCGTGTTCAGGGACGATGTTGCAACCATCAGATATTTCTTTACGACAGCCAAATTGATAACACCAGGCACGCCCTTGGTCGTATCCATGTTGGGCTCGAATTCCTGGACTTTGTTGTCGATCTTTTCAAAGTAGTTGTCAGAGATAAAAAGCCGCTGATCCGATTTGAGAGGCGAGAAGCTGTCTCGCGTGATGCACAGAATTCGCTGCTTATCAAGGTCGTCTTTGCCGGTGGTGAACATGGCTGATGACTTGGCCCACCAGCATCCTACAATGTTGGCTCGGAGGGGCTTCGCTTTGGTCTTGAAGTTGTCCGTCGTGTACATAGCCACTTCCTCGCAAAAGATGCCAGCGCACTCCATGCCACCAAAAATGACACGGTCGGGATCGCTGGCATGAAAATGAAGGATGTCCGCGCCTTGGAAGTAACTAGTGTCCACAACGCTGTCGAACTTTTCCCACGTCTTGCCTCTGTCGGTGGTTTTATAGTGTTCTTTGCCTTCTGTAATCACATATGCTCGATTCTTGTCGAATTCATGCATCGTGAACAGGGCCACCTTGTCGTCAGGAATGTCCTTGATCTTGTTCCATGTGACGCCCGCATCTTCTGTTCGGTAAATATTACGTTCGGAGACATCGTGGTAGAGTATGACGTCGGAGTCTTCGAAATAATTGAGATTAATGGGCGGGTGCTTCGTTGTGGTGACCTTAATCGTAGGTTCGTCCTTTGCATGGACAGCTGCTGTCCAGGTAAGGACAGACAGCAAGATGCGCCAGGAAGCTGCAGCCTTGCGCCCAACCCTCATGTTTGAATCTGTGTCCGGATCGTGGGGTTCATCAAAAGAACAAGGTGTCCCAATGGGAAAAAGAGTCGCTGAGCGGTAGGTTTCGCCCAAGATAGGGGAGTTTACGTAGAGCAGATGTCTTTCGGGCCAGCCCAGCAGTAATTGACATGTGTGGTGTCAAATCTGGTGATGGTTGGAAGGTCGTCGAAGTCAAAGAAGGTCCGGAGGAAACGTCAGCGTAGGAGGTATGTTTCGCACGCGAGTCGGGTGGCTAAACTTCAGCTCCAGCTCCACCCTAGCTTTGACGCCACACCAACGCATCAGAGGCATGCACGTTCCTAGTCAGGGAGGCCCCGGTGCGCTGCCGACAGCTGTCTCCTCCAGCCCCACAACCCCCGTACGGCGACTTTATATAGAACACGTCTGGATATCACCACTATGTAGTATAGCTGAGTGCAACACTTTCCATTCGCCGTTATTGATTGTGGGATCGAAAAAATTAATGTCGTTATTTTTTTAAAAACGACATACTCTTCTCTTGGAACATTTAACTAAAGCCAGCGCTCTGAGCCCACCCAAATTCCCCTCCAACCCGTAGAGCTAAGCCCAGCACAATTAAGACGCGTCAGCAGGCATACACTTGCGTGTTTTCAGCTTTTGACTTGATAGCAAGTATCAAATACGTAGCGAGAGACGAAATGCAACATTACCACAGGTGGAATTCAATAAGAAGTCCGGAACGCAACCTCGGATCAAGGTCGGTGCGGCCTACCGTGCGTTCCTCACACTGTCTCAGGGAGACTAGACATGGCCGTTCTCGTAATGCAACGCTGTGGTAACAGCAGATAGTGTTTCCTGCCTCGCCCTCGCTGGCTTTAGTTTGTCCTTCACCTGACACCATGTTCGGCTTACAATCAGCTATACAGTTGTTTCCAACTCATATCAGTTCATCAATAGATATAAATGGCGGCCAGAAACGGTGCAATTGTTCATCAAAGCGGGGCAAAAACTCAAAAGAAACTACCTGCTCAGTCACAGGTGGATGGGTGTTTACAACGAATACAATTACCTCATGCTTCAGAGAGTCATCTTGCTCTTCTTGAAAACTTGGGTACTTCTACATGATCTGAAAATATTATGAAATTTCGAGTTTGACTGGGGTTTGCCACGTCTAAATGCTGCCTAGCAAGTTTTGTCATGAAAGAATTTCGTCACGCTCAAAAGTATGCACTATTCTATGAGTCCCCATGGCGTTTTGTATTGAAGACATCCCGAAAAAAACGGCACGTTCCATTACATACCCCCATATTCGATAGGGCTGGTCCTTCATAAACAAAAATGTACGTAAATTAGGGCAGAGGAATTCCGAAGAGATATATTGGACCACCCCATGAATATGGTTATGGTAGCTTGTAGCAGCACAGCCACCTGCATCTGTTCAGTTGTCCACCGAGGGCATTTGGGAATGAAGTATAGTGATGCACTAGACCAAGGCTCACCCACACTCGATTAAATGCCCAAAGCACATCGTCCGAATTAGTCCCGGTGGACCCTTGTGCTGTCGGGAACTCCACTTCCCAGGGTGGTTTTCCGAATTAGCCCATGGTTCCAACCGGGGGATCTGTTCCAATTTCCCCGACCTAACACCCGAACGGGGATCCGGCTGAGACGAGGTCATCCGGATCGGCACAATGCTCCGCAGCTCTGAAGTTCCGTTGATAACACCTAAGACAGGTCGCTTGAGTTCGCTTGGTCGGAATGTCCAACGTTTCCTGTTGCAACACTACAAACGTCTGCAAGACACCAAAACATCCCCAAACCCCTCGCAGCCTGTCTGACCCCTCTGTTAATTGGCACTCAAGGATGCCACAAACGACGAAAGGACTTTGCATAGTCAGACTCGGTGACAAAGATGGCGGAACCCCAAGTTGCATTATGTACAGCGATATTAAAAGGAAGGGAATCTGCCTTTGATCAGATCGTGTGTGGTTGCATTAAACTTCTGGTGCCGTCAATTCCAGGTTATGGCCTCTATCTGTGCACATCGCATGCTTCGATGAGTCTTCCAAGTGTACAACTCCAAACTGAACCCGTCGCGCCTTTGACTTTGTTCGTCTTTTCGAGTAGCACTAATGCTAGAACTGATGGTTTCCAGGTCACAAGTGTGGTAGCTTGCCAGAGTCGAAAGCGCATCTAAAGTCAGCATGAATAGGCGGCACAGCACCCTGTAACCTGGCAATAACCACGGTGATATGTTCCTTAACCACCATGCCGGCAAGCAACTGCCCTGTACGACTGGAGAAGGTCCGTTCACCTGCCGTTTGTGTTTCTTGGCGATGCAATGGGTTGAGTACACACGGTATGCTCGACCTTCTGAACCCATGAAGGATGCAAGGCAGACAAGGCCATGTCGACCAAAATTGCACGAAGAAACTACAAACTGGTGCTGTAGCATCTGTCGCATTCGTGTAACTGACTTGATTTTCAGTGAAGATCCACAAGTCGCAATCTGAGATGCCATCAAGCGTCCTTCGCTTCATCCTCGGGTGCGGGACCTCCATCGGCCCCTGCCTTTGTCTTGGGCTCACCCTCAGCATCAAAACCCAGGGCATCCAGCTCGCGAATGAGTTCGTTGATCTTGATGACCTTGGCAATCTGCTCCGGTAAAAGCGTCTCTCCGCCCTCTTTCTTGTTCTTAAGATCCTTGGCTTGTTTGAGCTTTTTCTTCAGGTTTCGTGCTTTCTTCTCTTTCTCCACCTCAGGATCAACCTCCTCAGCTTTGGGTGCTTGTCCCTCGGCCTTTTTGGTGTCCTCTTCTTCGGCTTCATTGCCAGTCTTAGCCTTCTTCCTTGCTTCTCGGCGCTTCGCATTCTTATTGCTCGCGGTAGACGGAGGAGCCTCAGGCTTCTCCTCTTTCAACCCGGTTGCACCAGGAATACCCGTCCTCGTTGCGCGGTCCCGAAAAGCTGCAGCCGTACGGTTCTTGTAGACTTCAACATCCTCAGGCGGGCGGTACCCTGGACGAATCTTGATCGCTTTGCGGGTACTACCGTCGGCTCGTTTGGACTCCGGGATATGGCGTTCGCCTCCCTCCTCGGTGACTATGCCCGAGTTAGAGGGCTTCGTGGGTTCAGAGGGCATCGTGTCGGCGTTGAATAGACCGATAAATGAGACTGTCACTCGGAACGGTTACCGATGCGTGGCTGGCAATGCTTCGACCCAGCCGGTCTCGCTGCTACAGACGACTAAACGCGGTTGATCTTTATCGAGAAGCGGTTGGGAGCGGCAGGTGACGGCCTGAGCTTGGTTGGAAAGGCAATGGGCAGTCGGCGCACGATGGTACCTACTTGCCAAAACGGGCCATGTAGCTGCAGTTTTCAGAGCTAATTGGTGATCGCTGGGCACAGGCAACCCCGAGATCGAGGGTGATCCGGCTGATGTGAGTAGACAGAGGCTAACAAGTTACGTAGTCAGACGGAGGTCCTGTTTCGTTTGGGCAAAAAGAAAGTGGGAGTCGAGGTCGAAACAACCCCTCCTCGTGCATCACGCACAGACCATTCTGGGGTCTGGACCTTGTTGGAGAATCAGGATATATGATTGGCCAGAATGATTTCAATCCAATCCAGCGGATCCAGGAACACTGGACGAAACAATACGTACCGCTATTACATTTCTCATGACAGCAGGCACACACATACACAAACACACACTGAAGTCTTGTTCCCCGGAAAGTAAGTCGGGTCAGTATGACGCCACGTGTGTCACGGTTTGGCTGGTCAGACCTGCATCTTCGTACCAAGCCCTGTATCCCTCAATAGTGTCCTAATTTGACGAGGCCGCAATAATAATCCCTGCTCTTGGGCTGCCAGGTTTTCCCACCTGATTGTTCCACCGCGATGTGCTTCCCAGTGTATAACGCGCTTCGGCTATTTGTGACATTCGGCAAGGTAGTGTATGGACAAGAATTCAGCATCCCATTCCGTCTCGGCCTAGCGAGGTAGAATCCTGAACCCCCATATTTTAACCTGATAATCCATGCAGATATACTCGTTCAACTTGAGCTGCTGTTTTGTTTAAACAACATTAGATACAGCCAGTACATACAAGATGACACATCGGTCACCTCATCTTCCCTTGGAGCGCCCGGTTGCTGGCAAGCCTCTCACCGACACGTATACACACCAGAACAAATGGGAGGTGTCTCGTCGGACGGCATGACGCAGAGAGCCCATCAGCTGCATGAGGGTGGCACAACCCGCACCCATCACGTCTTGTCAAAAAAAAGCGAACGCGGGCTGCCTCAAACTTAAGACTTAATACTAATTAGAACCCATCTTCCGAGGTAGCGTTTCCAGTGTTCAGACGGTTTATGGCCTCATAGGCAAAGATGGGATTAAAGGCAGGTACCTTATTGAATGTCGTCATCGTCAATGGCAAGCAATGGTTCTTCGAAGGAGCATGGCCAAAAAGACAAGCTTCGTTCCGTTACAATCAAGCTTTGCCAGGCACAGTCCGCGTTTGCCAAGACCTGGGCGACAGGGTGGTCTCACCCTCATCAAATCAACCAGACTTCTCGCGGGGCAAACAGCAATCTCACTGTTTGGACGAATGTCATAGCCCTGCACGCTCGATCTTAGCACTGACCCCAGAAGCCTGATTCTGTGGCTTGCTTTGTGCAATAAACAACACATGCCTTCGTCATTCCTTGTTTGACGAGTGGTGTAGCTTGCAATAAGTAGGTTATCATGTGCCGCCGAGGACCGCAGCATACATTATGCAAGGCAAGCAGGAGGTGTCGGGGACCTTCTTGCGGCCGGAGTAAATGGAAATTGGCTTCCCTCGATTGATGCTGCTTACTAGGGCAAGGGTGGCTCGCGAGATGCAGACTAACCAGGCAGCTTGATTTCTCCTCTATGAAAGGGACGGCTGCCTCTTCCTCGTGTTTACTTCCTTTTCTCATTGTCTCCCTTACATCCCCCGATTCAGGCACCGTAACCCACTAGCATTGGGGCTACTGGCTCATCATCAACTATCGTTGTAATTCATATTATTGTAATAACCCCCGAAGAAAGGAAGTGAAGCGCTTGGATTCTATATATTTCACTTGTCATATGTTATCTGCACTACGCCTCTACACCTCGATTCAACAACGTCTCTACTTCCTTTCGCTTGGCTGCCGGTGTTCCTTCTTTCAACTTGGGGAACTTTCCATTAGGCACACCACCGGGCCCCTCAGCTATCCGGTATGAGAAAGCGAAACCAATAGGCTTGGGCACTTTGATTTGATCAACCGATCGACCTACTTGTCACCGCAGATAATATATAATCGTTATCATTACCATGGAGAAAACCAACAGCCAGGATGCTGAGAAAGGCGTCAGCGTCGCTGATCGGATTAGCCAGAAGAACGAGAACCAGTCGCCAGATATGGACTCTGAGAAAATCAAGGATCTCCACGCTCCTCGCGATTTCACGTTAGGCACAGCTGATGCTCTTACTCCGGATCCCGGCACAGAAGATATGTTCAACGCTAAGAATGACAAATTTGCCTTCTCGCCAGGCCAGCTCTCCAAGCTACTTAACCCCAAGAGCCACAATGCATTCTACGCGCTAGGCGGCCTGGCCGGCCTAGAAAAGGGCCTCCGAACCAATAGGAAGACCGGTCTCAGCATTGACGAGGACTCTCTAGATGGCACTATGTCATTCGAAGAAGCTGCTCTCAAAGGCGTGCCCAAGTATGGCGCCGCTGGCAACAGTGTGCCCCAGCGAGATCGCAATACAAAAAATGACGTTTATATCCCACCGCCTCCGGCTCAGTACACTGGCGGCTTTGCAGACCGAAAACATGCATTCAGAGACAATCGGCTCCCTGACAAAAAGCAAAAGTCATTCTTGCAGTTGGTCTGGATCACTTACAATGACAAAGTCTTGATTCTCCTGTCGGTCGCTGCTGTCGTCTCCCTCGCCCTAGGCCTATATGAGGCTATTGGCCAAGAGCATAGGCCGGGTGAGCCCAGGGTTGAGTGGGTAGAGGGTGTGGCCATCATGGTTGCTATCCTGATCGTTGTCTTGGTTGGATCAATCAACGACTGGAAGATGCAGCGCCAATTCAACACACTGGACAAGAAGAACAGCGATCGGACAGTCAAAGTAATTCGGTCTGGAAAATCTGTCGAGATTCCTATCTCCGATATTGTTGTCGGGGATGTAATGCACCTATACACCGGTGATATGGTACCAGTGGATGGCATTTTCATTAATGGCCACAGTGTCAAGTGTGATGAGTCCTCGGCAACTGGAGAGTCTGACCTGTTGAAGAAGGTCCCAGCTGATGAAGTCTTTGAGGCACTCGATAATATGGCAAATAACGGTGCTGATCGACCTGACGTCGAGAAACTGGACCCTTTTATCATTTCGGGTAGCAAGATTCAGGAGGGCACTGGTACCTTCTTGGTGACAGCCGTGGGCGTCAACTCTTCTTATGGCCGCATTACCATGTCTTTGAGAACCGAACAGGAGGACACGCCGTTACAGAGAAAGCTCAACATTCTCGCTGATTTCATCGCAAAAGTTGGCTTTGCCGCTGCTCTACTACTGTTCGTCATTCTTTTCATCAGATTCTTAGTCAACCTCAAGGGTAGCGATGCTAGCCCAGCACAAAAAGGCCAGCAGTTCCTAAAGCTCTTCATTGTTTCCGTCACTGTGGTCGTGGTGGCAGTGCCGGAGGGTCTTCCCCTAGCTGTAACATTGGCTTTGGCATTTGCGACTACACGCATGATGAAAGACAACAACCTTGTCCGCATTTTGAAGGCTTGTGAGACAATGGGGAATGCAACGACTGTCTGTTCTGACAAAACCGGTACTCTGACACAGAACAAGATGACGGTAGTTGCAACAACTTTGGGGAAAAGTATAAGCTTTGGCGGTACAGATGCCCCTCTTGAGGAACCAAAGGACGAGAAGCCCAAGAATAGTACGTCCCCTTCCGACGAAACCCCTGTCAACACAATTCGAAACATCCCCGTCAATGAGTTTGCCGGTGAACTTAGCTCGGAAACGAAGCAACTCTTGATTCAAGGTAACGCCGTCAACTCGACAGCTTTTGAAGGCGACCAAGAAGGGGAGAAAACTTTTATCGGATCCAAGACTGAAGTCGCATTGCTCACTTTCTGCCGAGATCACCTGGGAGCAGGACCAGTTGAAGAAGAGCGTACGAATGCGAACGTCGTCCAGGTCGTACCATTTGACTCTGCAGTTAAATATATGGCCACCGTCGTCAAACTTCCTAGTGGAAAGTACAGAGCTTATGTCAAGGGGGCTTCAGAGATTTTGCTGAGCAAATGTACTAAGGTGATGGACGGCGTGGGCGATGCAAACCTCAATGTCGTGGATCTTACTTCAGAAGACCGCAAGATATTTTCTCAGATCATAACATCTTATGCCGGTCAGACATTGCGAACGATTGGCTCTTCATTCCGCGACTTCGAGTCATGGCCACCAAAAGATGCCATTTCAAACGACGACCCAAGAGCAGCAGACTTTAACAAGATCCACGAAGACATGACGTTGACTGCGATTTATGGTATCAAAGACCCGTTGCGACCCACTGTTATCGACGCCATCAAAGACTGCAACCGCGCAGGCGTTGTAGTTCGTATGGTAACGGGCGACAATATCTTGACCGCAAGAGCCATTGCTAAAGAATGCGGCATATATCACCCAGAGGAAGGTGGCATCGCCATGGAAGGCCCAGACTTCCGACGAAAGTCAGAAGAGGAACTGAAGGAGCTCGTTCCTCGGCTCCAAGTTCTCGCCCGGTCGAGTCCTGAAGATAAGAGGATCCTGGTACGAATTCTCAAAGACCTTGGCGAGACGGTTGCTGTTACCGGAGATGGTACCAACGACGCACCTGCCCTCAAACTGGCAGATATCGGATTTTCTATGGGTATTGCTGGAACAGAAGTCGCAAAGGAGGCATCGGCTATCATTCTCATGGATGATAACTTTGCTTCTATTGTCAAAGGTATTATGTGGGGAAGGGCTGTCAATGATTCTGTAAAGAAGTTTCTGCAGGTATGTGTAACACCTTGGAGTTGGCTTACTGTTACTACAGCTGCTAATTGTTATTAGTTCCAATTGACCGTCAACGTCACTGCTGTTATTCTCACATTTATAACAGCAGTAGCAAGCCCAAGCCAGGAATCCGTACTCAACGCCGTTCAGTTGCTTTGGGTCAACCTAATCATGGATACATTCGCTGCCCTTGCACTAGCTACAGACCCGCCAACTCGCAGTGTGTTAGACAGAAAGCCAGATCGCAAGTCTGCCTCTCTCATCACTTTAAGAATGGCCAAAATGATCATCGGTCAGGCCATTGTCCAACTCGTAATCACTCTTGTCTTGAACTTTGCAGGGCATAGCATGCTCGGATATAGCGAAAAGCGACTGAATACTCTGGTTTTCAACACCTTCGTGTGGCTGCAAATTTTCAATGAACTGAAGTATGTTTTGCGAATGAAAACTCAAATGCATGCTAACTGATTGTAGCAACCGCCGGCTGGACAATAAGCTGAATATTTTTGAGAACATCACCAAGAACTACTTCTTCATCGCCATCAACCTGATCATGATCGGTGGGCAAGTGCTTATCATCTTTGTCGGCGGAGCTGCGTTCGATATCGAGAGGCTGGGAGGTAAGGACTGGGGTCTTTCCGTTGGCATTGGAGCGATCTCTTTACCCATGGGTGCCTTGATTCGTCTGTTCCCCGACGCTTGGCTTGGAGCATGCCTGCCCTGGTTCATTCGTAAGAAATGGGCACCAGATACTATCTCCGAGAAGCGATTGGAAGAGCACCAAAAGTTCGTGGATGGTAGTGAACCACCTCTACGAACACTCACTGGTCTTCGTGGAAACAGAGCACAGACACATATTCCTTTCCGCCAGAAAATGCACGATGCTAAAGTCAAGGCCAAGAAGAAGACCCATTTAGCAGGGTCGCAAGATAAATAAGTCGCGCCAATCAAGGATATTGAGGAGGTGTGGCTTAGAGAGAAACAAATAAATAGCTTAATAGTTCATGAATATTTGCACAAAAAAAAAACGTTCTAAGGGGAATGGAAACGTGCCTTTCTTTGGTCGCTGTAGTTTCTGACACCAAATTGTACATGTATATCAAGCAATCCAGTATCACCAGTATTGCGATAAGTGGCTGAAGCAAAATGAGGCTGGAGTGGATGTGGCTGTGTGTAGTCATCGGACAACCATTGGTTGATAGAGATGTGGACTTGTCAACCAATTAGAAGTCAGTCAATTTGGCAAAGCTGGTGCTCCCGGAACATCGCGAATTTCGTCAGGAACCTCTCCAAAACCATCCGATTCACTTCCCTAAGATCATCGCCTTGCCGACCGCATCGAAGCACCCTCGTAGCCCCACACGAAGTGCGATTTGACAGACGATATTCAAAATGGTAAATACAATGCACTCGCAATACCCCTCATATGACTGCAATTGACTAATCGCTCATGTTTCTTCGTAGGCCGCCGCACGACCTTTCTACACGCAAGTTCTCCCCCTCCGACCACACTCCAGTCCTCGATCGTAGACCAGCAATATGCCCATACTCTTTTTGCTGACATTCCTCAATATAGCGCCATCTTCAAGAACAACTTCTCCATGCTTGGCTTCGTCTTCGCGACGGGCTTTGCATTCGAGCTGTAAGATACCCAGTCCCAGAGATGACACGAGCCCCGATGACGACGGCGATTGCGGTGGAAGATCAAAGGACTCATGCGAGTCGCAAGCCGGGCGAAGTCATGGCAGTGTCCAGTATATATGGAGGAATGAGTTGGCTGACGTTTTTGGCGCATTCTAGTGGCTTCAACGGTGCGATGAACAAGTACTGGGACTACCTTAACCGCGGCGTAAGGAAACCTCATGATACGAAGACGGTCGAATACTGACAAAACCTGTAACAGCGCCAATGGAAGGACATCCGCCACAAGTACATCGAGGCCGCCGACGACGAGGAATAGACGAGACGAACCTGTGATGCTGTGTGATGGGCCACTCGGAGCCTTGGGCTTGGCGAGGCTCGGGTAGAAGGATGGATTGTACCGATAGACGGAGAGGCGTGTAGAACATCAAACTACCTTTCTGCTTATTATCTTACATTGAGGTTCCTAGTTATGTGAAGCTTGGGGCAATCATGGTCAAGCATTGGTATGTCGGTTGAGAATTGTCGTGGTTTGGCACAGAGTGTTGCAGAGCCCGACTATAATATCATTCGTAAATAATTCTACGGTAGTAGCGGCGGTGGCCGTGCCCTATCCATTTCAAATGTTTCGTTGCTCTACTGGACTTGTGAACATCACAACTTCGCATTTCGATTGTGCGTTGTCCAATCTTTGTTGCAACTTCAGACATACACGTCAAAAAGGGTCATTGAAGCATGGGTCGTCATTTGGGTTTGACAGGTTTATTACGGTCTACGGGCTTGCTATAGTGTCCTAGTCCATATGCAGGTGATGCATTTAAGGGAGGGCGATAGCCTCAAGCTCGACGTCAACGTTCTTGGGGAGGGTCTTAACAGCAACGCAGCTGCGAGCAGGCTTGTGGGTGAACCACTTCTCGTACTCGCCGTTCATCTCCTTCATGATATATTAGAAAATTAGGCAAGTTATGAAATGAGGGCGGTTGTAACTCACGGCAAAGTCGCCCATGTCGGCGAGGAAGATGTTGACCTTGACAACCTTCTCAATGGAGGAGCCGGCCTCAACAAGGACGGCCTTGAGGTTGGTGATGCACTGCTTGGTCTTCTCGGCAATGGTGCCCTCAACCAGAACGCCCTCGGGGTTGAGGGGGATCTGGCCGGAGCAGTAGATGGCAGTGGGGGTCTTAATGGCCTGGGACTAAAATGAAGGGTCAGCACTGCATACTGTTTGCGTCAACAAGGTGCTCATACGTAAGGGCCGACGGCTACAGAATGAGTTCGGTTAGCAATTGACTCAATGTGAAGGGCATCCGCACCAGTGAGATCAGAGAAGGAGACTTACGAGCCGGAGCGTTCTTGGTGAAGACAATGGACTGGTCAGACATCTTGATGGATTGAATGCTAAAGGGCTGGACCTGACGACTGGCAAAGATACGAGTGGAAGGACGGAGAGCACGGGATGATACTCTGGTGAAGGATCTGAGGAACGAGGAGGACATGAGATGCGGTGGAAAGCAGAGGAAGGAGGGGCAAGTTGTCGTGTGGTTCAATTGGGACAGCTGGTGAGGATTAAGTTCGGACTTCCCACGCAGGTCGGTCCAACCCCGCCGTGCTCCCTCCGTTCTTCGGCGTTGGGACCCGGGCGGGTAGCAGCGGGGTCAGCTGTTGCCCGCCGTCGGCGCAGTAAGGTCAGGGCTATACTGACAACAAGTTTAGCGCTGTTACGTACAAGACTGTCAAATGCGCCTTGTCAACTTGTCAGACAATAACTTCCAGAAAATAAAAGGCCCTTTTTTGCTTGTCTTCTGTTGCCCACTAATAAGGTCAATTGCGCCTCATGGGGCTCAATTGACTTGCGCATTATTCAACAAAGTCCCTACTGTTGCTCCTATATAGGTTTCTGACGCATGCCAACTTTGGTGCGGCACAGGTTGCGCGCGTCCGACGTGTCTGTCTGTTGTACTGCACGTTATAGGACTCTAGACCATCAAGGGATCCTTATCTTATCACAGCAACCCCATTATACCGGGAATGTGGGAAGACGGACTGAAGCTCGCCCCAAGATAGAGAGCACTCAGAAATTGTTAGTGTACCGGTACCTCAGCTCCATCGGACGAGGGGCCAGGCAGCTCTACTTTGGCCAAGTGTCCAGTCCAGCAGCGGGCCAAAAAGTGATTGACCCCTGCCAAAAATTTGTCTCAAGCCGTCCTGTCTTCGGGAAGGTTCATTATCGCTTCTGCACTTGGCAAGGGGTGTTTTCTATTAATTTTCTGCTCAAACGTACCCAGCAAGGCGATCAACCTTCCTTGTTGTTCATCACCACCATCTTCTTCTTCGTGAGACCAAATTCGTTGTCTCTTCTGTTCATCCCTTCGTAACTTCTTCAGTCACTCCTTACAAGCTTTTTTTACTTGCCTCTGTTTCTTTACCCTTCCATAGCTTCAATCATCGTGACGTGAGAGGGCTGACGCACTCCACTTTTCCATAGCGTGTAAGTTAGCTACAAGCCCCTGAATTGCTCCCTTGGAACAGCAATCACAGTACAGCTCCAGAGGTGCGATACGTACCATTGGTCGATCAGTTGGAGCTACCTGTCCTTCTTCGATGTGACCTTTCTGGGAACCACACTTTTTTGCTTTTCAGCTCTCACCACATCCTCAAATCCCGAGGCTTGAACTGACAAAGTCTTGAGCAGCTTCTTCACTTCTTCTGTCCCGATTCCCACCATGGCGTCGACGACCGCCACCCCGCAGGGCAGCGTTCGCCAGCGCAACACGGGTTCTAAGAAGGGAGCCACTCCCGGCGCCGCTGCTGACGATATTGCCAACGCTTTGAACACTGCCGCCGCAAAGAACAAGCGCTCCGGCACAGAGAACGGCCACACAGTCGGACTTCTTGTTACCACCATTCTTGCATTTGTCACCCGTTTCTGGGGTATCAGTCATCCCAATGAGGTTGTCTTCGACGAAGTTCACTTTGGCAAGGTATGCCAGCAGTTCCTCGAGAACTTAGCTCTCAAGCATCTCCGATATGATAGCTGACATATTTTGCTTTCTCCTACAGTTCGCTTCCTACTATCTCGAGAGAACCTACTTCTTCGATGTTCACCCCCCGTTCGGAAAACTCCTCTTCGCCTTTATGGGATGGCTTGTAGGATACGATGGGCATTTCCACTTCGAGAACATTGGCGATTCGTACATTGCGAACAAGGTTCCCTATGTCGCCTTCCGAGCTCTGCCCGCTATTCTCGGCGCCTTGACCGTCACCGTCACTTACCTGATCATGTGGGAATCCGGTTACAGCCTGCCTGCCTGCATTCTTGCTGCTGGCCTTGTACTTCTCGACAACGCCCATATTGGCCAGACCCGTTTGATTCTCTTGGATGCGACGTTGGTCTTCTGCATGGCCTGCAGTTTGCTCTGCTACATTAAGTTCTACAAGCTGCGCCACGAGCCTTTCTCTCGCAAGTGGTGGAAATGGCTTATCCTCACTGGATTCGCTCTGTCGGCTGACATGTCCACCAAGTACGTCGGTCTCTTCGCTTTTGTCACCATCGGCTCGGCCGTGATTATCGACCTCTGGGCCCTGTTGGACATTAAGCGACCTGGCGGTGCTCTGTCTCTCCCTGAGTTTGGCAAGCACTTTGCTGCCCGTGCGTTCGGTCTCATTCTCATGCCTTTCCTCTTTTACCTCTTCTGGTTCCAGGTTCACTTTGCCATCCTGACTCGCTCTGGCCCTGGTGATGACTTCATGACCCCCGAATTCCAGGAGACTCTTAGCGACAACGTCATGTTGGCCAACTCCCTGCCTATTGAGTACTACGACACCATCACCCTTCGTCACAAGGAGACCAAGACCTATCTCCACAGCCACGAGGACCGATACCCCCTTCGATATGACGATGGTCGTGTTTCTAGCCAGGGTCAGCAGGTCACTGGTTACCCTTACAATGACACCAACAACTACTGGCAGATTATCCCCCTTGTCGACGATCAGCAGACAGGCAAGATCGTCAGAAACCAGGATGTTGTCCGCCTTAGGCACTTGGGCACTGATACCATGCTGCTCTCGCACGACGTTGCCTCTCCTTACTACCCGACCAACCAGGAGTTTACCACGGTTCCCTTGGCCGAGGCCTATGGTGAACGTCTTAATGACACTCTCTTCGAGATTAGAGTTGAGAACGCCAAGCCGGGCCAGGAGTTCAGGAGTATTTCGAGCCACTTCAAGTTGATTCACAACCCCAGCAAGGTTGCCATGTGGACTCACACCACTCCTCTTCCCGAGTGGGGACACAAGCAGCAGGAAATCAACGGCAACAAGCAGCTAGCCCCCAGCTCCAACATTTGGTTTGTCGAGGATCTTCCGTCTGTTCCCTTGGATTCCAAGAGACGCGAGAAGCCAGAGAAGGAGGTTAAGACCCTGCCTTTCTTCCGCAAGTGGTTCGAGCTTCAGCGATCCATGTTCTGGCACAACAACCAGTTGACTAGCAGCCATCCGTACGCCAGTCAGCCCTGGCAATGGCCTTTCTTGCTCCGTGGTGTCAGTTTCTGGACCCAGAACGACACTCGTCAGCAGATCTACTTCCTCGGTAACCCTGTTGGCTGGTGGCTTGCGAGCAGTCTGTTGGCTGTCTTCGCCGGTATCATCGGCGCTGACCAGGTCTCTCTTAGACGGGGTATCGACGCTCTGGACCACCGTGAGTATAATTGAATCCCTCGGCGTCGAGAATCTAAACTAATAATTGACAGGCACCCGTTCGCGTTTGTATAACTCTACCGGCTTCTTCTTCCTTGCCTGGGCCACTCACTACTTCCCCTTCTACCTGATGGGCCGTCAACTCTTCTTACACCACTACCTTCCGGCGCACTTGGCCTCTTGTCTGGTCGCCGGTGCTCTTTTGGAGTTTATCTTTACCGCCGAGCCGGCTCCTGAGGAAGGCTACCAGACCATCAAGGGCAACAAGAAGGGTGATGGACCCAAGAGGCATATCAGCGCCCGCGAGCGTTTCGCTGGCCAGAGTCTTTTCCCCGCTTGGATTGCCTGTGGTGTCATTTTGGCCGTTGCCGTCGCTGGCTGGTACTTCTTCCTGCCGCTGACTTACGGTTACCCCGGTCTCAGCGTCGAGCAAGTCGTTCGCCGCAAGTGGCTCGGTTACGATCTGCACTTCGCCAAATAAGCGGCGCGAGTTTCGGTCAAGGTCACACAGAAGACACAAAATTAGACGAAGTTGCTCCAAAAGTCGGATTGACTCTCACTTCAGCGACCAGAATAACAGGTCACGGAAATACAGCAACAAGCCGACTAAGGCAGATGGTTTGGCTGTAAATGTAAGATGAGATGATGAACAAATGGGACGCTTTGGGGTGTATAACTACTTTTCTTGCGTTGATGACTAGCTTAAGAATGGCTTTTCCTAAAGTCCAGCTTCATGACATTGTGCGTGTGTGAAATGACAACATGGACTGAGTGACATTAATGTAATTGAGGCTGATGGGCTCATGTAACCTCGGCGACCCACTGGAGACGGGGATGACGGGGAAGAGCTCGTCTCCACCAGCCAATCACCTCTCGTGTCGTTTTCTCCAGGCTGCCACATTGCGCCCGGTTCAGCCCTGCTAGCCAATGACATCAGTCCCCCAAACCACTACTAATGGACCCTTTGACAACCTTGGCGAAGCTCTGCTTCTGGACAGCTTAGTCGTTTTGGACAGTTCAGGAGGGGAGGAAGAACAGAAAGTGCCATGCAAATGAGCCATTCGGGCGCCCCAATGGAGTTTCATGTTCATTCTCTTTCATTCTTTGATACTTACTTACTCTAAGGTCGGGGTCGATCGCAGGGATACATTGACTATCTCAGCAACGCGAACGACCGGAGCGAAATCCTGAAGACCATGGGCTTTCTCAACGGCCTCCGCCTGAGCGCCCGCCGTCTCGTTCGCACACGTGCTTTTCGCAACCTCATCCTCATCTTCGCCGTTTATACCTTTCTCGATGCCCTCCGCATCCAGCGCATTGTCACGAACGCGCCGCGGCACGACCCGAAGCGGCCCAGAAAGCTCGAGAAAGTATATATAGCGGGTATGCACTACAACAGTGCGGGTCTGATCAAGAATCACTGGAACAAGGCCGTTCTGGACCTAGTCGATGCCCTAGGCAGGGAAAATGTATTTGTCAGTGTCTATGAGAGCGGCAGCTGGGATGACAGCAAGAAATGGCTCGCCGAACTCGACGACGAGCTGTGGAAGAGAGGAGTAAGGAGGAATGTAGTCCTCGACGAGAGGACGCACCAGCAAGAGGTCGAGGAGGTGCCGGCAGAAGGGGAAGAGAGGGAGGGGTGGATAGTTACGCCGAGAGGCAAGAAAGAGATGAGGAGGATTCCTTTTTTGGCCAAGTTGAGAAACTTGACGCTGAAGGACCTTTGGGCGTTGAGCGAGAAGGGGGAGTCTTTTGATAAGATTTTGTTTTTGAACGATGTCGTTTTCACGGTAAGTCATGATCTTCTGTCTGAGAAGAGACGGGGTGGGCTGACTGTAAGATATGCAGACGGAAGACGTCCTCGCTCTCCTCGACACGAACCGCGGACTGTACGCCGCTGCGTGCTCGCTCGACTTTTCCCAGCCGCCATACTATTACGATACCTTTGCGCTGAGGGACACGGCGGGCCAGGCGCATCTGATGCAGACATGGCCCTACTTCCGATCCCAGGCGAGCCGGGACGCGCTGATGGCGTATTCCGACGCTGTTCCGGTCCGGAGCTGCTGGAACGGGATCGTGGCCATGCCCGCTGCGCCTTTCCTCGCCCCGGAGTCGAAACGGTTGAAATTCCGGGCGGCGCCAGATTCGCTGGCGGAGAAGAAACACCTGGAGGCTAGCGAGTGCTGTCTGATTCACATCGATAACCCCCTCAGCGAGCCGTTGGGCGTATTTCTGAATCCGAGAGTCAGGGTGGCATATGATGGTGCTGCGTATGAGGCGACGCACCCTGCTGATCCTAGTGACAGTTGGTTGTCAGTGTGGAGGATTGTGGTGGGTGTTTGGGAGAGTAGGCTTCGCAGGTGGTTTTCGACAGATGGTGTGAAGGAGTGGGTAGTGAAGAAGAGGGTAGGGGATTGGGAAGCGATGGAAAGGGGGAATGTCGAGAAAGGGGTGGAATGTTTGATCAATGAAGGACAGGTGCTTGTGTATAACGGTTGGGCACATGTGTAGGGACGAAAAGAGATACCCAGAGTATATGATATAGATCACGAAAAGAAGGCTTGCTTCTTAATTGATGTTCATATAAACTACCTAGTATTGTAAACGCCTTGCCCTGCTGCCCTTCCATGATGTCCCCTTAACTCCTACCTGTCTAAATCATTTAACCGTGTAACATGCCGCCCAAATTCACCCCCCAGGATTTACCCCCCTTGAAAGAAACCTGATGCTTAGTTGTTTCTTCAACAAAGCGGTGCAGCGCGGGGTTTTCGAGTGTTTCTGGGCTACAGTCGAGCGGCGCCAGCCCGATATCCTTGAAGAAGCGTTGCAATTTGGGGTCCATCATGGTATCCGCATTGACCAGAATGCAACCGTCATCGTCACACGCTCGAAAGCTTCCAGTTGATCTCGCAAGCTTAGGTCTTTGACTCGCTGTGGTTGCAAGAGCGGCTTTTTCGGGGGCATAATTGGTAGAGGTCACAACACTGCTGCCAATGCCCAGGAAGAATGTTTCGAGCTCTTTCAGTCTTGACTCCGTCATCTGCGTGCCCTCTCGCCACACGTCTTGAATCTCCTCAGCGCTCCTGCAGCTTGATAAGAGAATCATGTTCGGGGAGCATGTTTCACTGTTGCCTTCCTCATTTCGTTCCTCATTGCCAACTTCTGGGAGCTGGTCGACGTTCACGCACCACCGTAGCCCGCTCGGCTGCCCAACAGCCCTGCTCTTCTTACCTGCCTTGTCAGATGGTCGCTCTCCCGGCTCGGAAAGGAGCTCAAGCAGCGCACCCTCTTCGTCAAGAAGGTTACACTCCCTCGCGATACCCAGCGCCCCAGACTCTGCTGCTTCAAGTAACCTCCCTGCGAGTCCCTGGCTAATGACTTTGGGGAGATCAGGCATGGAAACCACATCGACCAGCGGAAAACCTAACCTGTCGAGGTGGTGAGCTTGCGTTGCTGTAAGACACCCTTTTAGCTGCGCGTCCGCAGATTTGATTTTACGGAACACAGCGAGATCGCACCCCTGTCGCCTGCGGGAAGTGGAGTTTGGAGGGCAGAGCGAGTCGACGACGGTGAGCATGTCGTTTATAGAGCCCGAATCCCAGTATACGGAGCGTATGGCCTGTAGAAGACGGGTATATCCTCTCCTTCTAGTCCCAGACTCGAGAGACGGTTCTGAGAGATCTGTGACGTATTCTATGGGGTTGATGTCCGGCGCGGGGATGATATGAAGAGCTAGATATCGAATTATCGTTGAATTCCGAGCAAGCTTTTCCTGGATATCAATATAGGATGCCGCTGGCGGTAGAGAGAGGCCTGCTCTGATTACGTTGAGAGGCCCCTGGGCGTTCGTTGTGTTGGGGAAGAAAGGTGGGAAATCAACTCCTCGGACAAGGGCCTCCGGGGGTGGAGATGAGTGAGCGTCGCCTTGGGTTTCGCCAGAATTGGAGTATATGTCAAGGATATCGTCGATATCAGTGTCCGCCGTGGTAGGGGAGGGGTCCTCGCCAGCTTTGACCTGAAGAGGGGGGTATTCGGGTTCCGGATGCGACCTAGGCGGTTGAAAGGGCATGTAGTCTGAGTTCACCTGAGTGTTTCCATGGCCCATGGTTTGGGAGGAAACATGACTCCCGTTGAGGTAATGGGCGTTGGCCGCGAGATGGGTTCGTCCAGAATAGTCGACGTTCGTGGGATGTTTATTGATTTGTTTTTCTGCATTTCCATGTAAGTATTTTGTGCTCTTCTTGGTGTGATAAACTAGTTTGGGCGTACCTCGGTGCATTTGAAGGAGCTCTGCCTCTCTGAAGATGCTATTTGATTTTTGATCTTCGACTGTGGCTTTCTCAATTTTTGACTGAGCAGTAGTGCCATCGGCGAGTGTCTCGTCGTCATCGCCTTCGTACCAGCCGAGAGCGGAAGAGGGACGCGGGATACTAGTTGACTTCCTTCGTCTCTCCTCATATGAATCATTGCTCGATGTTAGAGGGCGGCGGTATGCGTCCAGCACATGCCTCATCGACCTCGCCGAGCCTACTCGTATGTTGTCGTCAGCGTCACAAGTGTCGGAATGGCTCCCTGCTGGCCCCCGAAAACTCCTCGGTGAACCTTGGGTGTCTTCGTGCATGAACGCGGGTAGAAGCGCAGCAATCGTTGTCTCCCCTCGTTTCGACCGGAGTCCAACTCCCCCGGCCGTCTCCGAGAGGGGAGCCTGGGGAAGGGAATGACGAGAGCCACCGCCTGACAGTATCCTCATTTTCCTCATCCTCGTTGACCTGTGCCTCTCATCAGCATGATGTGGTCTTCTCGTCCTTGTGTTCCCACATGAGCATTGCATTATTACCTCTTTCTCATCCTCCTCATTGTCTTTTCCAGCACCGCTGTCTTTGTATTGGTACTGCCCGTCCTCGGCCTGGGCGATCCTCGGCGCTCCCGGCGCCACCTTACGAATGACAGCGAGGGCGCGGAGAACGATATCCGCCTCGCCTCTCTTGCTGCGCGCGCGCCGTTCAGCATCATGTTGCAGCCGGCGAAGTGCGAGGAGAGACTCGGGGGACTCACCTCCTCTTACGCAGTCGAGCGTCTCTTGTATTCCCTGCGTGTGGATCTTGAGGGCGAGGTTCGTTGAAGAAACGGTGGCTTGCGTGGATGTTGCCGATCCCGAAGAGGGGTGACTTCGTGGCGACGATGTGGCTGAGTCCGGGCCGATGAGGTTCGTTGTCGAGGACGGCGAGTGTCTGCCGGTGGGAGTGGTGGGAGTCTGATGCTTTCTTCCGGTCGCCCAGCGGCCTAGAGATGTCCATTCGAAACCCATGTCTTTTCTGTGTTGTGTTGGGATGGTATGCTGGTAAGTTGATGGTTAGCAGATGAGTTTGCCCGGAGAGGTGGGATTCTGAGTCCCTTTTGACTTGGATTTGACTGAAGACAACAAGGCTCTGAGATCTTCTTGTCTCATGAATTTACTAGCCCCCTTTCGGGTGTTCTTTCGGTGTTGTACTCCTTGACTGTCTGGTAAAAGGGCTGTGGGACACGAGTTGAAAGGAACTTGAGGCTTGTTGAGGCTCACGAGCCATGTTCTCTTGCACGACGGGCAAGAGATTAGTATCCTTGTCACAGACCTTTGACAAAACCATGTCTATTTTCAAAACACTTAGGCTGAGAGGGATTTGAACAAAAAGATTGTAAAAGGTTCGTCTTCAACAAGTGTTGCTAACATTAAAAAATGGCTGGAACGTCTGGCGCATTTGATAAAGAGCATCCTTTGCAAACAATTGTACGATATCCCCTGCTTTGTTCCGGACATCTATTTACTGAAACAGCATCGGAGTGACAGAAGAAAATAAGATATACAACAATGGAACAGTCTAGAGGTTGATATAGATTGGTGTTTACCTACTTCGACCCCCTTTGCGGTTCATTCTTGGACAACCATGAAAGCATGATAGTTCTATAGCCTAAACACTGCCACAAGTCATATAAACAAGGCGTTGAAAGTGAAGTGAACGGCTGTACCGAGCTGAGGCACACACAGCGGAGCTCATCTACAGAACGACTACATAGCAAACAATACACTTGTCAACTACCAGGCACAATGACCCGGAAGACTCTCGCCAGTACACCTACAACAGCTGTTTCCCTCACGATCATTGTCAAATGCAAAGAACCAAGACAGGGCATTGTTCACGATGCAGCCTCTCAGGCGTTACCTATGTATATTAACTCCATCGTCCAACATGGACGAAACGTTCAGTCATCCAACAGTCTCACAAGATACCCATCTACCAAGCAGCAGTCGTAGCCAAACTAAAAGTCTCGGCTACCGCAGTCTATGAGTGCACACAACCACCCTCAACATGTGCTACAAGAAACAAATGGTATTCACAGTCTGCTGGCACACCAGAACAGTAGACGAAGACTGTGAAAGACAAAAGCAGCTCTACCAACTCTATCGAAAAGAGCACATTCACGGCAAACAACGCCAACGAAGCTGGTTGTCCCTCCTCTGCATGCCCTGCTTTGGCCCAGAGCCGCGCCCACCTACACCGCCCCCTTTAAGAAGAGAGTGTCGTCTCGAGGACGTCCTAATCGAGAGCGACAGCAAATGTCCCCGGTGTCTTCTCCTGGAGGATCAGGAGGCGGCCGTAGACAGAAGACATAGGTACGCATACAACGCATATCTACGAAAGGCCACTAGCAGTGGATATCAAATCAAGGGACGTTTGAGTGCTAACGGACGATCTGCAGAGCATCTGACGATGACTCCCAGAAGCGGACAGGGAAAATCACCTCCAGGATTTAGATCTAGGCATGAGGTTGTTGCGAACTCCACGTCCCTTCAGGTTCCAGAAAAGACATATCAACCGTATCGTCCAGATGCAGACCGAGGCACGAACTACGCCGCGCTACGGCGGTCACGACCGCCTAGTCGGGACTTTGTGCCGTACTCTGACCACCAGGCTGCGGAGGAGTCACCGGCGCTCAAGTCTCGGGATTCTACCTCCCACCTCCGGCCAGCCCCTCTGCAGGTCTCCAATACCAAACAGAACAAGGACCCGTCACTACGGAAGAAGGGCACCCAGAAGCCGAGCCGGAGTGCGATAGCAGGATTGCAGAATGCACCCCTGAGTGCCCTGATCGAGGACGTGGAAAAGACTTGGAGCCGTGCTCCTCCGGCATTAAGCTCGCCTTGGCAGCAGCCGACGACTATGGTCCATGTTTCCTACACGCCTGAGTTGCCCGTGGAAGAGCTAATGGACGAGGTTGAGCTCATGTGGCAGATAGGGTCCGGCCGCGACGATAGATCGCGTTAGGATAGTTAACTAGTCACTTATGGTTGTTTCTGCCCGTGTCTGCACTAGAAGATAAGATGCATACCATCAAACTTAGGTATCCCTTTATTAGCCTCACGTCTCGTAAATACAGGACATGGGGAACACAATGATAGGTTCGTTTGTGAAAAAAATAGGTTTTTGTTTAGGAATTTGACATGCATGGCTTCGGAACTAAGAAGCGAACGGAGATAGAGTTGGGTCTAAAGGAAACAAGCTCAAGGCAGAAGAATAAACGATGCAGGCAACTTGGATGTGTCTGATACGTCAAGACTAGTTCGTGACGATAGGTATTCGTGGCCTCTTAGTGTTTTGATCCCCCACCAAACGAAGCTGCCAGTGCTTGGCAGACGTCCTGTCACTTTTTCTGCGTCAGGTGGGACACACTCTGAAATGCGGGCGTCCCTGTGTGGTATGTTTTAGGAACCCATACGCAAAGTAACAGTACGTATTCATCATCCTCAGACAAAGAAACGCTGATGCCTTGTTGCGCGGCCGGTAGAGGCAGCGAGATGTGGCAGCGAAAAGATCGGCAAAGCGGAGACTGTTGATAGGCTGCTCAATTCCTGCAGATGTGATTGGCCAAAGAGCGGGGACCCATAGGGCTGACGAGCGGGCAGACTCAAAGACCGGGGATCGTTGATTCGTGACCGCCTACGTGTGTCGTATTGAAGATGGGCTTCGTAAGCCAATGAGACTGCAGCATCCGAAGCCACCGGCAACATGAGAAACCAAGCGGTGCGGACGAACACCAAGCCGTGTTGGAATGCCCAGATTCAGAGTAACTTTCGGGACCCCAATATGGGGGTTCAATGTAATGTCACAGGTGCAGTGCGGGATTTGGCGGGTGCAGGGACGACTGAACGGATGGTGACGAAGCAAACGAGCTTGGCTACTGTGAGTAAGATGGGACGTTGTCACACACGAACGTAGTCACAGGGTGGCCGCTGGTGGTTCAAGACCCCTGGGGGAAAATCGAAGTTGAGTCAAAAAGTTTTGCTTGGTTTGCCTTGCTTGCTTCTTCTGGTCGTGCTGGTAGGGTTGAAAGTCCTGAATCGGGACACGGTTTGGACCTGAGGACAGCCACGCCAGCCCTATGTGTGGAGAGAGCCAAGCAGACAGAAGGAGTGCAGAGAGGTGGGTGGTGAGTAATTGGCTGACGAAGGCTGGTTAGAGTTGTGTTCCTGCGAGAGGAGAGAGCGAGACGATCGGACGGTACAGTACTATGCGACTCTTCCTTGCGTGCCAAAGGTACTGTGCAGGAGAGTGCTTGGCCGAGCGGCGCACTCTACGAATGGCGTTCTTCGTCTTCTTCGTGTTGATGGGAATGTGCGCAACCGCGCAATCCAGTGGCCGCCACGGAAGGAGCGCCAAGGCCCGACAGACGCAAGCCAGGTGACGAGTCAAGGCCCTGCGTCCAGCATCTCTTTCACATCCGAACTATTGGCAGCATGACGGGAACGAACGGCCACGGCGCGTCCAGAAATTGGGGACTGCTAAGATGTAACCCCGTGTCAACTGTGTGCCGTGCCGGACGTCATTTCGAACAGGATCCAGACTAGCAGAAGACCAGCAGACTGGCTTTTGGCAATTCACAATACTGGGGTTGGATGATAAACGAAAGAGAATGCGCCCGCTGGCGGGTCCGATCCATGTCTCCCCGTTGATCATGGGAGCGGGTGACAGAAAGCTGACTGACCAGACCGGCCGGACGAGAATGCCGAACTGCACCGCAATTCAGGCCCTCGCATTCTTGCTCTTCTCTCTCCTGTGTCTTTCCTTATCCTTTTCTTGTCGGAATGGGTCGGCCGCCCCCACGGTAAGCGAGCGACATTGATATGCAGGTGCAGGTTCAGTTGGTCCGTAGTGGATTTTGAAGCAACAAACTCCACGGAAGGACCACGGACCACCCGGGTTTGACGGAGCGTAGATATCGGTGTTGAGAACATGGGATGGGCGACGATGGTGTGATTGGCCAATTTCCGGGATTGGCGGTGGTTCAATCGAATATTTTTTTTTGACCGACAGTCTCCAAGATTGGATCCAGGTGATTTATTAGACTGACCTGGGCATTTGCAGGGGATAGGTTTTCCCCCCCCTGGTGAGAGGAGTCTCTTGCAATTCCATCACTGGAAATCGCAAACTGCAACCCTGAGGACCTGCGGAGGAGGCTGAGGACTGGCTGGTATTGGTACGTACTGGGGGCGGAAGGGGATTGGGGGACAAAGAAGGCGGAATTGAGAACCAACGACAAGCGACCCAGGTTGGCGGAGAGGGAAACAATCCAATAGGATACCCAGGATTAGGCGGGCAGGTGGGGACAGCGGAAGAGGGTTAGATTGGGACTTTGGTTCTGATGGGCTGATGATGACGGGGGTAAGCGAGCGAGGCCAAATTGAGTCGATTATCTTAAGTGGAGCAAGGTAAAAGGAACGTACCGAAAGGTACCGTGCATGAGACCTCTGCTGTTTTTGCAGTGTGTCCAAAACCCAGCTTCTTCTTACAGCTAACAGAGTAGCAAAGGCCTCACTAGCGCGGGGTTTTCCCAATTTTGGTACCCGCCTTACTGTTAGCGGCCTCAGCCACGACCTGTGCAGGAGCAGAAATGTAGCTCAGGAGCAGTGAAATGCACGAAAGCTGCGGTAGCTACAGCTTGTTTTGCTGGCTGTGCTATGCTGTGCTGTGTGCTGTGCTGTGGTGTGCTATGCTGGGTAGTCGAGTTGTGCAGTCATGCCATGTCATGTTGTCTTTTGGACCCTGATGTAGCTATGCGGTACGTATCTCATGCACCCAATTTTGATGCTGATCTGAATGAGGAACCATGATAGGCTTGCTGAGGCCATCGTGTCAGGACCCAGAATAGGTCTCTCGCCCCCCCAGCCTTGGATTCCATCAAACGAAGAAGCGGTCATCAAAAGAATCTGCCACGGAAAACGTTGAAACACTTTCTTACCTTGCAACGCTTAGGATAATTCCATATGCCCAGCCGCAATCCCCATCTTCGAGGTCACCCCATGGCACCATACTCTGAACGGAAACTCGTACAGGAGCCTACCCGTGCCCTCGAATACCGGCCTGGCCCTGGCGCTTTTCCAGTTTCCACTTCCGGACCCATCAAGCGATTGAGGCATGAACCGGTTACCCTGAAGAGAAGGGAAAAAAAAAAAAGGCAGCCGTCAAAACCGATGCACCGTTCCGCAATCGGTCTGATGGCTTGCGTCGACAGTCCCGAGAAGCGAGCATTCAGAGGCCAGAGAATTCGTCTGCCTCATTGGTCTTGCGCGTCAGGACTATTCAGCAGCGCATTGTTGGAAAGGTGGCAGTCGGCCGCCCAGAAAGGAGTGAGGGAAGAACACAACAGGGCTGGTGGCAGCACTAAATTAATAGCACAAACATCATCATCACCATCACCACCCACCCCCCTTCTCCGCTGGCGGCAAGCAATACTTGGTAGCAAGTAGGTGCTGGGTTTTAGGGGAACAACAGGCTGGGCTGAGAGCTTGTTGCTGTTACATCAACCGACTCTCGAAATGTAGTCGGTGCTAATCGGGTACTTTAATCTTTAATTCCGGGGCTGTGCTCAGGGCGCTCTCCAACGCCCGCCCAGTTTGGGCCACCGGCTGCAGCGCTACGGTGTCCCTAACAGCGGGCCTCTTTGGGCGGTAGCAATGCTCTTTGGATCGTGTGCCGTACCCGACAAACGGGTTGGAACGGGGAATACTCGCCATTTCTCAGCGACCCTCCAGCAATACCTCATTCTCCCCTGGACTGTAGCCAGGGGTCTGATCCTTCCCAGTCCGCAAAGCCCAGACTCCGCCTCCACTGTCCTCCTGCGACGCACTATCATTGGCTAGCGACCTCCAGGCAGCAGCCTTCGCCCCGGGCGCCCTTCAATCCGCTCTCGTCGCTCTTGCTTTTCTAATCAACCTCGATGACCGTACAAACCAAGTCCGCTTGCTGTGTCGTTTCCTTCGCGTCCACGCCCAAATCTGACGTTTCTCCCACCTCTTTCGCCCGTCCTCGCCGCCCTTTCTTCGACCGAATCCTCCTCCTCGTCCTCAACATCCCTTTTCTTCATCCTCTCTTGTCCTTGACTTTTAGGACTCGACACCCGCCCGCACTTTGTGTCAACTGAGGCCGCCGCACTGGACCGATCCTCAGTCCTACTCCTCTCTCCCACACCCCCAAAAACCCACCCACCACCACATCTCTCATCGTCCTCCTTGCCATCCGGTTACTTCCCATAAGCAAACCACAACCCACGCTTCTTCTCCCTTCCATCCCCGTCCTTTCCACCGACGCGTACTACGACAGGGACGAACAAGCGCACATTTCGTGTGTCTCGCACTTAGTTTCTTGTAGACCGACCCCTCAAATCAGGCAGACCGATTTTGGCCTCGACTTAAATCGCCTTGCCGCCATCGACCCTCATCGGCTTCCTGCCCCAGCATCCACGACTGTATCGTCTCCGCCGTCATTGCAATACCCAAACGTAAGACCAGGACTCTCTCTCCTTTCATCTACTTCGTCCATACATTCCCCGTCTCAAACACCTGCCGCTACGTTGCCACTTTGGCCAATCCTAAACCTTGAGCGGCGGTTGGCTCTCAGGAGTTTAGGAACTTTCCTGCATCGGGCTTCCCAGCTCGGTCCTGGTTGTGACTCACACTCAAGCGTCCTATTCAGCCCTACAATTTGAATGAATCCATAAGAGATCTAACACTTTCCCTTGTTGACAGAGTTCTGGACACCCGTGTCATTACCGTCACCATGTCCGTCTCCGTCAACCCTCGACGAAGGACTCCGGTGACTCGCCCGGAGTCTCCTGCCGGCCTTAGCCTTAAGACCAACATGACCCTCCGCAAGGGTGCTACCTTCCATTCTCCTACCAGTCCTACCTCTTCAGAAGACGATGCCTTGGCCTCCCCTCCTAGCCTTCGACGCTCCCAGACCAACTTGGACGACGTCGTCGATGCTCACTGCCGCCGCACTGCTCTGATTCTTGACGACATTGAGAACTCGCTTTCAAACTTTAACATTGTCTCCCCCAAGGCTAAGTCCTTCCGGGACGACAGCCTTCCCGTGCCCAGAGGCTTCCTCAACCTTCCCGTCGTTGATCCCGCCATGGCAAAAGAGAAGTCAAAGGAAGCGGAACGCCGCATTCTGCGTCCCAGAACCCGCCGTTCCTCGAGACACCATGAATCAGACAGCGGACTCGGTACCTCTGTTGCACCCACCACCGAGACAGAGCCTGCGTCCACCGCATCAAAGAAGGCGTCCGCCATTACCAGGTCGGCCGCTGCTGCCTCATCTACCAAGGAGAAGCTTCCTGGCCTCAGCTCCAAGGCCGTCAACCGCATCCACGAGCACATTCTGCGTCCTCTCCGGGCCAAGCCTGCCCTGAAGGACTTTGAGCCGATTGTTCTCGACGTACCCAGACGTATTCGCGAGAGAGAGATCATCTGCCTGAGAGACCTCGAGAAGACTTTGATTTTTATGGCACCGGTAAGTCCAACACTGACTAAAACTGGCGTTTGGCGTAATACTTATCGATTGTTGATGAAGGAGAGGACCAAGACCGCCGCCTTGTACCTCGACTTCTGCCTGACGTCGATCCGCTGCATTCAAGCCACCGTGGAATACCTGAGCGACCGAGAACAGACTCGACCTAACGATCGGCCTTACACTAACGGATATTTCATCGATCTTGTCGAACAGCTTCATCAGTACGCAGGCCAACTCGCTGCCGCTAAAGAGAAGGGAGACGTTGAGATGGACGTCGACCCGTATGTCCCCCTTTCCCTACTTCCATATCATTGTACTAACATGGCAATCAGCACCGACGAGATCAAGCTTTACGGTGGTATCACTGAGAACGGACGCCCTGCTGAGCTTGTCCGCATTCGCAAAGACGGCAAGGCCATTTCTATGGCTACCGGACTGGAGGTTGACCTTGACGAGACTGGCTCCATCAAGATGAAGCGCTCCATGAGCCAGCAGTTGGAGGATGATGAGGAGATCATGCGTTCTATGGCCCGCCGCAAGAAGAACGCCAGCCCTGAGGAGCTCGCTCCCAAGAAGTGTCGCGAGCCTGGCTGCAACAAGGAGTTCAAGCGCCCTTGTGACCTCACCAAGCACGAGAAGACCCATTCTCGTCCCTGGAAGTGCCCGGTGAAGAGCTGCAAATACCACGAGTATGGGTGGCCCACTGAGAAGGAGATGGACCGTCACCACAACGACAAGCACTCTTCGGCTCCGCCGATGTATGAGTGCATGTTCAAGCCATGCCCGTACAAGTCGAAGCGCGAGTCCAACTGCAAACAGCACATGGAGAAGGCGCACGGTTGGACTTACGTCCGCACCAAGACCAACGGCAAGAAGCCCGCCAGCAAGGCCGGCAGTGTCACTCATGCCACTCCTCAGCTCAACCACATGCCCACTCCTTCCACAAGCAGTGCTGCCACTCCTCCTCCGCCAATGGACCAGGCCCAGCACTTCAACTTCAACGACCCTATCCTCGCCCCCCTGCACCCCATTGGCCCTGTTCCCGACTTCGCCACTCACATCGATGGCATGCAGTTCCCCTCGTACATCTCGGATGAAGAGTTCGAGCAAGTTATTGGAGTCCAGCAGCCGTTTGACAACCAACTGGAGCTGGAAATGTCCATGTCTCCTTCTGACCACAACACTCCCAACACTGACGTGTCCTATGGCCCATACTCTTACCAGGAAGGCCCGGACTTCACTGTGAACGATGACATCTATGCCGCTCACGCCCAACTCCCCACTCCCGATCGTGCTGTCTTCGCCGACAAGCAGATGAACATGGCTTTCCCCATGTACCAGTCTATCACTGCTTGCCAACCACAAATTATCCCCGCTCAGCCTGCTCCTCACATCTCCCCGATTGGCCAGGTCAATGCTATGCTCTTTACGCCAAACTCGCTGGCTGAAGTGGATGAGGGCTTTGAGGACACCTACAACACTGGTGGAAACGACTTCTGTGGAAACGATTTCCAGCTGTTCCCAACCAACACCGCCACCAAGACGTTTGAACCTTTGTTTGGTGAGGTCCCAAGTGCTGGTCTTGGCTACTCCCAGACATCGCAGGACCCGTTTCAGTCTCTCGACTGGAACAGCATGGACTACCAGAACTTCCCAAGCCAGTAATAGTTACGGGGAGTGTGCGATGTATACGATGGCAGCCATGAAGAGCTGCAAGTGTGAAAAAAATGTTGGCTTGGTGTTGGATTGGCTTATGATTTGATGACTGGAAATGGGTTGAGTCTTGAAACTGGCTCGAGGGAGTCGGACGTTCGACTTTCCCCTCTTATTTTGTGTTTTGTGTACAATTTGGTTTGGCATAACCACCCTGCTTGCTCTAGGATTTTATCTCTTTCCTCATTTCTAATTGGCATGAGATTGACGATAGAGAAGACTATGTATGGCACGAGATGTGGTGACGTGAAGGCCAGCAGAACAATGGGTCTTGGCTAGTCAGCCACGTGTGGGAAGAAGCAGATCTCTAGACATATCTCATTGAAATTCGATATGGCAAGTTCTGAAAAAACCAAAAAAAAAGGAAACCACTATCTTCTTAGCGTCCGTTGAGCAATGCCGTGATGTTGGATTACTGTGGGCCAAATGGCCCCGTGTCCATTGAAAGGATCGTTTGCTCTGGATCTGGTACACGAGACGGAAGAGAGGGCCCAGTTTGCCCATGGATGAGAGACGGCGGACAAGACTCCGGCACAGGGCTAGTCCCAAAGTCCACCGCGGAGTTAAGAGGTATGACGTGTTATGTGAAAGGTGTGAGTCTCACGGCGAAAAGCCACGGCGTCAGAGGGGACTGGGCTGGGCGGCATGTCCTCCCCATTTTTCTGCCTTCAGTCCCGGTTCTTTCCTGAGAGATGTGGCTACAAAGGGAAATCCCCCAATCCGATCTATGCTAAGGATACGATGGCGGATGGAATACGCATGGCATGGCATGGAAGGAAGCGCACGGGACCCCTTTCCTTAGATAGTAGTAGATAGGATAATCTCATCATTGTGTGGGAAGCTTGCTTTTGCTCCTTGTGCCGTGTGTGCTTTGCCTACTCCTGGCGGACAAGGAATTGTGTAAGTCCGCTGGCCGATACCGATGGCGCTCGGGTTACCGTCGTCCCGCTCCGTTGGATGGACTCAATTTCCCGAGGGTGGGTGGTTTTTGTGTGTTTACTTTCGTTACGTGATTGGGTGAAGCTTCTGTGGAGAATGACAGCTGTCCACTGGCGTTGCCGGTTCTCAACGACAGTTGGACAGCTGTCAAAGGACCACACTTCGCTTCCACCCCCCCCAATGCCCACTCTCTCCAAGCCCAGAAAAACGCGTCGTGCTAAAATTTCTTCAAAACCTCCAATCTCTCTAAACCTCAACCACAGCTTCTCAAGCCCGAAACTCAACGACAGACACGCCGTGCTCCGATTTCTACCTACGGTTACACACAGCTGCGAAATCCCCGTAGGAAGAAAAAAAGGTAAGCTTACTAATTTTTTTTTTCTTCTCCCGTATACCTCCAGCGTGTATGTGTGTATACACGCAGGGTCGTTCCGCGAGGATGGGAAGGACAAGACCATGAAATGATGAATTCGCATCACCCTTTATCTCATTAGGAAGAGCCGTCTGAGACGCCCCGGGCATCAAAGGCAGCTTTTCTTTGCCTCTTTTCGAACCTCTCCGTCTCCCTGTCTTCCCTCTCGGCCTTCTCTCGCTTGCTGGATTCCGTTACTTACCGTCCCTGGTTTGCATTCTCCACTGGGAGCTCTGCGTTCTGGAAGGCGGGTTCAAGGAAGGATTGAAGGCGGTGAAGGGGCTTCGGGGGTTGGATGGGAGGCGGGAGGAGAAGAAAGGGGGTTTGAGGGGAGCTGTTGCCCCTTCGGCTTCGTCCTCCGTGAGACACTCTACTCTCAACCGGCACATGGGCTCGGGAAGATTGCACCGTCATGTGTTATCCCGTTGTTCGTCGGGGGGTAGGGGCGGCGGTGGATGGGGTGGGGATGTAGTGCTTTTAACTTGGGTTTCTGATATATCTTGGTCACTTTTGACTTTTTCTTTTTACATCTTTCTCCAGATTCAAAGTTGGGAATCTTTTTTTGCTAACTTGGCATCTGTAGGTGTGCGTACGTGTTTGGTCACTGAGTAAGGATTTGGCTGAGTTGGAGATGGTGGCCCCGTCAGATAGCTTAATAAATTATGTTCATTCAATCATCAAGTTCATCGTCTCTGTCTAGTGATATTAGGTATCATCATATTCCGTCCTTGCCATGCTAACCAATCTTTATCCGACCCATGTATTCAGCGATGCAATGATGCCATAGTAGATTGGGACAAATCACTCGTCACTGTCACTTTCAAACACGGGCCGCCTCCTCTGTTGCCGCCCGCCAACGTGCCGCTGCGGAGTGTCGTCCTGATCGGACTCTACAGGCCCCCTGCTCGCTGATGGTTTTCTGGTGCTGCTGAGGAGATTGTCGTTCTCATCCATCAGCGAATCGACCGACTCCTGCGTAGGTGGAAACTCAGTCGGCACGTAGAACGGTTTAGAGGTTGCCGAACGCGACCCGGCTGCTGGAGATGCGGTTCGACTCGATGGCAATGTCGAGGATGTCGGCCGTATACTGGAGATGGGGTGGTCGTCCGAGACAACGAAGTCTAGAAGGTCCGCTCCGCTGTCAGATCCATCCGTATCCTGCATGTCGCTATCCCTTTCGCAGTCATCGCCGAGCTCATCGCTGTTGATGCCGCGGCCAGCTCTCCTCCCCGCCTTCCTACCGCGCCCTCGGGCAGCGGCCTTCTTTGGACGGCGTCTTGGAGGCGATTCTTCCTCCTCCATGGAGTTGCCCATCCCATCGTCTATAAGAGCTGAGGCAGAGGTGAAGGCTCTGGCTTTAGGCGCTCTGGCTTTTGGTGCGCCAGTTGATCTTCGCTTCTTCGGCCGAGACTCCTCGACTGGCTCGTCCTTGTCCGACAGCACCAACACCTGCTCTCTGCTTCTCGCACCTAAAGCCCCCTCATCCTCGGTGTCGCTGGCGAAAGGCGGTAGGGGAAGCTCCCTGTACCTGCTCTTGTCTACTTCTCCGTATGGATATGTATACCTGTCAACCGTACCCTGGCTTTGGGCCAATTGCTTGAAAAGCTTAACAAACTTCTTTGTACGCTGCCCATGCTGAACCTTGGCCACAGGTCGTAGCCGTCGCTGAAGCAATGGATAAGATGCCAAGCTTGGCATTTCGGTCTCCTCGACATTGGCACCGCTGGCTGGCAGAGATCGATAGATCCTATTAAGATCCGCCAGCTGAGTATTGGTGAGAACGACTGAGTTGACCGAGGGTATGTCAGCGAGGAAGTCGGCCTCAGTCGGCTGTGGGGGTTTTGACGGGCGCCCCCTTTTGGTGCCTGTGATAGGCTTGCCCATATCTGATGCCTTTACGAATCCCAACTCAACCCCGTCAGGCAGGTGAAACTTTTTGGGAGGCTTCTTTGCGGCCGCTCTCCGTTTCTTTGGCTCAGGTAGCGATGGATTTTGCGTGTTCTCGATTGGGATCTCAATCTGCTGCATGACAACTTCCGGTCGAATATCTCGTGGCACAATACGAGCCGAAAGGTCGTGGCGGAAGTTAAATTTGCTCCCTTCACAGATCAGCTTCTGCATTTCGGCGTAGTTATCCTTGGACCTGGCGAATGCCTCCTCTTCCTTGCCACGCATTAGCAGCAGGACGATGTTGCCCGCTCTCTTTCGTCCCGTTCTGCCCATTCGTTGAAGCATGCGGATAGGCGAGGACGAAGCATCATAGCACACGATAAGATCGACCTGTCCAATGTCAAGACCTTCTTCACCGATGGACGTCGCCACCAGCACATTGTATCTGCCGTCCTTGAACTTCTCTATTGTTTCAATCTGTTCGGCTTGCTTCATGCCGGCGGACCGTTTTGAATCTGCTTGACCAACAAAAACTGTGGCCTTGATAAGCGGCTTGTGAGCATTTAGCACCCGGACAATATCCTCGGCGCTGTCTCTGTATTCACTGAATACGATGACTCGAGTTGAAGATTCTCCGCCAGCATCCATGAAGTGATTCAGAATGGTATCTTGAAGGGCAGCCAGCTTTGGGTGGCCTACAAAGCCATCGGTGCGAAGCCACTTCTCGACCTTGGTCATCATCTCTTGGAAACTTTCGTCGTTGATAATTTGTTGTTTGTACTTGGATCCCTTGGGACCCTTTTCTTCGGTGGTGCTCCGGAACTCCTTCAAATTCTCGTAAAAAGGTCTAATGCCGTGGAAATTCAGGAGTTTGATGGCATGAGCGAGACTGGCGAGGATGCTAAACACGGCCCGCATCATGAATTGCACTGGCGGGGCAGCCCTTCGTCCCACGTTAGTAAACCATTCATGTTGTTGTTTAACTAAGCCGAAAGTTGTGATGGCCATCGGATCTCGTCCGTAGTAAATGTTTTGTTGCGTGAGCTTGTCCATCAAGGGCTTCAAAGCCTTTGAAAAAAGGTCTCGGATTTCAAATATCTCATCAGAAGGGTCGAGAAGGACCTGGTCAACGTTCCTCTGGTGCACGTATTGGCGAATATCGATGGAGTCCTCTGTCCTAATCTCAATATGAGAGATTCCCAGGTTGTCGATGATCTCTTGAACAGTCTCAATCTTGGAGCCGGGAGTAGCGGTTAGAGCCAAAACTCGAAAATAGGGATTGTAGCGGCGCATCAACTTCACAACTTTTGCGTAGGCGTACTCGCCCGTTGCACGATGGGCTTCGTCAATCACCAGAAGTACTATCGACTTCGGGTCTGCATAGCCATGCGAGATATCATTGGCAAGAGTTTGCGGCGTCATGAAGAACACACGCTTGGAAATCCACTCGTCATTCCTTAGTGCCGGCGCCGTGTCTCCCGTTAGAAGGGTTGTGTTCGAACGGGATATGCCCGCGATATTGAAGCACGCATCCACCTGCTGGGCCACTAAGGGCTTAGTTGGAGCGACAAATACAATCTTGGCATCTTTTGTCCATCGGTAATAGTTCAGCATGACGGTCGCAGCAATGAATGTCTTGCCCAAACCCGTGGGCAAAGCAACGAGCGTGTTGTTGAAAAGTCCATTCTTGACAATGCTGAACTGATAGTCTCTTGTAGCACCGAGATTGGTTGGATATAGCCAAGTCTTCATAGCTTCGCGGTCAAGGGCATGATGGGCTGGTGGCTCTTCTGGCTTGTCGCCTCGATATACTCTCCCAAAACCTGGTTGAGATGGTTGCATAGAGGCGTCATCTACTACAGTGCCGCCAAGCAGAGTGGTTTGACGAAATGTTGATGATGATGTGCGAGTAAGTCCATTTACTGTCCTTGGTGCAGGGGCCGCCGTTCTTCTGGATACTGAGCTGACGACCTGAGGCTCTGGTGAGGAGGAGAATGCATCTGAGGGCAGATCATCTAGTCCCTCGCTAATGGAATTGCCCGGTGCTGTTCTGAAAAACTGCTGGGTTATATGTTAATCATATCGTTCTAAATTTGAAGACGAGTAGCTTGGGGGAGCCATGATCCTCTGCGCCTGAGAAAGGGATCTCTTACATTGAACGATGCAGATTTGGGCTCGGTGTTCACATTGTAGATATGAGTTTGACGCCCTGTATTAACTCGATTAAAGGATGGTGTCAGAGCCTTGCTCGCCACTGAGTTCCTGGCTAGTGGGAGGCTCTGCGAATGGAGAGCAGATGAGCTCGATGGTCCAGCTTGAGTTTGACTGATTGCCTCCACCAAGTCCTCGTCGGCAAGATCGTCATCGTAGTCATCAGAGTCCATGGTGAATTATTTACCTAGATTTTCCTAGTACGTGTGAACGAACAAGATGATCAAGTAGGCAATGCTGTCATCCTGGTGCTTCTACTGTAGCTGAGTGGGGCATTGGCCACCAAGTCGTGGAATAATTGATGCGCGCCTTGAGACGCGTCGTTAAGTCGACGCGAAACCATCTCTGGATCACATGATTAGTCATATGACTCACAATATTATATAATCAAAAATAAGGTTCTCCAATGAAGGGAATCACAGACAGTTTCTTGACGGCAGGTGGGCCCGAATACTTACTAGGAGTAGATGGCACATGAGAAAATTGACACATTTGTGGCTTCAGCGGAACATTGGCTTTTTCAATGGAAAGTTTGTATTCACCTTTGAAAGCTGCCGAGCCGTACTACGCAAACATGTCAGTTCTTTCCCATTGAGCTTCTTGGTGTGTTTTTGTGTGATTCACTGCGATACCTGGAAGGTCCCTGAAGAGGCACCTGTTACCGGAGCATTGTAGCTGGGCGACTAAAGGTGCTAAACCTATTTGAGAGAGGTTGCATGCGACCTGAGCGTTCCTGCCTGCCTGCCTAGTGGCTATCCTTCGTGGTGGGGCTGACTCAAACGTCACTTGCTCTTCGCGACAGACGAATTTCTTCACTGCGTCTTCGTCGTTTCTTCCTCACTCATTTCCGTCTTCCACCAGCACCACACAAGAAGCACGTCCTCTGCAACCAAGCGTGTCGGACGAACTTACATCGTTCTCTTTGTTGAATCCACAAGGCCCTGCCAAAACACCTCCCATTCGCGATAGCCGACGAGGTCACCGCCAGGTCCTCGTGGCCTTTGTGCTCGGAAGCTTTTTGCGACCTGATACCGACAATAACCCTTCGTTTACGACGTCGGATCGGTTCACTTGGACGCTTTACTCGTATTTTCCAGCGCGGAAAACATTTTTTACTCTTTACCATCATCTCTGCTCAGCGTGCACTAGCAGATCAACCACCCAAACATCAGCAAGCATCGTTACCTGCATCACTACACACGTCGCATCAACTCGACAATGGCGCCTCCCCGAGCTCCCCGAGGCGCGGCTTCTCAGCCTGCGCGCGAAACTCGCAACTCTACATTGGGCGCTAAATCGCGAGGCGGCGGTGGCATTCAAAAGCGAAGAGGAGGCAGAACTACCACTGATAAAGACGGTGATCTCGACATGGGTAGCGGCGCTGGTGGAGGCGGCGGCGGTGCCCGCCGAACAAACAACAAACCAGCTGCGGCTGATTCCAATAATTCCCGACCCCAAAGATCGACAAGATCTGGCGGCCCCCCGACCAAAGCGGGCTCGAAAGTGCATCAAGCAATTGCTCGGCACTTGAATACCGGCGACGGAGCAGACCTGGTGTCAAAGAGAAAGCCGCAAAGCGGCGGTCTTGTATGGCTGAGCGTGAAGGGCTTGAAGGAGAGCAGAGCCGCGAGCAATGATGACGGCGGTTTGCGGGACCTACTGACCTTTTTGGAACGGAAAGCCACGACCCTGTCCAACCGCAACAAACAGGTCGTTATTAAGAAGGTATGTTGTGATAATGTGAGGCTCAGGGGAATTACATAGGGATGCCGAATGGTCCATACTCGTCCGAAAGCCAGATACTCTGCGAAGCGAGAGACAAACAGCCCATACCGGCTGCTTATGCCCTCACCGTGGCCAGGGTGAATCTCATTGCGAAGCCAGCTAACGTTCAATAGTCAAGTATGAGAGGGGAAATAGTCACTGTTGCAGCAAGCAAGGAGGATGCGGAGGAGATTCTTAAAGTCAATACCTTTACCTTTGCAGGGGCAAAACTAGAAATCACCGACAGCGATGGATCCATTGCCAAGGCGAACGAGGCATCTGCTGCGGCTCAGGAGACGAAGTCCAAGTTGACCAACATCATGTCACTCCGATATGACATAGAAAACAAGCTTCTGAAGCTTGACGCTCTCAACCAGGACGAGGGGCTCATCCAAATGGGCATGCTGGAGTCTAAGGATCGGGCCGAGAAGCTTTTCAAGGTCATGATGAGGATTTGCGACGACTTGTTCAAAACCCCACAAGCAAAGATCGATGCTATCCACAGCATTAGCCTTGCCAACAACGGTATCGACACCGTTATACAGGTTGAAGAAATGGCAGACACATTCCCTGATCTCAAGAACCTTGATCTCAGCGGAAACCAGATCGCAAGCATGGGTGGTTTGTCACGATGGAAGGGCAAGCTTCGCAAGTTGGAGACTTTGTACGTGACAGGAAATCCGCTTCCGCTTGGAGATCCCAAAGTCATGGCAGAGCTTTTACAATTCTTCCCCAAGTTGCAAAATTTGAACGGCGAGCAACTGACGCCGGAACAAATCGAACAAATCAAAGCAGCGGGCCGGCCGCAACCAATTCCTCAACGCGGCCCTGATTTCCGTGATGCCAATGGCATTGGAGAGTCGTTTCTTCTCGAATTTTTCGTGGGTTACGACAATGACAGAACGAACCTGCTCGCCAAATACTACGACGACAACAGCCAGTTCTCCCTGGCAGTTGACACCCACTCCATTCGCGAGGAAAACCTGCCACCTCCTCTGCCGTGGGCTTCCTACATCAAACAGTCACGCAATCTCCAGAAGATCACAACTCCTGCGGCTCGGGCTGCTAGACTGACAACCGGAAGGGAAGCTATCTGGAACCAGTGGAACGACCTACCGCAAACAAAACACCCAGATATCAAGGCGGACATTAGCAAATACATTATGGACTGCCATTTGCTACCTGGACTTGCCGACCCATCTGGACAAACCGCAGGCGGCGTGGACGGCATGGTTATTTCTGTACACGGCCAGTTCGAAGAGTGTGACAAAGCGGGCAAGACCGGACTCAGGAGCTTCTCTCGCAGTTTTGTCCTCGGACCTGGCCGACCAGGCGCCAACCCAATCCGCGTCGTGAGCGACATGCTCTGCTTGAGAGCATTCAACCCCCTTCCCAACGTGTTTGTCGCACAGGGCCAGGCCCCATCTGCCCAGGAGCAGCAGCAGCGCCAGGCAATGATTGCGGAACTATCGAAACAGACAACCATGACCCCCCAATACTCGGAGATGTGTCTGTCCGATGTTGCATGGGACTTCACCAGGGCCTTGGCAGTTTTCCACGAGAAAAAGGTAAGATAGCCCGGAAGCTGGACCATTCGAGAACCCTTACTAAATTTGCGCAGGCACAATTACCAGCTGAAGCATTCGCCAGTGTTTAGAGAATGCTGTGCTCGTCTCACCCACTCCTTTAGCATTGAGCTATTCGGAGGACATGGGTGGATTGGGAAAGATCACGATGGGGCTTCAAGTACGACATCGGCCCTCTGGCCCACCCCGGTGATTATGTATTGGAAGAAAAACTCCACACACCGAGTGCAGAGTATTGGGTAGGGGCCCTTGCCAACAACGCAAGGCTCGGAGTATAGGAAGATAGGAGGAAAAAAAAAAGGAGTCATCTCCCCCAGATGTGAGGTGGAACATGACAACGACAAAAAAAGGAAATCCAGATCGGCTTGGCAAGGAATCGAGGGGCAGCTCCGAAGCGCATTCGTATATACCTTTGTACGGAACAAGAAGGACCACATCATAGAGGTAGCGAAATGAATTTGGTATGGAGGAGTTCATGCTAGCATAGCCATAGGGGGAAGGGTGGTGGTGTTCAATTGAAAATAAATACCAAGAAGCCCAGTTGACGGGCCTGAAGATTATTCAGAGTCCTTGGTCGCAAATGTGGTAAAACGTGACTCAAGTTCAAACAAGATAACTAGTAGGCAAGAATGCAAAACCTATACGGGAGACCGGGCGCTATGCGTTTCGAGTCGATCGAATTTGGGCGATAATGATGACGACGTCCATGGATATAGGTGAGGGGGGGCTTGGGGGGCTGGCTGAAGATTAGCAGAGACATATTGATATGGCGCTCAGACAAAAAGTCGGGCCTCTCTCTCTCTGTCTCTCTCTCTCATATATCGACAGTGCAGGTGACTGAGATGATGATATAAGGCTGAGCAAGATGACCGCCCCGGCAGACCAATGGAATTGGCAGATGAACATAAACTCAGGACTGGAATCCTAGAGACGCGCGGTTTAGGTTTGATGAGGAGCGGCGTGATGGTCTAGTGTTTGACGCTGCTTGTCAGCTCGGCATATTTTTGGGGGGGGGGACCGATAAGGATGGTCGGATCCGATTGTAACTGGAGTGATGGAAAATTTTTTTTTTTTACAGTTGAATTTTTTTCACATTATTTTATTTTCAGTTCACTTTGGCGGCGGTCTACTAGTACTAGTGGACACATGTGATGTGGATGGATGAATATGTGACGCAGCGGGCGCTTATATTGGGAAGTGCAAAGGAAATATTTATATATCCTGGGGTTCGGCGCGAAGATCGTCACATCACTTCCATTCGTGTGCTGCTGGTGCAGGCTAGTGCCCGGGCGGGAAAGGTGCTCCCTAAAAGCGTCTCTGTCAGTGGTGTGGTCTGCTTGTGTCTGTCTGCCTGTCTTGTCTCAGTGGGCGAGCCAAGGAAAGGGGATGGTGGGAAAGAATAGAGTGGTGCGTAGTCAGCAATCGACACCTTGAAGAGTCTTGGGACCCCGTTTCTCCGATTGGATTCATGCATGATACCGGGAGATCCCTTCCCACACCTTTGAGATTAGCAGACCAGTTACTTCATTTGGGAAAGATTACCTCAGCTTGCATTTGTTTGACGCTTGCGCAGCCGCCAACTGCAAGGAAGAAAAAAGACGTTTGACCTTGTTCTTTGTTCGTGTACTTACTATGTATGGTATGCATGTTATTTTTTGTAATTTTTTTTTTTTAGGCCGAGTGTGACATGCACTGGTTTTTATTCTTATGATCGTCTTGCAGGCAACCTCTTCGGCCGCATATCGCGGTGTGCGAAGGGCAAAGGGCCAAGGACCTTTTGAAATGATAATCTACCTTGCCGAGCGTTGAAAACTGCTCGCTTGATGTATCCACGTGTCTCGGTTTTTTCCTTCCTTATTTCTTGTTATGGGGAAGGGGGGGAAAGGGGCCTTCCGCACAGAGCTTATTTACCTTTTGATGGTGGCTTGTCTTGTCTTTTGTCTTGTCTAGAGATGCCCGGGCCACATCAGCCGAAATTCAAGGTTTGTGACATGGCTGACGGCGCCCCGAACGATAGCGGGGAGCGACAAAAGGTGAGCGACGATACTTGAGATGATTTATGCCCTCGGCCGCAACAGCCCGAGAGCCGACCTGCTGTGGAGGAAAAGCATGATGATGGTGATGGGGATGAGGTGGGAGAGGGGAAGGGGAGGGGCCCGTGAGGGAAATCGTTCATCGGATATATTATCAGACCGGTTCAGAGTTGCCGGGAGGACGGAGTCAGGACTGGCTTGTCCTGTCGCTGTCTCATAACAGGCATTACCCTGAAGTTGACAATCATCGACAAGCAACGCAAGTACTAAACAAGCAGGCACAGGCATGTGTTGCATTTACCTGGTGGAATGTTGGAGCCCCTTTCGGTACCGTTGGAGGTTGATGAAGTTCACGGGATCAGTGACATTTACAGGAGGCCGTTTTTCCCCCTTCCTTTTGGACATTGACGGCCACCCCCCCTGCAAAGCTATGCCTTTGCGGTACGCGGCCTTCTCCTTCGACGCCTAATAGTGTGGATTCAGAAGGAGCTGCTGGAGCAATGGGTTGACCGTTGCGGCGAAGCCCTGCCGGGGGAAGAGAGAGAGAGCCCCTCTCCGTTCCACCGCGGACAGACAATTGCTGTGTCGCGTACAGTGGAATGGAGACGGGCGCGGGAGGGCATGACACCAGAGGAGGGGCGAAGATCGAGACCCAAAGGGAAAAAAACGAAGACAAAAAAAAAAAAAAGGAGTCGTACTGAAACCTGAGATACCATCAAGCATATTAAAATGTATGGCGTCGAGTGGCGTCGTCACTTGTTTGGCGTCGGTCGGTCGGTCAGGCTTGGGCTTTGCTGGAGCTTATCGGAGCCGGTTGATGTCATGGCTCTCGGGATTGTGGTTCTCGACCCCCCTCTCCTCCCAGATGGATCGCGATGAACGGGGCGTCTTATGCTTTGAAAAGGGAAAGATGAGCTGGGCCGAGAAATGCGATTCGTGTCTTGTTCCTATTCAAGGGGGCTTGCGGGCTGGATTAACGCTTTTGTCGACTCTCGGGCTTAGTTGAGAGTATCATTGGAGCCTAACACGGTCGACGTTTCCCGATCATGGTGTGGCCGGTTGACCGACATGGGGCCATGTCCCGGGGGGCCGGCCAGAATAGGATTCTGAGTATGCGGCTGTAGTCTTGTTTCCTTCCATTTGCAACACTTTTTCGCTTTCGTCTTGCGCCTCTTTTGCATGGCTATTTTTTTTTTTTCCCCCAACCGCTTACACCGGCCAAGGCAAGGAGGATGGACAGTGGGACGTAGGTAAGCGATGTTTCTTAAAAAGAGCACATGGAGGCGATGGACGCTGGGGGCCAAGAGAAGGAGCTCTTGAACAGGGGGCTGCCGAGCCTTGAGTTGTAAGTGTGTTTCCTTCTGAACTTAGGGAATGCGCCCTGCAAGCAGTCTGCAGGTAGGCTTCAGGTGAAAGAAGTGAGTGAGTATGCAGCATGCAGCGTGCAGCTCGGCGGCGCTGCGACTGCTGGCGCTGACGCTGATGTTCTTAGAAAAGGATTGCAGTAATTAGTGCGCAGTGGTAAAAAAAAGGGTACCTTGCATCGGCTGGTGGGCTTCTCTTTCCAGTTTTCGGCTTGGGTGGCTTCAGGGGCGGACGACGGTTGCTACAGGGGTTCACTTGTCTAGTGCGTTCCAGTCAAAATGCCATTGGGGGTTTGTAAGAAAAAGGGAGATACGTACCATTCCAACGCCAAGGGCAGGGGAGAAACGCCCAGCATGTTTGTCCACCTTTTGATGCAGAGGGCAGGAGGAATAGGAGGGGGACGCCTGCGCTGGACCTGGCTCGGACCAGTAAGAGCCCCAGAAAACCACTCAGTGGGATTCGCACTCTAGCTTGGTGATGCTCTTTCTTTCACAACTCCCCCAGGGCAACCGCGACACCATTCCACAGCTCGCTCACCTCTCCTGACCATGACCGCAAAACCCTGCTTTCACTGCATTTTTTTCTTGCTTGTCCAATTTCAGCAATCAACACAGAAGGGGACTAGGTCCTCCCCCCACCGCCTAGAGCACGCAAGCAGACTCCATACCGCGTGGCCACAGCCCGCACTAGACCTGAATACGGCTTCGGGCGGTCGCGCATCATCTCGTCCATGGACAGGCGACAGGCATCATTTTGATTGCTTCCAATTTACGAATGGTGACTGCTGGATGCTCTCCCGTGCCGATGTTGAGCCCCCTTCCCCAGCTTTGCCGACCCATTGCGTCCGCTGAAAGGCCCTGTGGTTCTCGACGCAATTTTGAGGAGCGTGGTGCGGTACGAAGTATGACGCCAGTCTCTTGCTGCCGTCTACTAGTACTGGAGCAGAGGGTAATACGCCTCACCTGCTTGGTGAACGGATAGGCCCCTTCTCCACTTCACTCACTCTCTATTCCGCTGCAGGCATCCTGATATTGCTTTAATTGAAGTCAGAACGGGATGCAGGTGCCCGCACTCTCCCTGCTGCCCTTGGCCCTGTGGCTTGCCGCCGGGGCCCTCGGATCTGACTGTCTCGTCAATTGACTGTTTGCTGTGAAGGTAGATGGCGGGTTTTGATCAATTGAATTACCATTTGGTGGTATGACAGTAGCCGTGCCTTCGACCCAAAGCGAGGCAATCGAGCGAGTTGCAGGCGGGCCGGGCAAAGAAAACACGTGCATTCCTCTCTGTTTGATTCATGGCAACAAACGGAGGGGGTTGAACGATGGATGCCATAAGTGCTGTCAGTCAGCCGCCGTCTGCAGTGATGTGTGGCTGTCACCTGTGTCCGTCCAGTCGTTCACCCCTCTCCTCGGCCACGACGCAGAGTGAAAGTCTGCCCATGCCCATCAAGCGGGCCCGGACACGAGCCACGAGAAGCCTCGAGCACAGGCTGGCACGAGGACGAATAAGACGATGACGAGACATTCAGTAGACGGAAGACGCAACGGCTGGCTTGACTTGCTTTGCTTCACCACAAGCGGTGCACGCGTCTCTGCTTGCTTTTACACCGTAACGATATAACGCTATTGGGGCTACACTACAATACTACTACGGTGAAGCCTGCTATGGCGCAAGGTCCATCGCTACTACGAAGCCATGCTTAACGCTTTCCAGGCTAGAGCAGAGGAGTTCCGCCTGTTGTCAGCACAATGGTCGTCTGGCTTGGCTGTTAGACTATTCAACCGTTGGCTGCTTGTTCACAACTGACTGGCGCCAAAGCCCCCTTCTCAATTGCCAAGTGCATCCACACCTGGCCAGGAACGAGCGAGATTGAACTCGTTGATAGGCCAGATACCCCCGGCACCCCCTTTTTCAATCTCGTGCTGGTTAGGTCCCAGCCTCAGGGTAGCAGCATCTCGGACCTGTACCTGGGCGGCACCGCAATGTCTCACCACCTATCCAAGTATTCTTGGCCCATCTTCTACTTTGGCGCTCGTCCAGGGACCCCCTGCTCTGACCCCATTTGATGGGTCTTGGGCCGTCTGATTCGTTAATCATCTGTCCAAGCCACCCCGGCCGAGCAACCAGGACGTTCCTGGCGACCCCTGTTCACGATTCCCCAAATCCCTGCCCTCGTGTTTCCTCGCCTGCAACTCAGGCTGTACCTGGTCGACTCCTGGTCTGCTGGTCCTCGCTCACCAAGCAGCAGTTCGTAGTAGTGGCAGCGACCAAGCCGTGGGCCACCCTCGAACGAGGTACCACTCTTTCTTTCGCCTTTCCTCCTCTCACTCACCCGATTCTCTTGACTGGTCTCCGTCCCGTTTCCTCTCTCTCCCTCTTCTCCTCCGGTGCCGTGTGTGCATTTTTCGCTCTTTCGAGGTGGAATTGTTGCTCATCGTCTGGAACGTTGAATCTCTCAAAGGAAAACACAAGACGCTCATTGTAAGCCTTTCTTCGATTCCAACGCGGCAAGATACAGGACGCACACCTACATCCGTCCCATCTTTGCCTCCTTATCCCCTTTTCCCACCGACCAAACCGACCGACCGACACGAGCAACAGTAATACCCTTGGGCCGATACGACCTACCCACGACACGTACACTTACTTCTATTTTACGAACCAGGTTCAACGACTACGAGTTCTCCGTGTGGCTACCCTCCCAAACATCTGCGACGCAAAGTCCTTCAGGACCGGAGGAACACCAGTGTCTTTTTTTGTTTCCTTAACATCCAGCTATCCGGGCCGTTTCCCCTGCTTCTGGTCTGTCTAGGATTGGGCCCCCCGAAAGGAACACCAGAAACTTCGTTCTGCAGATCAAACTCCGAGACAAGACCTTCGGTTCCCGCCCACGACAAGCTTCAAAGTATTGTTTCTTCCTCCCTCAGGACCGTTTCCCGATTTCATCATCGCCATCACGTCCTGCCCTGCGATATTGGGACCGACCGAACGACTTCACTTCGACATCCCGAACGGTAGACTTCCCGGTTCGAAGCCTCGACGGCATTTGTTTGGCAACTTTTACCCCGACCGTAGGATTTCCCCTGGCGAACACTCGCCAAGAATCTCATCTGGTCTTTATCCGTCTCATTTGAAGGCGCTACCTCGTAACGAAGTCTGGCTTCAGTGACGAGAAATTCATTTACACGATCCCAATCACCAGAGATAATACGCGCCATGTTATTGTAGAGTGCACGCATACATCGTCCTCCGCACGCACCTACATCACCGACACGACCACATTTTCGCATCTTCCGCAATATCATATTCAAATAGACGGACACGATGACGCTCCCCGAGCCCCCCGTCGCTCTGGACAACATCTGCTCGGTTATCTACAACAACGTTCTTTACACATATTCCGCAAACGCTTTTCAGTCGCTATCGCTCGAGGAAGGAGCGAAATGGAAGACATTGGAACAGGGTGAGAAGGTAACAGGCGGTGTCTGCGTAGGCTCAAACCCCAAGGATCCCAGCCAGGCAGGCTTGTACATTGTAGGAGGAAAGGGAACGTCGGCGAGTTATCGGGGTCTGCAAAAGTATACCTACGCGACAGGCAAGTGGGAGTCTATTCAACCGCAGGACGCCGTCACACAAGAACGCTTGCTCCACGGCGCGACATACCTCCCAGGCACTGATCAGATTGTCATCTACGGCGGCAGTCAAGATGGATATTCTGGGCCTTCATCGCAAACTTTTGTTGTCGGAGCTTCCGCACCTTACCGCACCCGCGCCTACACCTCTACAGCACCACCAGTGGTAAACCCGATCGTGCTCCAATGGTCTGACACTCAGGCGGTCATGGTTGGAGGCAGTACCCAGAACACCAAGGTCATGCTGTTTAACCCTGACACTGTCTGGGTCGATTCCGGCGCGAGCCTCGCTCAGCCTATTTTGAAGGACACGACTGCGATTAGGGCGATTGTCATGAACGGAGACGATGGAAGCAAGAGCTTGTACACTTTTGACCTGTCGACATCTCCGAATGAGGTCCAGCGCATGGTTCTTCTTGATGCCACAGGTCAGCCGGTTGCAAACTCAGCTCCCGTTTCAAAGAAGGCCGCTCGTGGAGTGGACGGTATTGTGAAGCGTGCTCTTACACTGGCCGACTGGCCAGCATACAACAGCACTCTGGCGCCTACGGGAACACGTGCCAACTATGCCCTTGCTTCAGACTCCAACGGACTCGTCGTGTTTGCCGGAGGCAACAAGGACGACGTCCTTTGCATGTTCAACGCCCGCGAGAACAGCTGGCAAGACGCCAATCAGAAGTTGAGTGAACAGGAAGTCCTCATTACCAGTGAGACGACTAGCAGCGCCAGTGCCTCAGCGACTTCCTCTAGCTCAAGCACGTCCTCAACTTCACTCTCCTCTATCTCTTCAGCCATTACTGCACCAGCATCCGCTTCCGCTTCCGCTTCATCGTCCGCTTCTTCCGAAACGGCTGCTCCCGCCGTTGGCGCTCCTGTCAGTGCCAATGCCATTCTCGGTATTGTGCTTGGCACCATCACCGGCATCATGATTCTCCTTGGTCTCATCCTCTTCTGTATCCGACGACGCCGTAACAAGAACCAGCCCAACCCCGAGCAAGGCCAGAGAGGTTTCCCCGATGAGAAGGCTGCTCTTGGCTACGACAATGACTTTGGCGCGAGCCCCCAATTCAGGGGACATCAGCAGTCTGACTCGGCCGGATCGTTTTCTTCCATGGCTATTCTGATGGGCAAGGTTAACGGTCCCAAGCCTGTCGGTGCCCCTCGCGGACCCAGCAACGACTTCAAGCGCGGCTCGTCCAACAGCTTTTTCAAGAGCACTATCAGCAAGCCTATGCCCCAGGTGAACGAGCACCCTAACCTGGCGCCCCCCTCTCGTGACGAGAAGGGTGTGTCGTTCGCCGCCGACACCGTTGAACCCCGTCCTACGACACGAGGAAACCCAATGGGACGTCCTGGCGAGACGCGCAGGAGCTCAGGCTGGAACCGATACTGGTCCGGCGGCAGCGCCCTCAACATCCTCGGATTTGGCAACTCGAAGAGAACTACCGTCGACTCGGAAACCTCTCACTACTCAAACAGGAATCGCATCACGCAGGACTCTGCCACTGTCCCTCCTCTCCATCTCATTACTCAGGATTTGTCCACTGTCCCGCCCATTCGGCACGAGGGCCGGCCCGAGCTCAACCGCGTGGTCTCAGGCAGCCCAACTGTCTCAGACTATTCGAATCAGATCCCCTTCAGAGACGGTGTGTCTGGCAAGATCGAGTCCCCCCGCCGACCTACCTCGGACGCGTCATCCGGCTATTCGAGTGGCATCCCTGAGAGCGTCCGCGATACCTGGGACCCCATTGGCTCTTCCAAAAAGCCTTGGGGTGCCGACCGAGCCCCGAGCAGTGTCTACGCTGAGAGTCTCTACCCCACATCTCTGGCGCCGAGCATCCCATCACGGCCACAGGCTACTCCGAGCGGTGTAAGCCAACAGCCCCAGCTAGCCATGGCTTCAACATCATCGGATATGAGCTGGCTTAACCTCGGCGAGATCAACAAGGCCAAGCAAAATCAACGCTAAAATTAGCTGGCGATTTACTTGAAGTCATGGCAGGGACGAGACATTAATCGCCTCTGCGCAACTCTTGGAGCTCCGCTCTCGGCCATGGCGCCTTAACGACATCTCAACATCATGATCCGTCCTTCACATTTTATACCCAGGTCTTTTCCGGAGCATAGTTTTCGGCGGGGGCCTCTGCATTCCAGCATAGACGGCTTAGAGCACTCAAAAGTCCACCACTCGTTACATCCCAATACTACCAAATAGTCTCTTAGGAGACGCACGCATAACTCGGCTTTGCCGTTGACTACCAACCATTGCCTACCTAACTATCGCCGCGTACATTATTTCCATTACTTAACATCTCTGTCTCTCAAACTCTCTCTCTCTCTCTCTCTATCTCTATCTATCTCCCTCACACGCTCTCTCGCACGACCGCAGGCATGGCATGTTCCTCGGGCAGCGTAATTCTTTTCATCCGCTCGTGAACATAGTTTCCCTTTTTCCGTCTTCCCATTTTCTCTCCATGTCTCTTTCCCGCTTTTCTTCTCTTCTTGCATCTCTTCTGTACATTCTTGTTAGAGCGAGACCCGGGACAGGTCGTTCCCTTCGCAGTCAGTCATTTCCGTGATACCAATATCGCAGACAAACCCAACTACAACAATCACCGCATTTTGTTTTTGGTTGAAAATGTAATTTTCAATTTTTTTGTTAACTTAAGGGGGTTAGAGGAGGTCCGTCGTTTTCACAAAGGGTGTTATTCGCGTGGGGCAACCACTTTTTTTCGTGTTTTTCGGAACCCAGCTGCCTTATGACCCCTTGATATGAAAATGGTCGGTGCAAGGTGGGAAGGAGCAAAAGGAAGGGAAAGAAGGGGGGGGTTTGTTGGACGGGAAGGGCTGTTGTCGTTGAATCCTTGATGAAGATGAAAAGGGGTGGGATCACTGTATTATTTTTTAACTACTTGTAGGCTTTTCAATCAAAGGCTTGCCAAGTTAAGATCAACTTTGCATTGGTGATGACTAGCCGACTTTTTTGAATATGGAAATGTTCGCATCTTGTTATCTGCTCGTTGGTTCTTTGGAACCTGACATGATGGTGTTACACATCCAAGTCTGATGTGATTGAAGAGGTAGTCATCACCAAAACGGCATCTACGCGTTGCGTCCTAGCTCTCGAAGAGAGCAACGTTGCAGCTTAACAGTTGTGCTCATTATCGGACTACAGCTGTGACGAATAAAAAGGGTATCAGTCAAACTTCCAAGTCGCTCCCTTTTACCGGCTCAAGCCTAGGGCTCGCCTAGCCCGGTGTTTTGACACTGTCCAGCCACATTGGTCAACATATATTCTGGATTCTGGAGCCCCCCGCCCCCGGATCAAACTGACCGACCGAAGACGATAGCGAAGCCCAGTCAGTCATGAGTTGTTCATTTATGCATTTACTACTAGGCTCTCCCCCGGCTGTGCCTCCTTGGCAGATGTACCTCTAGTCTGCCACGCTTCCCGGGTATATATCTCAAAGCACCGCGCGCAGTTACCGCAATAGCCGCAGCCCTTTGGTGTCCAGCTCCCTGTAAAGACATTGAAAAAGCAGTCTTCGGAGTCGCGGGCCCCGGCGCGGGGAGGGCGAGAGACGAGGTCCGGCATCGCGGGGAACTCAACCTGGTGGATGCGTTCCCTGTTCCCGGCGCTCGCGGAGACAATGTCGACGCCGTGTCGCTCGCCGACCTCGATGAGCCGCTGGAAGCACAGCTGCTCGTGGGGCCGCTGGACTCGCCACCACTCGCGCCAGTGCCTGTCGTCTTCCAAGTAGATTACCTTGAGGTCCGGACACCTCCGGGACTCGATGAGACGGATCAGCCAGGTCTCCGTCTTGGCGGCTCGTTCGCGCACCCTGTCGCCGCCGACCGAGAGCACCTGCAGCGACGTCGGGAACCACGACATGAGATACTGCACGGCGGCCTCCCGCTGCTCGGGGGTGCCGCTCCATTGGTCGTCGAAGCACTTGTAGTCGTCGCTGCAGGTCCACAGGTCGATGTCCTCCTCGTCGATGTGCAGCTGGCGCAGACGAGAGAACTTGTCCAGCTCGACTTCGTCGGCGTGGTAGAGCACGCAGCGGTAGCCGTGCATTCCCCACGCGTGGTACATCATCAGGCTCTCGAGAGACCGCTTCTGGTGCTGCCGCGCAAGGCTGACGACCTGGTCGACGTCGTCCCACCGCGAGTCGCTACCGCAGATCGCCAGCGACTTGAGCGCCCTCGGGGCTTTGAGGATGGCGTCGAGAGAGTCGTGCTCTAGCTGGCCTTCGTTCTGGAGGAATAGGTGTTGAACGGTAGAGCAGCCTACTGTCAGGCCAAAGCTGTCGTCCTCGCGGGTGTCCTCGTTGTCCAATACCGTGTCCAACAAGCCGTTGAAGTTGATTGAGTCTATTCGGGGCAGTTTGAAGAGGCTGGCGAGGAGTTCGGGCTCGAACGTGGCCAGGTTGTTTGGAAACACCGTTTCAAAGTCCACGCCGATGGCCACCTCACGTAGGGATTGGAGGCCCGGGGACCACCTGGACTTTGAGTGGCTGTTTTCTATCAGTGAAGTGAGCCAGTGGAGGCTGGATTCCCTAGTTTTGCTGTTAGGAAAAGGCTAGCTCGATCCATAGCACTACATTCTTACGGTGGATTTCGACGCCGGGTCCTGGCGTGCTTCAAGCTTCTCAGGTGTGGACTAAGAGCTATGACAAGGAGTTTGAGAATGCCGTCGCGGCCTCCCTCGAGATCCAGTTTTGCCATTGCAACATGGTCGTCCTCCATATGGAGTTCATCCTTCATGAGACGCATGTACTCCTCCAGCTCGCCCTCAGCATACGACCACGTCAAGGGGGATACCTCCTGGTCCAATGCGATGGGCGGTTCGAGAGTGTACGGTCGCCAGTCGTCCCAGTTTGACCGCGTGCCCCAGAATTCGAACGAGCGGACATGCCATGCGAAGATGGCGCCGTCACCTGCCCAGATGATGCGGCGGAGAAGGTCTGGTACGGTCGACGGGAGCCGGTCACAAACCACGCGCTGTTTGTGCGCTTCTTGGTGTTGTCGCAAGACATCACTTGAGCATTGAGCCATAACCCTGCAGGTGCATGCTAGGTCAAGATGGGCTGAGGGATGCGTGAAGCCGATGATGCGCATGAGGAGCTCTGGTGGGAGGCTGGTGATGCGGGTTATGCCTCTAGTAGGCACCGATCCTTCCGATGCCATGATGGTCGATGAAGCCATAAATACTTTACAATTGGGATATCGGTGTACGCAGCGTGGCTGTTGAAAGCTCACCGAAGCACGACCTGTTTTTTAGCTCTTGCATGCTTGCGGCGCCAACAGTCTAGATCTGGCCCCACTCTGTTGCCTAGAGTGGTATATCCCGGCAGGCGGGATAAGGAGTAGCCAATGTCCCTTGGCCAATGCGGCGCGAACTTACGCTTAGGACGTTCAGCGTCTTCAATGTGGTTTCTACGACCTATAAAATTCGTTGTGACGTTCTGCCACTCTGAGTTGAGATAGTTGACTTTTGCAGCCAGCGACTGTGAAAGCCACTCAGCACCTTGACCATCTCGCATGCCAAATTAATCGGGTAAGCGATTCGCTAGGAGTATTCACTCTGGTGGGTGCCATTCGCTGTAAAGATCCCATTTTCTCTGTAGGGTACGCGATGTGCATTTCTGGTGGCCTAGTGATGCCACTGGTGAAGTGCTCAAGATTCAGCTCAGTAGCACCTGTTCTGGCTTCAGACGGGCTATTGGTAAGCTAGTGGCCAGGTGTCTAGTGCTCTTCCGACTGTGTCCTTAACACTATACACAGAATGGTATCTGCCTCATTCCCTTCGACGCAAAGGTATCGTCGTAAATTCTTCATGAAGGCAGGGCTAGCTTGAAGCCTGCCACTTATCCAACAGAGCGACGTTCCATTCCTTAAAAACCCGCTCACTTGGCGGGAGAAGTTCGTTGCTCCTCCGCAATACCTCCGCAGCCCGAGCAATATCTGCTGTGGGAAGGTTGACCTCTTGAACATCAGAGGTCATTGACTCCAGCATCGACTCGGCCTCCTGCTGGTTGATCTCCCGGTAGAGGAGCTTGATGGCAGAACGCTTTCCTTCGCGCTTGGAGGAGGCGTACGTGATATTGCTGTTGAGAATCCACAAATGAAGCGCTGGGGATGAGTCGTACCCATTGCGCACATTATGCGACGAAAGCGTCGGGACAACCACTGATTTCGCTGAACCAGATCGAGATAGGGTTGCGATTAAGGTAGCTGCCAGACAGTCTGAACTGCTGGGCGGAGCTCCGGATGACGCTGTTTGGCATGACACTTGCCACTTGAAGAGGACAACGGATGATATGGCAACGTTGAAGAAGCCGATGTGGTTTTTGCAGCCTGAGCAGATGACGTAGAGCATCCGTGGAGGGGGGTCAGCCTGGCCGGCCAATACTGCTGAGCTGGTGTCTGATTGTTCAGAGTTTGAGGAGGAATACTGTACAGGGAACGAAAAGTAAGTTAGGGGAAGAGAACACCAAAGGCTATATATATGCATGTGAGGACGAACATGTCCCTCCATGTAATCCCAGGGCTTCCACGGCTCTGGAAGTCCCCAGTGAAAGCAAGAGGGCGACGTCGTCAACCGAACCAACCGAACCCGTCCGCCCAATGACGGAGGTTTCGGTTGGACGGAAGCCTGCCTGGGCAGGACCGACTAGTAGTTAATATTGGGACGGAGTATCGGTGACCACATCACTGAGCGGCAGCAGAAGCTGTCGATATGGCCTCCTTCTTAATGTCCCATGGAGGTAGTAGCACAGCGTGAACATCACAAGACAGACCAAGCATGTCAGTAAAAGAAATATACAACTCACAAGTAGCCCCTGGCAGTCGGATTCAGTGAACAGCAGAGAGGTGAGGTCAACCAAGCCGATGCCGTTCTGCGCAGCGATGGACGAGTTCGCGCCGTAGCCACGCTTCGCCAGATGCTCATGATCATGCTCATGCTCATGATCCGTCGGCTTATGGCAGTGCCAGAAGTCCATCATCTCAGCCCAGTTCTCGCTCGGCAGATCTTTCCACTCCTCCGCTTTTCCCTGAGGCACGACAACCGCCGAACAGTTTCTGCATTTCACAGCTGAATCCGGGAGCAAGTCTGTTGCCGCCCATGGCACAGGTTCCTCGAGAGGCCCGCGGGCTATGGGTACCGATGATGTATCGGCTAGTGGCAGACGCCACGATAGAACGCTTGAACCTGGATGCGGTGCAGGAAGGAGACCATTTCTAGGTGCGACGACCTTGCCTGGGAGAGAGAATGCGGTTTGAGAGCCTGCATGTTGGAGGTTGAGCTTCGCGCCGTCGGCTGTGACCCTGCCTTCTGTGTTTCTCTCGGCGGGTGACGGGAGAGTAATAGCGACAGAGAGCTGGCGAATATTTGTGAGAAGCTCCGCGTAGATGGTTGGCGTGTCTTGGGAGAACATCACGGGCGACGAAAGGTAACTGTGACTTGTTTGAAGTCTGTGAGTTCGTCCATTCGCGTTGGATGAGAGTCAATCTAAGCTCAGTGAGGACCCGCGTTAAGTGGGTCGGATGCGCGCTGTGGGCTTGTGGCGGCAGTTGGGACGCGCCTGAAGGTGCTAGAACACAGTGCACCTCCTCCAAATCTCAACCTACTTTTGGTCACCCTCGTTCATGGTTTTGATCGTCACAACTCAAGCAATGAACATGTTGAGCAAAGCCACTCCTCAGTCTCAATTTAGGAGCCGAAAATCGACAACAAGATTCTGAACGATATGATGATACAACTAACGTCAAATTGTAAGGACCCCTACATCCACAAGCAGTGGTTCACATCTCATGTGAAACAATCATTCGTTTAGCAAACGTTGCAATGCAAAGACAAAAACACGTCGTTAAATAACTGATTAAACTACACTATGATGTTTGACGTGGCGCTGTTTGACTTGAAGGCCATTCATGAAGCTCATATGCAGGAGCCGGGTTGCTCCCGTGGTCCTCAAGTGGAGGATTCCGGACGTCTCTGAAGTGGGTTAACTCGATAGGTTCCTCACGACTTCCAGGCTGCGTGGGCTCTCCTGCGATAAGTCTCCCTTCGTTAGGGTCGATTCTCGAGTAAGGCGGCAGCTCGTCGTCAACGGCGTTTGCATCGGCTTCTCGGTGGACTGGCGCTTGCTGCGATCGTGGTGGCCGATATGGTCCCGGCCCCCGGGTTTCTCTCCTTAAGCGTTCGAATTCATCTTCAGGCTCTGGCGGGTACAGGTCCAGATTCTGCAGTCGATCCCACATTTTCACCGACGCAGCATATACGAGACGTCCAAGGAGATGGCTGATGAAGGCACACCATGCCATGGCCTTGAATGACGAACCAACCGCGTGGTATGGAAAGACGTCTTCATAGTCCCCGAAAGCAGCGTTGGCTTTGTGTGCAGCTGCCGTTATCATGCTCGAAGCCACCAGCAAAGCGACGAGGGCGAGAGCATGTGCAGCCATGACCACTCTCCAGTGTGGTGCGTTCAGCATCACTTCGTTTCTCTTGGCGACTATCTGGAAGATCCAGGTGCCGAGGGTAATTGCCAAAAAGATGCCGTACGACGACAGAGCATTCATCGAGCCAACTGTGCTCGCACCAGTGAAGGTGGCGTTTGTTGACCACTCGAAATGGCCTTCCGATGGTCCATATCCATTCGGTTCATAGAGCTTTTGTGAAAGGTCCGATTTGATGCGCTGTAAGTCAAAAACGCTGCCTGGCATCCTACGGATGCAGCCTGCCAGCGCGTACTCCCTGTCAACGTACATCTCCTCAAAGCAGCAGCTGCTCATGAACCAGGTCAACGCGAATGTACTTTCGCGCTGACTTTCACTTCTGCGAAATGCCGCCGACCACTAGACGGTTTCTGTCAGCGCCATGCGCACCGTTACAAAGGTTTGATATTGACTGACTGTGACGAGGTAGACGTCTCTGCTGTAAACGGCTGCGCCAGCCCGTATACCCTCGTTAACCCAGCCGCCAACGCAGAGGGGGATAATGATGGCTATCGCGATGGCGTCGAGGGCGGCTGCGATCCAGATCAAGTGCCGCCTGATCCTCCTTTCTTCTGGGCGTGAGAAAATGGACTTTTGAGCTGCGGGCGGTACGTCTTCTTCAGTATGCGCGTCCATTTTGAGGAAGTGAGACGGTATCAGTTTACGAGATGCTCATAATATTAGACAGCCTTGAAGTTCGGGAGGGCTAACAGCATCCTCGAGATTGGAAGTATGTTCAATGCCAACTTCTGGACGCGCGAGTGATGAGTAAAATGCAGGGCTGTGAGAAAGGGGCTCCTTTTCATCGTCAGTCGCCTCGTTGGGTTTTACGCGCCCCGCGAGTGCTCTAGTGCAATCAGCAATGCGGCACAGTCGACGATACAGCTTGCAGGGTAACGGTATAGCTGCCGTTTCGGGCGTCGAGAGAACTTATGTGCCGCTTGGCATCACCATCATTTAATTTGAACTTCATTTAGGCGGAAATGGGGAGAAATTTGACTTTAAGAGGATGAACAATATTCTCTGATTATTCGCCTAAGAGGATGAAGCCCACACCAGTGAACGGTAGTCTTAAAACTTCATAGGATGATAAGTTCAAGGTTGGTGTGATGACAATTCAGTACAATAGCTTCGAGAAGGTCTAGTAGTAATTTCATACATAGTAGTGGGCAGAACGCACAGACCAGCCCCTGGCTGGATAGAAGCTTCTCAATCGTCCGTGTCGAATTTGGCCAAAAACGGCTTAGCTCGGAAGCTCCGAGGTCCTCCACTCAGAATTCCAATTTCACCAGCCGGCTTGCGAGTTCAACATTTGGTACGACGGGCTCGGTCGAACAAGACAGAATTCCCAAGAGCTTCAAGCGGACGACATCCTTACATCGCAAGGCAAACTCTTTAAACCGATCTAATTCGATTCATTCCATTTCTCCATTTCTCCATTTTGAGTCCCACTACAAAGTTTACACCGCAATCATGGCAACCCTCGGAGGCTACCTGAACAGTACGTCGCGATCTTCCTAATATCACCCCCCAGCTCACGACCTCGACATACTAACCGCTTGGCTTACAGAAAAGGTTCTCATTGTTACGGCCGACTCGAGAATCTTAGTCGGCACCCTGGCAGCCGCCGACCAGTCCACAAACCTCGTAAGCTTTTGCAGACCACCCCCTTCTCGCAGACATTGCAGCCAGCTAACCGTGCTGTGTGCGCAGGTCCTTAGCAATGCCCAAGAGCGAGTAATCCAGACCCCCGAGAGCGGCGAGCCCTCCGTCGAAGTGCCCCTCGGCCTATACCTCGTCCGCGGCGACAACGTCTGCACCGTCGGTCTGGTGGACGAGCAACTAGACGATAGCATCAACTGGACCGAGGTCAAGGGATCCGCCATTGGAGGAACGAAACACATATAACCCAGCGATCGACATGGGACCTGGGTGGAGTGGCATTATTTAAGTCTTGGATCACGGATTGGGTTCTTCTTCTTTTTTTTTTTTTAACGAGCGGGATACCCGAGTGTTGGGAGATGCGAGCTTGCGGCCTGTCAGAAGGGCTAGCAAAAAACACACATACAAGATACGGCGTTGAAATGTTTTTCTGGGTTGGTAGAGAGAATGAACATTGGGTTCCTACGGGGTATGCGCCTGCCTTTTCTATCTAATCTCCATGCCAGTCTCTATGTCGTTGCGCTGACATTGACTCCAATGAAAGTCCCCTACGGTACTCCCCGGGGATCGCGTTGAATACTGCTCAACCAAAGATTCTCTTCATCAGATCATGCGCGCAAGCCTCCTCGCCGGGGGACTCGACCATCCTGTTGATCCTGTTGCCTCTGCTGTAGCTGAGCCAGCCGCCAGTGTCACCGGGCACCTCGGCCAGAGTCAAGACGTCGACGCCGTCGCCGCTGTTCTCGCTGGTCTCAAGGGCCGCCTCGGTGTACTTGGCCCTGATTCTGCGGTCAATGACGTGCATTCCGCGCGTCCACTGGCCAGAGGTCTCGATGCGAATGTCCTCGGGCTTCGCGACAGGCTTCCACTTGGGGTCGGACTGCGTCAGCAGGTACCAGATGGTCAGTGGGTCATGCAGAGAGAGACCGGGCTCCTGGCCGTTTCCTTCCATGGAATCGATCTTCTCAAAGGTCTTGGACATGAAGTGGTCAACCCACTGGCCAAGAGGGCTGCCGGACTCCACGATGGGCTTGATGCGCTCCGTGAAGTAGTTCTTCATGAGGAGATGGGGCGTGGTGATGTCGAGAGGGAAGAGCGTCAGCTTCAGAGGCTTGGAGAGCTTGGCCGGGTAAGGCGGGAGAGAAGACTTCTTGTCCGAGATGGGAGGCATGGTCGACCGAGGGTTGGGGGAGGTCAGAGCAAAGACTCTAGCCGCCGCAACCGTGTCGGCAAAGGTGTTGAATTCGCCGACGGGGGTGATGTTACCCTCGACGTGGACTGCACCGCCCATGACGCACAGCTCCTTGACGCGGAGGAAGGTCTCGGGGTCCTCGGCGGCGGCGAGTGCGACGTTCGTCATAGGCCCGACGACGCAAATGGAAATGGTGTTTGGGGGGTTCTCCCGGAGGATGCGCAGAATCTCCTTGTGTGCAACCTGCTTGGCGGGCGTGAAGTATTGGTTGAATGGGGACGGGTCGTGGTCAACGTCCTTCTCCGTGTGGAAAAGCGACTTCCACCTCTCATCAGGGGAAAGGTGAGGGTGTCTCTCGTGCACGCCGTGTAAGCCATCAAGTCCGTCTGCACTCGTCAGTGGGCAATCCTGGCCCGTCAGGTTCGGGAATTCTTACGGAAGTAATCGGCAGCAAGCTCGTCGTCCTCAAGGGGATGCTCCGCACCGACGGCGACAATAGGCTTGTAAGTCTTCATTGTCTCGAAGCCCTCGGGCTTGCCGTTCGCCTTACGCCAGGCCAACTCCTTCTCCAAAACGTGGAATAGAGCAACGGCGTTCCGCAGACAGCTGGAGAATGTCAACACCTAAAGCCTCCACCAACACTACGGTGCATACCTCTGCAGGGGCACATTGCCGTATGTGACGGAAATCATCATGACCTCCAGCTCCTCAGGGGAGGCCGAGAGGGCCAAAAGCATGGCAAGAACATCGTCAATGCCTAATATGGCGGTTAATCTCAGCTTATTACAAGGCTGCTTTCAAGTCTCACCTGGGTCAGTGTCAATGATGACACGGTTCTTGGGAGCCATGGTTAAGATAGTTGAATGTAGTATATTATCCCAAGTGAGATGAATGTGATGAATGAGCCTTGTTTTCGTCCAAAGCCCCCACGATCTGCGACAAAGAGATATAGTATCCAGATGGGACTGTTATAGAAAACCGGACCCAATGACTCAGGCGGACTTCGACGGATATCGGCGGTTTGGAAAAGCTAGCGGAGCCGCCCGACACTGACGGGCTGCCTTATAGTGAGCGTGTATAAGCTCTAGTTGCAGCCTGTAAGGGTTTTACTCAGTGAAGGACGCTGCAGAGAGAATTGGGAGTGAGTGACCCCTCATTCCTAACTTCTATGGTGGGGGTGTCCGCGGGCATACACCACTAGAGAGTGCCACTAAACCTGTTCAGGTGACATAATCCAGTGATAAGATCGGGGATGGCCCAGCTCTCTTTAGGAAGCTGGCCAACTACGTAGCATTGTATGGCAGGTTGGCTACTGTCAACCATCTGGTATTGAATGGAACACGGGGAAGATGGTTAGTTTCGGTAGTACACACACGTGAGATCGACCATGGCCAGTATAACTTCCGAGGTCAAGAGCAAGCTGAAATAATTACTTGGACGGTTCTTTCCCGATTACTGCCCTCGGCACCTGTGAATTGACTCTTGCTCTGACTTATGGAACAGGGAAGCTCCTATCTGGGGCACCTTCCACTGATCGGTACACTAAAAGACCTCTTGTCTCTTCTCGGCCCAATCAGATGCTGAAGAGTACTGACGAGTCACGTGATGAGGCAAAGTCACTGAGGCACGTGACACTTCGTCGTCGCAATTCCTCCGAGCCCGTGCTAGGGTGCAAAAAGGCGGATCCCAGGTCCCTTTAACCCCGTGGAAACGAGAAGCTGTCACTTTCGAGGTGATCCGGAAATTACATAACGAAGCTCTGGGGAGAGATAACCTCATCTTTCCACTTCTCCAGCTCAGGCACCTGGAGAAACAACCTCTCTAATCAGTCAATGCAACTGTTAAAAACGGTAAGTGCAGTCTTTTCTCGTCAATTGCCTCATCAGACCCAAGATTCGTCCGTCTTTTTTCCTTTTTTTTTATTTCGTCTTCTTTCACCACTTTCTTTTTGCAACACACTATTCAGAGCCCAGCACTTTCCTTCATTCCCCCCTTCCTTTGCCTCCCGCTTCATCTCAGATTAGCCCAGGCCAAACACATCCCTGGGGGACCTGCGGCAGACGACACCAGACCTAATACGTAATTCCCACTGTTGGGGATTCGGATGCACGTCGGGTGCGGTGCAGCACCGACACCTTTGCGGCGGTCGGCTGTTGGATCCGTGACGGGACCCCTTACCTTTCCTCTGCCAAAAACCCCATTGCTGTCATCTTAGTGGACTGCTGCACCTGGACTGGGCCACGACTGGACCATTGACGGCAGAAGTACCCATTGGGATTTGCTAAAGCCACCTGGTAACTTTTTTTTGCCTGCTCCTTGCCAAGCTGCCTGCATCTGAACACGACATCCAGCACGTCTTTCAATCGCGTGGTCAAACGCCTCCTTCATCGCCTTTTTTTCACTCTCCTGTCCTCTTTCTTTATTCCTCACCTTTTCTTCCGCCCCATCAACTCCTATCCTCATCTTTCATCAATCCCATCAATTCTTGCGCCCGATTCCCCTTGCGCATCCCTTCTTGTGTACGTCTCCATTCGCACTTGCCCCGGCTGCTGCCGATCATCACATCCTGTTCAAAGCTCAACCTAAATTTTGACCTCGGGCTAACCTCGCATTGAACAGCCATCTCTATCCTCTTCACACCTGTCCCATCAGTGAAGCACGAAGGCACGCCTGGATTAACCTAGGCACTCAGGGTTCTCGGTACTTGTATCCGATAACCCATCGTCTTCGAAACCCACCTTCACTACCCTAATCAACACAACCCCTTAATACCCATCGCAAAGTGAGCGCTTCGAGCCTCTCACATTAGCCAAAATGCCAGCTTCCGAGTTCCTCACTACCCAGACTATGGGCGGGTACATTGTGGTTCTTGCCATTGCCGGCGGTCTGACCTACTACTACATGGCCGACAAGAACAAAGCACAAGCTGCCAAGGGAGTCAAGCCATACGTTGAGCCGCGCAAAGATAACAATGCAAAGAAGCAGAGACAGGCTGCCTTTGCTTCACACAAGCCGGCCGCGGACGATAAGGCCTCGTCCAGCGGAGTTGCCACAAGCCAATACCTGAGCAACGATCCCGATGAGAAGATCGACAACAGCGACTTCGCTAAGCGAATGGCCACTGTCAAGGAGGGCAAGAAATTCGACGGCAAGTCTTCCGGAGGAGACAAGAAGAAGGCCAAGTCCGTCAAGCAGTCCCGTGCTGTTGAGAAGGACGAGAAGAAGACCGCCCAGGTCACTGAGGAGAAGCCTTCCCCTCCCGCTCAAGTCCCTGCCGTTGAGGCCGAGGAGGTTGAGGAGTCGTCTCCCTCCGCCTCGCCCGAGGTTGCCCCTATCGACCCCAGCGGTGTCAACGACATGCTCGAGCCCGCCGCCGCCGGTCCCTCTGTCCTTCGCCTGACTGGCACTGACAAGGAAAAGCCCAAGGCCAAGACGCAGAAGGCTCCTGAGAAGGCCGAGACCAAGAAGCAGCGCCAGAACCGCCAGAAGGCTGAGGCCAAGAAGGCTGCTCGCGAGGAGGAGGAGAAGGACCGCAGGGTCAAGCTCGAGAAGCAGCTCCGCACTGCCCGCATCGCCTCTGGCACTCCCGCCAAGGATGGCTCCCAGTTCGTGGCTGCCAACGGCAACAAGTCCGCTTGGACTGCCGAGAACTCCAATGGCGCCTCAACCAACGGCAAGTCTGCCGCTGTTCAGCCTCTGGACACCTTCGAGGCCCCGGCCAAGAACGGCACCGCGGCCCCCAGCCAGGCTGCCAACAACTGGATCTCCTCTCTCCCCTCTGAGGAGGAGCAGATTGAGCGCCTCAAGGAGGAGGACGAGTGGAACACCGTGCCCACCAAGTCCTCGAAGAAGGCCAAGAAGGACGGCCGGGCTCCCTCTCCCGAGGCCGCCGCCGCCGCCGCTCCGGCCCCTGCCCCCGCTCAGTCTCGCCCCATCGCCCAGGCCGTCCAGAAGCCGGCCGCGTCCAACGGCAAGGTTGCGAAGCCCGCTCCTTCCTACGGCTCCTTCTCCGCCCTCAGCACCGACGACAAGGAGGAGGAATGGGACGTATAAACGGTTAGACCGCTACCAACAACATTTCTCCAGGACATTCCGCCCCAGACACGCGACCCTACATCATATCCCACTTTCAGCGTCGTCTGACTGTCACTTGTTATTCTAACTGTACAATACTTCTTCCTGGAGTGCGGAACAACTGAAACTCTCACATGCATCCTCTTTCGACATCACGAAGGGGGCCGCCATCCTCGGACCGATCGCGACCGCACAAAGCGGCGGGGGCGTGGTCGGAAAAGGCACATGGCTTGCTATCGCGCACACACACAAAATAGATCTCAGCCACAGTATGAGATCTGGAGTTGGGGGAACATTGGCCAGCGGGCTGAATGATTTGCACATGCTTTTTTTTTTCTTATTTTCGGTTCCGAGACCAAATTGCTATAGGCGGGATTGTTGACGACGAAGGGTGGATGACAACGGATCACGATGTCAACGAGAGAGAGAGAGAGAGAGGAGGTATGGTCTCGGACGGAAAAAAAACAAAATGAAACCTTCCTTAGGGTGAGATTGGTTGAATCACATGGGAAACGGCCATGCACCTCAATCGTTGTGTGTTTAGCGCAGATTCCCGCGAGAGATACTTTCAATAGGTTTTCGTCCCCTTGAGCCTTGCCTACCTTTTGCAGTGACCTCGACAGTGACCATGCATCTTCCTTTAAGTACCTGTTGTCCCGGGATCGTGCCGGGTAAAAACGTGACTAGCATAAACCCCACGTTCATGCTACGTGCTCCAGTCTGTCGTCACGATCGATCTCGGCATCGGAGAAGGACGTCGTTCACCGTTGTTGGTTTTTTTTTTTTTTTTTTGTGGATTTGCACGAGTCGACAAGACTAGGGTGAGCTGTCTGTCAAAGCATGTGAGAGAGAGTAGTAGACGACGTGTGGTGCCTCCATACCGATGGGAACAACTAAGGCGGTGTCCCACATCACATTCATGTCCTCCCTCCCCCCTCTCTTTCTCTCTCAACTAGCTATCCTGGAGATCGATGCCAGGTTGGCGGAGCTCCCAACGAAATCTACGATCTAGGAGGGGTTGTTTTGTGAGACATGCAACTTGTTTGTTCCTTTGGCGTCGCAGTAGAGGGGACAGGACAGGACACAGAGAGGGAGGGAGAGATCTGGAGTCCCGCCGGTTGGCGAAGGAGAGGTGGGAGGGGGGTGGTGGGTGGGATGGGCGTAGGCGGAATTGCATTAACGTAGTGTTACTAGTAGTTGTCACATACGTGCATATATACACGTGCTCAAGTGTTCTGATGGAGGGTGCGTGTGGGTGAGTGAGTGGGTAGGTGGTAGTGTGTTATTCTTTTGCATGTCTTGGGGGATGACCAGGTATACCAGCCGATTCGTGTGCGTAAGGCGGGATTGTGTGGGTTTGGAATATGGGCGGAGAGTCAAGCACGTTACGGGGTTCCTGATAGCCGCTTGATGCGTGGGCTGGGCTGGGCTGGACGGATGATGTGAGGGGACGGGATAGGTCAGGTCAGTTTGTTGGAGCGGGCGGGCGAGCGGGCATACGGGGCGGATGTTGGAACGGAGGTTCGGCAGCCCGGGGGTCTGTCTGTCTGTCTGGTCTGGGTGGGAGGTGTTTTTTTTTTTTAGGTATGGTGGTGGTGGTGGTGGTGGTGGTGGGGGTCAGTGCCGGTTGTTCGGGTGTTGATACTGTCATTGTTTATCGTTGTCTGACAGGGTGTTACCGGGAAAATTGACGGCTGGGTATCGAAGCATCGGAATGGCCGTCGGCGATGCGTAGCATAGTGGATGCTGACGTATATACATGGGGACGTCTGTGGGCGAGGAGGGTTGGTATCCGATGGATGGGGCGGGCCAAGATGTGAAAGTGAGGGGAATGTGGAAACATTTTTATGATTGTATGTGTGTGTGATGTTGCGTGTGTTTTCGGCGCAACGGTTGAGCGGTGGGTTTCCCATTTTGCGGGAGGATGGCTGGGCGACGACGATTCTCGGGAGTGATAGGAATCTATCTTGGCCACGTCGGGGCCTGGGGAGGATGTGAATGTGATAGGGCGGGATTGCGTTGCCCAGGTACTCGTAATGGCGGGATAAGCAGGTTACCAAGACGTCCAGAACAGAGACGGAAAATGCAGAGAAACTTGGAATAGTAGCTGTAACCGGGGTAAGGGTGTGTGTGTGTGTGTGTGTGTGTGAGGTAGATGTGACGAGATGGATTGATTGTGGTTTCTGTCTGAGTTGAATCGGTGTGTTGTTGTTTCTGGCTGATATGTTTGTGTATGCGTTGACGTCTGTTTGCATCTTGGCTGCCTCTGTTGGATCGAATGCTGCAGCAACAGCAACAGCAGCAGCAGCGGTGACAATAAACTCGGTCGTATATTTCAGGTGGTTCATTTTACAAACCGGACAGGAACAACAAGATTCAGGATGTTTCACGGGCCTCAGGACTCTCGGGGATCGGCAGCCGCTAGAAAATGGCGGGATTGAAGCTATGCGTTGCGGATGTACAATCTACACCAGGCACGGGGGAGATGTCCCATCTTGGCACGGGATCTTTTCAGTTGGTTCGTCATCATCAAGGTTTTTGGAAAAAAAAGAAAAGGGTAGATCTCCCTCTCCTTGTGTGCGTCTGCGTTGCTCCAAGGTTTGCTTTAATTCTTTCGTTGGGCGCGGGTTTGTTCAGCATCATCGGCGAATATGCTCCTCAGCCGCAAAGGTTAAAAGAGGCTAAGGAGAGTTTGGAAAGTATCGAGGTCTCTTTCGACGGGCAGCTTTACTTTGTGCTGCATGAAGACATGTGGTGTATCTCGGAGAAGGCAGAAGTTTACGGGTGAGGATACTTTGGAATGTACTTGCGGTAAATGAGTTGAGATGGAGGGGGCGATGAGGGGGGGTGGCCAAGGCACTAGGAACTAGGAACTAGGAACTAGGAACTAGGAACTAGGACGGCGATGTGGAGGGGAGGAGGAGGAGAGCAAGCGAGCGAGAGGGGAACGAACAGACGATATAGTATCTTTTTTGTTCATGCTTGCCGACTTGTTGGTTTGCGGTGGGCTTTTTTGATACCCTTTTTTCCCTCTCTTTGGTCGGCGATGGGATCCATGTCAACGGTAAGCCACCCTTGGAGAGGTTCAAGAAAGGTCAACCGTGGATGTTGCGTTGCGTTGCGTTGCGTTGCGTTGCGTTGCGTTGCGTTGCGTTGCGTTGCGTTGCGTTGCGTTTTACGATTTGAGTGTTTGGTACCAGGGGAGAAGGGACGCATCCCGTGCAAGATCGACGTCGAGATCCGAGTAGCCGGCTATAGTGTAGCGCGCGATACACCGTGGCCGCGTGTGCGTGTAAACCACGCCCCCCAAGATCAGTTCCTGGACGGTCCAGATGTTACGTAGTAAACGGCCCTATCGAAAATGGTCACGCCTCGAGGGAGCGGCAGCTGGAACAGGTTGGTTGTCCAAGATACCCTCCATACCTACCTACATAGTACGTAGATGGCCTGAGAGGGGGGATGGATAAAGGGGGGAGGGGTTTAAGTGTAGTGGAACAGCAGGGCATAAGGATCGATAATATCCCTCCTACGGGGGACCCTGGCCACCAACGTCCAAGATACCCCTTCTCTCCTCTGCCTTTAATCCCTAAAAGCCTAGGCCAACGAGGGATCCCGTCTACTTGATAGATACACGGTCTTATCAATGAGGAATAAATCCCTAGGGAAGACAAGAATGTACAGGGACATTGAAGAAAAAAGAAAGGTGATTTAAGGAAGAGCAAAGAATAAAAGACATTTTTGGCGCGACAAACGCTGAGACGCACGTCATGCCTCAAATCCCTCCGTCAAACAAGACATCTACAAGCAACGTCCCAGGAGAGATGGACTGGCATTAGAAACAACAGCGAACGTGCGCTAAACATGGAAGAGAGACCACGAGAAGTAAAGGCGAGAAGAAAAAAGAAAAAAAAACGAAAAGCAAGCAAACGAAGCAGGCGCCGTCGCCGCAGCCAGCACCGCCTCCGCCGTTCGACAGCCCATCGAACCAGTGGTCACTGCGGGACGTCGGAGGACGCGGGCGGCCGAGACAGGCAACGGTCTAGCTGCTAAGCGTTGTAGGCGTGTACAGAGTGAACGGTGTGTGGAAATTGGGGGGGACAATTTTATTTTACTCCTTTTTTTTTTTCTGTTAATTATTTTATTTACGAAGTATTCTCCTTGACGGATATTTCACCTCATCTCCCCCCCCTTTCGTATCCCTCTCTCTCTGGTCTGTGTCTCTCTAATATGAGGCCATTAATCTCAGTCATTGGTTCAGTTAGAGCATCATTAGTCTGGTCGTCTGGTTGCTGGACGAGAATGCCGGAGGAAAAGTCTATGTAAGAAACTAGCGATTAAAATTACGGCTCATGACGATGACGAAGACGGCAACGAAACCGACAGGCGGGCAGTATGGCCAGGTCAATAGTCAAGTTCGCGGCCGGTCACGCCTTGGACCTGTACATTGACGGACAAATATGGCACACGCCCAGCGCGCCTAACAGACCCCGTCCGAGGCGCGACGCGGCGCAAATTGGCTGAGTTGCAGATTCATATGTGCATCGTAAGTGAGAGGGGCTATTGAGGCAATGAGAGCGCTCTAAGTGTGCATGGGATTCAAGACCGAACAACGGGCCAAGTCCAGCAGGTCGGGGGTTGTCGGGGGGCGGCAAAGTACCTGGTACATTCCCCATCAGTCACTCCACCCGACCTTGAGGAGCTCTTTTCTGGGCGCTGCGCGACTTGTCGTCACCACCGTAACAGAAAGGAAAAAAAAAAAAAAAAAAAAAAAAAAGATTAAAACAAAATAAAAAAAACGACTCTCAGAGTCTTGGCCGATTGGGATCTTCCGCCAGTGGCCTGTGTTGCTGCTTTCCCGGGGTTTGGGCCGGGCATTGGAGGCCTGACGGGCATATTTCGATATGCGCGCAATGTAAAAAGTGAAGCGCCCCCGCCAATTTCTTCTCCCCTTTTGCACTTTTACTCTACGTTTGCAGATTCAAACAGACAGCCAGAGGGGTACATACAGAATGGTGAAGCAGCTGCGAGTCTTGGCTGGTGCAGTAAAGTGCGGTTGGGCGAAGAAAAGAAGATTCGAGGCGGCCGATGTGGAAACACTAAGGATTCCGAATAGACGTGGAATCGCTGCGATGCACTATAATGCGTCCGCCGTCGTGGTCCCTCCCCCCTCCGCGTGGGCCATGGGGAGGGGCATCGCCTAAACAGCTACATTGGGAGTAATGTGGTAGTACTATATACTAAGTAAGAAGAGCCACGAGTAACGCAACGGCCGGGCACGGGGACCAAGTAAAGTACGTAGTACCCGCGGTGCTCCGTACACCGTCTCATACATATAGCGACCTCGATTGGACCGCACAGCACACAACATGCCGCAGGCGCAAGGCACAGGCTGCTGGCGGTGGCCTTGGAAAAGATGAATAATTGGTATCCGAACAGGGAAGGTGACGAGCCATCGTTGTCTGGGGGTATCGCATCGCTATCACTCTGCTGTCTGTCCAACGTGCCAACCTCCTCCTCCTCCGGTTCACCAAGACGTCCCAAAGGAGCCAGAAGAGGCCAGACGGCGGACGCAGAAATGCAAGCCGACTGGATGCAGGCAGGGAAGAAAAAAGAGACTCGCAGACTGGGCACACCCACAAGAGACAATTGTTCTGTATGCGTACCATGTATTCTCTAGTATACAACATACCCCACCCTGCGCCGCTCCCTTTTGCTATTGGTACACGCCGCATAGAGGGCGCCGTATCTGGTAGTTGGGACCTTACTATAGTAACCACCCCCCCCAGCGACCGAGGGCCCCATAGGAAGGGGGCAATGACGGGGGTCGAGCCCCGTCCGCTTAAACCTGTGGAGGGGGGCCGCAATCTCTTGCAGTGAATTTCCACTGGAACGGATGGGAGTTGGGAGGGGGATTTACACCATCCTCCAGTAATCGATGCTTGTACCTGGTACCTCGCACACGCCCCCCCCTCCTCTCTTCCTCCCCCAGTGCCATTCACTTTCAATCAATCGCCCGTTCCCCCCCAAAGTCCACTCCACCACCCCCCTTCGTTTCGTTGATCCAAGGCGTGGCCAGCCAGCACTCGTTGCGCATGTCCCTTTTGGCCTCCCTTTTTCGAAACGTCGTCTCCTGCACTCCCAATTCGGCTTCCATTCGCCTTGTCTCTTTTCTTTTCCGTTTGTCGTTTCTTGTGTTTCTCATTCCCCCTCCCCCAATCCGCCCGAATTGTCGACAATTCAATTCCATTGGGTGCCCCATGTGTAAGATCCAGCTCCCTCGACTTCGATTCAACTCATACTCGGCCCTCCATCGCTCACACAACGCAGAAGCCACACCCCCCGGGCATCATCAGCACCAGCAAGTAACATCATCATCATCATCGCCGTCTTCCTCATCACCCATTTAGCTGGTGCCCTTGCTTAAACCGTCCGTCCGACCGCCCGCATACTCTCACACACACACACATATACACTGGGCGCCGCCGTACGCTACAGTCACATTACATACTCGAGGTGTCTTACACCGGCTGCAGACCTAGACCCTCGTACTCGAGGCACAGTTACTACCACACGCCCCTCGAAATAGCTCGTCTGGTACCAACCTTGAAACTCTCCCGTCCGCCAACCCAAACCTCGATACTCCCGGTACCTTGGGGGGGCCGCACAGGCCGAGCCACTCTTAAAGCAATTGCGCCTCCGTACCGAAACTGTGTCTTGGGCTGCGCGCCGGTGATTCACTTCAATGGCGCTTTAAACTTCCACTGGCGCTGGCACGCGGTCCCTTTACCTAACCTCACCTATTGCCCACCCCCCCTCTCAAGTCATCGTCACCACCATACCTTAACGTCCACATTTACCTGTGAGACCTCAGCAGACCTCGCCAGCCCTCGTGGTTTGTTGCTGTCACCTTTTCTATTTCCCATCTAGAGCCTTGACGTCTTGCTCCCCCGCGAACCGCCACGAGACAGACCACACGTCAACAGCCAGACACCCCCCCGGGTCTATAACTCCCCCTCGACGACCACCATCACTCACCTTACCGAACCTGTCTTTTTTGGCTCTTTCGATGTATAGTTGCACCTCCGGCCGCCGAATACTCTCCAAACGTTGTCCCCGAGCCGGGGTTACGGCCAATCCGCCATCGTCATGTCGTTACCCGTCGCAATCCAGTCGGCCATATTCTACTACTTAGCATGCACGCCATGTAACGAGATGAAGGCGTTTAGGAAGGCGAAGAAGAAGGCAAAGGAAGAAAGAGAGGTCAAGAGACGTATAGAGATGGAGCAGCCGGGACTGTACCGCCATCCAGACCCCTTCAACACCAACCCCTACTGGGCCGAGGAGATGGCCATGGGACCCCACCTACCCAAGAAGTCGGCGAGCAAGAACCCAAGCCAGAGAGGCCTGACCAGTGCCGGCCGGACGAGTACCGCTGCGAGTTTCGGTCGTGCGAGTACTGCCGCCGACAGCACCAGCCCTGTGAGCCCGACCACCAGCGCCGAGCAAGCACGAAAACTGTCTGGTGACGGCTGGAATAGGACCCTGTATCAGCGCGAGGATGAGGAGCTGTGGGGTCACAACTTATCCGGCATGGGTCACAAGCTCATGGACAACATTGTCAAGGCAGGCAACTCGGCTGGACGCTACGTGGAGGAGAAGCTGGGCCGCGACAAGCCCATCACGGACGAAGACCGCGAGAACTTTTACACCACCCCGAGAAATCCTCCCGTCAACGACTATCACCCGCCTATTGTCGGAAGCAAACCATCTCGTCCCGACGCTCTCAAGTGGATGTTGCAACCCCCGCCGCCCGCCAAGCTTATGGAGGGCCGGGTACCTGTCACGAGGACGGGAAGCACCAGCACTGTCGCCAGCAGGAGGACAATGGCTTCTGAGGAGCAATCTCTGGACAGACTAGTCCGGGAGAAGGCCCTCAAAAAGAAGTTACGCCAAGGGGAGAAGGCCCGCCAGGAAGAGACCCCTTCTGAATCGGAGTTGATCGACTCGCTTATCGGAGCGAGATCCCGGAAGTCAACCGTTTCGAGCAGGGCCCTGTCCAACCGTAGCCGAAGTCTCTCGCTCGAGTCCGAAGTGTCTTCGGACGGTGAGCTCGTGGAGAGGCGACGAAGAGCCCGTGCTAGGCACATTCCCCTTACGCCGGAGGAGACGTCTTCGGACGAGGACGACTACGTCCCGCGCACCTGGGATTCGATAGGACATGCGAGCCCTCCCCGACGGCCCAGGCTGGAAACGATTGGCAGCTCCCGGTCCAACACCAGGCAGGCATTGAAGGCACGGCCGAACGGCACCAAACCTGACGCCGCCCCGAAAGACACGTCTGACATCACACCCAAGGCTTCGGCCAACCCTATCGTCACACTAAAGGTGGACGAGAACACACCTACCACACCTACAGTACCTACAGTATCATAAACTTTTCTGGGGACTGCACTACACCTTGACACCTTTACAACTTCCTTCGGCCCCTCTTTTTTTTTTTTTTCCTTTTTCTCTCCTTGGGGTCATTACTGCATTGTTATAAATCGGGCGGCATAGCGTTCAGGCAAGGGCATGCATTTGCATTACTGGGATAATGGATCGGCAACGGCGTTGAAATGTGCGCAAAAGCAGCAGCGGCGGCAGCAGCAGCAGCATATGGTCATTGGTTTTCTTCAATCTCGTTTTCTTGCACAAAAGGGGGGACTGGACCGGGTTGAATTGTTTCCTTGGGATGACGACGACCTTTTTTTTCTTCTTCTCTTCCGTCTGAATCCTTTTGTGTGATTTTTTGTTTTGTTTTTTCATTCATTCTTGACTTGACACTCGCCTGCACACATGGCTGCGATTGAGCTTCTACATTTCTTTCTTTTGTCCCCCTTTCGTGATGGCATGCTAGCATAAGCAAATAGGAATATGAGGGTATTATCTCTTTCCGAATCCTTTTTTTTTTTTGGTGTCCATCCACCTGTGTCTTCCTAACCGTAAAAACATTACCGGCAACGTTTCATCGTAAGTTGTGATTGACGGACGATTATCTTCCGTCTCGCCTACAAATGCATTCCACCCTCGTTGTCGTCGTCGTCGTCCTGACCGAGACCTCTCATCCGCTCCTCCATCGCCCGACGCAGTTCCTCGTCTGTTAAACGGCCTCCCGTGCCGTTGGCCTGCTGTGCCGGCTGTGCGGGCTGCGCATCGAGCCGGATCTCGCCGTTACGTATCGTGCCCGTCTGGAACGTGCCGTCGAGCCACGCGGGATGTTGCGAAGTCGATGACGTAGTCGCCGCCGTCGTCTCTCGCCCAGCGACCCTCTCTTCCTCCTCCCTCGCAGCACCTAATCCGTTCGTAGTCGCAGTCGCAGTCGCGCCGTTCGTCGTCGTCGTCGTCGCAGCGATAGCAGCATCAGCTTCCACCTCCTCCTTACTGCGGAACTCGTTCCAGTTGTGTCCGCGCTCCTCGACCTCGGCGCGGATGAGGTCGACGCGCTCCTGCATGCGCGCGATGACGGCCTCGTTCTCGCGGATCGCCTCGACGCAGTCCTGGTCGGGCCGGCCGGCGGCGGCGTCGGCTGCGTCGAGCGTCGTGGCGGACCCTTCCGCGTACGGCTTCAGCTGCGCGTTGGAGTACTCTAGGTGCAGGATCGAGTTGCGGATCTCGAGGACTTTGAGGTGCAGGGTCGGCAGGGAGAGGTCTTTTAGGGCCTCGGCGAAGCGGGTTGGTGTTATTGGGCGGGTGTCGGCGGAGGACATTTTTTTTTTTTTTTTGGTTCTCTGGGCCTCTCGTTTATAGGGGTGTGGTTTTGAGTTTGAGTTTGCTCTTTGAGTGGATTTCTTTTTTAGTATGATTCGTATGGAAATCGTGAGGAGGTTTGCGAGGTTTGCTGCGATTATGGACAAAGGCAGATTGGGGTGATGAACCGCGTAGTAATTTTCGGTGATCGTCGTCGCACGACTGAGCTGCCTGGTGTTGTAGTGTGACGACAGCTCCAACCGCGGGGTGGAAGGTCTAGTGGAAGGTTCCTGCGGTGGGGCTGTTGAACAGGGGGGGGAGGGAAGGGGAGGTTAGCACGCAGAGGGGAGGGGTGGTGCTACAGCGTTGGTCAACCTTATCGATTACGTTAGTCCCTTTTGCAGCTCCAAAAGGTTGGTCTTTACGCGTACACCTGGTGTCGGCCGGGAACAGACCGCCGCCGAACCGTGGACGGTTCCAATTCCGTCACCCAAAGAATTTCTGGGTCCTTTTTTTTTCTCCAGACATTGAACCGCATCGAACCACCGCAACATCGATATCATCCACGAGGGCGGAAGTTTCCTCGTCACCCCCCCCCCCTCTCTTGTCGGACGGGAGAACACCGATTGCTCCCTGAGAGTAGCAGCACTTTATCGAGCTGGCGCCGGCGCATTGATGAGTCTGGAGCTCTCAGTGCGCTGCGACGACCGGCCCAGGCTCCAGGAGCCATGAATACCTCACTCGGCCTCCTCCCTTCGCGATCCCTCCTCCAACTCGGCCTGCGATCCGCCTGTCGCCGCGCCGCAGCGACATCTACCCCCAGCGCCAGCGTCTCTTTGGCGTCCCGGTTCCTCTCGACATGTACCTCCCCTCGTACCGCTAGCAGACCGCCGTCATGGTCGACGACACTGCACCGTAACCTATGGCCCTCGGCAGCAGCCAGGGTGACACAACGATACGCCTCCTCAGCCGCGAAAGAACCGGTTATCAGAGAATACGAGGACCTCCCGCTAGGATACAAGGACAAGAACGGTCTGCGCTTCAGGGATACAGATCTCTCCGCCGCCGAGGTCAAGACCGTCTTCGGCCCCGGTATCAAGCCCAATGCCGCCAACCGGCTGCTGCGCATTCTGCACGGCAGACGTGTGGCGGGAACCCTCGATGATCCGTCTTTCAGCATCAACACCGCCGCTTTCACCGCCACACAGCGCGCTGCCGCGCTGGAGTACCTCCGCGAGAATGTCCCCGTCGATGAGATCCTCAACGCCGGCCTGCGCGCCGAAGACGAGCTTGCGCAGCTGGAGAAGGAGCTCGCTGGGGAAACTGAGGATAGCTCCACCGAGACTTCCTGCACCAAGTCTCTCAAAGACAAAGACACCGGCGAGACCGCCATTAAGCCGGACCCCGTGTACGGGTACAGCGTCATGGACGCCATCCGCACCAAGAACCAGGCCAAAGCAAAGGCGGAGGAAGAGCGTCTCGCCAAGGAAGCAGAGGAAAAGGGTCTCCCGCCGCCGGGAACCGTCTCTGGTCCGCTTATCGAGCGCCCGCCCATGAGCCCGCGTATGCAGAAGTGGATGGAGGAGGGCACGTCTGACCTCGAAGCCCCGCCGCCGCTGTCCGTCTTCGAGCGCATCCTCCCCTCCGCCGCCGTCGTCCTCCTCATGATCGGAATCTTCTCCGCCTTTGCAATGGTATACACGCCTCCCCGCGAAGTCGACCGTCTCTTCCCCGAGGTGACGGCATCAACGGCGACGGTCGGAGCGCTGATCGCTCTTAACGCGCTCATCTTCGTAGCATGGCGCGTCCCGCCGCTGTGGAAATTCCTCAACACAAACTTCGTCCTCGTCCACGGCATGCCGCGCGCCGTCACCATGCTCACGGCCAACTTCTCCCACGTCTCCCTGAGCCACATCTTGCCCAACATGCTCGGTCTATGGTTCGTCGGCACGGCGCTGCACGACGAGGTCGGCCGCGCGAACTTCCTCGCAATCTACTTCTCCTCCGGCGCCGTCGGCCTGCTCGGCAGTCTCGCCGTGTACACCCTCCGCGGCCTCCTGACGGTCTCCACCATTGGCGCGTCGGGCGCCGTGTTCGGCGTCGCGACCGCCTACTTTTGGATGCACCGCTTCGACTCGTTCAAGGTTCTCGGGTTCCCGCCCGACCCGATGAACGGGCCGCAGGGTCTGGGCTTCATCGGCCTGATCCTCGGCGTGCACGTTTACGCCATGTTTAGGCGCGGCAAGCAGACTATCGATTTGACGTCGCACTTGTTCGGCATGCTTGCGGGCCTGGTCGGCGTCGAGCTCGTCACGCGGCGGAAGGAGAAGACTGAGGGGGAGCGTGTGGAGAAGATGAGGGAGGATCTGGTGAAGGACGCGCCGCCTCACGACGAGGATGTCAAGGCGTAGTATAGGTTGTTTGGTTGTTGGTTTGGTGTGTTATATTTTTTTGTATAATAAGATGAGATAGACTGCATCATGCTGGGTTTAGATTTGCGTCATGAAAACCGACTACCCTTCTGGATATTCGAGTCTGGGAATATGTGTGGTTGGGGTGTATATAGTGTATACGATACCTTTGGACCTGGTCCGCTCAGAGACGTGAACGTGTTTGTCTGTTTTGGCAGTGTAGTGACTTACTCTTTTGATGAGATTCAGATGTACCTTGGAAGACGGTCCTAGCTACATTGTAAGGAGAGAGATTCATAGTGCGCTGGTTTGAAGATATACACCTTATCGGTTCTGTCCGCCGGTATAGAAATTCAGTAGCCTTCTGGTCTATTGGGAGTGTAACTGCCAATCACAAGGTAGTGTCGTGGTTACATGGTAACCTATCAGATCCAACATATTCCATGTACGATCCGACATCTCGTCCATCAACGTAAAACTCACAAGCTTGGCTTAGCTGTGTCCTTCATTGGAAGCCTAGTGCGCCGAGTAAATATTCGTGACGGTGATCTTTTTGGTCTTTGTTCCTAGCGAGGATTATTTCATGGTTTTGTGATGATTATGTCGTCTTGCATTATTGAAAGTCTGTGGGGATAGTGATATCCGGAGAAAAGCATTGTTTGATGTCACGCGTCGAGAGAAGAGTTATGGGGATTGTATGGTAAATATCATGGAGGCGGGTTACTGGAAGTGTCGAGGAAGGTTAAAGGATGCAGATTTTCGTCATCGCTGGAAGAACGACGGCACCCAAAGTCCCCCTGTTCCCCCGTTGCCTCGCCGGTGTTGACCCTAATCAGTTACGGTTTTGTGATTTTAGTGTTTTTATATTTCGATTTTTAAGCAGATGCACGATCTTGATATATAGGGCAGTTGATGTCAAAAGGCCCCATAGGTTTATCAGCCTGTTGTCGTCCGTAGTGACGTTGATGTTTATGAGTGCGTTATCATCAACCGGTTCTGGTTGAGCGTTCAAATTAACATGTCGTTCTGTGCCACCATTAGAGTTGAACTGGCAACTTGACATCCAGTACCACTGGTGTGTATCTGTAGTAGCGGCATCCACCCTTTTGCTAGTGAGCTCCAAATCTATGAATTCTATTTCCTCGTCCGACAAGCAGGATATATCTTCACATTACTGGACTTCAGCCTCGAACCGAGGTTTCTTTAACGTCAAGCTTCTCTGTAGTACATCGGGGTGTTTATCTCACGAACAGGTTGAGATTTACTGGACAAACGAAACGATTGACATTATATCTTGATGTCGTTTGCTTTTGATGTTGGGTGTCTAAAGATTGCTGCCTTTTCCGGTTGGGAGGAAATTGTATCTCGTCGAATGGTACCTGGCTTTACAAACTATCACGCTTCAAGCCCACATTCGTCCAGATATTCAAGAACGTAGAACTTTGGAAAGTATCGTGCTGCCACTGTCTTATTGGATGAACTGCCCATGTATCTGTGGCCGGTTGGCATTTGATTAGATATACACAATGAGATAACACATTTACAGCGTTTCCGTCGATCTCGTTGATAAATTTTGGCACACTAGAGTCGTAAGATTTTAGCGGAATAATAATGCTAGTGAGAGCTGCGATACTCTGCTTAATTTCCCCAGGCGTTGGTCTCTTCGAAATACAGGGTGACGGTGCTCGGAGATGAGGAGAAATCTCCCTTATGGAGTGCCGACACCGACGTTGACATGAGGTGCCTTGGAGTGAAGTGTCCTTGGGATATTATCGGTAGCACACTTGACTTCCTCCACGCTTGTGATGCTCGAGATCGATACGACACTTCCGATCATTGAGCTGTTCCAGAATAGCCGGCAGGCTTCCTGTCCTCACCAGGATGCGGGCTTGCGGGCTAGATTCGGTCGGTGACTATCAGATAACGCGGCGAAAGCTTGGTCAAGGTCTCCTCTGCTGCTCACAATACGATATTGGCTTGCCAGAAATGACGCTCGCCGTTAGCCTGGGCAACTCTTGGTACCTAATGCTATGATTATGGTTTATAATTTCTCAAAAGAGTTTCGGCTGTAGAATGCAGCGTAAAACCAAGTAAATAATTCGAAATGCATAGCCAAATACCTTTGCCGTAACTTCTTCCACGACTTTGACTACTTTACATATTCTTCCAGTGACGGGACTTGGGCCTTGTGTTTAAGTCTTCATCCCAAGCTCGGCCGTATGTAAATCGCCACCCAGCTCGAGTACATCTGCCAGTTGCCAACATATGAGCGATAGCCGACACTAGGGAAGAATCAACGGTATGTAGAATTACTGCACAGATGCCCGTAAAGTCTTTCGTTACGGGCGAATGAGATCACAATAAACCTATACACGTCAAGGCTACGTCAAAGATATATGTTGAGTTTCCAGCCAATGTGCAAGCTCGGCTACTGATGAAAGTCTAAACAGACGACGCGTATTGATCATTTGATGTGTACTGACCACTGAGAATCAGCATATGCGAGAGTTTATTGTTAAGAATTTATAGTCTAATATTTGTACTGGGCGAATCGCGGAAGATTAATCTGTAGGCTGAGCATGAGTGCAAAACGTTATTAGAACATATGATTTTTTCAGAATTGGCGAGAATTTATCATATCAGAATCATAAATGGTAGGTGCAAAAATGCGGAACAAAAACTCCGATGAAGGCTCAAAAACAATGCGGTAATCTCGGTTAGAGATGAAATGCCAATACGCTATGAATAGAAATAACTATGAGATGGCAAGAAAACAAAAGAAATCGCTTCATCATTTGTGGTTCGTTCTTTGCACAAACAACAGGATCGTGGGCGAGATTAAAAGCGCAAAGTACGATTTAAAACATTTTCTTGTTTCGCTGTGCACTCCCCGCCGACGCAGGCAACCCGAATATGAAATTACAAAAGAGACTCGAATTGGTCAAAAGGACAAAGGAACTCCCAATGGCGGACTCCTCAAACACGAAAGCCCAGTCAGTGTTGGGGGAATGTGCTATGACATGCGATGTCCGAGTAAGGTGTGCTTCCAGTGACTAAACTAGACTGGTGATTTCCGAACAACGCAATGAGCAATAGAGGCCTGCCACGTTTCCCAGTATAAAGTCGAATCAGACTGGAATGAAGGATGCTGCCAAAAATCGACACTCATGTTTTCGGACGCCGCGGGAGAATGAGGCGAAAGAAAAGACAGTTTAAGACAAGTCAAGAGAACGTTTTTCGATCAGAACCGATCAAATCTCGGAAAAAGAAAAGCCACTGTATTAAGCTGCCCAATTAAGCGTCTTCAAGTTGCAAGGGAGACCAAAGTACAAAGTCAGAAACAATCAACGAGTTACACGTGTGCCCCTGGATCACATCTCAACAGTAGTCCATCTGTCTGTTCTTGGCGGCTGTCTATCCAGCCTCCTTTTTCTAAGCTTCAACAAAATGCCAGCCTTGGCACGCATACACGCAAGGAGTACAGCCCGAGCAAGTCACATGCCTTGGAATCGGGACCGCCTTTGTCGATCAGATCATACTGATGGAATGAAATGTGTAGAATCGACAAAGGCGCGGTCCGAGGCCACCAGCGTCTTAAACAGGGTGACATGAATCCGACCGGTTCCTATCACTTGCATAAATTTAAAATAGCTGCCATTTGCATGGTAGCATCGTGTGTTTGAAAATGACAACAAAATGTGCGTTTGTCCCTAGCAGTTTTTGACCCTTGGCTTACTACGTGACTAGCGGGCCGCGCCGAAACTCTCTTCTCTGCTGCTAATGGCAATAAAGCCATCAGCAAGGCCGTTGACTCGGCCGAGCCTACGGCTTCACTGTTGTGCGTCCTTAACGGTGGAACTAGATCCTGTGTTTCAAGACCCCGGTTTGCCGCGTTCACGTACCCAATTCTAATGTGAACATACCACTACTAACCATCTCACATAACATCTTTTTGAACAGTGTCAATGGCTAAACGTTCATCCAATTCCTGATCATCGTATTATGACATCAAAATCCAACACTGTTTGACGATCGAGACCCCCAGCAACTCTCTTTTGAGATACATAGAGTGAAATCCTCCATCCTAACGCCCTTCTCCCCAAAGCAGTATCTCACCGATAGGCTAACCCAACTCATCCCCGTAGCTCGCAAGGTTATGCCATGTCATACTCCTCTATATGTAGGTCACAATGCAGCAAGGTCGTGGGTCAAGCGCCCGAACAGGAAAGACGGCGGTTCATAACCTGCTTTCTTATTGCCGCAGAGGCCCAGTAACCGAGACACGACAAGAAGACTATGCTTTGTGTCTTCGAACCCTTCAGCACCTTTTTTCCACGATCGGTAAAAGCAGCGACGGGGAGCCCTGAGTTGTGGCCGGGTTCAATCACTAGCCTGCTACACCCCGGATATGCCGACCCTCTCATATCAGTATTTGTTCCCCCCCCCTCCCCAGCCAGTAACCGCCAAGGGAGGCTTGCCCGAGGGGAAGTGAGTGAGAGAGTTGCAGCAATGTCTTTGGGCTCTGGGCTTCGGGCTGTGATTAGGCAGAAAGTACTCAGTTTGTTGCCGAAGCCATCTTTTGTCGCAGAGTTCCCAATTCCCACCAATGTTTCTTCTCCGGCGCCATCTCCGACGTCCATCATTGTTGCGCATCTTTCAGCCCCCCGCCTCCCTCCGAAGGAGCGAACTGAAATAGACGCTATGCAGAAGCAGTTCCTATACCATAAGAGAATCCACCCGTTCCACCCCGGCAAGTGACACCTTCCTTGTCAAGCGGAGTCCTCAACTTACCACGCCCAAACTGCCATGAACACCGTAAGAGCATGGTTGACAACAGAAAAACTGGACCACCAAGTCTTAAACCCGGGCTTGTATCGTCCGACCTCGCTGGCAAGCCCACACCACCGACACCCTGTAAGGCATGGTGAACGACCCGGATGGAACTTCCGGGGATCTCAGATGCGCAACTCGCGAAGCACGGATGCGCTCGTTAAAGATATGCGATCCATGCTAGCGAGGGTAAAGGCGACTAGTACCGGCTTCCGGTGATATTCCCCTCAAGGTTGAGTGGCCTGATGGAACATATGAGAGGCCGCCACAAACGGGCCGGCCGCTTTATCGCGGTGCCCACATACTTCCACGAGCACGGGATAGAGAAGCATGCCAGAATGATGCCCAACCGCAGCTACGCTCAGCTATGCGTCGTTGGGTGCTGGGGGGCGGCTGAGAAGAGCTGAAGTAAAACGTGCGAGGACGTTCGACATGCGGTGTATCATATGGCCCCCCTTGAGGGCATTATTGGTCTGTCTCCAGGGCTTATCTCGTCATACGATCCACGACCGCTCCAACCGCATGGTCATCGAACCTGTGGGCTCGCCGGTTTCGATGCTGCTGCCTGCGTTCAGATAACCCAAGTGCAACGCTGTCATCGGCCAACCATGTTTGGCCGGGTGCTTCACCGGTGTGGCCAACGGTGTGGCCATGCCAGTGAATCCACCAACATGAGCCTGCCTACGATCCCTGTAGACTGAGGTGGGAAATAAGAAAAGAGCCGATGGCCCCGGCCCCTGGTCCAGGACATTTCGATTTACACATTCACCAGCCACTTCCATGCTCGGTTCGAACACAACCACTGAACGAAACAGCAGCTAACCGGAGCCACGAAGGTAATGCCGGCGAGAAAGGCTACTGTTCAGCGGACGCGCCCACGCCGTCCGTCGCCCAGAACGGCTTGGCTTGCAGGATTACCGACCAATGTGGCCAGGATGACTACGGCATAATAGCATCCTATATAGGTACCGCCGTTTTAAGGGTTACAAAGCCTTCCAAGACATGCCGCAACAGTTGAAACGAATCTACCAGTACCAAAACCGAACTGTGTGGAGGGCAGGCGTAGATATGTCATCAAAAGGGAGCCAAAGCGTGACCATCGTTACTTTCAGTGAATATCGCCATGGTGATCGTGACGTTGAAGGAGCCGATCGTGTCGGTAAACTGCCCTGGGATTATTCCTCCCAGAGACGATCCGCTGGAGAAGCTTGGAGTCAGGGCCTGGATACCCTGAAGTTTACAGGAGTTGTAGGCCAGACTTACACGCTGAATACGAGGGTCAAGTTAAAGACATCCCCGAGCTCGATGTGCTCGCATACCTTGGCAGCAGACCCCGGACCACAAGAAGTACCAGCTCAAGAACCTGTAAGCACCCTGCATTAGATCATACAGCATTTGCAGACTTAGGGTGGATGGGAGGACTCCCTATCGCGTACGCCCAAGGTGAAGCCCTAGTGCTAGAAGCAGGGAAAAGTCTCACAGCTTCTCTCTGGGAGCTTCGTTACCCTAACTCTGATTAATACACATACAAGGAATAGAAAGACACCAATGGTGACAAGGTGAACGAGGACCGCCCTCGTCCAGTCGAATCTCTTCGTCACGAACCGGAGCAAGACTACCGATGCCTCCCCTATGGTGCAGATACCCGTTACCAACCCCTTCTTTCCGCCAAACCAATGGTTGGAAGCCGCCAATGCGCTTTGCTATTAATGCCGCTGCAGTCGTAAGTTTAGGTGCGCCAGATCAGCTCGCCGATGGCTATTGGTGAGCATACCGGCTCTAGCTCCGGCAGTGGAGAAGAAGCAAAGAAAGGAAACCGCCAGTACTGGCTGCTGAAGGCAACGCCAAGAAACGACGCGCAGTAGACCGTCGTGGCGGATGCCAGTAGCCATCGGGGGGCCAGACTTGTCAAACCACACGTCAAACGGGCGGCAGAGAATAACCGCGAGGAAGCCAGAGACGGAAGTAAATTCCAGGAGGTGTACGTATTAGTCCCAGCCGGAAAAGCTGGTTCTTCTTCCAGTTGACATGAAAAGATACGCACCGTCGTCATCAAAACCAAACGTTGGGATCATGGGTGCCGTCCACCCCACAAGGACTAAACCATGTCATGCAGCTGTGATCCACAGAACTCGTCTGAAAGTACCCAGACATGGCCATTGAGAGGGTGGCATGCCGGAGACGGCTAGGTCTGGGGCAGTGTTGTGTGCATTATGCCTGCCGGACAGACGCCTGGCGTGGGACGCAACCTGGACGAATAGACTTGTGACGCGGGCACGCTCGAAAAGGAACGTAGAAAGCTTGTGAAGGGTTCAGTAGTACTCTATACCTGTTGAGGAGGGCTGAAGGCGCTCTGGGAGCCTTTGACTGATGAGTTACTGTGGTGTCCACGGCTGAAGCACCATCACGCTGAGACAGGTATTGCTGTGTATAGATCGAGCTGAAGGCGCTTTTTGACACATGCTACTACAAACGAGTTATGATGCTCGAAGCTTTGTTGCAGTCTCATAGAAGCAACGATTTTGGAACTTGGGGTTATACAACTTGACGTACTCCCTACGAGGATAACAGATTATAAAGATGTCCCTTCATCTTTGGACTTTCAAGAGTCCTGTCACAGACCATCATGCTCTTCATTTGCACTGTATTCTCTGCGCAAGGGTTGGTATGGTTCATGATGGTTCGGGTGTTGGTTGGAGGGTCTATTCGAGCCCGCCAAGCAAGCAATCCAGTTGCAGATTCCGTGCCGCCGACAGAGACCAGGTTATTCAGCCCCATGGCAAGCACGCACTTTAAGCCCCCACCCCGGTGAAAGCCAATAACCCTTTTCGGCGTAGCGGTTGTAATATGGCAAGCAGACGTTGGTCCCAAAGCGGGTTCCAACGTCCTGCTCCTGATTGCTGCGGCTGATTATCCTCTCTCTCTCCGCACCTCAGCCGCCCATGGAGACAGAATCCGATTTAGAGGGACTTTGCTTGGCCAAAGACGAATGTTGCTTGAAAACCAGAGTCGGTGAGCGGACAATCGGTCTTGGTTTGTCTTGGGAGACGGATTACCTTGGCGAGACCCCCCCGTTCCGCGTTGGAGATGTTGGTGGAATTAGGATATGACCAACTGAACATCCATTGGCTATCGGCCTCTCGTCGTTCATATGAGCCTTTTTTTTCTCCACGTTGGTGTGTAGGCAAACATTTCTCGATTCGGAGCCGAAACATAGGAGGGAGATGTGATGCGCGGTTCATCGACGTGCCACTTGCGCAAGACGTGCGTGACTAGGGTCTCAATGTTCGCCTTTCGTCCACGTTTCATGCAGAAGATTGGAGTTACCGCCTGGTCTGACTGTCCGGGAGGACGGTCTGAGTGATTGATTCCAGGTAGAAGAAACAGGGGACCTCCGTAGAGTTACATGTGGCCACTGGGAGGAAGCTGGCAGGCCGGGAAGTTCCAGCAAACAAAAGAACCTCCTACGGGTACCGTACCTTGGGGTTACCAGTTCGGGAGTGCGAGTAGGGATGCCGATATGAATAGGCGATGCTATGGAGCGGGGTTGGGCTGGGTTGGGTGAAGCCGTTGAGTTGTCTATCAAAGTCGGGCGTCTCCAGAAAGAGCCCAGAACAAAAAGGACATGTTCATATTCCCCCCCAGTGTTTGCTTCCACGTTGAAAGTGTTGATTCCTTTTGTGATTGGAACAATCTCTCGACACCGGCACGTCATGCGTCGTGCCGTTTTGCATGATATCAAATGTGGTAATACTTCCAAAAGCGCTTCCCATTTTGGGGGCCCCTTTTTTTTCCCTCTTGCCATGTCTTACCCCGACTTGCCATATCATACCTCAGTCTTCCTCATTCTCGACAGTTAGAGAACGTCTCGCTACCCCTCTATCTCGGTTCTCGTGTTACCAGCTTAAGCGCTATCAGTAAGCGCGCCCGCAACACGACGCATTATCGAATTCACTTGGAGAAGAAGCAGGCTATCAGGTGATACTTTGGCAGAATCAGGGGCCAGCTGGTCTATTATCTGCGACTATCTGGTGGCCAGACCTGTAAGACAGGATGATGTCCACGAGAAACATGGCAGTTGCTGCAGCCCGTTCGACCCGAATAGGTCGTATCCATGGTATCTGCAGGGTCGCAACTTTCTGTCACATGCAGACTGCCCACGCCGCGCTTTCAGAGAGGGTTGTAGAACGCCCCCTGGTTCATGACCTCGCCGCACATCGTACGAGACCGGCTCCCGAGCCAGTCGATGAGTTTTGGCGCAAGGTACCTGGCTGGGAGAATGTGACAGTGAACGAATTCATCAGCTATCGATGGAGTGTAAGGCTGAAATAGCCCATGAACTGACATTATGGCAAACTGACGCGGTGTGTTTAGGTCAAGAACCTGGTTGAAGGACCAAAAAAGTTGCGCAACTTTCTCGAAAGGGTTTTGCCCAAGGAAGTTCCTGCTCTTGGCAATACCGAGAAAATGGAAACCCGCGAACAGCTGGTCCAAGACGTCTTTGACGGGGTTTCGGATGCAACCATGTCTGTTCGTGTAATGTAAGCTACTTACTCCTCGAGTGTTGGAGCTCAACTAACACTGACTGTGATAGGCCGTACACCCTTAGCCGCATCAACTGGAGCAATCCTCGTAATGATCCCATATTTAGACAATTCATACCAACCCGCACAATCATGCAACCTGACCACCCAGGGCTGGTGCTTGACTCGTTGGAAGAGAAAGCAGACTCGCCTGTTGATGGCTTGGTTCACCGATATCCTGATAAGGCTCTGTTTCTCCGTAAGCCCAACCAGAACTGCAATGCTATCTTATAAAACTTCCGTGTCCACTTAACATCGGTTGACAATTCGAAGCTCTCTCCGTCTGCCCGACCTACTGCATCTTCTGCACTCGCTCTTATGCGGTCGGCGCCAACACCGAGAGCGTCGAGAAAGCATCCCTCAAGCCGGGGCGCGCACGATGGGAGGAGGTATTCGCCTACATCGAGCGCACGCCAGAGATCCAGGACATTGTCGTCTCGGGCGGAGACTTCATATCAGCTCCTACCTCACCACATCGAGATGATTGGCGACCGACTGATCTCGATACCTCACATCCGCCGCTTCAGATTCGCTTCAAAGGGCCTCGCCGTGTGTCCAACCCGCATCCTGGACCCCAACGACGTCTGGACCGACACAATCATCTCGGTCTCGGACAAATCACGCCGAGCCGGCAAGGCCATGGCCCTCCACACGCACTTCAACCACCCGAACGAGATTTCCTGGATTACAGAGAGAGCCAGCCGACGACTATTTGAAGCAGGGGTGATGGTACGGAACCAGTCGGTCCTGCTGCGGGGGATCAACGACGACGTCGCGACGATGTCGGCTCTGATCCGGAAGCTGGCAGACAACAACATCTTCCCGGTAGAGACTTTCTAACCTCTCTGCAAAAAAACTTACCAAAGTGGTGCTGACTGTCTGTCCCCCTAGTATTACGTCTACCAGCACGACATGGTGCGGAAATCAGAGCACCTTCGCACGCCGCTGCAGACGATCCTCGACCTGGAAGCCGGCATCAGGGGCACGATTGCCGGGTTCATGACGCCGCAGTTCGTCGTCGACCTCCCCGGGGGCGGCGGCAAGCGGCTGGCGAGCACGTACAGGTCGTACGACCGCAAGACGGGCATATCGACGTTTGCGGCACCGGCCGTGACGGGTCGCGACAAGGAGAACAAGGTGTACGAGTACCACGACCCGATCGACTCGCTTGCGGGCCGGCGAGACTCTGGCGTGAGGGAAGTCGAGTTACAATCATTGGACTGAGTGGACTGGTTTTTGAAAAGTTTGCAAAAATGCTTTTTCTGTCTTTTTTCCCTTTATTGTTGGAATTTTATGAGGGACATGTTTGCGTTACAGCCAAGTGGTGGTGCAACAACAAGGGGCGGAATCAGCAGTTTAGCCGCGTCTCACAGAAGAACTCGTCGATTGCTTCAACGGCGTGCCCGAGACCAACTTCCCGAGTCTCTTTTAGTGCTCCTCGAGACGGCGAGTTGCTGTTGTTGATGTTGGAGTTTGGCTAGCTACTGGTTACGTCTACGTAAGGGGTTATGCAAGGCCGGGTGCTCTGAGTTGTACATATTAAGGGTATCTGCGGGATGGAAAAAGAAAAAAAAAAGTGTGTATTCCAAGTATTTATACTCATATGTTGAGGATTGCAATGGAGACTATAGAAGACGGCTGTTACGGAGCAGTAAGAACACTAGTATATGATTCTCACTTGATGAGGCTTCGACCGTTTCGATGAGGGGTATCTCATGGTGTTCTAAGCCGTTCAGCCTACAGCAATCGTGACTGAAGGGATATATCATGTTGTAGCAATCGTTTGTTGTCTCAAACATCACCTCCGCTCTTCCAGATGGTTGCTGAGTGATTGCTCATGATGGAGATCTCACTTCATTCATACAACTACTACAAAGATGCAAAATTCCCTCATACCGCCAGAATTTCCTCAAACGCCAAACGTAATGATAAACAGAACCAAAAGAAGCAGTGCTGCACGAAACATATCGACTCCAACAAGTGCGGAGTGGCAGAAGAATCCCCAACTGGAGGGGGCGCGGCAAGTGATCTACACCATGACGTCGGCTCAGGTGATGACCCAAAATAAGTTCCCATCACCCGTCTGACCGCTGGGAACAGGGACACCAGGCAAGAACCAAACCGAGAATTCTGACAAGAAGGAAAACCCGGCGACGAACGAGGACAAGTTGTGATCTGTGCCGTTGCCCATGGGATCGACAGCGGGTGGCAGTGTCGTGTCACCCAGCACGTCGGTTCGGCGGCAGAAACACTCGGCAAGACTGGGCCGGGGGGGGGGGAGGGGGGGCTCTTCTATCTAAAGTGGATTGACATATCTGGGGAGTGTAATCTCGTCCTTGGGTCTCTCTCATTAGCATCTCATTAGGACGCGTATCTCCGGACGGTTTCAGGGTTTAGCAAACTTGGAAGCGGGCACGTGGGACTCTTTTTTTTTCTCTTCTTGTTCTTGTTCTCTCTTCCTGGTCTGGTTCCAGGTTTTTGGCTAGACATGGAAACCTGGGATTCCGGGAAGCACGAAATGAGAAGAGACAGGTCACGCGCCTCGTCGACGAAATGTCAAATTTCGTTCCCGGGAATGCGGTTTTGTTGATGGGTACTTGCCGCCCCACGGTTCGCGAGGGTTCAAGGACTATGTATACCGTCAGACTGATGGAGTTGTGTGCGTGTGTGTGTGTTCAGGGTTGCAGTATACCTGGAACCAGTAGTGTCCCTTGGTGTAACATTCCGGAGGACGCCGGGGCTGGGAGTCGAGATGAAGTTGAGATTGGCTTTTGCTTTGCCTTATCTTGCAACCTGCCCTCACCCCTGGACTGTGGCTACTTGTGACGGTTGTCAGAAAGATTGCTCATGTATACAGAGATGGGATGAGAGGGTGGGATGAACCAAGTCTTGAGGGATTTCCCTGAAACATGCGGGAAACCGCCTCCCGTTTGGCCATTTCGACTTGTACGACAGACATCTCGACAAATTTGTCCCAAATGTTTGTTTAACCGCGTATTAAGTCACATACACAATAAATGTGAGTGGGTTTTTCTCGGACGTTGCAGGGAGCTAGGGGCCAATTTGCGCCCACAGCGAGCGGACCGACCAGTCGTGTGCCTCGTACTGGACCAAGAGGGCAAGGCGGACCTCCCTGTGGCACTTTGTGGCGGTCGAGTTAAAGAGACGGAGGTGCGGGAAGGGCTCTGAACGGCTCGTTCTTCTGCGTCTCTTGAAGTGTGGTTGCCTCAACTCGACGACATATTTGTGTTTTTTGTGTGTTCAAGACGACAGGACGTTCTGGCTTCACGTGCGATGATGGTCTGACTTTACTTGGATATGCCTCTGGTTCGAGACGACGATCCACGGAGCGTGGCCCGATTCGAATCTAAAATTGCCATATTTGACAGCGGGATGAGTCTCGATTGGGAGTGCGCACAAGCACTCGCTGACTCGCCCTCGTCCACCATTTGAATTAGTAGCATCTTGCCGGATGGTTATCGGGAGGTAGCACACGCAGATTTCGTACCACTCGACTTCTCCATCCTAATTCCTTGAGTCGTGGCGCATTTAGCCAAGTCTCAACTTGCCAGCTGTCCAGACCTCGGCCGCCGGGGGGAAGGGGGGGCTAGCTGGCCAAACTGAAGGATGAATGCAATCGCATCCCAATGACGGATTCCGCGAGGATTGCGGGCCAGCGGTGAAGATTTTTCAATTCTTTCTTTCTTTCCCTCAGTTTTCCCAGGTCGCTTCAATGCAACCCCGGCCTGTAAATGTCAGAACTTGAAGAAGGAAAAAGAAAGTAGTGATGCAGGGCGACAGTTTGGGCTCCTGTTGCGACATCAAGGGTCGCCGGGACCCGGTTGCCGACAACTAGTGTTGTTGTTGGAATGTCGAAAAGGGGAAGAATGTTTGCATTCTCTCTCTCTCTCGCTTGCGATCCAGGCCATCTAACCCGGCACCAACAAAACGAGGCGAGTTGCGGTGTCGTCGTCGTCCTCCTCCTCCTCCCCCTTCTCCTCCTCGGACATCCCGTCAGGGCGTTTCGAGTTCCATCCCCCTCCACAGAAGATCCTCCCGGCTATGGAACATGCCGAACCTGCGGTGAAGTTGTCGTGGGTACGGATCACACCGCCGAGCAATCCATCACCCCTGTGAAGAAGAGTTGTGGAAGCTCGGGGCTTTCAGATTCCTCCTCTCTTCACTCTCATCCAAATCCCGAGCCTTACAGGGGTGGAGGACCTTACATGACAACGACGAGCTAGCGTACGTACATAATATACAGAGACTGTTGGGTACAGATGAGGCTCCGGGTTTTCCGCATAATTTACACCACCAAATGCCCAGCGGGAACCCAGAAAACCGCTAGACGAATAAGGGACCTTGCATATCTCGACGGCGCTACGGCGCATAGGGACACGAACAACGGGCCCCCCGATTCTCCGGGGTTTAGCGCGGTGGATAGTGCGAATCTTGGGACCGTTGCAAGAGAGCCTTGTTCATGTGTATGTGTGTGTGTGTGTGCTGTGCTAGACAGAAGCTGGCATCGAGCTCGCGCCCGGTCTGGATTCCGGCTGGTGCGCGGAAACAATCCGGACCAGCGGGACTAATTCATATGATTTTTTTTCTTCATATATATCTATTTCGTATCGAAACACGCGATTGGGAGCGGGGAGACAAGGTCGGAGCAGTGCGCCGTAATATATCACCCTTTGAATGAAAAGAGGGGAGTGACCGGGGATGGTTGACTCGTTTCCGGCCAAGGTATGCCGGTGTCGAGTCGTGCGCGCGGCAAGCCCCCCCCTCTTATTGTTTGGTGGTTGTCGACTGTTCTTGACGTCGTGAAGCGGATGTTTATGTTTATTTTGTTTCTGCCCACGAGACTGGCTTCTTCCCGGGGGATAGACATTTCAATCATCGTACGGAAGACAGTGTATCCGTGGGAGCCTTACAAGGTCTAGGCCTGCATCCGACTCAGACCCCTGGCAACGTGGATTGGAGATTTTGGCAGCCGGGTAATGATGATGTGCAAGAGACTGGAAAAGTCTGGAAAAGCTTGTCATCGAAGCATCCGGATATGATCTAGAATCCAATAATACAGCTTCCCATTACAGCGAGTGATGGACCCGGCTGCTGTACGAAACGGCGACGAAACGTGCCAATCGCGGGTCCATCCTCTCTTGATCAGGAAATCAACATATCTTTTTAAGGTTTAACTGTGAGCAGGGTGATGGGCCGTGACTATTCTTCTTTCCCTCGTGGGTTTCAATAGCCTTCTCCCGGAAGATTTGCTATATGATCAGCGATATAAGATTCCTTATTTGGAGCGGCTCGTAAACCAGAACAAGGCAAAGAATAAGTCAAATAGTTCCATGGCAAGGCGACGGTGGTCGTGCTTTGACGGGAAAAGTGGAATGAGATGACAGAAAAAAAAAAAAAAAAGCAGGGCCGCCGTTGAATAAGGCAACGAACTGGATGGGGTCGCATCGGATGGGATGTAATCTGCTGACAGATGTGATTTATGCCCTTCCCCTTCTCTCTCCCAGGGTGTCGGGGAGACCTGCCATCATCAACCATCATGCCATAACATGCCTGGCCCGCCTTGTCATACTCGATGATGCGCCAAGCTCCGGTGGAAGGGAAATGGAGGGTCGCGTATCCTTATTTGTGTGTGTGTATGTGTGTGGGTGTGTGGTGTGCGTGTGTTCGTTCTATCTATTGGGGGCCGCACCGCGTGGTCAGGTTGTCCGGCGCGTCGGGGTGGTTGCAACCCTCACGAGTAGCTCTCCAAGGATCTCAAGGTAAGGTGCCGCGGACGCATACACGAGGCCGGCGGCTAGATAGTGTGGTGAGGTTCCATTGCGTCCGTCTGCCGGGGAAGCAGGTTGGTTTCTTTTTTTGGTGCCCCCCCTTTCTACCTTTCGTGTCATTCCCTTCTTCCTTTCCTTCTCTTGTGCATATCATAACTTGATGCGGAGGGTTCACCATGATATGGTGTTACGTTAGCGACGTCGAGTGCAAATTAACAAGCTGCATCTCGTCACCCGGGTTCTTGTGATATCACCGAGACCTACATAAAGCTGGAACCGCGGGATGCCGTCTATGGCAATACAGCCGTGTCAGGCGGCCGCAGGGCCAGAATCAGTAGCGGAAGCAGGCTCGTTGGTTGGCGACAGATGGATCTGGAGAGATGAGAGCTAGCTAAGCTTCATGTGCTTCACTACTTGGCGTTCAGGCACAGCATGGAGGACCCCATCGACGAGCGTCGCGGCCACAGGCAGGCTGCGTGGCGGTTGAGAAAACGCCGATGTCATGGGATGGGGGCCAAAGATGGGAGAAGAAAGGAGACTGGGGGGGGGGGAGGTTCCGGAAGGGAGGAAACGAGAATCTGGATGTGATTCGCCGTTTTTTTTGGCTGGGCCTGGTACGGCCGTAGGCGCCGGGCTGTGCGTCTTTTTTAGTTTGTCGCTTGCTTGCTTTTTCCTCGGGTTTCCTGGTTCATTCTCGATTGACGGTTGGTTCGAGGTCGTGCAAGGGTTGTCCCAGGTAAATTGCAATCATTGTTGTGATGATGATGGGAGGAATAAGGAAACAAGAGATTGTGTGTTGTGTTTGGTGGAACAAGGTACTAGGAGTACGTGGTAGTGGTGGTAGTAGTGGTGCATTCTTAGCAGTATCTAAAAGTACTACTACTGCATGTATCGGACTTAGGCGAGGTTCATTTCCTGATCTGTGCTCACTCACCTGCGAGAAAGATTAGCAACTTTCCCCAGCGACGATGAAATGAAACGTGAACAGGCGGGGGGGATCAAGAAAGTAATGGTAGTTCAAAACTGTGCCTCTTGTTGGATATGATTCGGTTAGGGAGATAATCTTGGTCAGAGGACAATCTTGGGTTAGAGGGTCGGCCGACGTATCCCCATGCTCGACACCGACAAGGATGCTCTATCCAAGTCCCGAGTCGGGCTGTGGCAGTCGTCTCGAGGCTATTCGTTTCTTCTCACCTACATGGCAACTTTCCCTTGCCTCGCTAGGATCCAGATCCCGCGTGCCCGTAACACGACGAACAAAGAAAAGGGAAGGGCGAAAGAAACAAGACAGGGTTTCAGAGGAGCTCTCAAACTTGACAGATTGACGGCCAGCCTAAAGCGGTTTACACTGCATTTCTCTGCTGCGCCGTCGGCGAGGCTCGACTTTTGCAGCACGAAGTGGTGACTGAGCATGGATGATTAATTATGATATTTACCATGTAATCAGGTGTCAGGTACGGATACCAGCCAAAACGAGCCACAAGGGGGAATGAGACTCGCGTGATGGAAATGCGGCTAGTTTCTTGTGTAGCCACACCAGTCGACCCCAGAACCATGATGAACGAGCTGAGGCTTGACTACATTGGGAATCGGGACGTTTTCTACCCAAAGAGCACTAGTAATGCCAGGTACACAGCAAATAGGCACCGCGGGAGGTGAGACACGAGTATGCTGTGCTACCAAGTTGTGTACACCCACAAACAATGTGTGTGTGTGTGAAGCTTCGTTCTCATGGGACTTGACCTCGACACCGGAGACACCTGCAGAACCGCTAAAGATATTCTATATATATTTGCTTATATGCTTGCTGCGTGTGTGTGCGCGCTTGTGTGAGATTCTGTCGTATTGCATAACCCCCTTTTTTCCCCAAGCTGGGACGGAGGCTTCTCCCATTCCGGGAGAGTCGCACGTAAGAAAGAGTGAGTGATAGTGAGTGAGTGAGTGAGTGAATAAATATCCATATAATATCCTCGCTGCGCCGCTCTCGCTCCCAAATAGTGAAAAATACCGGTACGTGCAATATACCGTCTCCCCGGTGCAATCTTTCCCTGAACGTTCTGTCGCCCGAGGTATCATTGGTATCATTCCCATAATACATACTACTCTTCCCAAAAGTGTTGGTGATCAACATTATCAATACCCTTTCTCGAGAGCTCATTGCCTCCTCCCCCCCGCCCCAGCACACCACACAGTAATCCCTCTCAAAGAGCCCTGTCGGTGGATTAATCCATACCCTTCTTCTTCTTACCTTACCTTTACTCTATTCTCGGTCCTCTCTCCCCTCCCCCCCTCCCCTGGCCTCAATCCTGCACTGCTGCGTATTCGACCAACCCCGGTCTTCCTCTCATTCCTGTCGTCCCGGTGGAGCCATTTGGCCCAACTGGACCCTCACGCATCTACAGGGTCGTCCCTGGGAGAACTGGGTCAGCTCAATACCAGATTTGGCAGCGCTTGTTGGCGCCGGCGGAGACTCTGGAGTGCTGGGGGGGAACGAGTGTCCCAAGGCAGCAGGATCGAAGGCGATTGGGGGAGGATTGTGTATGGTGGATGTTCATCGACAACGATCTTAGCATCTGCCAACAGAAGAAGCAGCAGCAGCAGCAATAGTGGAGGAAGAAGGAGGAGGAGTAGTAAGAAAAAAAAAAAACTGGGCAGTCAGCGGCGCGGGCGTACACTAACTTAGTACCTTTGCCGGGGGTACTAGTATAGAGTAAGAGAAAGTGAGAAAAAGGGCCAAATGATGGCCACTGCTGGAGGTGTGATGAGCAAGCTACCGTGGGATCCATCACCGCTGTCACCATCGACTCGTAGACTGGGACCGGGGGAGGAAGACCAGCAGCAGCACCAGCTCCAGCTCCAGCACCAGCTCCAGCTCCAGGAAGAGGACCACCACCCTCGTCGACCCTGGACAGCGGCAACGATGGCGGTGGACCGTCATGAGCTCATAAGTTTCCTTGACGACGCGGACGCGGACGATATCTTCCTGTCTTATTCCTCTACTACTACTGATGGTATTGCTTCGTCTCTCTTTATCGTTGACACCAACAACGACAATAACCATCTGATAATTACCACCACCAACAACAACAAAAACAACAAGACCATCAATAATAACCAAAAAGACACCGCCTCCGCCACCACAGCCGCCACCACCATTGGCTCATCGTTTCCCCGATACCCTTCCTTTTACTCGTCTGCCCGGTCTAGCCTCGAGTCGACAGGCGTAACCACCTGGTCGTCGACAACGAACACGACCCCGACGGAGACAACGTTGACAATGGCGCCTTTGTTCGGCTTGGGCGGCGCCGGCGCTAAGAACAATGGCAAGACGGCAGCCCCGGCGGAGACAGCGGAGGGCGTGAGGACCAGCGAAGATAGCGTGGACCGGTCCCACGGCCTCTGGAACTATTTGCACCACGGACTCGATGGCTACAGCTCTCCCGACCTACGACAGCTGCGCCAGTATGAGAGGGAGAAGCAGCACCAGCAACATCCACCACACGAACACCAACTCTCCTCGTCATCGACATATCACCAGACCCTCTACGATCTGAGGCCCGACTCGTCCAAGAGCTACAATCAATTCTTTTTCCGCCCGACGAGTTCCGAGTCCGAGGGAGCAACATCATCCACAGCAACGGCGACAGCAACAGCATCAGCAGCACCAGCAACATCAACAGCAACAACGGCGTCGTCATGGACATTACGGGGTGGAAAGAGTCACGAAAAGACCAATAGCAGCAGTAGCAGCAAGAAGACGGCGGCCACGACGGCCACGGCGGTGACGGCCATGACGATACCCACGATCATCGGCGGCGGCAGCAGCAAGGACAGGGAGAAGCTGTCTTCCTCGTCGTCTACGTCCTCGACGACGGTTGTGCCGCCGCCGGTATCACCATCGACGGCATGCTTCGGCGTCGAGATGACGAAGCAGGAGTTTGAGGCCTTACCCGAGGCCATTCAGAGAAAGGTGAGCATTGATGTGTCTCGTTACTTCGCGATGACTTCATTTTCATTTTTTGCAATGCCCGTTCAATTATTTTCTCATTGTACTTTGTCAATTGTTTTCAGTTTCATTCCCTATTGTTCAATGATTTTCCCATTGTTACATCCATTTTCTCTCATATACTCTCTCCCTTCCACTCCGCTTACTCACCTTTCTCCCTGATATTCCCTTGAAAACCATCAGTTATCAATCACCCATCTGCCGTTCCGATCGCATTCCTTTGGGCGCAAGTGCCGAATTCCTCTTTCTTTCTTTTAGCCCTTCTCCCCTGTCAGCAAACCCAAAAGACACGGACACGGACGGCAGCGTTGTCTCTCCTTTCACACTGACATGTCTCTTTGGGGGGGCATAGAGGAGAAAAAATTCCAGTGCCTTTTTCCGAACCAGGGGTGGTGGTGGAATTACTACCACCCTTGGCCAGCAGCCCAAAAGAAACAACCCTGGGTCGGGCTCAGGCACACAGACATGGACGGCGAATGCCCAAGAGCGTGTACCTGCATCTGGCCAGTCGCAATAGGGAGCGAAGAAGCGAGTCGAAGGGGTCCCCTTGGATGCTTGGGGTCGACTTCCGAGCCCACCTTTTTCTTTGCCCCCCTTGCCTTGCCTACGATTTCACTGCCCTTACAGGGCAAAGGTGCACTGAGATGACAGGGCAGGGGGAGCGGGGGGGGGGGGCCTAGACTGTGCGGCCTAGGACCGGAACCCCGGGGGTACCTGACCGCCTGCAGAGTTGCAGTGGGGAGGCTGCTGCTGCTGCTGCTGCTCTGTAGTGCAGTGCTGTGGTTCTGTGATGCAGCGGTGCTGTAGTGGTTTCCTACTGGTGCTTACTAGTGCTGGGGGGGTTCAAGATCCCCCCCCGTCGAACGCAATATTGTTTCACTGGAGGAGCTGCAGCTCCGACGTACAGTCATCCACTGAGACATGCGCCCGGGGGAACGAAGCATTCAATCACCACCACCACTCTTTTTCCGTCCAACCAACACCCAGCCCTTCTGCCCCCTCGTCCTATCTATCCCTCTGTACTCTCCCAAAGCTGGCTGCTGTTCGTTCATCTTTCCACCCCCACACACCTTTTCATGCACTCAGCTCCTCCATATCACCTCCACCAACTTGGGATAGCCAGTCAGGACCGGCAGAGTTGTCAGGCACAGCCAGGTACTGCTTCTTGAGGAGTCCGCAACCGACCAAATGTGGTTGGGTCTGCGTCTATGCATATGCAACAGCAGCCAACCGCTGAAGAGTGAGCGAGACGCACTCATATGGAGGCAGCAGCAGCATGAGGGAAAACAGAGACGCGAGAATCTACCATCACGTACTCGCATTGGATGATTCGTCATGTTGTTTGTTGTTGTTCACGGGTCAAACCTCACGAACAACACATCACAACCTAACGAACCCGTCCAATCCGCTTCTCACATCTCATGCTGCTGGGATGTTATTCAACCTCGTCAACATTCATCTCCCCTCATTGTCCCATCCAACCCCATCTTTTACTCTGCGTCGTCTCAATATGATGGCGCGCGGCCTGATATTGCCTCTTGATTGTCAGCACACCAATCAGCCTGCTCAGACTACACACATCACAGCCATTGCCGGTTTCCGTGCTGTTGTGCCATCAACAACAAAACCACCGAACGACATGTCTCAGTCGTCTGCGGGTTTTTCTGCAGATGTGTGTGTGTGTGTCTTTGGGCTCTGGGCCGAAAGTTCCGTCGTGTCTCTCCTCCCCCCCCATTCCATACATTCCATCCATTCCATGATAGTCCTCCGCCTTACCCTTCTCAGCACCATCGTCATCGCAACAACCTGCGTGTTAGGGCTTGTCAACTCCCGCATTCCAGTGAGAGCAAAATGGAAAAAAAAAAAAAAAAAAAAAAAAAAACTTTTGGGCCTCTTTGCGAGCCGCCAAGGGGCGCCGCTGGAGTCCATATGTGGCCCTTCTCTGGACCAACTAGACCGCATGCGCCATTAGTGTCTCTGGTGCGGCGTGGTCTCCCAAGCTATTCCCCCATGGCGTCGTATCTGCTGTCTGTTCGCCGCGCCCTGGGTCGTCTCTCCTCTCATCATGCACCTGCATCTGCAGCTGCACTGACGCCGCCGCCGTTGCACTGACCTGACTAGACGCTTTCCTGCATCTCTAGGCCCATGGCTCTTTGATCTTGCTCCTTGCCTTTTCCTCCTGTCTCGATTGTTCCGTGAAGTCATGGATCAGACGGCAGGGCCTGTTCTCAAGCTCTAGAGTATTCCTTCATCGATAGTATGGAAGTATATACAGATGCGAGAGAGACTATCCATCCAGCCCAAGTACCTTTTGGCTGAATCAAGACTACAAACCCCAACCCTCGAGCTCACTCAAAGTAGCCCTTAGCTTATTGCTGCATCTGATGTCTCGTTGGCGGTTGACGTCCAAGTGATGCAAGTGCTTCCTTTGCTGCAACCCAGTCGCGGCGCCACATCGCTAGACTCTCTGTCTCTCTCTCTCTATCTCACTACTTTTACTGCTACCTTGGGTGGTGTAAAGAAAAGGTCCCCTCCTCCCCCCCAATGCACCTCAGCAGATGCAATGCAAGGTCCCCCGCCCTCCAACACAATACGACGCGACACATAGCACAGGTACGAACGAGAGAGCACAGGCATCAACAGGAAGGTACCTTTTTGGGGCACAGGCATAGTCATTGGCGAACCCGTACCCAGTGGCATAGCGCCCCAGGAGTTATACCGCCCTGCACCTACCGCCTTCTCGTTCCCCTTTCTGCCCGTTCCTCCTGTTGAGACATTACATACCTACCCTCTTCGTTCCTCATATTCATTCTTGCTCTCACTTCTTCATTCCTGACTCAGTCGTCCATGGCCTTTGTTGTATCTATGCTAAATTCCTCCTCAGTACTTCAGCTCCCTCGAACGGCTTCACTTCGCCAGCCTTGCCCCCGCTGCCCCTCCAACGCCAAACTATCTCGACCCCTACTTTGACCGTCCGGAAACCAGCCCAAACCCCCAAACCTTGAAGCAACGACGCAGAGCACGACAGGCCAGACTTGCTTCAGATCAAGTCACCGACCGCGTCAAGAGACGCAATTCCCGTCGTTCCAAGGTCACCTCTACCAGCTCCTCTGTTTACGTTCGTCTCCCCGACAAGATCAAGAGAAGACACATCACCACCGAAGAGCAGATTGTTTCGTCTCTCAACCGGAGACACGACATCATCCTCGACCCGGCCGATGAGGCCGTCTACAAGGTCAGGAGAAGAGCTTCCAGCGTTGTGATTCCGGACGAACTGTGGAGCCCAACTTTATCCGTGAGACCTCAGACCATGGAGACCAAGTCCGAGCAGAAGGAGAAGCCCAAATCCAAGCCCAAGAAGTCTATGGAATCCCAGAAGCAGCAGCAGCAGCAGCAACAACAGCAGAAGCAGCAACAAAAGAAAAAGACACCCCAGAGCCCACCGCCCGTCTCTCCTCAGAAGAAGCGAGATTCCTTTTACGACAGCTTCCGTTGGTTGGAAGAAGACGACGAGCTGGACCTGCGCCTACAACTAGACGACTACCACGCCAACCTCAGGGACGACATGCCGGCAGCCTCGAAACAGCGCAGGCCGTCGTTCCGCAGACACCTGTCCATATCCAAGATACCCTTTGGTCGCAATTCGCTATCCCTCAACCGCCCTGGCACAACACAAGCCGTCACCAGCAACCCGTCATCCCCGCTTTTTGCAAACGCCCCGGGCAGCCCCCAAGCCACATCGCCCGGACATGGCCGGCGGAGATCTCGCGCCTTGTCTCTGATCTCACCCAAATACAGCCCGCATGACGCCCTCGGTGTCTTCGATCCCGAAGCCGCCCACTACCAAGACCCGGAGGCTCGCCTGAAGCTGCGTGTGTATCTCGCATCGCCTCAAAAATTCGACGAGGCTATCGAATTCGGCTTCCCTTCTAGGGAAGCCATGTCTCCACAGGCGGCAAGGGACTTCAAGGATCCCAGAAACAGACAATCAAAGGCGGCGCTGGCAGACGAGTCGGACACACTCCGCACGTTTCTGGCAGATGACAGGTCGTCGATCTACAGTGAAGATGAGTCGCTCGACTCGGACTCCCCCAAGACGCCTCAGACAGTGGAAAACGCTACGGCACTTCGGCCGCCGCCACCGATCAAGACAGATCGGGCGTGCTCGCCCAAGCCGTCCAACGAGTACGCCCGGGGGCCGGCCGAGACGAGGGAAATGACGCTGCGCATGACCCTGACGAGACCGGATCTGCGGGCGCACGAAGATCAGATATACGGTTGGCAGCAGAAGTGCTGCCCACCGGGCAGGAAATCGCAATCAAACGCGCTGCGGGACGAGTTCACGGCGCCGACGTTCGCCCGCGAAGGGTCGTCGAAAGAGAGCATTGAGCGTCAGTTCGCGGCCATGGACCAGTGGAACGCTCAGACCAACGACCGAGGCGTGATGAAGCGCTTTTGGAACAAGGTCCGGCGTGGGCCTGCATAAATGTCGTTTATTGTGAAGGTGTATGAAGTGTGCCACCGAGTTTAACCGCAAATATTACGATGCACGGGAAGATTGCCGACAATGAGATTGCAATCATCAGCATTATGACATGAGCAGGAGGAGCAGCAGCAGCAGCAGCAGCAGCAACAACAACAACAGCAACAGTATTGTTTCTAATACCCCGGAACCAAACATGTATACATATTCCATAGTGTCTATTTTTTTTTTCTCTTGTCATCATTCACTTTGCAGCGATTTCCGTTTGGGGCTCATTACACAGCCAGGAGTTGAAATTTTACAGTGATTGTTAGACGCATGGGGGGGCATTGGGAAGATGGAGTTATCAAAGGGGAGAATGGCGCGATTGCCGCCATTTCCGCTTGTCATTTTTTAGATTTTTTTTTAACCGTCACGCGCACAGAGAGTGATGGACCCCGTCTAAGTGGCGGATCATTGCTTAATGAGGAGAAGGATTTGGTGATGGCGTGTGGTGTTATTTTTTTTTTTTTTTGTGTAGCGTAGCATTGGCAACGGCTTTCTAGCTGTCCAGGATTAAGAAATGAGTTCAATGCCGCTTCATCTTTTGGTTTCCCTTTTAGATATCATTATGTGACATGTCCGTGTGGCCTAGCTCGCATGGGGGGGGGTTACATTTACCTTGTCACAGAACACAAGCGGTAAGAAAACTGCGTGATAATGTACATACATACATACATACATACATACATACATACTGAGAGAGAGGGTCATGGCGCTATTAGATGAATGGGATCGTCGTTGGATGAACCGGGGGGTTGTGGCCTGTCGAGACGGATACGGCTGAGTTTTAGAGTTGTACCCAGGAACCTGGTTTGATAGGGTCAAGCCACTAAGCCACTGATATGAAGGTGGTGGAGATATTGGGGGGGGGGAAGAGCGGTTCGTCGTTGATATTTCGCCGCGGAGGAGAGTTGAAAGTGAGGCGGCATTGATTTACTCCGGACACACACGAAAGTGATGGTCTGAGAGTCCAAGGGCAAGATTTTTGCATTTTTGGTTTTCTTTCTCGTCATGGGAACCCCCCCATGGTGGAGACGATATAGCATGATGGAACGGACGGGACTTTACTACGTGAGTGTAGCTCTAGCTAGCTAGCTTGTGTGTGCTGCCTGCCTGGCTGCGCTCGGTGCTCGTTACATCACGGGTGAGAGGGGGCGGGGCGTGGGGTTTAGGGAGGGATTCATTTTTCTTCTTGAATTGTGAGTGCTGCGGTGGTGGTTTTTTGCATGTATGTATGTTATGTTCTATACTACGTGAGGCTAGATCGATACCGGGATGATGGGGGGGAGTGTGTGAGTGTGAGTGTGAGTGACGGGGGGACGTGCAGAGGGGACGGACGAGGATCATGTTGACATTCGGGAAGAACGAGTTCCGTTTTTGTTTTTTGTTTTTCGGTTGTTTTTTCGTATGTCAACTGCCGTTGTTTTTGTTTCTGCCGAAATGGGGATTTTCCAGTCATGACGAAAGGACGGATGGATGTATTAGGGTCTGGGCCTGGGAGGCTGGGAGACTATTGAGCATCCACGTCGGCACTCTCGTCTCGGAAAGGGGGGCACGGTTCATCGTCTCATCGTAGAAGCGCTCGAGAAGAAGAATTGGGGGAAATTCGGCGTGGCCCAGAACCTTTTTTCATTTTAAAATTGTGTCTGCTATTTTGACGGAAAAACTGTTCGTGCATTTTCTTCTTTTTTAGCAAGGCGTTCTGTCTGACTGCGCCGATGTTCAGACGAAAAAAAAGAACTGGGCGGACGGGGTTCATGTCATGTCATTACATTGAGCTCTGAGCTGATGGTTCGTGTGTGTGGCTGTGTGGCCCGGGGGCCAGCGTCGTCGGGCTTTGCTGTTTTCGGTTATCGTGGAAGCTTGGACCCGGCACTGAGCGCTCCCTCTTTCGTTCCTTTTTCACGTCTGTCATTGAGGTTGAATTGTGTCAGAGCTCGGACGCCGAGACAATTGGTATGCCACGTGCGCCCAACGTTTCTTTGCCTGTGATGTTTCGGGGTGATTTTGAAAGGTTTGACGAGGGTTGGAAGGAGAGATTGGCTGAGGGAGAGACAGAGAGAGCTTGGGGTGCTATGTTTGCTCGATACCTATTCGAGGTGAATTACTACCGCAGCTGCCAATGCGGCAGATACCATGATACTCTCCATTACGTTGGTTGTGGAGTTTGGTCCGGACGTGGCGCGGGAGAGTCCCGTACCGTATTACTATGTTATGTAGTACAATCGTGCGTGGATGCTGTGGATTTCCACTGGAGGCTACCATGGGCTAATATAGCGGTGGCGATCATACCTAGTGCCGGGCCAGTTTGGCGCGGCGCCGGATGGTCGACCGGGAAGCGGAGCGGGGTGGAGATTGTCGGAGCCGAGAATCTCGGGAGGGATGGGAGAAGTCTCTGGACACCATTGCATTTGTAATTTTAAATTAGATCTTAATGCATGCGTTGGGACTATTCTGCGCCAACATGTCATGTTAATTCTTGGCGTCCACGTCTTCGAAGAGTTTTGCGCCATGAGGACTGCCGTCCGTCTGCGAGACGAAATCAGTGGGGACCGGATCCGGCGCTCGCGGTGGTATCCACTGCCTGTTTTGGAAACTGCGGAATATGTAGAGCCTTATCGATTGAGATATGGATGCCATGGACTGGGTGTAGTTATGTGAGACTGAGTGCGGTGGGTGCGAGCTGATGATTATACAACATTGAGAGGTTGGGATGAAGCATGAGTGGGTTGTAAGTAGTGTGAACAATGGTATGAGCCATTTCTTAGATGAGGGCTGCGAATGACAGTGTTGATGCTATACGTGTTTGAGAATTTTACTTCAGTTACCTCATATATGAATACATCTAATTTCTCATCTCATCATATCTATCTCACCCTCATAAACAGTCTTTGGTGCTCACAAGCATCACGTGACCCCGCGTATGTGGGTCTGTGGATCGCGTGGCCAACGTCACCGAAATTTTGGCAAGAGGCGATGAGACGGTCGTGAGAACGCCACCCGCCAAACTCACAACACCAACATCACCAATTCATCCAGATGCTGCAAAGTGCGGGTCGTCCCTACGTCTGTTGGCGATGTCTCACCGCCAGCAGGTCTCTCCCCTCTGCTGGCTCCAGACTTGCTCCACAGACTCATCAACTCCGGACTCAAACTGCAAGGGTGAGTGAGGAACTCATCTAATAATACACAATCAAGTTAACAATGGCAGTTTTACGCGGGAAATTACTCCGGTAACCGTGGTGGCTACTTTGACGGTGATTCCGGCCGCCAGCGTCGCCGTCTGCCGGCCCATGAGCTCAGCCCCGCCGAGATTGAGAGGATACGATCTCAGTCCGACATCCGTGAGCGTCTGCGCAGCTGGGAGTCCGAGAACTACATCCCAGCTCATCGCCTGCTTCGGGATCAGCCCACCTCCGATATCCCCCTCTCCAACTACCTGACCAGGCCGGACGTCCTGCCCGGCTCCACCGATGCTCTCCGCAACGACGACGACGTCGATGGCGAGACAAAAAGTCAGGGCAACCGCGCTCTCTACGACGGCGATGCCCTGATGGACCTGCGAAGCGCCACTTCGGCGCTTGTCGCCGGCGATTTGGTCGAGACGAGGTAAGTTGCGAATGTTTATGGCACCCGGCAGTCTCGCTAATGAACCGCAGATACGGGGCTGGACGCCTACCCATCTTGGCCATCTGTCTCGGTCGTCACCACGGTCTACAGTATTTCTACCTCAACACCGGTGAGGTCGTCCCTGAGCAGAACATCCCCACGCTCTTCACCCTCCCCAACTTTATCGACCCGGCAAAGTTCCAGCCCATCGTCGATGTCATCCCCGAGGATCCCGTGTCGAACCCGTGCAATGTGCTCTTCCACCGGAAGAACCCCGAGGTGCTCGAGGCCGTCGCCCGTCTGCAGGAGCACATAACAAAGTTCCGCAACGACTCCGTAACCTTTTACCACGCCCACCAGCAGCTGGACACGGCCAGCAACTTCCTGGCCGACTCTGTTGAACCTCGGTACATGAGCCTGGAGGAGATGGCCGAGAAGCTGCTGCCAGAGTACCTCAAGGTCGGGGAGAGATTCCTCCCCCACGCCCTGTACGCGGTGCACTGCGCGCTGCAGCGCGATGACTGGGGCTTTCGCCCTCTCAACCTCCGATGGCACCGCCGCAACTACATCTACGAAGTGCGGTCCGCCTCCGACATTCGCATCCTGCGCAAGGTGGAGAACCAAGTCCGCGAGCTGATCGAGGGTGCTGCGCTGCGGGAGAACCCCGCGGCGTCTGTCTCCTTGATGAGGCAAAATAGCCTGGGCTCTTTCATTATGAGGGCACGTGGAGTCATCCAGGCGAGCCGCCTACGGAGGGAGTGGACGCCGCATGGCATGATTGGACCGAGCGAGGACAAGGTCGACAACCTCGCTCTCTGGAACAAGCAGGATCTCGAGTACATCCGTTTCATGGAGCTCTGGGCGTGCCACCGCATCGTCCCCAAGGCTTCTCAGCTCGAGACCCTAGGCTCTACCATCCTGCGACTGACGGACATGTACAACGAGTCCGAGTGGCTCGCTCACTGGACCGCCTTCACCTTTCTCCAGGAGATCGGCTGGATCCCGCCTTGGGATATCCCCGCCCGCTACGAGTACAGGTTCCCCGACACCAAGGTTTACAGGGGAGCGCCCATGCAGATGCCGCTCATCGATGTCAACGGCTCTATGAGGCCCGACGTTGCCAGCGGGAACAGACGGGACTGGGGCGATACGACCGTCTTCTGCGTGGACTCCGAGCAGACGACCGACGTCGACGACGGCTTCTCCATCGAACCGACCGAGAACCCCGGTGAATACTGGATCCACATCCACATCGCCGACCCCGCGTCAAGCATCGACCCCAAGTCCGACCTCGCTCGCCGCATCCAACAGGCCCCTTCGAGTCTGTATCTCCCCGGCTTCCCCAACAAGATGCTGCCCCAGGACCTCGAGCAGCAGTTCTCCCTGGACCCGGGCCAGCCCGCCCTGACCTTCAGCGCCAAGGTCAACGAGCTGGGACAGATTCTGGACCACAAGGTCGAACCGGGCATTCTGAAGAACGTCGTGCACGTGCCCAAGAACGAGGTCGCCGCCATCCTCCCCGGCCTGCAGCCGCAGCCCACCTCTGACGGATTCGCGGTCGGAAAGCCTCCCAAGCCGTCACTCCCCGTCAAGCAAATCACCAAGGCGGCCGACCTCCCCCAGAAAGACAAGGACGACCTCCTCCTCCTCAACCGCCTCTGCAAGGCCCTCAAGCACCGCCGCGTCGCAAACGGGCAACTCCCGCCCTTTGAAAGCCGCTTCGCCGCCCCCGAAGTCTCCCTCGAGTCCGTCGAAACCATCGGCGACCCGGACGACCTCGACTCGTCCCTCATGTGGTCCGGAGACCCCTTCATCCGCTTCTCGCACCCGAAGACCAGCGAAGCAGACCGCCTCGTCGAGCGCCTCATGCACACCGCCGGCGAAGTCGCCGCGAAATGGTGCTCCGCGCGCAAGATCCCCGTCCCCTACAGCACGCAACCCGAGGCGCTCCGCAACGCAGCCGAACTCGACGCCTTCCGCCGCCAGCACATCGACCCGCTGACGGCGCAAGGGAAACCCATCCCCGCGGAAGTCCTGCACAAGCTCTTCACGCTCGTCGGCACCTCCGAGCTCGCCGTCGACCCGGCCCACTTCTACTCCGTCGGCCTAGACGCCTACGCCAAATCCTCCAGCCCGCTCCGCCGCTTCGGCGACCTCGTGATCCACTGGCAGATTCACGCCGCCCTCGCGCGCGAGCGTTCCCTAGGCCAATCCCTCGCCGGCCAGGACTGCTCCGAAGCAGACTTCCTCCCCTTCACACGCTCCACCCTCGCCCCGGCCCTGCCGATGCTCCAGGCCCAGCAGCGCCAGATCAAACAGGTCGACAACAAAGACGGCCCGACGCAGTGGATCGCCCAGGCCGTCCTCCGCGCGTGGCGTTTCGGCGAGGCTGAACTGCCCGAGAAGTTCACCTTCATCGTCGACGGCCTGTACCCCTTCGGTCTGCGCGGTCGGCTATCGAGCTTCTATAACCTCTCGGCCTCCGTCGATCTGTCGCGGCTCACGGGCCTCGCCAAGATGTCGGATATTAGCGTCGATGATGTCTTTGAGGTCGAGATTGCAGATGTCAACACCGTCACCACGCAGATTTCAGTCAAGCCTACGCGGAGACTGAGTAGAGTGCAGCGGGACGCGCCGGTCGCGAAGAAGGGCGCTGGCGGTGGTGGTGCACCTTCCGCGGGGCCCGCTTTGCTGTGATGAAAATTGTAAAATATAGTGTAAAAAAGATGTTTGAAGGGGAGGAGAGATGTGATGTGTGTACACTCTTGTAAAACCATGTATAACGGAACGGACAAACATAGACTCAAATACTTTGTATGATATAGAAATCTCAATAGAAAAAGGGGCGGGTTAGGACTGCTCGGGCAGAACATCACTTCACACAATCAATATTCTTCAGCTGCGGCGACGCATAAAATTGGTATCATATTTCGATCGTTAACACTGCAAAAAAGCTAACCCCTAAATCCCCCCTCCCCCATTACATCCCCGCTGACGCTGAGCTGCTTGCGGCTCAACTACAAAATCCTTTGAAACGACTTTATTAAAGCCCGGCTATGACGCTCTGGATGCCGACGCTACTGGCATCGTCACGCCGCTGCACAAAGGCCTTGAAATCGGCCTTGGAGAGCTTCCTTCCCGCCCCCTGCGGGCCCGTCGCAAGCGTGCGGGACTTCTCCTTGAGGGCCTCCGGCCCGACAATGAAGAGCGACCCGATTTCGGCGAGGAGCTCGACCGAAGCTTCGACATCGGCGGCGAGCGACCACTCCTTGATTGTCGAGACGTACTTTGACAGATCCTGCGCCACCATGAGGCCTCCCGTCGCGTTAACCTGGAACTTTTTGAAGTGGTCGAAGAGGAGAGTCACCACGGCGACGGCCACCTCGGAGCTCCACACCTCGAGGTTGTGTCCGTCGACCGCCTGCGACGCGCGCTGGTACACGCGCGACAGGAACTGGCTGATCTGCAAGCAGGTGGGGGTCTGCAGGGAGTCGAGGTCCCCGTCGCGGGGGCGGAAGTCCGTCTTCTTCTGGTTGGCGAGAGACCGGGTCACCCAATTCGTGACGACGTCGATGGAGCTGCGCATGACGGCGTTGGTCTTGCGCTCGATGCCGTCGATGGCGGATTTCGTCTGCGACGACATGTTGCGCCGGACTGTCGCATTGGACTCGGCCAGCTTGATGAGAACGGTGGTGATGAAGCGCTCCATGATGCTGGTGATAGTCACGGCCGGGCGGATTGAAGGCAGGTATGTCAGGTCAGGCTCTGTCTTGATGTTCTCCTGGGAGGAGGCCGAATCGAGGGCGGCATCCAAAGCCGTCTCAACGTATACGCGACCCATGGTCGTAAGCAGCAGGTTGAGAAGGACGTTTACGTCCTTGGGCGTCTCGACTGGAGAGCCGAGCTCCAGGGTTCTTCGTACGGACTCTGCAAGCCACTTCATCATTCTCTTGGCGCTTGCCACGCTGATGATACCATCCTCCTCTGATACCTCCACATCGTTCTTGTTCCCGTTGTTATCTTGAATTCCGGCGACACGAAGCATCATAGCCTTCTGGGTGACCGTCAATTCAGATGAGTCAAGACGCTCCAGGTAGGCGTCCTTGGCCGATGACAATAGCTGCGAACTCTGCTGTGCCAGGGATGCCATGAAACCTGTTGGTGCCCTCTTTCTCTTGGAATGGTACGTTGTGAACTTGAAGAGCAGCGAGTTGTACATTTCCTCCAGACTCTTTCTCTCGCGGTCAATGTACGAGTTGCCTACCAGGTAGGGAACGAATAGCTCCTCCATCTGTTGGTCCAAGGTCTGCGAAATCTGCGGCGAGGCCGGTTCCGGATGCTCGGTGAGACCGTGGGTCTTGAGATCTTCGATAAGACCGCTGATATATGTCCTTGACGAGTGCAATGATCTCAAAAATGCAAGCGACGAGACTTCGTTTGCCTTGTCCAGGACCATTTCCAGCCTTTGCTGGATGGACTGTTGGAAGACTCGCTGGATGAATTTGATCAAGACAGTCTCGTAGTAAGGGAACGCCCGCTTGATGATAAATGACTCCTCCTGCATGACGAGCTTGACTTCGTCCACCAATGTTTGCAGGCTTGCTTCGACTCCAGGGGGGTCGGAGTCCGGGTCGGCGATCTGCTCCCAAGTCTCGCCGTCCATCGTCACCTCATCCGAGAGCAACTGATCCCGGTCGATAAAGAATTGATGCTGATTGACAAAGGTCGCAATGACACTGGCGCCGCCATTGAAATCGTACAACACCTTGGAACACTCCATCATATCGTCAAAGTTTTGGCGCCTGTAGCTGTTGTTGAACTGTTTCAAGAGCTCTTGCTCCAGAGATTCAGAGAACTTCTCGAGCACTTCCCTCGTGTTATGCACACGACTTGTACCGGTGACGCCGTTAGTGACGCCGTTTCCTTTGACTCCATTCGTCCCGTTTGTTTGACCCCATGATGACGGGTCTAAGCGCTGGCTGATGCGCATGAGTTGACGGGATATGACCGCGCATCGGACCTTGTTCTCTGCGCCTCCCTGCCTCTGGATTTCCTCCAAGGACGTGAGCTGCCCAGTTTCGCTAACCTCGAGCCAGCATGAAATGAGGAAGTTGGCGTCTTGTGCGCGTCTCCTCTTCCTGTCTAGCTCCTCGAGCTTTTCTCCGATCTGCACGGCAATGTTTCCACCCGCCTCATGTCTCGCATTCCGGTCGTCGTTGGTCTCGGGGTTATTCAGTGTCAAGTCAAGCGCTTCGAAGGATGCCATGGACTGGTCGAGCTTCCGGCCGAGGGTATCAAGGGTCTGGTCATGCTGGGCTTCAGCGCGCCGTACATTGGACTGGAGTTCCGATTCCTTCTCCTGGAGTTCCTCGGACAGCGATCCAAGTTGCGAAAGAGCATCTAAGGGTCAGGTTAGCGACGAATTGCGCAGAGGTGGAGGTGCCGTACTCTCGAACGTTCGAATGAGGGGCTTTGGGTCGAAAGCAGGCTGTGAAGGGCCAGAACGGCGATTGGCAGGAACGGCGTTTTCGGCGAGGTTGTCGACGAATTCGCGGACCACAAAGTCCTGGTTGGAGAAATCCTCGAGGGTGAAGCTAGGTCCTTGAGGGAACAGCGACTTGGCCCCGGACGCAGCCCGCTCCATGGTTGCGTTTGGGCAGAAAGTGCTGTCGTTTGTTGCGTCTAATCAAGCGATTGCAATCGACTACATCATCTTCGATAACCTTCAGCTGCTGCGCAAAAGAACTGCCCCAGCTACCGTGGTGGTGCTACGAGGAGTCGTCGAGAGTATGGTATTATTGCTGTTGTGTATGCGTTTCGGGAGCACTGTATCCGCGTAGTCTCTCACCAAGTGACAAACGAGCTGTCCGTTTTGTCCTGTTTGGGTTAGCTCCATATCTTTCCTGGGTCACCTCCCCGCCATTCTGGCCAGTGCAGTAATCATCACGTGATACGATAAGATAAGAACAGTCAACCATCGTGTCTAAGTGCCAAAGACGTGAGGTCTCGGGACAGTTGTTCAAGCTTTATGAACAATTATGGTATTTTCTATGGTTCAAGCAGAAGAAGTAGTAATCTACAATTCTTCCACCATTTGGGTGGTTAACTTGCATTGAAACTGGGTCGTCACTGATATCATTTAAGGGATGTTATAACCATCTCGCATCTCAATTTTGATAACCCACTGCGTAGTGAGTAATTTGAGTATAGTCGTGAGATAAGGTCTAACATAAGGTCTAACATAACATCAAGAATGATGCCACGATTGCTGTTCCGTTGTCTCACAACATGAGACCTGAGCAGCTTGAGCCAGAAGAAGGACAGTGAGCCGGGCGCACTGGCGCTGGCCGCGGGGGCGCCAAAAGTATGCTGGCTCCTGTGTCAACTCTGACTGAAAGTATCTACTGGGAGAGCCTAGTAGTGAGAGACTTTAAAGCAAATTTCATAGCCAACTGCCGTGGCCAAACCCGGCAGATGATCCTTGCAGACATGCCGATGGGCCGGACGGGAATGCCGCAGATGTCAAGTTGAACGCCCGAAAGCTTGCTCAACGTCCAGCATCCGGAGCCCGTGCCCTCCGCTGCCAGCGGGTGGCTGAGAAACCTGGCATTTCCAGAAAAAGATGGTCCGGGTACGTACCTACACATGCCCAGTCTGAAGCCCCACCAAATGGAAAGATCAGGACAGCAATAGCTCAGCTGAGCCCTCAGCCACGGGCAGCTTTGCTGGAAGTAGCGGCGCAGCATCCACTAGGAATCCACCAGCCCAACCAATGTCGTATTACCGCGTACCTGTAGAAATCCATGGCAGTTGCTCTAGACTTGCCGGCAAGACCAATCTATCCAGCTTCAACCAGTTTACTTGGCTAAGCCGTCGTCATCCCCACGCCAAGGTTGAATGGCAAACTGTGCATACGACGCGTACGACGTAACACCTGTCCATATATACACCCACATTACCACTTCGCGGAGTTCTTCGCCGGTCGACTCTCCCTCAACAGATTACCCCCTTCATCCCACTTGCAGCTTAACACGCCGCACATTGCGATTCCCGATTGACCGCGCCGCCGAGAATCCAACTTTTCAAGATGGCGCTCAACACGAGAGATCGCAAGATCTACAGGACCGACGACAAAGATAATCAAGGCTTTATCAGCGAGCAGAACAGGAGAAAAATCATTGAGGTACGTGGGAACCGCCATTTGTAGGACGACCAAGGTCCGTCAGCTGACGCTTGCTATCTCCAGAACTATCTCCCAAAAGAAGAACCCGAAGAAAACACACGGCGACAATGGCGAGAGGATGACGTTCCGCCGCCAAGCAGGTTTGGTCTGCGACGCGCGCTCCGTTCGAAACTTCACCTGTTCCTCTACACCTTCATGCATGCCTTCTTCTCTCTCTACATAAGGATACGACAGGCATGGCACTTGGTGTGCTACCATGTCTCTTCTGTCATGTTCTATCACCACCGGACGCCGGAATACATTGAGCGCGACGTGGTAGGGTTGAAAAAGAAGCCCAAGCACCTCAGTGTTATTTTGAAGATGGAACAGGGCGGCAGACATGGCGCTGAGCTGGAGAGACTGGTGGGCGAGGCCGCTGAGATTGCCGTCTGGTGTGTCTGCGCTAGAATCCCCGTCCTGACGGTGTACGAACGGACAGGTAAGCGATTTCTTTTTGAAAGTTGATTGCATACAGTAACTGACACCACAACAGGTCTTCTCAAGCGATACCTGCCACACCTTCAGCAGTCCATCATCCAAAAGTCTCGATCCTACTTTGGCCGACACCAGCCCGCCCTCACCGTAGCCATGCCCCACGCCGACGAGATTCTCAAGTCCCCAGCACATGGCGACTTTGCCGGTGTTGACCCCCGCCATCTCAAGGTTGTGTTCATTTCTGCCGAGGACGGCCGCGAGTCCATGGTCGATCTCACCCGCACACTGGCCGAAATGTCACAAAAGGGCAAGATTCACCCTCGCGACATTAGCACAGACTTGATCGACGCTGAACTCTCCGAGGGCATCATGTCTGAGCCCGACCTGCTCATTCATTTCGGCCCCTACGTTGATCTGGATGGCTACCCTCCCTGGCCTATCCGCCTGACGGAGATATTTTGTCTACCTGACAACCAGGGTGTCGGATATCAAGTCTTCTTGAGAGCTCTGCGCAATTTCGCCAATGCGCAGTTCCGTAAAGGCAAATAAACGATTCATGCCGCATATACACGATTAGAGTTGTTGTTGCTGTTCTTTGAGCTGGCTGTTGGCGGAAGATACCCGCATTTCTCGCATCGTTTTGTCCCACCGATACACCGGCCCCGTTCCGACGTTGTAGTTATAGTAATTTTCAGTACCTTCCTTCACCATGGCTCTCCTGAAAGTGATGTTGATTCTTCCTCCGTCCTCTGCGTTCTTTCCGGTTCTTTTGGGTATTGAATGCAACCAATTGGACTGTGTTCGGCCTCGCATGAGAATCATGTCGCCACTACCGAGCGGCAGCTTGAGTTGCGATGGTGGTGACTTGTCTGGATTCTCTGGGTCAGGAGGAATAGGCTTGTGCTTCATGAGAAAGTCTCTCCTCGCGCCCAGGGAGAACGAGGCGATGGCTGGGTTCTGGCCCAGAAACCTCTCGTCGTCGCTGTGAAACGAGATGCTGTCTGTGCCGGAGGCGTAGTAGTTGACAAGGCAGAAATTGAACTTGCAGTCGGTTGCGGCTTCAGTAGAGAGACGGAGGTCATCGAGACACTTGGGGATTGGACGAGGCGGGTATCTCTCGTAAAGCTTGTCCTCGATCTTGAACCCTGATTTGGCATCTATAACTGAACCATCCTCGTCGAAGCGAGCTGTTCCATCAATGCCAAAGACCGTTGTCCATCTGGTTCGGGGTTAACATACTGTCCTGCTGTTCAACGCAAGAGACAAACCTGGGCGTGCGGATGTGAGTCTTGATACCACCTCGGTTGATATCGTACTCGACCCGGTAGAAGGGCAACTCAGCCCTGAGGAACTCGAAAAGGTCTTTGGCTAGGTAGGATGGCACGTATGGCTCAAAGTACACGAGGTCAAGGTCGGGCTGGTCATTGATGTCCCGACCCGGGCGTGCGGGCAATGATGAGAGTTCTTTACTGATACTAGGCGGCAACTCTGAGATGGGGCAAGGATAGTTATGATGTATCGACCGCCCGATCTAAATGTTTGTCAATGGCTGCTGGGATTCTAGGAACGGCCGAATCTTACCGGCTCAGTTGATTCACTTTCTGTGCGACTCTTCTTCACCGCTGGTGCAAAGAACGCATCCAATGTCCTTTTTTTCGACATGTTTCGCGTGGCCTTCAGACCTACCGGTTGGTGGCGTGTAAGTGAATTGAAAGTTTGGTTGAGACAGACACCGTTGAAGCGCCGCCACAGGTAGCCTCTTCCGGATGATGCCACACACGCCGCTAGCACTTCTCTTCTTGGAAAATATCTGCAGAAAAGATTTCACAAGCGACTAGAGTTTCGTTCGAAATTGTGATCCAAGTTGAACCGTTGATTGCATTTTCATTCCTCTATGGTGTCTCTCTCGGCCAATCATCAATGACGCTTACATCGTGGAGCTTCAGTGACATCACCCCAGCGCACAGGTTACATTACGCCCCATCCCCACCAGGGCAAATCTAGTTGCAGCCTCGCGCCTGCGCCACACCACCAGGGACCCCTTGCCCCTCAGCCCTAGACGGATTTTTTCTCAGCCTTGCCCCTCCATGATCGTCCCCGACCATCGACTCATCAACATGGCGGTAAGTTGGGACCCTTGCACCGCTGCTGTTTTGTTACGCAGAGGCACTGATATCACTGGTAGTCTCCTGAATCTGAAGAGATGATTACTTTCCGCGCGCCTCTTGCGCGTGCAGCTACCTCCTTGGACCGCTCACTCTTCTCCAAGACAGTGAAGCTTGCTGCCGCAACGGTCAAGGACAACCGTAACATTTCAAAGTACCGTAAGCAACTGGAGAAGTCCAAGGAACTTTTGGCACTTGATCGTCTGGACTCTTGCCGGAATGATCCCGTAAAAGCTGGGTTGAAGTGTCTGCTCCTGCGGCCTGGTGTGAAGCACGATGGTTTGTTTCCCCTCTTTGTGAGCAAGAGGGGCATGTGTGACTAATAAGTCGGCCAGCTCCTACGACATGGGGACCTGTTTTCCAGGAAGGTGTGAAAAGCGGCGAGTTGGAAGTTATACCGTATGAGTTGCAGCTCGACTATGACTACTGGAGTTATCGTGAGTTGTGGCTATGGAGTGGGTGAAGGGTGACAAACTGACCCAGGACATAGTTGATGTCATGACGTCCATTTTGCCGGAAGAGCTTCACGTTGAGATCCCAGTGGGCTTCAACACCGCAGGTCACGTCGGTATGTTGCATGGAGATGAGCAGAGAAGCACACACTAATTGTGCCAGCGCATCTCAACCTGAGGGACCAGTACCTCCCATACAAGAAGATCATCGCCCAGGTCATCCTTGACAAGAACCCCAAGATTCGCACGGTCATCAACAAGGTTGACAACGTCGGAAATGAGTCCGAGTTCAGAACCTTCGCCTACGAGGTTCTTTGTGGACCTGACGACATGAACGTAGAGCTCAAGGAGAACGACTGCGTCTTCCAGTTCGACTACTCCAAGGTGTACTGGAACAGCAAGCTTGAGCCGGAGCACACAAGACTTATCAAGATGTTCCAGCCTGGCGAGGTTGTCGCCGACGTCATGGCAGGCATTGGGCCGTTCGCCGTCCCGGCAGCAAAGAAGGGCGTGTTTGTTTTTGCGAACGACATGAACCCCGAGAGCTTCAAGTACCTCAACGTTTCCGTAGAGAAGAACAAGGTTAGTTGTTCATCTGAGGAAGCGGAGTAGACCTTTACTAACTCTTCAGGTCTCCCAATACGTCCGCCCAAGCAACATGGACGGCCGCAAGTTCATCCAGGATGCCGTCCACCAAGTGTACGACGCATCAACCCGCGGCGACGGCGCCGTAATCAAGCCCAAGTTTTCGAGGAGCAAGCCTCAGAACCCCCCTCCTCAGTCCAAGCACATTCCTATTCCACCTACCATCTCACACTTTGTCATGAACCTCCCCGCTTCAGCATACACATTCGTTCACCATTACAAGGGCATCTACAAGGGCCATGAGAAGCTGTTCGAGCCTCACACTTCGACCAAACTTCCCATGGTCCACGTCCACTGCTTCGCTCTGAAGAGCGATGATGACGTTCCCCTGAACGACATTCTCGACCGTATCTACGAGGAGCTCGGCGTCCGCTTCAAGCTTGGCGATGCAGACAAGCAGGGTGAGATGACAATCTACAACGTGCGTGACGTCGCTCCCAAGAAGCGCATGTTCTGCGCCAGCTTCCGCCTGCCACCCGATGTCGCATTCGCCACAGACAGCTGAGCTGTCCCGTTTCTCGGCTATTACGGGAACCAAGCAGTATCATGCTCTGGCCGAGACAACAAACACTATCGGCATCCCATATGCCCGTTGCTGACGGCAGAAACGGCTATCTCGTACTCCCCTCACGCTACCCGGGTAGTATACTCCACTCCTGACCGAGAATCCCCTCCGGCCCTTCCAGACCCCGCGCCGCTGCGGTCACATTGCAGCCGGCGGAAGGCGGGGAGCACCCGTCCGGTCGTTTCAACAACCGCCGCCAACCTCCTGTATCACCCTTAGTATGTGTCAATAGTCGCCTGATCGACTGTCTTGCAGATGGAGACAGGGAGGGGGGGTCAGGCATCTCAAGATAACATGGTGTTACCCTGATGGATGAGTGACCAGGGACGTGGCAAGGCGGACAGACATATCAACGACAGAACGGAGAGAAGAGGTCGCAAGTGAAAGGAGACAAGAAGAGCAGTAGCAATGATTGCAATAGGGCACCCCTTGTCTCGGGGCGGGTTCAGCTACGTACGGACCGAAACGGCCAGCGCAATCGCACTCTATAATTGTCCGACATATATCCAAACAAGACGACTTGCATTCTCCCAACGCATATGCGGCTCCTCCTGCTCCCCACTACCACCACCACTACCTACAATTTCTATATACATATACCTGTGTTTGCCTGGATAGATTAATCGCCGTCAGGGATTGCGATACGAAAAGCATGTGATACCGCCCCCCCCCCCCCCAAGCCCTGGGCAGGGCCCGCAGCGGCGCGTCCCTAATGCAAGAGCAGAGAGCCTCCCATCCATACCTCGTGTGTGTGTTGTGCGACCCTATCCACGAACGCTGCTAGCCAAGAGTTGTTCGATATGCATGGCGCCCCGCTTCCCAATCTGCGGACCCAAAAAACACCATCGACGCACGAATAACCCGAACAGTGCTGCCCGCTGGGTATCTCGTTTTCTTTTCCCTGGCGATGCACCATGACATGTAGATGATGACGGGTTTTGCTCCAGCCAAGCAGGGCTAGAACGTCGGCCAACCCTCCAACTCTCCAGCCCAGCCAGCCCTCCCCATTTCACCATGCCGCTCCATCCAGCCAGCCCAGCTCTCACTCCACCACCTCGAAAGGCGCACATGAAACCTGTCAAAACTGCATGTCTATCATTCTATCGTCGTTGGGAACGCGTATGATTGGGAAAGAAGCAGGCCCATCCATTACGGAAGGTCTATCGTTTGTGCGACGATATATCTACGTATCCACGCGGAGAATACTCCGGGTAGAGGGGGGAGTGAATCGATCCAAGATGGGCCTCCCTTCCCCCCCCCATTCAACGCCATTAATTCTCTTCAACACCCATTGTTCTGAGGCTTTTTGTATTTATCCCCATCTGGCCGTCGCCAATCCCATCAATTGCACCTCATCGCAGTGCAGCGCATCGCGGCGGCACCGGATCCGCCATACCATGCCATCCCATCCCATCCCGTACCCACGGCATTACCGGGGAAGGAAACCCGGTGAGGCAACACCCATCACTAAGAATCTGACAACATTTTTACATGCTGACCGAGATTCGATTTGGTGTACATGTGCCCGCCCGGTCTGCATGTATATGCGTACAGGGAGAGAGAGACGATCGTCACTTTTTCCACCCATCTACGTAGCCAGCCGTTTCTGCCCCCCTCCCTCACCTTGCACGTACTTGGTATACTTCACAGCTTCGCCCAACCAGCCAACCGTAGAATTCATCGTTGCAATTCCATATCAGATTGCAGATACATACACCTACTGCGTACAGCAAACGCGCATGCGCATACATGGGGGGTGGGCAATGGCGTGCATCTGGCCCCCCGGTATCACACATCTCACCCTGCACCACCTTTTTTTTTTCTTTTCTATTCTGTACCGTAGGAACGAAACGAACGTTACAGTGGCCCCCCCTTCCGAATGCGCCCGCACAAGACAGACAGACAGGCAGATAGACAGGCAGACAGACACCCAGGGGCAGGGACAGCGCATAAGTTGCAGGTCACACTCGTTCGGGGGGGTTTATACTATCTGCGAGGATAAGTCGGCGCAGGAGGGGGGCGCTTGGCCGGTGTGATGCAGGGCGTTTGGTGGTTTGTACGACTTATCATAGACGCCGACGCATCTTTGTTTTTTTTTTTTTTTTTTTTTTTTTCAAAAACAAAAAACATGTATAAACGAGAAACACACATACACGAACGAGCCCATCTCACTCATCGCCAGACGGGGTAGGTAGAGCGATATGCGTAGATGGCGGGGAGACAAAACATGTGAATCGGGAATATCAAATACTTCCCCCCTCAACAAAGTCTAGAAGGTTCTCACGTCTCTATCAAATCGCGGTGCCCAAGATTGTCATCATGCAGAAGCATCTTAACCTCGAATCGATCAACCGCAAATCACAGGGGGGTGTAAAGCGAGTAAGAGTAATTAAAAAAAGAAGAAAAAAAAAACTCCCGAATACCAAGTATCTCCCGTAATCAACGAATCTGCAGAGTCGCAGATCACACGTGCAACAACAACAACCACAACAACAACCCCTCCCGCATTCAACATTCCATCGCAACAACATGTCCTGATTTTTGTTTGTTTTTGTTTGTCTTTCTAGTGTTTTCCTTTCCTTTCCTTTCCCCTCCCCCCTTCGTCTGGAACAAAGAACAGCATGCCCGTCTTCATCGATACCATCTCTCTTGTCTCAGAAATTCCAGTCCACAGATATCGAACCGATCGACTACGATCCACAAGCAAGACCAGGTCGACGCCACATCGCCGGCGCAAGGTACACTCGCGCCCAAACCCCCAGCAAAACGGGGGCGCGTTCTCTGTTTCCTATCGTGATTCACGTTTGCGGAAGGAGATTTTTTGTGACTAAACAGGCCAAGAGGGAGAGTGACAAAACTAGTTCTAATATGGTCATTCACACCAAGAAAAAACCAAGAGATATATCAAAGAAAAGTTTAAAACGGGGCCATGTGTATTCGACCGTCGTACGACCGCAAAAAACTCCGTTAGAGCTCCGCAAACGGGTACACTTAACTTGTAGGGTGGGGGGTGGGAGTCGTGTTAGTGCTACTCTTCTCTAATTTCACTTGTATCTTTTTTTTTTTTTCTTTTTCTTTTCTTCTTTTCCACTTTCACGCGCATCGACGCTGGGAATACCTTCGGACGCTAACGGTAGAAACCCACCAAACGAGAACAAGGGGGGGAAGAGGGCAGAGGTAGGGCAGCCGCTACGAAATATACCCTGAACATGTTAATGATTGGGCGCCGGCGGCGAAAAGTAACCTGATATCAGGCCCACCCTCTATCAGCACTACCATCACTTACTACTGCTACTGCTACCGCTACTGCTACTGTTACTCACTGCCTCAAATCACCTCATTGAGACGTGGCTCAGTAGCGCTGATGGCTGAGTGCTTTCGTATTCTCATTACTTGGTGTATTTTGTTCTTCATAATACCTCACCAAGAAGACCACCAACCAAGTTCACCTCACGCCCCCCAGTTATTTCATTTCATTCATTCACCTGATAACGACTTGTTTCTCCGTCCAAGCCTCTCTCTCTCTCCCACTTCCACTTCCACTCACACTCCGCAATGGGCCTCCCCCCCTCCCATCTCATCCCACCTTAGCCTCTCGGGGCACCTCCGGTGCGTGAAAAAAAAAAAAAAAATAGGGTGGTGGTGTTGGTGTTGGTGGTGGTCTAGAACACCTCGCATAATCCCAAACGTCCCAAATTTACCTGGCCCTGGCCCCCCTTTTCCCTTCTGCCTTCTGCCTTGCTCCGTAAACTGCCGCCCGAGCCATGATGATGTATATGGCGTTTTTTCTCCGCTTCTTTTCTTGAACCGCACCCTGCGTCGGGTCGGGCGTGAACCTCGACACGAGACAGAATGGTACACAAACGAAGGGAAATGGAGAGATAGCGAAGGAGACGAGGGGAAATGTCAACTTGAACATACACGTCCCGTATTGTCCCACCCCCTCCCTCCTTCCTCTCCCCGGCAATTCGCCGGTAGCCCTCCACCCGGTTCCCCGGCATAAGCACTATTTCATACCGCAATAGCTCGTTGCCGCCTGCGCGCGTACGCCGAACGCAGCAGCACACAGGTTGTTCTGTAGGCCTACATTACACAACAGAGAAGATACTAGTACACACACCATCAGATATACCCCCCCATTGCGGCACCCTCCAAAAGATGGTGAACGTCGCACGAAAACGCTAAGCGATGCTTTCTTCCACACCCACACACCCTCTCTCTTCGTCCCATGGAGAACAACACCCATAGCTTCCCGACCTCCCGGTCTTCCGGCCGCCCGCCCGTGCCTGGCTAGCCCTTGTACTATGTGAGAGAGAGACACAGAGTTGACGGGAGAAACAGAGATGAGTGAGCTCAGATAGTAAAGAAAAGAATAGGGGCGTCCACACAAAATTTTGATAGACATGGTGTGGTGAGCAAAACCTTATATCATCGCGTTTTGGCAATTCCCACTCGGTAGTGGCTCAGACAAGCCGAACTTCACTTTGCTTGATGCCGATGTCTTGAAGTTTGTTGCTGGTAGCGCGGGGGTGAGAGACACGACCTTGGGCGGAGTCATGACGTCCAGGCACCGCGGTGTCAATTCTGGTCCCTGCTCACGAATGTGCAGTAGCATCACACGAGGTTTCCCCGATATCAGTGCTGAGCTGCTTTGCTCTAGCGACGGCGGCGACAAAAGCAACAGCATCAACTTCCTAGGCCCCCGGCTGAGCCGCACCGCAAACCCGTTGACGAGCGGAGCCTCGTTCGGACCATCCCCGGGGGGGCCCGTGTATTGCCCTTTTTATTCCAGCTGACAACCGCGCGGCCGACGCTTGTCGGTGAGACACATATGCAAGTCTCGCATTTTCTGACTGGAAGGCCCGAGGAGAAAGAAATATCCCGGCATGTCAAGAATGAGCAAAGTTGCACAACTTTACTTCCTGTAGGCAGAAAGGATGAGCCTCAATCGAAAACGTACGACAAACAAACCTTTCCCCCTCCCCGCACGCGCGAGCTTCTGCTCCGCATACTTTGCTCTTGTTTCTGCCCAACACAGACTTCCCTCGCGGAACGTGGCGGGGTACAGCTTTCTGGTGTTTGTCCTTCGAAACTCCCCGCTCTAAAATTTGACACAGGGAGGCCCTGTCTTGCTTATCGGCGCATCTGCTCTGCGCCCCTCGACCCCAGAAAACCGATGGTTCAATGAGAGTTCAGGCGCTCTACCCCAATGTCTGGGGTGAAAGACATACGTACACACACACACACACACACACACATATCAATCGGCGATGCTCGAGCCAACTTCTGAGCGTGCAGTGTAATTGCCACACAGGCGGCGATAAAAAAACAAAAGAATATGAGACGGGGCAGGAACAGAAAGTGATTTGCGCGCGAACACGACGCACAGCCTGAGCGATCAAGTTCCAGATTATAAGCCCGTCAGTGCTTAATCCGCATAGCTTACCGGACCTGAAAAAAGGCGGGGGTGAAATGTTCAGCTTTCTGGTCGGACGTTTTGCCCGCGTTTCTCTGACATTTCCCTCCCCAGATCCGAAATGTCTAATTCTAGCGGAAACAGTCGTACTGTGACATCTTCCATCGCACCGTTGACGCAACGACGCATCGCCGGATATCCAGTCGGCTTCTCCCCGGTCAATGCACGGGCTGATTCCGTAGGAACGCGCTACCTAATGAGCTTCACTCGACGCCATGCAGAGCTCATCATCGCCAGTAAACATGCGTCAAAATGGCTCTCAATTTCCATCTGAATTGATACAACTGTCAGGAAGGCCTTGGCCCCGGCGAAGAAGATGAGCTGAGCGTCACTGGGCGTTGATAAATGGACTGACATTTGCTTTTTGACTCTAGCTCAGCCTGTAAGCCATCACCCGGCAACATTCCGGCTGCAACCAATGACGCTGCCTTGCGTCAATACAACAACCGTCAACAGGAGGAGTTGTCAGAGACATCGAGCTTGTCCCCTCAAGAGCCTCAGATGCAGTCAACTGACCCTTGTCGTCACACATAAATAGTGGGCAGGCATCGGGCAAAGTGCAGAATACAGTCAGCGTTAGTCACCGTGAAAGGTCAAGGTGCAGAAAAAGTTGCCGCGGAAGGCCTTTAGGCATCCCCGATTCGTCTCATGAACGTGTAGAGCCGATTCTCAGATTCAATGGGTCGAGGGTGTGGTCATTGTCAAAGTGGATGAGGTGGAACGGACGCCTGGCAGTTTAGCATTCAGAACTTGCTTCTGCCTGTAATGAATTCGCCGATCATTAGGGTCCTTCTGGGGCTCAACTTGCAGGCTGCAGTCGGGAAGAAGACGGGAGTATTGATTAACCCCATGTTGCTGTTAGCACTCAGAGGCATCAAAAGGCGGGTCCTGCAGGGCCGTTGCGGAGTGTAAAACAGTGATTCGACATGGTGGAGCACGATGACTTCCATGAAATAGCCGTGGTGGGCGAATTGAGCAATCACGTAAATTCCAAAGAGCTTTACCGAGGTCAGTCGTTGTTCGCCGAGAACAGCCAAACTTGGGCCGGGTGTGATCCCCAATGAGGAAAGTTGAGGCTCAGTACGGTGATACGCAAGCAGGGGCTGGTTCAACTTGCGTCTTCGGCCTATGTAATGATATCTTGCAGTCGCGTCACCTTGGTAATTGGCGCCAGGGGTTTGAAGTGACAATACCTCCAGATCCCTTGAGGATCTACGACCTGGGCGCAGGTCTACGGACGGGGTCGCCGCACGCCTGCAACGCCGAGGCACATGTTGTTGGAAACTAGAGGTAACGACTTGATAAGACTTGGAAGAGGCGATTGATCCACTCTCTCACGCGCGTAAGAAGCCGAGGGTCGCCGAGTTCCCACAATTGAGATTCCTATTCAAATCGCCTGCAGATGTCAAGTTGCAACGCAGGGTTATCTATTTCGCAGGATTGTCAAACTGTAAGAGGTCCTTTTGGAGGAGTCCAAACCAGAGACGACATCGTGAATTTCTAGTGCAAAGGACAAAGGCGGAACTCCACCCTACTCAGGCCAATGAGGCAGCCTGCTCGTTGATAACAGCCACACAAGGCACAGAAAAAGTGGCGTGCGTGTCGTGTTGAACGGCGAGAGCTACACCAGCGGCGTCGGTGTTCCTCAACCTGGATTGGACGCAGCACAATCAGCGTGGGAAGACGAAGGCAACTTAAAGTGGGGGGCAGTCCACCCACACCAAGAGAACTCGCTGCAAACTCGTTGGCTCTGAACCCAAGAGGCTTTTCTCGACAGAGACGATGTGACGGCTCGTCAAAAGCTGCAGAATGCCTAGGAACATAGCGACATTAGCTTCTGTCTCCCCTTGTCTCAGTGAGACAAATAATCATGCCCCTGCTTTGGAAAGTAAACCGTCGATATTGGACAGCTCGGGGCTTCTCTGGTTCGATGCGAGGGCATCCGACGCGGCATTTTGATGAGACGATTGATACGCCAAGTGAGGGACAAGACATGTCAACAGGAAGCGCCCGTGCAACACAACTTCCTGGGGTTGGCTGGCAGCAGTAAGAAGGTCTGGCCAACTGTTTTTCTGTTCAAGACAGTGCTGGCTCATCAGGTAAAATGGAACTGTAGATCCTTGTACCGCCATGGCCAACCCGAAAGCGCGAGCAGGTCTTCCAAGATACAGGCCATTATGTCGAGTTGGACGAGTGGCTCCAGTTTCATAGTCGCGACCAGTCTAGTGACTAAATTGGTGCCGCATCTAGACTCAACACTTGTGAGGCGTCCGGCAATGCCCGCTAAGGGTCTTTCATACGCCAGTCACGGGCTCTTGAGCACCTCGACAAAACGCTCGACAAACCCTATGAGTAAGACTGGGCGGAGTCATTCCGTTATAATAAAGGGTAACCCCTGTTGAAAAGCAGCAACAGTGTTTGGCTCAGATGAAGTTCGCACTCTCGACCATCTCTACTAAACTGCTTCCCCAGGCATGAACGGCGGCAAAACTCGACCGAGTGGTTGCGCCGATCAGGGTCCTACTTCCAGCGTACCGCTCACCTGAAAAGGAAGTTTTGACCATGTAAACCTTGTTGTGAAAGCAGCGACGCGGCGGTGAAAAGTCGGACCCATTCTGGCCCGATGTTGGCCGACTAGCATCCGCGCCCGGACCGACAAGCGGGGGCAAACTTAGCTGTCGGCGTGTGCCCCGGCGCCCCGGATTGTAGGCGCCCAGATTTTCCTTCTAGACCCGATTTGAACGAGCCAAGGTAATGAAATACTTGGGAGAGTACCCAGTTGCGTGCAATCTAAGAAAAGCATCATGTTCTCTACAAGGACGAGCGCCCGTGCTTGAGCCCAGAGATCTGTCGCAGGGTTGAAGGCCTGGCAGACAGATGCTGATGAGACGTGGATTGTACGAAAGGATGGCTGACATGAGGCGGCATGGATCGCCAAATAGTCCATAACAGCTGTCTTTGCCAAGGATGTGTACAGATACGACAAGGGCTGACCTGGCTTTGATATCTGGTGGTTGCGTTCGTTTGCATCGTTATCTTATCTTTTGGTTTGTTCTCCGCTATCGCGATACCACTGGTGTCGTGAGTGAAGATAGGGACTGACTCTTAACAAGCAGTTGTTATGCATGTATGTCCATTGAGAGATAAGCGCGGGAGTGCGGACACTCTTCTCCGTTACCGCGAAGGATTACTGCTTTCTCATCTCCCACCACCGTCTGCTTAGTGACTGCTACGACAAGTAACGATATGATAAGTGTTGCTTGTATCCAGAAGCAACGTCGTATGGCTTGGACTCATTGGCGGTGTCAGTGGCAGGGAAGGGGCTGATGCGGAGTGCCTTCTGGCGAGACTATGGTGTTCGGATGCTGGGGAAGCAGAGGAACAATCTGACGAGTCGGAGGTGTGCACAGTGAAGTTAATGGCTGGCTGTCCTGACTGACTTACTGAGCTGGCCGAAACCCAAGTCACACTCTGCAGAATATATCTGGCGTATGTACCGTCGCACTAAAGGTGTTAGCAACAATACGGAAGAATTGATATCTGTTGTTGAGGCCAGGTCAGGGATTGTAAGCCTGGTGTTTTTGTATGCATGCGGCAAGTAGAGAGAAAAGGCGCATAGCCAAACAGGTTGCTCTGCAGATGAGATGCCGTGAACTCTGCCCCTCATCGCATCGACTTGCAGGACCGCAACACTCCTACAGACGCCGGGGAAAGCCATAACGGAGGCACGGTTTGAAACATGCGGCATCGATTGGACAGCTCGCATCAACCGGCGCAGCGTATAGCTGGCAGGGTATGGCATGGCAGGGCAGGCCAAGGCAGGATTTGGACCAGACAGAGCAGGTAGGGCAGGGAAGCTAGCTAGCTGTATCCGTATCTGTAGCTACTGCTGTCGCTGTACGTAGGTTTGTGGGGTGGGGAGGAAAAGAGCCTCGTGGGTTTGATACGCGACGAGCAGACACCAGCTTATGGTCTCTGCTCGAAAGGTTCGAGTGTTTGGTTGACGGGAACCTGGAGGTTCCCACTGCCCAGATACTTTTAGTGTGGAGTTGCTTCAGATGGTGAAAGGGACAAGCCAGAGACGCCCAGAAACCAAAGAGGTAAATGCTGAGTACGGGGAATGCTAGGTGTGCACGTAGAGAGTCAGAGAATGAGCACAAGCATTCGTAAGCCGAACTGTAATTATTGCCGCACGCATCAGGTTTGCGATTCGCAATACCTCGGCCAGATGGTGTACACGTAGGTGCAGATGGCAGGTTTCAATGCATTCGTGCAGCCAAAGACGGAGCAGCTTAGGATAGGAAAGGAAACACAGGGACAGACAAGTAAAAGTGGCTGTTTGTGTACACGCCGTTCTCCCTTAGCTGGCCAAGGTCTAGACCTCCTTGCTGATTGACGAATAGCCAGCAGCGTCCTTGCTCTGCTTGGCAGTCCTCTTGTTGCGGCTTTTGTTATGCTCGCCCAAAGCGAATATGCGCGGTTAGTGGGTACACGGAAAGACGGATGTTCTTTCAGCGGAACACGCCCACTAAACAGATTTCGTTCTGCTAAGACGGCCCAGTAATAGTGGTCAGATCCCTGAGGCAGAACCAATCTTGTTGTGCGAGACGATGCAAGAAAGAGACCAGCGGGGCGGTCGGGGGCGAATTCCATAACACTGAACTTGCTCTTGAAATGCATTACTGTTTCTGCTGGGAACTCATCTTTACTTTCCGCGAGAACGAAATGCCTATGCAATGCAGCAGCCATCCATCGCCATGGGCTTAACCACGGTACCTGACTGGACCGGAGAGATTTAGGCGGAGCAGCGTGGCTCGGTGACTTTGTAGGTGGCTTCCTATGCTGGACGAGGCCCTGGTTCTTGCATGCCGAGAAGTTGCTCACAGCTGTGAATGACCCGGGACGTTTTCTCCTAGTGTGGACTGCGGTGCGGCGTCGTACGGCGGCCATCGCACAACAGTGATATCCGCCCGGGGCTGCGGACGGAGAGGGTGAAATTACAGCGCCAGGGGAGGTTCGCATTGAAGCTCTAGTGGGCTGCGGCGGCTGGAACATCGCAGTCCATGGGGATTGCCCATGGGGATTGCCCAAGGCCAAGCAATTCAACTCAACTCTCCTATCTTCCCCGTGGAGTGCCGTCTAGAGTCGGTCTGGGCGAGTGCGAAGAGCTTCAGGGACCTTTGCTGCCCGGCACCGAATAGCCATCTTCCCATTCGTCCGCCGCAAAATCCAGACTTCGAATGCGTCCAATTGCTTTCATCGACACTCTCCGCGGCCGTAACAGTGACACGCGAGATGCTACGATAAGAATAGCCTGCGTTTCATGAGACACATCTGTAAACCTTACCCCAGCCAAGTTCGGGGTAATCCGGGTATGTTGAGAGTCAAGCTCGAATGAGGAACCACGCCCTCTACTCCATTATGCAAGGCTTGCTTGCCAGCCTCACCCTCCTTCTGTGCCTTGCCCACGGCTTCCCGTTAACATGCACCTTCTGTGCATGACATGCCTCTCCCGGTCCCGGAAGCCAAAGCCTTGATAGCACTGACCATGCTAACTTTGCGTATACCCCAGAGTGTTCGTCCTTCTGCTCCCGACTTTTTGATTATCTAACGTAACAAGAAACGCAGATATGCTCTTTACCTACAGTTGAAGGGCAATGAGTTTGGCGAAAACCGGGGAAATCGAGTCTGTCTTTCGTCGAGGATGTTTGCGGGAACTCAAGGTGCTGACTGCAGCGGAAAACTTAGGGCTTCCTGTCAAGATAGTTTGAGATCTATATCGATCGATGCCTTTCCACGATTTCTTTGTGGAATGATGGTTAGTTTCTCATAATCAAAGATACCTCTTCTAAGCCACGTTAAATGGACGCCTTGTGTTACTTGGGCCACGCTAGGCTATAGACTTTTTTGAGTGTCTCTGTTTGTCGGGGTCCGTCTTGCTGGCATCATCCTCGCCCTCTTGCTACTCCTGAGCGAGCGCTGCGGCTACAACGTCCCCACCACAGCCGCGGCAGGGGCAAAGTATACGTTGGAGAAGGCGAAGCTCTCGAGCATCCTCGACAAAATTAGTTAGGTGCACTGGTGTACGAGTGGAATGCTCAGTATTAAAGGCCTTTGGTAGCAACCGAAGTGAAGCATAACTACGGTGGCGCATTGGGTGTTGTGTAACTAATAACTAATTAGTCGTCATTCCCACTTTTATGCTGGTGCTGAATGTCTTGTGAGCTGTATAATCACAGACCGTCAAGGAGGCTAGGGTGGCGGGCGTTTCGCAAGTGACTGACAGCGAGATGAAGATCAAAATTGAGCGCAACAGCAGCGGCAGCCGCAACAACGGGCCTGAATTTGAACGCTAAAAGCACAGCACCGCCATCGTATACGCAGAAGGATATTTGCCAACACAACCAACACCCATGCGGAAATTGTTGGGAGTTTTGGCCGACAATTGCTTCTGCGGTAGCAGATGCTTGGGTTACATCCGTCCATACATCATCGCCCAAGGGTTGACGACAGAGTTTGTCTGATGTTTGCGGAGGTCGCTACGACGCTTTCTTTTTGTTGATTCTTGCATGTTCACCCCAGTTTGATTTATGGATAATGCAATTTTGACTGGCCCTCAAAGCCTCGGCGAGCTGGACCCTTCAGCAGCCACCAGCGAGAGAGGATAGAGCCGCTGAGACCAATGCTATGCCGATCGATTCTGACGTATTGGTGAGGGGAAACCTGGAGAAGGAGTGGGAGCTCGAGCTTGAGCCCATCGAGCACAGTAAGCGTCCGATATCGACACCCAACGAATTTCATATCGGCGGTCAGGACCCAGCCAAGGTGGGAAAGGCGATCGGGGAGCTAGACCTTGAGCTTGACACACAGGGAAAAGAAAAGGGTTCGCCGCTCTCCAGGAATGGCATGTTTGCCAGTGACCATCGGGGTCGTTGGCTTCGCTGCAAAATCGCATAGTAAAGTGTCCTTTGGGACCCCTTCGATGCAGGGCCTGGAGCTAGGACTGGCGTGCAGCAGGTGGAGAGTGACGATCAGCCCCCCCAAACACGCAGCAAGGAAAGGCTAGTGAATCGAGATGGTTGGACCAGAAAGGTATAAGCAGGCAATTCTCAATGATGACAATGATGCCATGGCGCGGCTGTCAAGACCAGAAGATAACATCATAACGCCGCCTAGTGGCTGTTTCCCCCCCGTGTACCGTGCCGTGGGTTGCTGAAAAGCCTAGACAAAGCAAGACGTGATTGACTTTGGTGTATCCGTATATTGCATCCCAATTAGCAAGGTAATTTGAGCGAGAGAAACACGTTAGGCAAACGCCTCGCCGTCCCCTATATATTCGTACTATATGGTGTAGTTCTAGGGATGTCGCTGGCGGCGCAATTCAATGAGTAGAAGCGAGGCGGGGATTGTCGCGTTCCCTAGTCCCCCCAGTGGCCACGAGGCCATCAATGGAGTCATCCGTGGGGGACATTATGGAGCCAAGACCTTGTACGCATTGAAACTGCGGATACTCGACTCCCTTGTCCGACCGACCGACCGACCGACCGCTGTGAGATCTTGACCGAGGTGAAGGGTAAAGAGTCGGTCTTACGAGTTGAAGTACGGGAGTCACCGAGTACGACGAACTGACAAGTTGGTGTTGCATCTGCTTAGCTCGCAACCGGCAGCTATGACCAGCAGGACCAACCTCGGGTAAAGGCAGGTACTACTGGTAGTTGACCCGTGCTCCTGTGCTCCTGCCTTTTGCCCTCCCTCTTCTGTGCAAGAGAGCTGCAAAAAGAAGGAAGGACCTCTTTTTTTGGGTTGTAACCGTCGCATCGTCGCTGCCGCCCTTCCCAAAGAAGGGGCTAGGCACATTAATTGTTAGCGAAGTACCGACTGCCCCGCAATGTCCAAGTCTATGGCACGCTAAACAGCAGCGCCGAGTGACAAGGTCGCTGACCCGGGGAAAGGTTCCGGTCATGCCCCAGGAATCCTTGGGTCTGAGCCCACATTGCACAGCGAGATTGTGGGCTAGTTTGGATCTCGACCCTTTTCCGACACACGCCCCTGCCATGTACCAACATATCCAGGAGGCATTGGATCGCCTCCCAGATGTACCATTCCCGTGCCCAAAAACCAGACCTCCAATCCATCTGCTGCCTCCAGAGCGGCGTTCGACTTTTGGCCAATGACCCCAATCCGATATCGATGGACGTCTCTTGAGCTCGGCATCTCATTTATTTGCGCGCTGTAAGGGCAAGATCAGCAAGAGGAAACACCCGACAAGCAAATACGTTAGATGAGGACGGTGGAAAGTTGAAGGGAGAGAAGAGGCGGCCATACCATCACTACATCCATCACTGGTGCTAGTGCAATCTAAGGCCCTTGGTTTCTCTCCCAGTCTACGCCGTCATCATGGATGTTGGCCGCTCCTCGTTCGCTCGTTGTTTTTTCTTTGCTTTTTTTATTTTCTTCTCTGCCCACCTATCGACTTCATTCCATACTTGTCTTGGACCCCCAACCTGGTCCAGATAAACTGTCGGGTGACCGACGCCATATCAACAAAATCACCGACTGCTCGCAAGCCTCCGTCGGGGACTACGACAATCCACATACACACAAAAGTGAGAGAGACGGGCGAGACCAAGACATTGAAAACTTATACGGAGTATCCGCTCAGGAGGTCTCGACGATGCCTGCTGGGATATCCTCAGTGGGCACAGCAACGTGGAAGTTAGCCGGGGTTTAGAAAGGGCAAAAAAAACTTTTCCATCCTTTTTTTTTTTTTTTTTTTTTTTTAGTCCACTCCATGCTGCCTTTTTGCTAGGATCCTGCCGATAACCCCTGTCCCTTGGGACCATCTTGTCGCCTTGCCAATTTCGATGGTACCAGGAAACGGGCAACGGGACCATTTTCTTTTCCTCCCTGCCTGGCTCTAGATTGGACTGGACTGTGATTGAATAAGGAGTGGGAACTGGCCCTATCGGAACCCTCAGACATTGCGGCGTCCGACCAACCCGGGGATCGCAACTTGGTCTGGGTCCCGGACTCACTGCCCATCGACATTGTCAGTGCCATTCTGAGTCTGGACCATCAAACCCCGAAGCACTCATCGTCGGCTCCGTCGCCCAACTCCCTCTGTACTAGACCCCTTTCAAGTGAGGGAACATACCAGCCCTTTTGCCTACAACGCTATCGGTTACGACCATGGCTACCTCCAGGGGCTCGAGCACCGCCGCAAGAGAGCCATCAAAATCAAGCAACATTGGTTGTCGGTACGGAGTACCATGCGATTGTCATTGTACCGCCTGCAAAACGGGTTCGTGCCTCAGTCACCTGACTTAGTTGGGAGATGTGATTATCCCCAGGGTAGTTCGACAGGAACGACAAACGTCCCCACGTTGACGTCTTCGTGTCAGGAACATGGAATTAGACAGGCACTTACAGTCTGGATTCGGCTAAAGATCAGAGCAATAAGAAGACCTAATGGATCATCGGGAAGGCCAGGCTCTTTCGAGCATCATTCCTCTCCTCAGCCGAAGCGGCGTTTGTATTCATACCTGAGGTATGTATCGTCATCTTGTTACTTTATTCAGCCGTGTTTGTGTGTGCACATCTCGATGAGCTTGCACACACGCTTGCATTTGTGCCGCACTGGCATCGAACCGGGCGTCTCTTTTCGTCCAATGTGTGTCGTGGCACTCCGTACCTCTGGTGTTGCGACCTCCACCTCCACCTCCCCCCCAGTGCGTGCTGCCATACCGTGCACTTTTGGTCGTTCCTCGGTATGGTGACAGTGTTGGGTAGGCAAACTGCACACGGCTTTTTTTTTTGCTCTGGTCCCGGACATTCAGCATCCATTCCCGGCCATGTCCCCTGGTGGGCCCCCTCCCCCTGGTCTGGTCTGGTCTGCACTGGCATTTTGTTCATATTCATAGCTTCAAGAATTATCATGGCTCAGTCGGGTACCCGTTCTATCCGTATCCATATACACGTTGCCTCACGAATTCCAGTACTTGGGTTCTTTTTGTCTCCCAGTCTGCCCCCATATCTTTGCTTGGTTTACTTGATTCACCTCCCCTCTTGTTGCCTTGCCCCGGATCATCCTGTCTCTGGTCCATCCCGTTGGCCGCCACGCAAGTTGCTCATTTACTGCCCGGCACCTGTCCGTGCTCTTACCTGGTGTTGTTTCTCCCTTGAGTGATAATTCAAGGGGAGAAAGTTGGAGTCTCGGTTGTGAGACGTTCCTTGAACCTGGAGAAGAGCGCATCGCCCCGCCTCCGCATCTTCTCACGATGTCTGGCCAAGTCCTTGTGAATTCCAAACTTCTTGTCGCTCAGCTTATCCGGAGCCTCTCTCTCTATCTGTTGACCAATCGTACGGCCGCTGGCTCCCACGCCGGATTCGCCGCCTCGCCGTTTTGTATGTTTCTCTCCCCCACCGACGTCTGCGTGCCTGGGGGGCTTGGACGGAGTGTTCCATTCAGAAAGATGTAAAGAATATATATTATGCTTCCTCTCCCAACCCCCGTTTCGTCGACCGGTTCTGCCATCATTATCACGTCGACGTGGGAAAAAAAAAAAAAAAAAAAAGGGTTCGACAGATAAAGCTCGAGGTATGTACCTTTGTACTAGTTCCTATCTGTGCTGCAGTCAGTATGCATCTTGGATCTCCTCCGGCCCCCTCCCCCTTGAACACACACACTCCCACTCCCACCCCAGTTGTCGGTCTGGCTGCAAGCTGCCACACTTGCATCTAGGTGCATGCATTGGCTTGCATGTCTGATAAACGCTCGCGCTGCTGCACTGCACTACTGCTCTGCTCTGCGTTGCGTTTGCGTTGCGTTGCGTTGCGTTGCGTTTCGCTACCTCTACTCTTGCACACTCCCCTCTCTGCCATTTTCTCCTTACCTCATTTTTTCCATCTCTTCATGGCTGCTGTTGTTTTTTCTAGTTCTTTGTTACTTTCTTGCTTCTCACTCTGTGCTTGCATACTCCCCGTCCATCAAGCCAATTCGCCATCAATCCAACCCCCCCCTCAACTATCCACCCCATCCACAACCTCACACACCGGTCGCGCTGCTGTTACCTTGCGGTGGAGTTACAAGAGTACCTCGAATACACTACGATGTACGTGTGTGAGGAGTACGTACCCCCAGACACCCTGTCGTCCGGCTTTCCGTAGGGGACCGCCTTGTACGCAAAGTACTGGCTGGCGTCCCAGACTATGGCAAAGAACCTTTCGCATTACTGCTGCCACCGCACACTGGCCTGGTCACTTGGTTTACTACTTTTGCTACCCCCGGTCCCTCCTCCTCCTCCTCCCCCAGCCTAAGCCCAAGCCCACGTCCACGTCCCACATCCCCAGCCCAGGCAGAGGATACACTGACTGGACAGGCTTCTTTGGTCTCCAGTCTCCAGTGCTCCAGTGTCCAGTTCTGGTACAGTCCAATCCTGAGTCTAGTCCAGGTCACACACACACACTCATTCACTCAGTGCACATTACACTAACTCACACACACACTCTCTCTCTCTATACCCTTTTTCTGTCTCTGCATTTTCTTTCTGTTCCAACTCCCCCAAACTGAACCGGTCCCTCGCTTCTGCCGCGTCTCCTTGATCCACGCCCTTGGTCCTTGGCCTTTGGTACTTGGATAGACAGGGGAGCATGGAGAAGGCGAAAGGGGCGGGGGTCCGAGTCCAGGAGAGAGGGGAGTTTGGGTCCTCCGCTCACCTGGTACAACCCTTGCTTGCACCTTTCCCGAACAATAAGACGCAAAGGCAAAAAAAAAAAAGAAATAAAAATAAAAAAAGTTTTTTTTTTTTAAAGAAATAAAAAAATAAAACTGCGTCTTCTCCTACACACACCCACACACCCCCGAAGCGTCATCTCCCACGCCCCTCTACCTTGGTACCTCTGCCCCCCCCCCCCTCCTCATCGTCCTTCTCTTCCTCCCTGACCCCTTCCTATTCGCCCTCTTCTCCTCAGAATCCCTCCCCTGTCTTCTCGTCTCTAGCCCTGGCCGACTCCCACTTCTTCTGCTTTGCTTCCAATCCCAACTCGACTCGGCGGGCGAGACGAGACCTGCAAATCAGCCTCTAGCCTCGAACGTGCCGGTTGTCGTTCCAGTTTCTCGATCCGCTTTCCACTGACTCCATTTCCTATCCTTCCCTACCTGGTATTTTACTTTTTTACCTTTTTTTCTTGCCCTCTGCTGCTCCTCTAAACCCTGCACCTCAGAATCTAGTACATTTACCTATCCTTTCCGTCCATCCATCCCTCCCCCCCTTCGGATGTTCTGGCTATTACTCTCCACCCACCCGACTCAATCATATACCTATACCTTCCCACTTCCTATTGCTCCTACCGACACGGCCAGTTTTTGACACCCGTTTGCGTTTCCAATGCTGCGATATCTGTTTCTGCCGTCGCCAGTCTTCGACCGCCATTACTGACATCGTCTGTTTCTCTCGCCAGTTCAGCCTGCCAGCCCGTCAGCCTTAGCCAGTTTTTTTTTCTGCTTTCACGCCCGCCTCCTACTTCTCCGCCTTTTTTTACCACTGGCGAAATTCCCCCGCGCATCGCTCCAGTCACCGCCTTTGTTTCTTGGAACGCCACCGCGCTAGGTCCTGAGCCACCGAAAACCTGCACGGAATAGCCAACGGCTTGGTGTAGGTCGAATAAGAAAAGGGACCGTCGTCCTCCCGCCCCAAAACAGCCCCCTCTCCGCTCTCCCCCCGGATCCCGACTCTTTGGTCAAACGATCTGCGAGCTGCTGCTTCTGCTACGCATCTTACACACCTACAACAACAAAATCCCCCGACATAACATCATCACCACCTAACAACTATTATTACTACCACCTACCACCTACCACCATCACCACCACCACCACTACTACTACCACCATTACCACGCCTTGTTGGATATCTATGATTGAACCTTTTTGTTTCCGATTCGGACCCACGGCGATTAGGGACTAACGTTCCTCAATTTCGCCCAAAATTTCTTTCACAATGGCTGTCGTTTTATCGTCTGAGGAGAACACCTACTTCTCCTCCTCCAACTTGCGACGGTCACATTCCCAACCAAAGTTCGTCACAAAACAAGCAGGCTTCCACTCTTCCGCTTCTGCGAATCAAATTAGCGACGCCTTCGCGGATCAAAAGGTCTATCCTGATTCCGCTCCCTCATCTGCTCCCTCTTCTCCTAGGACTGCCCATGCCGAGTCAACCGACTTGTCTTGCTCGTCAACCCCCGCCAGCAACGTATCCATCGCCTCCGACTGCGAAGACACATTAGAACTAGCCGTGCACGCCAACGACCATTTCGTGATTCCTCATTACGGGGAGTCCGGTTACTTCGACCAAGTCGAAGACCTGGAGCCACCAACGAGCCCCAGGACGGGTGACTCGTACACCGTTTCGCCTGCCGATAACGACACCGAGGGAAACACCTCTCGTCCCAACACACCAGAGTTCGTACTTGACGTCGAACACGCCGAGGATGACACGGCAGTCAGAGCACAGCCGTCGCGTCACGTCGACTACCTGTCGCACAACTGGAAAGAGGAGGATATTTGGTCATCGTGGAAGTTCATCGTGTCACGGAGATCTGAGTACAGCAATGCCGCTCGATTAGAAAACGCTTCATGGAGGACTTGGATGAAGTCGAAAAACAAGCTCAAGACGGTGTCGCCAGAAACGCTCAACTGGTGGGTATTTTGAAATGTGACGTGCGAGCTTTTTGACTGACTGATTGATTACAGGCTCAAGGACTGTGACGTTACTTGGCTCTACGGACCCTTGCAAACAGGTCCAAATACGTTGAACCCCATCGGCACAGACCCTAACAGTGCCAGGCTGACGAAGAACAACTCCTTCGTACACAAGAAGCCCATCCTCAAGAAGAGGAGCATGTCGGAAATCATGCTTCAGAGGTCACTGTCCGCTTCTTCTTTGGTGAAGCAGGCGGCTGCTGCGGTCCAGGCTCAAGAGAAGGACGGTAGGAGACGACTGGCACGACCGACATTGGAGCGTGCATCGACGGACTACGTCACATTCCCCTTCTCCTCTCGAAGACTAAGCCGCGAGAGCTCCAACCTCTGCCCGTCCAGCACCTCATCGGGCATTATCTCGCCCAGCAGTGAGAAGAGGCACATCCACTTCAACGAGCAAGTATCTCAATGCATTGCGGTTGACATCAAGGGCGACGATGACGAGGATGAGGAGATTGACTCGGAACGTTACGACAACAGTGACTCGGATGAGGGCGCCATCATGATGAAGAGGTCGAAGACGAAAAAGAGGACGCCGCTCATGCGGAAGAAGTCGGCAAAGGCAGCTGCCGCAGCCGAAGGCAAGACGATTGCCATGCTACCGTCCACGACATTAAAGTACCGCGAAGACACGCCTGAGCCGCCAGAGACGGCGATGAAGCACAGCACGGGAGTCTTCCGAAGCCCCACCATGTCACCGTCGTCCTCTCAAGAGACGCTCCGCCCCTCAAAAGGATCCGGAAAGTTCTTTATGGACGACGACGATGATGAAGAGGAGGAAGACGTCGTCACCATGGGTTGGCAGTCACCGACCAGAACCGAGGACAAGTCAACGGGCTTGCAGCGGTCATCGTCCACCAGCAGTCTGAACGCCGAACCGGCTGGCATGCGAAGGACCTCGTCAGGTATGTTCATGCCATATGAAGAGGGGGAATCATCTTCCAACGAAGGCATCATCGGCCGGGTCATTGATACAGTTAATACAGCCCGCGACATTGCTCATGTTATCTGGAACGTGGGTTGGAGGAAGTAAAGAAAGGTGCGACAGCAGGGGGTAAAGGGTCTCGGGATTCTCGGCAACCATCGATGGTGAACAACATATCCGGCACACGACGGTCATCACCAGCGGATGTACGATTACGGGAGGAAAGCAAAGTTGTCTGCCGTCCGCGTAGACGACGTTTGGCGCTTCAGTTATTGTTGCGAGGACATAATCGGACCCAATACACACAGAAAGTGGAAAGGGGCCCCCATCGGAATCCGACGTAATGACACCATCGAGGGCATTTTTTTTTTACACGCAGCGGATCATCATCACTACTGGTCACGGGATCAAAAACACGGACGGGGGGGATTTCGGTAGGACACGGGCGCTTCGGCAAAGCGGATACTAGGGAAGGGCCGGCCACCGCCCCTCAGCATTGTCGCAACTGGCATGTTGCGTGGGGGTCTAATGACAAACATACGGAAATACGCATGTAACAAATTTTGTTATATTTTTTTTTTACTACTATCTGAGGGTTTTTGGGTATTCGGATGGGGGTTCATTGTTCATCAAGGAAACCGGGCACGCGATTTGGGGCGAGAGACAGGGTTTTCAGCACCGGCGCATTGGAAAGAGGACGGATAACAAAAGAAAATGATTTGTTTCACAATGCAAAGAGCTGGTTGGATCTAGTCCAGTTGGACACGCACACACAGCTCTTTCCCCCAGGGTGTTGGGGGGCACCACAGGGTGTGACCGGGGGCTTGACGCTAGCTGGCGCCGATCTGGGGTCCTCTACATGGCATGTCTCACCTATCCAGGTTTGCGTGATGGTGTCTTGGAGAGAGACCTCTTTGGAAAAATGTCCAGCGCTCCCGGGCATTCCAGGGGTGTCTGTCAAGGAAAGCTCGCGGGTTTTGAAGGGTGAGAAGGGTTATTATCTTTTTTTTTTTTTATAAGTTGGGATTTGGGTCCTCCCCCTTCGGGATGTGAGAGGATCTTTTAGGGCATACTATAAGTACATAGAGGACGAGAAAAAAGGTCGAGCAAAACGAACTCGACGCGGCGAATGCCACAATCATGAAAATTATTTATTCGTCTATTTTTTTTTGTTGTCTGTGAAATATTCTTTTTTTTCTGTGACAAAGATTGATGGTGCCTAGACCGTTGACCTCGTGGTTCATGTATGTAATTTTGGGGGGGGGGGGGGGGGGGGGGGGGGGAGCTGTTCTAGGGTGAAATGTCTCGGTTATGATTGCTTTTTTGGAGGTTTTTCCAAGTCCTGCGGTTAGGGATGACAGGCAGGCCCTGTCTGTCCATCTGTCCATCTGTCTGTCTACCTACCTTGACCGCCAGTAAGGCAATTCACGGGGTGTGTGTGTGTGTGTGTCTGCAGGCGGCGTCCAATAGAGCCTGCGGCCGCCGGGATGAGTGACCCTGTTGGTGGTCGTGTGGGAATCCGAGTCAAGGCGTGGAGAAGAAGAAGGAGGAGAAGAAGAAGAGTGAGATTGTGGAGTTTTGACGTGCCTCTTTCTTTTCTTCTTTCTTTTGATTTGGTTTGGTTTGGTTTCCCTTGTATTCTACGCTAAGTATGCATGCAATGTTGATGTATGAGGGGTTCTCGAGGGTCTTGAGGGTCTTGAGGGTCTTGTTTGTTAGGGGGCGGGGGAGTTTGTTTATGTTGCTGTGTGATGGAATGAGGCTGATTGTATGTGTGTGAGTGTTTTGAGGCTCCCTTATCCCTGCGTCCATCTATCCATCTATCCCCCCCGCACTTGGAGGTTGGATTTGCGGTGGACTACTACCTACTGCACTGCACTGCACTGCTACGTAGACTGATTGACCCGGGAATGGGAATTAGACGTCTCACGTCAGACAAAGTGTTTACCACCACCCCCTTTCCCAGTGCCAGTTTCTCAGGCGCCGACGAAAGAAAGGAAAACGTCACGTTTGTGTGTAAGTTCAGCTGGGACGGTCCGCGACGATAAATCTGTTGCACATCAGGGTCCCGCGTTGATGTCAGCGGTGGTGGCGAAGGGGAGGGGATCTGGGGTCTGGGTCTGGTCCCGTGGGCGATCATTACAAGTTTTGGGGAAGAAGAGGGGGGACTAGATGCATGGTTGGAGGTAGTTTGTATGCATCATGTTTGGTTAGTTGTCACGTTGTACCCTTCTGTTCTTTTTTTTTTCAGGGTCCATAAGGGTCCTGTCCTGCGAAGGTTATCTTTACTAAGTATTTTTTTTATTTCCCTGTTTTTTTGCCCCCTCCCCCCCCCCCCTCCTTTTGTAGCTTGTGGAGGGTTGGTGTGTTCTTGAATCGTCTAGGTTGGTTCTGTCATGCATTCTATGGTGCCTGGGGGACGAGTAAGTTACGGCTGTGGAAGAAAGGTAAGGTTTTTAAGTTGAGGGTTTTGCGTGCGCGTCGGCTGTTTGCGGGTAATTTTTTTTTTCCTCTCCTGGATGCCTATTTTAGTTGTTTCTTGTGTTCCTGGTCTTTTTTTTCCTTTGACCTCGGGTTCTGAGCTGAGGGTGTAGACTAGACTGACTGAGTGTCCTGGTGTGAGTGCGTGTGTGAGTGTGACTGAGGAGCAAAGGCGGGGTGACGATGCCTGCGCCGAGGTTCGGAGACTTTCGGACGGGTCGGTTTGATGGTAATGCACGATGAGAACATGTACACATCCTGGCCACGGCGTCTACGTGCTACGTATGTAGTAAACATGATCACCCGGGGTCCGTGTCGAGGCTGCGCCTGCGATGCGATGCGCGGTGGCGAAAATCAGGACCAGCTCGGTGTACGCCCCGAGCTCCTTGTTTTGATGCATGTACTGTAGTACTGTAGTTACCTACATTGCTCCGAACAACAAGTGATAAGCTGCAGGTAGGGTAGGCTGTGTGGGTTTAGGCGCCAGTGCCAGGTCCAGGTCGAGTTTTCCCGAGGTAGCTAATCTTTGCTCTTATTGCGTGCTGCTGCAGCGGCGATCTTACGGATGCCGTGTGTTTTGTTTTGTCGGTGACTTTTTTGCTTCCGATGGTGCGTCTGCTGCACTTACTCGGATCTCAGGTAGGGCGAGTACACGTAGCGAGACTAAGCAGTATTCGAGACACGGGAATTTCTGGAATTTGGCCTGGCCTGCTTTGGCTTGGGGCATGTTTTTTTTAGCGGCGGTGATACAAAGTTTGGACCTCGAGATATGTGAGCTGACGAAAAGCCGATGAAGATCGATCGTTTTCTGGATGATTTGCGAAAACGAGGAACGTGAGCTATGGACAAACGTGGGGGAATAGCCCCCCAGACAACAAGACATCTTTGCCCGTCGGCGGATGGGGGGCCACGAAACCTGCTATCCGTTTCTTGGGTATGCTGGCATTCTTGGGTTCCTCGGTGGCCTCGGTGGCCTCGGTGGGAGGTCTAGGAGAGACATGCTCGTATGTCCGAGTGAGAGGGAGACCAGGGCTGTTGTCAGTAGTAGCGCCAGCAGCACCACCAGAAACGCAATGCTAATCTTTGGGGATCCCTTCCACCCGAGTCCCCTACGCCGCTCCCCAGGTTCTCGAACGTTACGTCCGTACGTCGGCATGGTGTCTGGATTGTAATTGGCCAATCAGACACTCTGGATAGGAACCGTGTTGTCGTACAAAGTTGCGGCTGAGGGAGGGATGGGCGTGAGGGAGCCGCGTTCCCAAAGGTTTTTTTTTGGTATTAGCTTCTCTCTCTCCATGTGTGTACGGTGTGGTGTGCGTCCTCCCGGGAAAGCAGCCTGGATTCCTGAGACTCGACGGACGAGATTACACCCCTTTCCGGGGCCGTCTTAATTTGCGTTTTCGTGGCCGCCCCCTTTTTCAACCAAGTTCCAGAGATCCTGGGATGCTGTTCCTCAGCCTTGTGGGTTCATCAGGGTGCAATATTGGGGGCCCGAGTTCTTCGAGGCTTGTCATTCTTGTGTAACATTGGGGTGAGACTCTGGCGTGGATCGCGATGGGTCGGGATTCGTCATTTGAAGGGATGATGGTGATGGTTCATGGCTGGCTGTCGCTAGTGGGTAAATAGCTGGTTCTAGGTCGGGAGTGGTATCTTTAGGGGTGGCTCTGGTTCGTTAGGTGATTTCCAAGTCGTTTTCATGAAACATGTTGATATGCTGGAATTATTCCAGTAGTTGGGTATCACTGAAATGACATGATTGTGAGACCAGGATTCTATCGCTCATGATTCATCATTGCTAGGTCTAGAGAAGCTGATATCTGCTAAGATGGCTAGCTATGATATCTCGGCCCTTCATACGTCTCTGGTATGCTATCCCTTACCCATCGATATCGCTGCTCGTTTAGTCTCGATGTCCAAATGCATTCATTTCATTTCGCGTCCATTAGCTTCGTCGCTCTCCGTGTTCGATTCATCGCCATCGCAAATTCGTTGATTGTACCTCACATCTCACAGCCTTCTTTGACTACTCTTAGCCGAGTTAAGCAGTCTTGGCGTCATTATCAACAGTCGATTCAGATTCCAAATCACTAGAATCGTCTTCGACTTTAATAACGTCAATCTCCGTTGGTTTCCGCAGCCGCTTCTTCAAAGGACGAGGCGACCCCTCTGCCCCGTACTTGTTCCTCTTGCGTATGTTATCCACCCATCGATCGAAGGCTCTTGAGCCAGACAAATCGTCTGAACCTCTGTGAAAAGCATCTGCAGCTTGTGAAGACTTCTCGTGAGCTGCCAGAATAGTCTCTATAAAGTCAATCATGTTCGTGATGAAAGTCTGCATATTGTCGGGGGAAGTAGGAGCGTCCGAAGATGGAGACTCTACCATTTGGAAAACCAAAACAACCATAGCCTCTACTTCACCGTCAGACGCTTTCTCCGCATCACAGAGGTAAGCCAAGTTTGAAAGAAATGACCAAACTGTGGACCAATCGAGAGGGAACGCCCTGTTGTCGCGACTCAGAAAATCCGAAACTCGTTGAACCAAGGTACACGTCAGTTTTGGCATTGAAGCTCTGCTGATTCGCGGATGGAGAACCTATAGGGAAACAGTTAGTCATTTTCATAGTTTATAAGTCATGCACTTACAAAGAAATCATCCACAACTCGCTGAGAGTGCCACGCATCGAGCCTTTCCTTCTTGAGAAAGCGCTCAAGGAAACCAAAGGTAGGCACACTAGGAAACTTGAACCCCGTCTGTTGTTCAAGCTCTGCCATAACCTCCTTGTAGAGTACCAGGTCTCTCGTCTCTCTTAACTCGGCCAACTTCGATCTGATACCCCCCAAAGGATGTTGCTGGATATGTATCGGGAGACTTCCTTGAGTAGAAGGAGGATCTCGTTCCTCTGCTCCCTCAGTAGACACAGGGTCGCTTGAGGTCACGGCCTTGAAGACCAGAGTGTTCCAGGCCTGGTGACGTTTCGTAGCACTAGCTAGGGTGTCCCCTTTGTCTCGGAACTCTGGAAAGAAGAAGACATTTGGGCCACCGCCAGGCACCGGAACTGCCGTACAAATCCCAGTTACAGAATCCGGGTACGCAAGAGCGTAGTACTTTACAAAGCTCTGGTTGTGGAGCCTGAGGCCAATGACCTTCAGAGCCGTAGGGTCGCACTTGCCGTAGATAACCTCATCCAGCTGGGCTTTTGAAGCCCGTGACGTGACAAGCTTTGCGATTGAGCAGTTTCTATGAGCAATATTCAATTCGGGGAGGACTTGTAAAGGACGGCACCACCCAACCCAGAGTCCTCGGCAGGCCTCAGCATCGCTCTCGTCTAACTCTTGGGCAGTTGGTAACCCCGTAGTTCCTGCCGTTTTGCCACTTTTCAAATCATCGATGAGGGCTTTTCGGGAGATTTCGTTTGATTTGTTATCGAAGAACCGAAGTTTCTGGTTAGGTTGGCGAGTATCGCCGAGACCGTCGTCATATACTTGAAACCTTGTGGTCCAGGATAAGCTACGTGTAAGCTCAGGTTGAAAAGTCATGTTGAAAATGTTGATGAATGGAAGCTACTCGATGGAAGAAGAAAATTTCAAGTCTCGATCAAGGTCAATTAGGCTGTGCCTAAGTTTAAAGTATTGAGGTTGAGGTTAAAGTTATCAAGTAGGTAAGAGAGCCCGTTGTAATTTAATATAACGGCTGTGTTGAGCGAAATGATATTGGAGAAGTACAATCCAAGGAAGGCGCATCTGACGATGGGAAAGGGCAGCCTCAACCATTAAATCTAAAAAAGAAACAGGAGGAGTAAGTAAAGAGGAAGTTGTATGTCCCTCAAACTCGAGCCTTGCTATTTGTTTGACAGTAGGTGATTAGAAGATGAAGTTGAAGTTGAAAAGGTAGTAATACGAAAGGCTGCTGAAGGCTGCTCCTGGTAATCACCACTTTGAAGTGGTATATATTACAGGCAGGGAATTTATTAGCTAGCTACTCAAGGAAGGTTGTTTCCCTCTCTAGAGTACTTGAGAATCACATTCTCATCTTCCTTTCCCTCATACAGCCCAAGGTTGATGCCCACCAATATTCAACCTGTATACCTTCGAAGTCTTCGCGCATGTTGTCATCACTTTTGTTTAATTTAAGTATCTCACGACAACTTGAGTTGCATCACACCCATAGAAGACACAACTGGACTTTGTTTCAAGCATCTTTATCCTGCCGAAAATCTAAGATCCCAGCTTACAAAGAGCAGTGAGCTTCTTACTCAAAATTTCGCAGCTACTTTCGTTGCCAGAGGCAAGTCTGAGTACGGCTTGAAGTCATTGTTCCACCAAAGCGCAAGCTATGAGCTTTTCCACTACGAGTTGGCCGTTGCTGAATTTGTCCAACGGATACTGGAACCAGAATTGAAGCTCTCAAAATGTTCTCATCAAACACTGCAGCCGCACACCTGAAAAGTTGGCTCTACCGATGGGGATAATAGGAACTATTGTGTGCGTGTCTGGGGCCTCCTCAAGGGTGTTGTCGAGAAACACGGCAATACCAGTAGCTAAAATGCCTGCGGAAGTGAAAGCAACCAAAGCCACCGAATCAATAGACCAAATGGCGAATTAGATAGGTTAGATGGTCTACTTTAGCAACAAATATGGACACTTTGCCTGCCTGAATTTTTAAGGAACATTCCATGTCCATCAGACCCTTTCTCGGATAATAGTCTTCAGGGCCAGCCTACATTTAGACCTTGCATATCGATACAGTTCTGACATACGTACATGGACAAGGCTAGTTACTACTATCCTTTAGGACTGTTTAGCTAAGTTGGGCAGAAGTTCCCAAAGAGGAACCTCTCAAGTCATGTCCAAAAGTATATTCTCGGCCACGAGCTGAAACTGCGACAGATAAAACAGCATACCAACTGCTAGAAGAGACCATTATAGACTAGACAGAATGGGACGAAATGGCAAGATATCTGCCCGGGAATCTGCCGGATGAGTAAAACTAGACAACGTTCTTCCACATGATTTCTCCATCACAAGAAGAAGCTTTTTGGTAAAGTAGATCGGCATTCTTCTTCGTTGACAAGGTTACTGTTGGGATCACAGGGGTACCCGTAAAGTTGGACATTCTTATGCGGGGAAAACTGGCGTCTGTTCTTGTGTCTGATGTCGAAGAAGAAGTTCCAACAGAAGTGCTGGCAGAACTGATCACGGAACTTATACCCGTCTGCCTGGCTGCCGGCAGGTCTGCCGGCGACGGAGCCACTTCAAACCGGAGTTCCAGCTATTGCAACAGTTACTATCCTAGCGCTGGACTACGACCTAAACCAAAACACAACAACATTTGTCTAGTTGACTGTCAAGGTAATTCTTCTTCAACTCGAACTTCAATTAAACCTGTTGATAGAAACTCCTCGACGTGGCGAGATTGATAAGAATACTCCCATTAGGCCGGACCAGCAAGGGAATCCAACAGTCGGCTCAGAATGGAGAGACCGATAGGTTAAGATGGTCAATAGAAATTGCCACCAAGTCAGCCAGAATATGTGTTTTTTCAAACTGCTGACATTTTGGCGACGAGGAATCGGGGCAGCGACTGGCTTTATGGTTGCTCATCAGCTGCAAGGTTTTCATCGACTCAATTTCACGCCCCCTCTTCATTTGAACCAATGTGCCTCGTCAAACATTCGCATTTATTAACCGAAACTATTAAAGCGTTCGATTTCAATCAAAGCTATCAGGTAACAATGATATTGCTGGACGGAGTGTGGGTGCGGGCTAAGACCGTCGCATGCATCAGGCTGGCACCTGCATTCGCTCTTTTTTCTCAAAATGAACTAAAGAGATCGATAGTCTATAGGAAAGACTCCTCCCAATGAGACGTATGGGTAAAAGCCCTTCCGCTCAGCTGGACAGTCTTATTTAAGACATCACACGAGTGAGCCAATAGACTGGTGGCCCAGACTGCAGTGACACCCATCACAGTGCTGCGCCGCACAAGGCTGGAGGCATAAGCAACGAACCCCTCTTTTTGACATGACGGTTGGGTTGCTCGATAACTATGGACTTCTCTTTCCCTCTTAACTGGAACTTCAGACTGGTTCTCACGTCCTGAGAAGTCATCTACATCGCCCTGTTGACAGTATAATCGACAACTATTGATCTACCACCGAATGCCAATACGACCTCTTCTAATTTCTTATTATCCATTTAAAGACGAAGCCAAGGAGGTCTTTCCTCGAAGCAACATGGCGAAACAACTAAATCACGCTGCTTACACAGTAGCATGGATCTGCCCACTGGAGGTGGAACAGATTGCTGCAATGGAAATGCTGGACGAGGAGCATGTGAAACTGCCACAGAAATCAGCGGACCATAACGTATACAACCTTGGAAGTATTAACGGCCACAACGTCGTTATCGCAGGCCTTCATCTGCCCGGAAACTGCCCAGCAGCCGCAGTCGTCGCACAAATGAAGATGACGTTTCCCAACCTCAAGTTTGGCTTGTTGGTTGGTATTGGCGGTGGCGTCCCACAAACCACAAATAATGGCATGATTCGGCTAGGGCATGTGGTGGTGAGCAAACCAACCGGTGTACACTCTGGCGCCGTGCAGTATGATCACGGCAAAGCCAGGGATGGCTATTTTGAACGCACAGGTGCTTTAGCTCCGCCTCCAGCAGCCCTTCTCAATGCTGCACGAGCTTTAGCAGTATATCGGGCACGGGCTGATAACGATCCTGTGCAAGAAGACGTGAGACGAATCAATACGGGTAAGCGGAGCCTTCGACACTACCGATTCCCCGGTGTGGAAAACGACCACCTCTACAAGTCAAACCACAAACATCTACAACCAGGGGTGTCTTGCGACCAAAGCAGATGCGATCCATCACAACGTATCCAAAGATCAACTGAGGATGACAATACTTTTGTTGTTGTGCACAGAGGTACTATAGCGTCTGGAGAACTGGTAGTCAAGGACGCTATGTTGAGAGATACGCTGGCCCAGCAAGACGGACTGCTATGCTTTGAGATGGAAGCGGCTGGAGCACTCGCCGGGTTTCCCTGTATGGTCATTCGGGGTATTTCAGACTACTGCGACTCACATAAAAACGACCAGTGGCATGGATACGCAGCAGCAACAGCAGCAGCTTATGCAAGGCAGCTGTTCCATTACATGCCTATCAATGAGACACAGCCGTAAGCCTTCTTAGCAACAACTTTTTATAACGCCTAGCATCTATAGTAACTAATTTGTGCTTGCTCAGAAATCCTGTTTGTGCTGCCAACCCCCCTACAGCTACGTTTACGCTTGCTCTCAGCTTGCCAGGAGTCACCGAAGTGCAACAATTTGTTGCTAGAGGTGCCGAATTGACACGCCTACATGAGGCATTGAAACATAACGGTGATCGTCGTACCGTTGTATTGCACGGACTAGGCGGCATGGGAAAGACTCAATTAACAATTGCCTACATCAAGAAGCACCGCGATGACTACTCGGCCGTGATATGGCTGAATGCAACAGATGAAACATCGCTAAGACAGAGTTTCCAGCGAGCTGCTCAAAGAATCTTGTACAAGTATCCTTCAGTGGGATATCTCGAAAATGCCATGACGAATCTTGACCTCGATGAAATAGTAAGGGCAGTTAAGCGGTGGTTGGATCAACCGAGCAACAATCGATGGCTTATTGTTTACGACAACTATGATCATGCTAAGTTTGAGGGCAACGACGTAGTCGAAGACAACGACGAATTGGTAGCGGAAGGTATTGAACTCAACTCAGGCAAAACAAGCCAGCGCGAGACAGAAGCTTCAAAAGCGTACGACATCCGCATGTATCTTCCCGAAACCGAGCATGGCGCCATCCTCATAACCTCTCGACTGGCAAAGATACAAATAGGAAATAACATTCAGCTCCGCAAAATGGACGAAATCGATGACAGCTTAGCTATTTTGGCATCAACATCGAATCGAACCAATCTAAGACAAGGTAAGTGGATGTACATTCGCAACCAGATACCAGAGCTGACCCAAAATGACAGATCCAGCTGCTATCGAACTTGCACAACAACTTGATGGGCTCCCACTTGCTCTATCAACGGCTGGAGCATACCTAAACCAGGTTTCAACAAGTTTTGAGGAGTATCTTAATCAATACAAAAGCTCATGGCTTCATCTACAAAAGAGTAGCCCGCAGCTACGGTCATATCATCAAGCCATGTTCTCAACGTGGAATATTTCGTATGCACACATCAAGCGTCAGATCCCCGAGTCAGCATCGCTTCTCAAGTTCTGGGCATACTTTGATAATGGCGATCTATGGTACGAGTTGCTGCGAGAGGGGGGTCCAAGTGGCCCGGCATGGCTACAAAATGTCACAGAAGACAAAATTACTTTTGACGCAGCAATGAGAGTATTATGCGACCATGGATTAGTGGACGCAAACCCCTCAACAAAAGAGCCCAAAGAAGAATCACCAGGATACAGCGTTCACGGCTGTGTTCATTCTTGGATGACATATGTGCTCAATACAGAAGTCAACGTGGATATGGCTTGGCTAGCGACAGAGTGCATAGTGTTGCATGTCCCAGAAGATGAACAGCCCGGATACTGGTGGCAGCAGCAACGGCTTCTTAAACATTCAGACAGGTGTCTTACCTGGTCATCTCAATGGCTTGAGTTACTGCAAGAAGCCAGGGCCATGCATGTTTTGGGTGACCTTAATGAAAGCCAGGGCCGGTTTGCAGAGGCCGAGGCTATGTATGAGCGGGCCCTACAGGGCCGTGAGAAGGCGTTAGGGCCAGACCATACTTCAACGCTTACTACAGTCAACAACCTAGGCATTCTCTATAAAGCCCAGGGCCGGCTTGCAGAGGCCGAGGCTATGTATAAGCGGGCCCTACAGGGCAAGGAGAAGGCGTTAGGGCCAGACCATACTTCAACGCTTAATACAGTCAATAACCTAGGTCTTCTATATGAAGCCCAGGGCCGGCTTGCAGAGGCCGAGGCTATGTATGAGCGGGCCCTACAGGGCTATGAGAAGGCGTTGGGGCTAGTTGCGTTGAAAACATTTCTCCCCGCCTTGAATACGCTCCAAAATTTTGGGAATTTATGTAAGGATCTGGGGAGAATAGAAGAAGCAGTTACATATTATAAACAGGCACATACCGGTATTTTCACCGTGTTTGGACCACAACACGATCGATACGAATACTTGAGCGAACAACTTAGTTTCTTACGGCTTTCTGAAAACGACGAAGAAAGTCTACCTGCCGCAGAACATTCATCTAAAAAAGGACGAAGACGGAAACGGAGAGTAAAAGGACAAAAGAAAGATAGCTAGAGTGAGTGAAGAAAAGGGGAGTCTATTGTCGTATGTCGTACAATCTGGAAAGAGTCACTGAATCAATTCTCACACGTTTGCCTTATTGTAATGAACCATGAACAATTGCTAGAAATAAGAGAGCATGATATGTTGTATGGTGCCAAGAGTGATCCTCAAGATTGCCATCATGTATCGTATCTGTTGCAATAGCCGGAACTCCGGGTTAAACAGGTTTCATCGCCGCGAGACTGCCGGTTGCCGGCTGCCCGAGTGATGGGCAGCCAGACGTGGGTATAAGTTCGGCGGCCACTTCAGCCAGCACTTTTACCAGAAATCGTCCTAGACAATAGACACAACAACAGAAAGTTTTGCTCCTTCAAGAATAAATTCTACTTTACAGACACGCGTGTGATCCTAACAGTATCTGTAGTAATAAGCTTGCCAATAGCCATGTGCTTAAACTATTAGATTAGTTAGCCTGAGCTGTTCTTCTTCGGCGTATGTATGTCACAAGCGAAGAAGCCTGGTGCTCCTGCTTGGATACCAAGCGTAGTTTTAAGACATGAAATCTGTTTCCGTTTGCATCTGTGACCGTTTCCTACATAAGTTCGTTCTCAGAGCACAAGCTTTTCAATTGACGCAGTAATTGATCTTGTTGAGATCACAAGGGTACCCGCAAAGTCGGATATACTGCCAAAAGTATATGATCGGTGTGTATTTCTTTGTTAAATTGAGGGAACTTCCGGTATAAGTGATGATTGAAGTGGCCGCGGAACTTATCCCCATCTAACTGTCGTCACGTAGGCAGCCGGCGGTGGGGCCACTTCAAGCCGGAATTTAGGCTATTGCAACAGAACCCATCAAGGTGACGTTCGGTGTAAAAAATGTTCGGGACATAAGACCTTCCAGCAGGGAAAGGGTAGGGTTCCGATGGGAGCGGCTATCCAGAGAGGCGTCGAGTGCACCACTAATAGGTTAGCCAAAGAAGAGATGCAAGGAGATTGGAGGCACCTCGCAAATCACACCATAATCTTCCTGTCTGAAATAGTCTACTTTCGCAATGGAGTCTTGATATGGCGAAGCAGTTGGAGAAAAGGATTTCCAAACACTACTAGAGTCTGCTTTTACCTTTGACACGCTCTCAACGACGTCATGCACCGTCCAATCATCTGCCTCCTTCATTGGGTGCTTTAGTATGGTGACTTAACTGCACCCGATTGACACTTTTTTGGGGGGTCATCGAGTGTCCGCTGTGTCGTTCTCGATGTTGGTGGCGGATTGAAGAAGAGAACTGCCGAAATGACAGCGGATGTGTCGAAAGTGAGGCACTTGTGGCCGGTACAAAGACTCCGAAAGTGAGCGACTGATACGGGGACCGCGATCATTCATTTGTTGAAATCGTGGAAGGTTCTCTGGTCCGGCAAAAAGTCTCTACTTTCTATGTTTTGGACAACGGGTTGTGTTGGCAGTTTCTGCCATAGAGGTATCTAGCCATATCTCAAGTGGTGTCTTTACTCGGTCATTTATACCCAGCCCCCAGTTTGAACAAAGAAGAGCGTACTTCCATAAGCACTGAAAATAATCTATATGTTCTGCCTTGGTTGTACTTGGGAGATGTAACAGCAGACATGATGAAATATGACGGGCTTCGTGAAGCACGTAGTTGAATGTGCTGTTGCGACAACGAATATGATTGGTCAATCAGCCCAACCAGAGATGCCTTGTTCTGTGATGGTAATGCCAGACAAGCTCAGAGCTGACCCGCTTCCCAACGGTGAGCCTGGAAGAAACGGGCCGACCAAAAGGCCGGGTGCCGCCCCACATAACCGCTCAGAAAAACCTATATATACCTCGCCAGGTCGCGCACCTTTACTTGTTTTCTCTCTTTCTTCTTTAGCTCTCTTTGCCTTTTGGCTTAGATCAAGTGTAGTATCTGTTCTTTTCAGTTTAATCTCTGAAAGGTCTCTAAGGAGACCAATCGTGATTATTCTTATTTTTGGTCTTGGGGAGAAGTCCTCTGTGCTTGCACATGACTCCTCCCACAGTGTCCCTGGTATTACACTGCCTCCAGGTGACGCGAACACTTTTTTCATTGTGTGCTCTGGCTTGACCAGGGATACAGCGAAGAAGCGACGTCAGTCTTTTGAATTTAAGAAAACAAGAATCACATTAGACGTTCATAATTTCGGTGTCATGTGTGTCTGCAGTACCTGCCGAAATTGTGATAATTATAGTGATCTGAGATTTCATATTGGGTAGAAGCAATGGCCAGCGAAAGTGAAGCATCGAACTCCGAGTGCTTCTACTAGACACCACGTTCAAAATGATGCAATAAACTATATCGGAGCAAGAGATCCGTCATCTGGGAATTGTCCCCCTCAAACCACTTCCAGAAAGAATCCCAACGAAGCCGGTCCATGTCGTTGATGACTTCAAACCTCTTGCAAAAATTTTGTCGCCCCGTCCGGTGAGCCACCCGCCCCAAAAAGAGTCAGGACTCCCACGCCGATTGGCCACTCTCGGGGACGTCGCAGAGGTGATTTTAGCGGGGATATAGTGGAAACACCGCCCACAGCTCCGATCATTTTTTAACGCTACAGCAGTGCTGCAGCCGCTGCGAACCAGTTCTCCCCAAGAGGTCTTATTCGCCTTCCCGGTGTTGTCAGAGTGGGTCTCGGCAGAAGCAGCAAAGCTTCCATCCCATCTCGAGAGCCTCCGATCTCGCGATGCCATGCGGCCACCAAGATGATCAACCCGTCTGCACGTGTTTGCGTCCCTTGTACCTTCTCCGGGTAACTCAATTCATAAAGGTACACAAATAATGCCTTGTTGGTCCCCGGCCAAGCAAAAACCATAGCCGCCCATAGTTACATCCTTTCCGGCCCGCCAACGAACCAGCCTTACAGGAAGGGAAAAAAAAGACCAGGGGGTGCTCAAGGTGGTGGCATTCTGAACTTCAACGCCGAAAGCATCAAACACCGCAGACCGTCCGATAATGGAAAGATTTCTAGATGATATAAGCACTCATCTTGCCGATTCTCATCCGGAACAGGCGCAAATTTTACGCAATGGACCCTTGAAATGGAGCCCCCATCTTTGCCGTTGACTGTCTCCGCGTCAAGTTTTGGTTCTTGTTACATAACAAAGACGCCCTTACCAGCCCACTTGGCTCTGTGCTCCCCCCTTTGCCTTCTATGATGCGGTCGCGTGCTGGCTAAATTTTGCCCGTTTCTCGCTCTCAACAGATTTTCTGTGTTGCTTTTCTTTTCTTTTTTTTTTTTTCTTTATCTCTGGCTTTCCCAATTTGCGATTCCTGTAATCCTGTGCTTTCCCAGCCCCAGCCCGCGGTGTTGCCGCTGAGTCTCCTATGCTCTGTTAGTTGACCGTCCAGCATCATTACCTTGCCAGCGTCCGATCTCTTTTTCCCGCCTTAAGATCCCGGCTCGGCGTTTATCCGGAGTTTGTTCCTTAAGTCGGCCGAATTGTCACCGAATCATCATTGGAACCGGTAACCCTTGGAGTCGTCAATCACGATGATTTCCGAGTCGCCAGCTGAGAGGACGCCATGGGGCAGCAAGGAGAAGGTCGCCGAGCGCACTCAGGCGGAGGTTGAGACCGGCAGCAGCAGCAGCGGCCTCGAGCGTACCCTCTCGTCCCGTCATCTCCAGTTCATCGCCGTCGGCGCTACCATCGGAACCGGTCTGTTCATCGGTCTCGGTTCTGCCCTCGCCAAAGCCGGTCCCGTCTCTCTGCTCCTCGCCTTCATCTTCATGGGCAGTGTCGTCTACTCCGTCATGGCCAGTTTGGGTGAGATGGCCTCGTTCATCCCCGTGACCGGTTCATTCACAGTCTACGCCACTCGCTTCGTCGATCCTACTCTCGGTTTCTCCATGGGCTGGCTGTACTGGTTCAACTGGTCCATCACGTTCGCCGTCGAGTTGGTTGCCGCCGGTCTCATTATTCAGTACTGGAACGACCAGATTAGCGTTGGTGTGTGGATTGCCGTCTTCTGGTTCGTCTTTACGGCGCTCAACTTCTTGCCCGTTCGCATTTTCGGCGAGATTGAGATGTGGTTCTCCATGATCAAGGTCGTCACCCTCGTCGGATTCCTCATCTTCTCCATTTGCATCAACGCGGGCGTGGGACAGGGAGGCTACATCGGCTTCAAGTTCTGGGACACCCCCGGCCCCTTTGCCAACTACATGGTCGACGGGCCCGTTGGAAAGTTTGTGGGTTTCTGGGCCGTCCTCGTCACCGCCGGATTCAGTTATCAGGGTACCGAGCTCGTGGGTGTAGGTGCGGGCGAGACCGCGAACCCGCAAAAGGCCATCCCCGAGGCTATCCGCTGGACTTTCTGGGGTATCTTTGGTCTTTTCATCTCCACTGTCTTCTTCGTCGGTATCAACCTGCCCTACAACGCCGAAGGTCTCGGAAGCGGCAAGACCGACGCCTCCGCCTCGCCTCTCGTTCTGGTCGCCATGCGCGCCGGTGTCCCCGTCCTTCCTCATATCCTTAACGGCGTGCTGCTCACGGCCGTCCTGACCGCCGCCAACTCCAACGTGTACTCCAGCAGCAGACTCATGGTCGCCCTTGCTCAGGAGGGTCTCGCGCCCAAGTTCATGAAGAACACCAACCGATACGGAACCCCCTACTACGCCGTCGGCCTCTGCTCCGTGCTGGGCCTCGTCGCCTTCATCAACCTGTCCTCCAACGGCACCGTCGTCTTCAACTGGCTCGTCAACATCAGCGCCACCTCCAGCTTCATCACCTGGGCCCTCGTCAGCGTCTGCCACCTCCGCTTCCGAAAGGTCCTCCGCGTCCAGGGCGTCAGCCTGCAGGAGCTCCCGTACCTGGCTCCTCTCTTCCCGTTCCTGACCTGGTGGGGTCTCTTCTTCAACTCTCTCATCACCATCACCAACGGCTTCACTTGCTTCATTGAGTGGAGTACCAGTGAATTCTTCTCGGCTTACATTAGTTTGATCTTCTTCGTTGTGCTTTACGTTGGGCACAAGATTGTATGCCGTACCAAGGTTGTTCCGTTGGCCGAGGTGGATCTCTCTAGAGGTCATAACTGATGGAAGTGTCTGATCGTTGTGAAATAGTCTGTTTATAGTTTATACTCAAGTCGAAATTTGGTAATGGCTGTTGTAGAAGTGACACTAGAAGTGACTGTGAAAGTGACTGCAAGAGTGACTGTGAGAGTGGCCGTGAGAGTTACAGTAAATGTGGCTAGAGTGACCAAAGTGGAAGCGAAAGTGACAAGTGTCAATCAAGTAACGTGTAATGTAACGAAATTGCGAAAAAGTATGCCAGTCTAGCTCAAGCAATGATGCTAATGTTCCCGCATTGTGTTGTACATATATGACAGATATTCGCGTCACTCCTAGGCTCCTTTCCTAGGACGCCAGGTAAAGCGGCTGGCTTCCACACACACACACACATTGCCTGCACAGGTATCCCGAGAAAATATACCGTTTTACGCCAGCAACAGAACTAATGCAATTGCCTCGTCCTAGTTCTGATATCCCATAATTCGCTTAGCCTAGTAAACTGTTAGCCAACCGTGGAGATACCATCAGAAAAGACTCAAAAGAACGTACAGTCAGGACCGGGCTTGCAGCACTTGATCGTATCCATGCCGGGGCCAGAAGGAGCTTGTCTGCTGCCAACAGTGATGCACGTCGTGGTGCACGGGAGGTCGTCGGCGCCACTGCAGGCCCAGCCCTCGTTGAAGCCACCCTGCTCGGCCCGAACATCACCCTTGCAAACGTTGGCCCTCTGGCAGCCAGCCATGGCGCCCATGGCCATGGAGGCAACAGTGAAGATCTGAGCGAATCTCATGGTGACTGTAGTGGTGGTTTTCTTTAAAGAAACTGGGTTGAAAGTGGTTTGTATAAGTGGGAAATAAAGTGATGGCGTGATGATCGGATGGCTATAAGTCTAACTATTAAGGATTTGCCCGACTTATATACGTGTTTTTTTGATGGCATGCAGATATATCGGCCAAGTTAGCCGGCGCTTCGGACTCGAAGCCGTCCCGCTCTTTCAAAAGGGTCAATAAAATGAAAACAGTCAATGCGACGCCCTGCGGATCTCAATTCAACCACAACTCTAAGCAATCGAGTTGCTGGAAGCGGTGCGAGTCATTATCTCTCGCAACTCCCTAGAAATCGGCAACCCCATTTGTTCCATAGACGGAGATTATAGCCTATTGAACTCTATTTCGCCCTATCTTGCGGCTGCACGGCTGCTCATGCGATCTGTCTGTTCCGTTCCACAGTCTCGCGTCTCAGGCCCCTATAATCTGATGTATAACTTGGACAATTATTTATATACCTTTCGCCTAAGTCCGTCCGCATAGTCTCCCAAACTCTATTTTCAACCTTCGGATCTCTTATAGTCCTAGATCGTCGAGTTGATAGGGGACAACTCTGAAACGCACCCGGAAAAAGATATGAGCCACCCTGGGTTCGTCAGCACTTTGAGTGACGCTATACATGTGTCGTCGTCAACGGCAGGTTAATATTGTTTTCCACCACTCATTGACGCATGACTCGATTAGAAACTTCGAGATCTTCGGAAAGTCTCTGATATAGATACACTGTTGAAGCGAAACTCGTACACACACAACACTGCCAAAGTGGATAGCAATGTGAATGACGTAGCGAATGGCAGGTTGCGTAGTAAAGATAAAGGATTGAATGACAGACTAAGTTTGGGTTGTAATTGGCGCAGTGGATAGTAAAGTTCATTATAAAGTGATGCGGATATAGTGTTAACTCTCGGCGAGCTGGCTGGTAATTGCGCAGACCGCCAATCCCTATATTACTCGTCAAGAACCTTTTAGTCTCTGGCTAATACATGGATAGTCTTCCCAACTATACCTTTGTCCTTTGCTCTGATATGTACGTTCAAGAGCGAGAAACATTGCATAGACTGTCTTCGGCAACTGTGGTTTCACTGGCGCTGAAAGGCATGGCAGTCATGGTATAAGTAACAAGACTAAATTCTATTGAAAGGTTCTAAAGCATCTACCAGTTGAGTCTCGGGCCAGTATCAAGTTCGCGCACCGGGTTATTAAGATTAAGCATGAGCGTCTAGGCAAGGAAAGCAGCGATGCCAACTGCGGCGGAGAGGGCCCAAACCGCGCCGGGGAGCAGTCCACCAGCAGCTCCAGTGGGAACAGGAACCGGTCGGTTTGAAGCCGTGGTGGTAGCGTTGGTAGCAGGGGTTGCGACGGCAGCAACGGTCTGAAGGAGTCGCGGGGTCGTCGTGTAAGTCATCAGATCCGTTGCGAAAGAGACGGTCGAGAAAGGAAGGCTCGAGACCGAGGTCGCGTTAGGGAAAGCGACGCGATCGGCCGCCGGCGCAGACGGCTCCAAAGAGGCGCGGTCAAAGGGCGCAGGGCTCAACACGCTAGGAGACAAGTTAGCATATGTAGTTCATGAGGGTTGCAATCGACTGACCTGTCAATCACGTGGGCGATGCCGTTGTACAGAATGGTGTTGGGAAACGTGATTCTTGCGTTGTTCACCCAAGCAGAGCCATCCGGCAACACGGTGAAGGTCAGATCGGTGCCTTGGAGGGATTTGACAGTGACATTGCCCAGGGAAGGCGAGAAGATGACATTGTTGGGAATGATGTGGTAGCGAAGGACCTCTTGGAGCGTCTCAATGTCCGCCGTCTGGAGCACGGAGCCAATCGACTCGAAGGCTTCGTCGGTGGGCACAAAGATGGTGTAGTCAGAGATGTTGAGGCCTTGGACGTCGGCTCCAGTCTCGCCAAATGCAAAGTTCAGGTGGGCAGCCTCCAGCGCGGCGTTCATGGCGAGGTAGCCGGCTCGGAACGTGAAGAGCTGGAACGGAGCGCCAAATGACATGACTGTGTCGACCTTGTGGATGGTAATGCCGCCCAGGGTAATGTCCTATTTGCTGGATTAGTGTCGGAAGAAGATTAACACGAGGTAATACGAACAGCTTGGGTGACGGTAGAGATGGTTTGCTCTCCAGACAGGATGCACACATCACTTCCGTTCTTGACGAGTCCATTGTAGGCGCCACCAGTGAAGTTGGAGAAAGGCTGGATCTCAGTAATGTAAGAGTCGTCGAGCAGAGTCTGGGCAAACGTGGGAATATCGGTGATGACGCTCGACGGGTAAACTCCTTTGAAGACGTGGTTCGCAAGGAGAGCTCCAACTGCAATGGTATCGTTGCGAAGCTCGATGGCTTGGCCTTCCGGAATGTCGCGGGGCACATTGGCGAAGGCCTGGTTCGTCGGCGCGATGATGGTGATGTTGGAAGACGAGGCGAGAGTCTCTGCGAGACCATCCACGAGACTGACGAGTTCGAGCAGAGTGCTGAGGTCGGCTTGGGAGGCGAGAAGGGCCGCAAGGTCGCCCTGGGCCAGGCAGGAGCCGGCCATCACCACAAAAGACCAAATTGAAGGACGCATGATGAAGGGATGCAGAATACAGCGGCGACTGTTGAGATGGTTGTTGTTCAAGTTAGAGAAGATGAAGCTTGTGTTGTGACTGATGCTGTATGAAAACTCCCACAACCTGACGAGCTCGCAACGCGTTCTTTAATACATCGAGACGAATTGAAGCCGCGTAAGACATCTCCAGCCCCTCGTGGATCAGAGGCACTGTTGAAAAAAGTCATGACGACGAGCCAAGAATGATCAATCGAAGGAGAGCTAATCGATCAAGAGATTCCTTCTAGAAGCTGTTGTTTTTCGTTCTTATAAGCATCATCGAATCTGCAAACATGTGCCCAGGCTTGCACAGCCTTTGCCCGGACAAGCGAACCAACCAATGAAGGCAGCGAATCCCTCGTGTTTGAGTCTTCTTACATATAGCAGAAGGAGTATAGCTTGATTTCCCCAGCATTTCGGGCTACGCTATTTTAGTGGGGCAACGGTCCGCAAGCTTAAATCTCACTTTCATGCAGGGGCTCAAAGCAGGTTTTTGACAGCTCGGCACTGCTCAGGCGCCAAACATGAAGCCTTCCATATGTAGGAATCCAGTCCTATGTGTGTTGATACTAGCCATGGAATCAAATTAAATGGCCTGATAAAACGAACAAGTATGAAAACTTTGTCATAAGGTATCTTGGAATGGAATTCACTTATCTGGGGTAAGAGGTGACGCAATAGACGATGCTCCGACCTTGTAAGGAGTATCCCACATGGGCAAAGACAAAGGGCAAATCGGGCTTTTTGCGGGTCAAACTTAAAGAAAGCGGCGAATGGTTGAACGCCAAGCTCACCGAAGTAGACTGGGGTTGGAGACTAGCTATGCCGTGCAGTAGATCCTTAGCACGTCGTCCGGGGCAGTGTAGTTCCAAGGTAGGTTCTTATCTTGCTATCGGAGAGAGAGGATCAAGCAAATGGAGGCCTGCGTGACACAGGATGATAGGCCAGCTCTAGAGGAATTTGACTTTGGGCAGTACTAGTGAGGTACGAAGACGAAATGCATCTTTCAATCACCGAAGTGCCAAGAAGTGGCGATTCGATACTTGGCATAACATTATAGGGAAGTATTTGTTGCTGATAGTAGAAAACAGAGGGTGGGAGGGAAGAGAGGGCTACCTAGGAGAGAAGCAGGACATGAATATGAAGGTAAGCGTGGGGATCTGTTGCAATAACCTGGACTCCGGCGTCGCCGACAGGACTGCCAGACAGCAAGGTATAAGTTTGGCGATCACTTCAGCCAGCACTTCTACTGGAACTTCTGCTAGACACTAGACACAAGAATTAACATCAGTTTCCCCCTTCAGAAGGGTATCCCACTATGTGGGTACCCCTGTGATATCTACAGGATCAATGGGAAGAATGAGATGAAAGAAAACAGAAAAATAAGACGAATTCATGTCATCCAATCATGTCAGATGAGTCGGATGAAACAATGAAAGGTGTGTTACTTTCATCTGAATGGTGTGGGAGGGCTCAATTTTAGAGTCCTCCATACTAACTTCATCTGAACCCTCTCGAACCATCCGATAAGTCGCCGTCACAAACTCTCACAGATGATTGCAGAAGTCACACAACTACTGAAGCCCCAAACCATCTGCCAAATGCTTCATGGGAAACTGAATGTCACTTCACCAAACTTTTCCATTCGAGATAGATACCCCCAATAGTCGACCACTCCGGGCTACTCATAATAGTCTAGGTTAGATGACTGTTGGTATCACAGGGTACCCCTAAGAACTATGACTGAGGGGAAACCGATTGCTTGTCTTGCGTCTGATGTCTATGGATGAAGTTCCAGCAGAAGTGCTGGAGGAAGTGGCTGTGGAACTTATAGACGTCTGTCGGTCTGCCCGTCACGTGGACAGCCTGGGTGCTGGTAGGTCTGCTAGCGACGGAGCCACCTCAATCCGGAGTTCCGGTTGTTATAACAAAATTAGAGAACTGTATAACAGAGAACATCAACAGTCTCCCATGATTACAAGCCATGGGTCATGCGACGACCTAATGAAGCCGCCGTGAACTATCATTCGACAAGTTGCCTGAAAACATCCATGATCACATGGGAAGCTGTGCCTTCGTACGCGGTAATGCGATGCAATATGTCGTGGAACTAGTTCATATCGTGTCATTATTCACTTCTTGTTACATCTGTAAGCAATGAGCCAGCCTCACAGCCATTCAAAATTGCTTATTGACACCTTGTCCCCCAGTCCACACCAACACCTGCCATCGATCCCATCAAGCATCACTGACATTACCACCAGGCTAATGCTTTGAAGGCAGTGGTCTTGACACTCAAAAACTTGCTGTTCATGTAGGAGGAAAACTGATTAGCACGCCAATAAGATGACGTCTCATCCGTCAGTTGACTGTCTTGATGCTCTCAGCCTATATCGAAGACGCCGATGGACTTCTCTCCGAGGGAAGAACGTCAGATTTCTGGTCACTAAGTTACGAATATTAACAATCACAATATATGTAGGCTTTTCTACTGTCAGAAGCGCTGTACTCTGAATTGAGGTGTTGGAGATGGATGACAGTCAATGAAATCACAGCTGCTCACATTCGCCGTCCATTCCACTCCGGCACTCAGATGTGTCGCCGTGGTTTCTTCTTTGAATGAATGAAACTCCTCACCGACGGCCATACTAACATTCCATGATTGGCGATGTTGGTTGCGGACAGGTTGCCCAAACCTCAAAATCGGCTAATTTTGAATACATGGCGGTTCTTGGGAGGGAGGACTATTAGAAGTGCAGAAACCTGGCCAAACAGCAATGACGTCTCTCACTTATCTGAAGGGAGCCGTAGTTCAGAAATGGTCATGTTCTCACACATGAGAATAGAGGGGACAGAATCTATCTGTGACCCATCCAAGCAGGAATAGAAATCCCTGATTAGGGGTCGTATTGATAGCTTAGGACGTGATATACAAGGTCAAACGAGTGGTCTAGCTGGTGTGGATACATGGCTGTCATCGTAGGCACAGGGCACGCATAGTGGACATGGGGATGTACCATATAGCAGCTTAAGATAGATCAAGGTCTTACTTAGAGGCTGAATACCATGATGATTGATAAACAACGGCGATGGAAGTAGATCTGTACTAGCAAATCACATAACACTCGCAGGCAGTTCCTCGCCGGATGTGAATCCAATCACACCATACACCTTGTAGACCTCTGCAAGAGAGCTATTTCTGTTCCATCCGGGCCAGTTCCGCGCCCACTCACCTGAGCCGTGCAGGAAGATACCACAAGCCATCACCTACCTTACGACTGACCGACCAAATCAGCCAGCATCACAATCAAACTCACCACACTCCCCCAGCCAAATCCACAACAAACCAGGCACAACCAACACAGCAACAAATCGATCACGAACCAAGCCACGGACCAACATCACCAGAGCGCGACAGGCTCCACTTACACAGAAACCATACCGGCAACCTCAAGATGGGGCCGAACCGAGCTGAAAAAGCCTTCATTCACAAAAAAAAAAACCTAACCTGACGCGGCTCTCGTTCGTCATCGGCCACGTCGGACATGTAACCCGCCCGAAAAGAGGAAATTCGGTTCCGAGGGTCGCTTAGGAAGGGGGTCCCTTTTTGATGTCGCCGGGGGGAGGACTACGGCGTGGTCGGACGTCTTGGTACTGCGCGCCGCTGAAGGTTACGCATACGCTCGCTGTACGTCGTGATATCGTGCGACTGAGGAAAGGTCATTACCAGTCGCGTTTAGTAAAACAACGAACCAGGAAAAAAAAAGAAAAAAAAAAGAAGTCCATGAACAAAACACCCGTAGCCAAAATCAAACAACTAAAAAAAAAAAAAAAAAAAAAAAAAAAATCAATTCGGGAAAGCCCCCATCGGCTCAGCCCTGCGAAGGACGACGCAACGACTCGTCAGCGCCGAACCACCGCTCTCCCCCCATTATTTTTTTTTTTTTTACGCTGTTCGAGTGTACTAGGCTGTCACTGTCAACTGTCAATTGTTAGGGTAGCATTCCTTTAGGACCCGAGATTCCGACGGCGGGGGGGCTGCTGCTGCTGCTGCTGGGGGTCCCGGCGGTGGTACCGCGCCCCTCACCTCCCCCCATCGGGAGTTGCAGCGCAAGTTCAAAGGCCCCAAAGGATGGATTTTATGGGGAAACAAACGGCAAATGGGCTGGACCAGCGCCGATCATGCTGGGTTTGGAATGATTCTCTTCGCCTTCTTTTGCATGTTCTATACTACACTTATCCCCTCCCCCTGCTGAATGTAAAATACGGCGAGGGTCCACGTGCAATGCTACTACCCAAGTCCCCTTTTTTGAAAATCTCGGATAGGGGGGAGAGAGTGGGCCAGGAAATGCTGGTAAACTGAACACAGGGGAAAAAAAAAATGGAAAAGAAGGGTTTTTCCCTCCATAATTGCCAGTGGGCGGGAGGTGGCCCGGTCCAAAATAAACTGCGGTGCTGCATTGCATAGAAAGAAGGGAAAAAAAAAAAAAAAAGATTTGGGCCGTGGAAAGCGGGCCGCTGGTAAGAATCGGGGGTTCACGTCCGGGAGCCTCATCTAAAGAATTGGATGCGACCGTTGTTTCCCGCCCACACGACTCAGCAGTGGTTAGCCTGGGTCCCTTTTTTGGGGGGGGGTTTGACCTTGGTGGCATCATGTGCCGCAGGATTTATTCCCTCACTTTGATGGACGGCAGGATGAGAATGACGGGCAGGCAACATCATAAGGCAAGCGCGGAGAAAAGGAAAAGAGCATGGGTATGGTGAGTGAGTTAGTGACTCTTGGGGCTAAGTGTGCGTAGTAAGACGGTACGGTAGACTAGGTGGGAGGATCTTTGTAGCCAAGCAATCAAAATCGACGCTAGAAGGAGAGCGTTTTTTACTCGGTCGAAATACGCTGTAGCGCCCACTAATACAGAGCAGACTAAGCGGGCCAAGAGAGTATGAGGAGAGAAGACGGTGAGCGAGGCAAGAGGGTCTGTCTGTGTGTGAGCGAGCGAGAGAGGTAGTGAGTGTGAGACTCGGACTTTTGAGAGAGGGTGTCTCGGGCTCCCGGTTGGTTCCTGTTGAGGTGTCAGCTGCGGAGAGCACGTTGGCAAATGGCGAGATCTGAACGGGCCGGACGGTTGATTGCGACTACTTGTTGGAGGGGGGAAAGGAAGCTAAAGGTGGCTGTGTCTGTGGTTTCTTTGGGCTCTTGGACAGCGACTCACTGAAAATGTGTCGCGGTGACAGGTCGACAGGCACACACAGGGTGGACAGGGCGGGCAAGTGGGAGGGTTGGAAGCGAAAAAGAGAGTGACAGAGGGTACGGAACTTGGGTCCAAAGTGGGTGACATGATGCGTGGAAGGGGGGCCACTGGGGAAGGGAGGCGCCGTCAAAGTTATTTTTACCGCGGCTGTTCAATGCTTCAGGGATCATCACTTTTAGATATTTTTTAAATTTTTTGGTCACTCGTGTGTTTCGACGTGGTGCTATGAGCTGCGTTTTCCTTTGTTTTGAGTTTTGTACCCCTGGGCCGTTCAGTCTGGACAAGAAAGAACCTTATATCCGAATCTGGTAAGAAACGGAGTGTTGGACACGAGTCCCGAGTCCGCGATGGGTCCTCGCCGCGTATACGATTTTCTTTGTTGGTTCGTATTGCAGTTTACAGTGGCTTTCAAGCCCAGTGAGATTTCTTTCCTTGGTGGAAATGCAAAGCCGAGATGGAGACGGGCTTTGCTTTGTTGAGGCTCGGCGTAGAGAGGTGGTCTACATAGTGTATACGCAGCAATGTGCGTGGGCCTCCAAATATCCTGGAGACAAGAGACGACGAAAAGAGACGAGAAACAGGAAAAAAGGACGAAAAAAGCCCGAAGACTAAAGACACTGGCCGGGAAACCGGACGAAAGACAGACGACATCCAGGATCAGAATGAGATGGGAAGATGAACGGGGAAATCAGATCGGCGCCAATATCCAATGGCCCGGCGATTCTGTACGTAAAAAGTGTTCTGTATGTGCAGATATGCAGGAGCAAAGAAGAAACAAAAAAGGTGTGGGATGTTTTGGCGGCCCTGGCGGCGGCGTTTTGTTTCCAATCACGTCACCGCGTCTGATTCTGCCGACACTTTTTTGGCTGTGCATATTGGATGACGACCGAGGGGTTCAGGCGAATGAACATGTTTGTGCGATGAGAAACATCTTTTTTTTTTTTTTTTTTTTTTTTCAAATCGTCGCATGTTTGGTTGTTGAACGGAAAACGCACGCGCATAAACATTAAGCACGGGGACTGGATGGGAAACGAGAAAAATCGGATAAATGTCAGGGACCAGTCGTTCAAAGAAAGGTCAGATGTGGTAGAGTTTGGCAGGTGGTAAATGCGTGTCAGAAAGCACCAACGTCCCTAGACAGTCAGCTTGGCTTGCTTGGTTCAGCTGCTGTCCGCCTTGCCTTGCCTCATCTCTCTTGCTTAATTGCACACCAAGGAAACCCCATGCAGTCACACTCGCAGCTTATGTAAGGCACAGCCCGAAGGGGGGTGGCGTCCTCTTCGCTGCATGTTGAGATGGCTGTTCCAGAGAGAAAAGGAACAACTCAGCCGCCGCCGAATGAGGCAACTCGGATAGAATGCCTATGTAACCGGCTGTCTGCCAATGAACCGTTGCACGAGCTCTTCCATGGCTGAGACGTTTCTTCTCCCCTTTTTTACTTTTAATTGACGGGTGTGTGATGTGATTCACGCAGCGCCAACCGCTTGGGTCCATTCGAGCCAAGAGGGAGCCGTGCCGGGGGAGGTTGGTCTTTGCAGTGTTGGCGTAGTCAATGAATTTTGGAGGGAGGGGGAATCTTGGGAGTTTCGAATACATGCACACCCGTCATTGGCAACTTGAAAAAGGAAGCACAGTGAATTAATTGAATTGAAAAAATTTATGACTAGGCAAAAAGAGTTTGGGATATATTCGCCACTAAGAGTTGTCAAACAATATCAATCAACACGAACTTCGGAAATAGAGTTCTCGTTCGTACAGAGACAGGGCCACAAGACTATAGACGGACTACTGGCATATACGATACGACTCGAGCTGTACAGATGCGGCATAGTCTAAAACAGAAATACAGAGAGAGGCACAGGACACTGACAGAACCCCGTGTTCCCGGTTTCTCGGGGTCGGGTCCAGTCGCAGGTCTGCTGCAACCCAACCAGGTGGCCGACGTTGCACTCTCCAAAGTCTCCAACGTCTGGAAGATGCCCCCCCCAAAACAAAAAAGACCGTTGCAGCAAAATGGTGAAATACGCCCGCGCGGTTTCGTTCCCGTTCCCGCTTCACAACTCACACAAATAATACCCTATTCTGTCGTAGTCTCCGCGTAGCCCATGACCAATGTCTTCCCCCCTGGTCTTTAGTATTCGCATCCACCTCACCTGAAGAAGAGAGAGTGTCTATTTCGTACACGAAGTGAGCAACTCCGCAAATCTCTGGACCGCCCCCTTTTGCCGTCATGATAAACGGGGGGGTCAATGGCAATGGAAATGGAATTACCCGTATGGCGTGAGTAACCTGCCTTACATTACAATAGGACTTTACATAGTACTTACTCACCCAACCGCAGCAGTCCAACTTCCCCCTAACACACCAGGGGACTCGTAAGATTGGACTTTGGACTCTCAAGCAAGCCTCAAACGTCCACGTCCTCTGTGCCCATCGCCCAGCACTGCCGATCTAAATGGCATTGCTGCTTCCTTCCTGCACCCCCGTGACCCCCTGCCGTCTCGCCTCAATCTCGTCACTTTGTGTGTGTATTCTCCCTCCTCGGGATGAGAGTGCTGTGTTGTACTCCGTTCGTAGTAATGGGTGTTCCCACTCTGCACCACAAACGTCATCCCCCTCAGCAAAAAGCCCCTGCCAAAAAAATGCCACGCTAAGGCTGGCCCCCTCCAAGAAGGGTACGTACCCCTCCGATTGATTGGGCAAAGTACCTATAGAACACTAGTACACATGTGTGGAGCGGGGATGGAGTACGTACAGTATCCGGAGAGACGAAGGAAAGAAAAAAAACCCGCTAGAGCTGTGTCGATTCCACCGTGTGTAATGTGTGTGTTCCTCTTTCCTTGCTCCACTAAAGGAGTGAATTCATTGGAGAATTACAGCATAAGAGGAAAAAAAAAAAGAAGGCACACTACCAAAACAGAAACCGCAAAGAACAGCAGCTCGACTTCTTTCTAGGGCCCCCCTTGCTTGTAACCTGCAGCTACGCTCATCCCTCCGCCATCATTACTATGTTTTGTGCCTACCTTGGCTGACGATACGTACCCGCCCGCCTTTGATTCCCCCCTTCCTCCCCTGATCTCCATTCACCTGCAGTTTCCTCTGTCACCACATACTATGGAGTGTACGTACTATGCAGTAGGAGCAGTAGCAATAGCAGTAGCAAGGCAGGTAAGAAAGTGCCAGCCTCCTTTCTCACCTTGATTTTGTCTTCTCTACTCCATAAACCTCTACGTCTTACGTTGGCTTCATCCTATACCTGATAAATATTCCGCCCAAAAAACACGTAACGGCTCCATTCCTCTCACCGTTGCAACGCAGAAACCAAGCCCGGCAACGGCAAAACGGACATCGGCAACCCAAGACCCAAGCATAGCACACAACAGCATAGCATAACAAGCTGCTGCACCAACTTGAGTGAACGAAGCAATTCTCTTTCACACGCCCCCCCTCCCCCCTCCCCTCCCTCACTCGCTCTCGCCATTTTACTACTCCTCCCAGGGATCCGGTGTCTTGTGTCTTACCTCTTACACTAGATCCGAGCATTTTCATGGTCTAGGTTGTGCCTGTACTTTGCTCGCTCGACCTTGTGCACGCCATCAGGTCCCATTCCCACCCCTCGCTCGCCAGCTAGTCCTAGTTCCAAGGTCTCAGTCCCGCTGTCGCCGCCGACTCTCTTTTTTCTGCCCTGGGCGTCCCTCCACGGGCTCTTTGTTTGAACTCATAATACCCGTCCGCCCCGTCCGTTCCCTCCTGCCACCCGAAAGTCTGCTTTGCTGTTTCTGGTCTGGACTGAACTGTTTGTACCTGTCTGTCTGTCTGTCAAGCTGCAAGAGAGTTACGCCAAAGGAAGAGAAAAAAAAAAAAAAGGGTGTTGCTAGATGTCAGAGATCTGCTGAAAGCTTCAGCTGCGCCTTGACCCTGCCTAGCTCTGATCACCCATCCATCCATCCTTCCGTCCCGCCGTCTCTTCTCTTTGCCGCAGCAGGCTACACACACCACTACACATAGACGCCAGCCCAGATTCAGACAACGGAAACCCAGACTAGGCAGGACTGAAAGACGCTGTTCATGTTTGCCCAACATGACGTCGAGTAAGTTGTCGGTTTCTCGTGCCTCCATTAAATCTTCCTTTGGCCATTTCTCCTTCTCTTCTTCTCAAACCAATCTTTCAAACCCGGACCCTCCCCCTTCATCCCACGGCCAGAGGCATCACAGCGTATCCGAGCCCGTACACGAAGGCCAAGCATTCGGAGACGCCTATAACACCACCAATATCAGCACAAAGTCCTTCTCCCGCCCGCTACCTCCCGTCTCCCCGAAACGATCGCGCACCGACACCGAAGTCAAGTCTTCTGCACGACCTTCGACACGGAACGGCCGAACTTTGATTGTCCAAGAGAAGGAGAAGCTTGCCGAGCCAGTGCTCGCGCCAACAAGGCCTCCCAACAACAGAAAATCCCGGTCTTGGGGAAACCGCTTGTCTGCTCTGTTCCCCTCGCTCATTGTCCAACCAACAGATCAATCGCAACCTCCCCCACCTCAGCCTGCCCAGCTTCAACAACAGCTCCCCATTCACCGCAAACCCCTGCCCGACGACTCGCCTGCGACATCTCCTTCCGACAGCGCACCCTCTTACCACACAACTGAAAATCCCACTGTCCGCCCCGTCAACAACAGCCTCGATCTGGGTCTCGGGATCGCTCAACCCGCCTTTGACTCCCTCGACCCACCGCCGCCGGCTGCTCCTACTGATGCACCGCCTCCTATTCCTTCAAAAGTTCCCCCCGCACCTCTAGACTCTGCTACAACTTATTTTCCCGTTGATCAATATCCCAATTCTCAACCTTCCACACCTACAACGCCAGGCATGGCTGCACCTTTAGCCCCCCAGCAGCCGCCTCCGCCGGTTCCCACCGCCAAGTTGCGCAAGGAAAAGACCATTCCGACACCCCCAGTACCGAATGCCAGCGACGTCTCTGCGCCGTCGCCGAGAACCGCTCCCCACGTCGAGGCGCCGACACCAGGAAAGCTCAAGAAGGAGAACAATGAACCTCGGAAGAGGAGCAACTCCTTCCAGCAGGCCCGGAGAGGCTCCATGGCCTTCCTCGGAATCCGATCGACATCGCCAGGCCCCGACTCAAGAGGCAGAAGCACCTCTGCACAGCCTCCCGGCGCCAGAACGAACACTGGCAGCTCACAAAACACCTCTGCCGCCCAGGGCTCAACCGAGAGCGGAAGCCCAGGCCGCGACGACAGACGCGGCCGGTTGCGGAGGAGTTGGCTTCCTGGCGGCGGCAGGTCGCGGTCCAATTCGCAGGACGTTACTGGTGTGTCGCACAACTCCCAGGCTTGGGTCCTGTCGCAGGACACCGTGGGAGACTATAATACCTCGTTCTTGTTGAATGCGGAAAAGGTAAGCTTACACCCCACGTGTTGCAGAGATCGGACGGTGCTAATTGCATGGTAGGTCCCAGAGTTGTGGAACGAAAGCGGCAATGTCCTTGTCTACCTCCAACCTAGATCGGCCAACGGCCAACCGTCCTTCAAGGTTCCCAGCTTTTCCATTATTAATTCAGTCATTTTCAATGAGCTTATCCAGGCCGATCTGTCAACGCCGACTAGCGGCAGAAGCCGCGGCAGGAGTTTTGGCGGTCGGGATAGTCTTTCCGTCGATGACGCGCGAGCCAGGACCTTTTCTCCGCCCAGCTCCCCTCCTTTGGACAGCCCAGAAAGCCCCGTCGAGGCAAGGTTATATCTGCCGGCGACGCCCCCGCAATACACGAATAACGGTCAGCTTGCAGCGCCGGGCCCCCAGCTCCGCGCCGATCTCGACCGACTCATTGCCATTCGCAACCTTTTTGCCTTCTTGACCGGCCAGCCTCTGGTTGCCACCAAGGCGCACCCCTCGACATTTGCAGCATTCCTGCAGATTTCTAAGCTGCTGCAGGAATATGGCTTCACCAACATGGACGGCTCGTCGTTTGGCGAAGCCGTCGACTTGAGTTTCGGCTTCTACATGGAGCAGCTGTCACTTGCGGACGTGCGACACAGCCGTGAGAAGACGCTCGAGTCGTTGATCCTGGGTGAGAGCATGAGGTCGATTGAACTGTATAATGAGACCTTTGCACACGCAGTCGGCAAGTACACTGCAATTATGGATCTCAACTCTCCATTGTTCGAGCAGGTGTCTCTGTTTACCAGACAGAGGCTTGAACGGGCTCACTTGGATCTCGTCAACCGACAGCACAATCTCAATGTGAGACTTGAGCAGTTTGAGTTCCCCTCCCTGTTTGCCGGTATCGCCAGCTCGACATCAAATCCCGAGCTGAAGGCTATCCGCTTCAAGGTATGGCAGAAGTCTTTCAATAAGATGAAGTCTTTTGTCTTGCAATATTACAAGACCAGCTTCGGCGCATGGCCCCCCAAGGCAAGCAGCAAGAAGAACCCCTTCTCCGAGAGCGGTCTCAACCGGTTGGTGTTGAAGGCGCTCTACTCAGATATGTGCGCACTATACGATCTTACCGTGGACCGCGATAACATCACTACTAGAGTGATTGATGGCAACGCGGATGGTGACGCCAAGTCCACCGACAGTCCGATGATTGCCAACTTGCGGAAAATGCTTTCCGAGTACGACAACTCGACGCCTCCAGTTCTGCCCCCGGTTCCTTTTGACGTTCCCAAGCTTCCGACCATGACGACCATCCTCGCAACCTACGATTCCCTTTCTACAAAGGAGCAGACCAAGTTCGATCGCAAAATTAAAGAGCACGAGCTGACCCTTGTCCTCCAGAAGGCGTACAACTGGGACACCAACAGCGTCAACATCCCGTTCCTGCTGGAGTTTAAGGAGTTTGAGCAGCACGAGGCCAAGGGCAAGAACTCGGCAGACCTCGCGGACCAACGCATCGGCTACTGGATCTTCCTCTACGCCGTTATCCAATCGCTGCCGATGCTTGTCATTGACGCGCCTAACCTGAAGTTCAACGAGGGGGTCGAGTACTTCCTCTGCGAGCCGCCTGTCGGCAACCCGCCGTGGATCGAAGATGCGCGCCAAGTCCGCAAGATGTGGTACGAGGTGTCTGGCGGCGCCGGCTATGTCGAGCTCTCAGCCGACAGCGTCATGCTCAGTGTGGAGTCCATTTACCACCGCAGCCACTGCTGGCTGGCCGCGAAGGAGTGGGAGGGACTGACGGGCGCAGCCCCACCCCCACAAGACGTTGGCATGTCACCTTTGGAGCCACCGAGGCCTGTGTTCCCAGGCCCGGATGGCATTGTCGGCAGCCCCCCGGCCCTTGGCACCCCGCCTGAGTCGGCCTCCCCACAATCCCATCTCCGGCCGCGTAATGCTTCGCCTGGCGGTCGCCAGCTGGGCAGCCGCAACGCGCACCGCTCTAGTATCATTTTTGGTCTCGAGCCTGTCGGCTTCGAGGAAAGTATGGGTCTGCCGGGCGATCGCAACTCTCGCGTCGGCGGCAGTGCGAGAAGCAGCTCAGCCGGCTCGCGTCCTATGAGCATGGTCATGCCCAACTCACATTCCACGACGAACCTCCGCAACATGTCGGTCGACGCCAGCCAGGATGCCGGCAAGTCGACTATGACCTTTGACGACATCCTCGGCGGGGGAGAGGAGAAGAAGACGAAGAAGAAGAAGGGCAAGTTCTTTTAATGAGACGGCCACGGCGACGAAGGTTCACTGTACATGCGGCGAGAGAGAGAAAGCTGTATTTATACCACCTAATCTTGTGTGCGTGTGTGTGTGTTTTGGAATTTTGCAGCGCGCATTTGATCACCACATCCTTCTTGGTGCTTGTTTGATTTTTTTTCAAAGTTCTCGCATTTAACAAAAAATTCAGGAGAAGCGGAATTAACGATTACGTCTAAAGTGGGAGGAGATGACGGGTTGTCTAGGTGCCTTCTCGATATTCTACAGAGGGTGCTTTTTTTCCTATCAGAAGGAAAAGAAGACTTGTGTGGTTGTTTTTCTTTTTTCTCCCCGTTTCATTTGGACATGTGGACCATTTGAAACTGCGTCTAGCAGAAGGACTACTACAGATATATGGCCCCGAGGGCGAGGGGCATCACCATATTCATAGATCGGTAATGGTTTCCCGCCCGAGTGAGGCGAATAAAGCTTTGACCACATTTTGATTCTTGTTCTGTAATCTCGTGATGTGATTATCGTGGTGGTCTCGTGACGGGGTTATCTGGAATTGAGACTGTTTGATCTGGATATGGGGGGGATGCTTTAGACATGAGGGCTGGCTGGCATGACGATATCTACAAAAAAGTGTTAAGAGGTCTCGGTTGAAAAGAATGACGATGCTGAGACTCGTCCGTTCCTATTTCGAGGAATTTAGTATAAGATAACGGATGTGTCTTGATTCAACCTCGTCGTCGTCAGTAACGAGACAGAAAATGTCACTGGAAAGGAATGTCATTCAAAAAGAAGGGATGATTCAAATCGAAATCGACATTTTTTTTTTAATTCCCCCTTCAGATACCCGTCGTCAATGACATGTAGACTTTCCATTCCCTAATTCCCTATTCCCCCCACGCCCCCTCCCGTGATACCTGTCCCCCAAACACCACCAATTTTATACATGGAAATGACACACACACACTTTCTAAAGCGGACCGAACGACCGACCAACGAAACGAGGCTTAATCATCTTCAATATCGTCGTCGCTAATGACTAAATTCTGCACTTGCAGACCCGCCACCGACGCCGCGTCCCCCGCCTTTTGACGGATCCCCCCGCTCCTCTTCTTCTTTCTGGGTGACGACTCTTCAGACGGTTTATCCGTCGCCCACGCGTCGCCCGTCATTACGCCCTCGTCCGGCGCGTCTTCCGCGTCTTCATCATCGTCGTCCGTCGTCGGCGGCCCGATGCCCTGGAAGGAAACCACCTTCTCGATATCCCGCAGTTTGAACGAGTGCAGCGTCGACTTGCGACCGCGGACGATGGCCGCCATGTACGGGAGACGCTCGAGCAGCATTTCCCTACGGGCCGAGCTGCCGAGGGACAGGAGCGGCGCGGGTTCGGCGGCGGCGGCGGCGGCGTCGGTCTGAGTCGGCGTGTTCTTGGACTGTCGATTGGCCATCCAGCTGCTTACGTCCGTCTGCTTAGGACGTTTAAATGCGCTGGCGCCGTCCATTAGACCCTTTCGCGGTGCGCTTTCTTCGCCCTTCATGAGTTTCGTGGACCACACGTCTACTAGACTTTCGAATTCTTCTTTTTGTCGCCACAGTTTGATGCTGGTAGGGTAAAACATCTTGTGTTGGTCGCCGCCCTTGCCGGTCGACGCCTTGCGCTTGACGGGCGACGGCAGCGAAAAGAGCAGCCCCCGGACGGCGACTTGAAATGCAATCTCGTCTTGGCGGAGTACGTGGCTCCCCGTGTCTCTGCCGAAGCCGGCGTACGCACCTCTTCCGCCGAAGAAGATATCCGACGACGGACACAGCAGGTCGCTCTCTGAGAGGTATTCTATACAGCCGTTTACGTAGTCCAGCGGTGTCGATGCGTCTAGCGGCGGGACGGTCTCGCAGGAGAGCATGTAGTTCTCGTGTAGAGCAGAGATAAACGTCTGCGTGTCTGTGCCGGTTTCGTCTATCAAGGTGTCGACCGAGACTTCTGATGGCTTTGGTCGAGAGTGATGCGCCAGATAGTTGGGTAGCACTTCAGCCGGGTTGGATCTCCCGAGCGTCTCCTCCCTCTTGTTATAGACCACCTTGCCAACGGCGTGGAATATGCCGAGGCTTGCTTCGCGCTGAGATATCAGCTCCAGAGTATCTAACTCTCCTTTGGTCAACGAGATGCCGGCCTTGGCACCCTTTGACTGTTTAGATAGGGCCACCTTTGCCCCCCAGTCTGCGTCCTGGTCGCCCTTCAAACACATAAACTCTAATGATGAAATTGCGCTGCGAATGTCACCGATCTCGCCCAGTCGCTTCAACACTTGAGGCCCTGGTGTGCGCTTCCGGCCAGACTTGCGCGCTTCTTTTAACACCACCAACTCTAGAGCTTTCGCAAGCAGTGTCGGTGCAATGGCGTTGAACTCAATCACCCGCGTCCCGGGATGTCGCAGAATCTCCGGCCCAAGCAGGCGATGGGCCGTGAAGCTGTCCGCCGATGCTGATGTTGTGGTCAGCAACGTTTCCGAGATGACCAGAACGACTGGGGTAATGGGTTCGCTGGAGGGCCGGCGCCCAAATGCCGTGAGTGAGGGCGTGTTCGTCGCTAGATACCCTAAAATAGAGTTCCTGAACGAAGTCAAGGCTGTTGAAGATCGCGAAAAGGTATTAGGAAACTCCTCCACAAGGATGATCTTTTGCGAAGAAGACTCGGTCTTCTCGTTCGGGCGCGGCGCTTCAGTCGCCACATCAAGTTCAAGCTGGCCGAACTTCCCGCTTCGACCCAGGAACTCCTGAAACTGAGCCGACGCAGACGAGTACCCAAGATTTGCGCCGTTTGCACCGGTGGGATTCCGCCATTCGAGGAGCTCACAGCCCATATCCTTGGCGAGAAGCCTCATGGTCGTCGTCTTTCCAGAGCCCGCAGCACCTTTGAGAAGCAGCAACCGCTGGCGTAAGCGTCCACCAACGACATCCTCTAACCACTGTCGCACGTCGGCCACCTTTCTCTTGTGCACAGCAAGCTCGTCCAGATTCACAGGTCCGAAGCGCTCCGACCATGGCCGCAGATCGTCATCGAGGGCTGCTGGCGTCGCCGGACGGGTGGGCTTGAGAAACTTCTGGCTTGAGCCAAAAGCAGGTGCTGATGCAACCGGCGTGCTGTCACGGAACCTCTTCCGTGCAGCCTGGCCCACGATGCTCGACGTGCTTGCTTTCTGGTCCGCGACAACGTCGTCATCGGAAATGGGATCGCTTACAATGTCGTCGAGGGGAACCGTTCGAGAGAAACCTGCTGGCTTGGCACTGGTTCGTTGCGCCTGCTTCGAAAACAGCGTCATGAGATCGCCATTTCGTCCCTTCTCTTCCACCTTGACGCGCTTCTGGCCCTTGCCCTTCTTCTCGGGACTCGTGCTTGGGCTCTTTGTGCCTCTGCTCGATTGCCCGCCTCGGGCTTGCAGAAATGACGGGGCTGCGATGGGATTATCTGTACCGACGGCTCGTGATCTCGTTTTCGTCGGGCTCGGCGACGCAGTGGCATTTCTGCTGCCGGCTTTCGAGTTCGGGGATGAAAATAGGTAGTTCGTTAACGTGTTGGTCTTTGGCCGTTCATCTTCTTCATCGTCGGACTCGACGACATTGCGCCTCCTTCGTTTGGCGGGCGGGGCCATTGGACAGGATGTCGTTTGGCAGGCTCAACATGAGGGCATGTTCTTGCGGAAGTGCGGGTCAACGCGTTTTCCTGGTGACGTTGACGACAGATGATGCTGAAAGCATGGATGTGAGCTCAGGTGCACCTGCCGAGAGTCTTAGGCAGCTCCCGTCATTTGCGGCGTCGAGAATCCAAAAACCCCACTTTGATTGGCACTTTACAGTGGGTAGGCGCCAATGGGTCGCTAAATCGTTGTCTTATCGGTACCTGGATTGAGCCACTTGATGCTAAGACCAGCCTAGGCTCCCTGGTTACTTAAGCAATTTTAACTGGGACAAAGATACAACGTATCGACAGAAAGGTAAGTATAAGCATAACTTTAATTGTGCAGGAATCACGCATATATCTCAGTCAGGCCATCAAAACTTTAAAGGGCATTACTGTTTAGATAGGATAGGCTCTGGATGGCATGAACAATACTTGAAGCTCCCACTTCTTATTTGCCAGTAGCGTGCCCATGGCCAGGTCAGATAGCTGACATATTCGAGAAATAATGTTCATGACGATCCCCAAGAATTGAACGTTGCACAGCCGCTACACTAGTCATATCGCTAGTCTCAGTTCTAACCAGCTTTACGTAGTCATTGCACGTTCGATTTCATTCTCGTGATTATGTACGCCTGTTGTACAAGATTAAAGGCACAATACCACCAACCAACCAGCTCGACCCTGTGAAATGAGTGATGGAAGAGAGCGACTTATGCTGCGGTTTTCCTAACCATGACACAACCTCATACACCACCTAGAAAGTCCACCCGTGGAAGTTGTCCACAAAGGTGAGAGCAGACGCCAAGTACCGCTCATGGACATCGCCCCATGTCCTAGCAGCCTCCTTCATGGCGCGAATCGCTACAACCAGTCAGCCATTGCTTCTTGCCGTATTGCAACAGACATACCTTTGACGAAATGGGCATCCTTTGCCCATTGAGAGTTGAGGGCAACCTCTTCAGCAAAGCCCCAGTGCCGACCCTTCAAGTCCGTCTCGACGTTGTCGGGGTCAATCTTGGGACGAAGGAGAGAAATATACACCGCAAGGGTAAACAACCACCATTGGCGGACCAGGCTGATGTGAAACTTGGTCGGGATGAAAGGAATGAGGATACGCACGGCATGGCTCGTCGTGAGAAGGTGCACTGTAAAGAAGTTGTATGCGTAGGTACCAGGTGTAATGGTAGCTACCAGTAGCGCCACAGCCAACTCCTGAGATTCCTCGAATTGTTTCACGGGGTCCGTGATGGTCCAAGCATTCCAGTACTCAAGGACGAGGCTCTCGTGCTTCTCGAATAGCACCGCCAAGTTGTCGACATTCGGCTCCTTGAAGAGTCCGTCAAATCGCTCGTCCTTTGCCAGCTTATTTACCAGTTCAAAGGTCGATTTCGAGCTAAACGGTGCCGGCCTTGTGTATTTCTTTTGGTCGAGATACTTGTGGAGGAAGTTGTAGTTCGTCGCTGCCAGGCCGAGCGCCTCAATGGCGACCTCCTTGTTGTCGACTTCGTATGCGTATCCAAGATGGATGAGGGGATGGCCAACTTTAGAACATGGTCAGCAGTAGAAACAAAACGCATCCTTTGGGAGATGCTACGTACGACCACCGATGAGCCCGTTAATCAGGGGCTCTTTGCCCTCGAACAGATACTTATTGACAACCTTCTTCCAGTCATATCCGCAGTGTAAGGCCAGAGAGTCCTCAAAAAAGTCAATGTATGCCCTCTGATATCTTTTGTCGCCCAAAAAGTCCTGCCAGTCGTCCTCAGTCACCTCAGCAGGGGACTCCTCCCAAGGCTCCAGCTCTTTCGCCTCGGATTCGTAGATGGCATGGAGCTGTTTATCGGTCGCACCAAGTAGATACGCCGAAGCGAGGATATGCGGCGCATGGTTATGGAACTGTAGATCGTGGTATAGAATGGAGTGGTTGACATGGTTGGCCCTCAGCAGGTGCTTCAGGCAGCGGGCGCGCTTCTCGGGATCGGTCTCGACATTGTGGACTTCGACAGGGGGGATGTCGATGGCTTGCGTAGTGCCGTCGTCTCCGACAAACCTATTGACGATTGGTACATATGATAGTAGTCCGGCCATGTTGACTCGTTGGTGGAAATCAAGTTGTTCCCATTGTGGAGGAGATCAAGAAGGAAAACTGCGACCGAGGGGCGCAAAATGCACCGCCGAGGGACATGGCGCGATCCGAAAGAAGCGTTGGGAAAGTGACGTGTTGATGGGTTTGAGGGAGTGGGGTGCATGATGCAGGGTGGGCACGTCCATTTTTGCAGGGACCTTCCTGCCTATTAAGGCGCTGAACATTGGCAAGCCCAACCCCGCCATTCAGCCAATTGTGCCCCGCCGTGGAATGGTCCGGGGGCTCTCGAACGCCAACAAAAAGAAACAAACCTTACCCGTCTGTCTTTGACCTCACGAGATGACCTTCTTCTTTCCTCTTCAGTGTCCGGAGTTTCGGCCGACATTACAAAATCGACATGCCATCTGTCATAATATAGCTTTTGAATAAACTAACCGGTCACGGCTAGTTGCAGGATCAGAGCCTCCAGACAGGGAACCTCAACAAATGGTGGGCTCACGAAGCCAGCACCCGGACATGGGTGTGGCCCTGCACCGAACCGTCGGCCAAAGCCAGTCTGTACCACGAGGGTCGGTTTATAAAGTTCAAGTCTTGAAGAGGCTAGAGACTTTACGTTTCAATTTCACCCTAGACTTGTGATGCAAGGAGATGCTAGGACAGTAACACAGACATAACCTGTGTAGCCCATGGAGGCACAACTGAGCCTCCAAGGCATTGAGTCTATCATAGAAACACTCTTGGTGGCCGATGAACTTGGGGCGTGATATAAGTTTCCTCATACGTTTCGATGCAATCTGACGACTTGTTTTCACAGCAATTCTGTGAAGGAAAAGCAGCCGAGCCCCTACCAGTGGGTTGTAAGAGGATCATTTGTCTGAAGTGACAACTCACGCATCCGAGATGCCCAGGTCAGCTTCAGCAACCATCACGTTGCTTATGTAAACGGGCACATGTGGACGAGAGTCCTCAATCATGGCACTTCATCCAGTTTTCGGTCAACCAAGGGTCTCTGATTGGTATGCCATTATGGGGCGCAGCTTGCCATTGACCAATAGAATCCCTGGCATTCACCGGGAAATCGATCTCGAAGTTGCGCTCGCGATGCAAGTTGAAGAGCCTCAGACAATGAGAGTGTATAACTTGGTGTTGACGGATGACAAGACCCCCGCTTCAGAGATGCAAACTTAGAAACTACACACCCTGGGTCATTCCACGGACTCAATCCTGCAAAACCCTTGACACATTCTGGGGCTCTACAACCTCGTTGTGCATAACCCGTCCACTTAGAGTGACTTATACCACCGAAATGGTCGCCAACAAGGACCTTGTGAACAACAATACATATTTCTTGGATCCACACCGACCAAGAACAAGACCTGATCAGTTCACACCCCATGACTCTGCTGGTCTGGGCGCTAGCGGAAATGATGAAGAGCCACAAGATTCCCATTTCGGGGATGAGATGTGGGTGTGGGACAGGTTACAGTCTCCCAGCTCTTCAGCAAATTCCTTCAACGACTACCTTTCTTCCGAGATGGCCCTTGACTTCCCTCACTCGGAGGGTTCCCGCACCACAGCCGATGATCTCTCCATCAACACCCCATCTCCCGCTGAAGAGCTTTTAGTTGACAATTCGAGACCACCGCCTCTTGTCGATACGGACAAGTTTGGCAGTGACTTGGCTTATCCACACTACGATAAAAGCCAAACACTTCTTAGGCCCAAGAAGCTAGTCATCGGCAACCGTGTCTCAAAAACCCGTGTGGTAAAGGACATCAACAAAACCAACCAGGTCAGGGAAGCTGGAGCTTGTATCCGGTGCCGTATCAAAAAGACACCATGCTCAGCAATCCATTCATGCGACAGCTGCAAAAAGGATTACCCGCAGTTTTCTAAGACACCAGAGGTCTGCTGCATTCATAACGATTTGGCGGCTGTTGCCAAAGACAACGCTTCTGGAAGATGTAAGCCCGAACTTGCTCTGACCTTGGATTCTCTGTACTATCATCACAAATTCAGTATGCTGACCTGCTTTTAGTTGAAACTTTGAGCAGTAAGGAGGAAATTGCTGTCAGGGAGTCACTCCGCTTAGGGAGTCCGAGGTTTCGCGAGACTCGCTTCACAGGCCAGGTCTTTTTCGATCAAGACATTTCCAAACTTGGCATCCCCGCTGTCCTTGCGAACTACGATTGCAAAGCTGGCAATGCGCCTAGTGGATGTACCTTCGAGAGAGATTCTGAAAACCCTGCCCTGAAGCAAGATATGTTACTTCAATGGGCCGGGCAAGCATTGTCTCCGGTAGACGGCGACACTTTTGAGGGAGTCGTTGAGTCTTTCATCAAAACCTTCATCAAGTCTCATGTTCTCAGTACTTTTTCTTCGCATGTAAGAACAACCATCATTTCTCGGCTGTGCCATGTAAGAGCTAATATAGGCCCAGATTAAGACGTTGCTAGAGAACGTGCACACTTTCAAGTGCATGTACAAGATCTGCCGCTCCCGGACACTTTGCTTCCTTCAAGACGGTGCCAGTCAAGCCCAGCTACTCCCCTTTCCAGCCCAAGTGCAAATCCGAGGTATCGCACGAAAGGCTCTCGAAGCCGCTGAGAGAGACATCCTTGCAGAGCTTGACAAGTACATCAAGACGCCGAAGCTCGAAAACAAAGAAAGACCGGCAATCTGGGCCGTACTATGGCAGCTCATGCTCGTCTACCGGGACCTCTTGAGGAACACGAAGCCTTGTCTCAATAACGCTGAGCCGCTTTTCAATGCCGTAGCTGTATTTTACGCGGCTTTCTTCCGAAACACCGGCGCACTCAAGTTTTACGAGGAGGGTATGAAGGACATTGGGCGACAGTACACGAATCGGCAGGCTGAGCTCCACAAGGCCTTCAATGATGCCGTGAGCCGACGTGATGTTTTTTGTAAGTTCAATATCCGTAGCGCTGAAAGTCACAGTTTCTAACACATTGTTTCCCAGACCAAACCATCATTTCCGGCGTTCATGACATAGACCAGCATCTGAAGGGTCTCGTTGTGTCTCCTGAGATGAAACTCCTGAGCCGGATGGCTAAAAAGAAAACTGCCGCTGGAAAACGGGCCGCAGCTAATGCTAATGATGAGGACGAGGTAATGGAAGACTGATGATGCGTTGTAACTTGTGTCCTTACACGCTGTGGTATATTGTATTAGCGATGTGTTCAAGCGTTGGTTTTTGCTGTCATGAGTCATGATTGAATGTTTGTTATACTGTTGTCATTTTTAGAATACCTGGGTTTTTGCTTTACTACGCAAAGGGGTTCACATCGGACTAGGAAGATTGTCAACTAGGAGAGCGGAGAGCATGGTAAAGTGGGCTGCCTTGCCTTACTGCTCTTGTACACCATGCTCTGACGAGCATATATCACTCAGCTCTTGTTATGTAGAACTTGTATATATAGGGGTTTTCTCCGATACATATTACCAATATGTTTACCAATGAGTGAAAGGGCCAGTGATCTCGTTAGAAGCCATTTCCAGTGCCACAGCTCTGGATGCCGAGGAAAACGACTCCTCGATGAGTTAATACTCCTCGGAGTCCGATAACATCGGATCAGCATCACAATCAATCAGTCTGTGTCCGTCGCCAATCTGTTTGTCTTTGGGTGGATCATACAGGAGGATCCTTGGAACTTGGCGTTCTTGTAGGCAATACTCGACAGGATTGGCCTTAAGTCTTATCAACTACCGGGCGGGCGGGGCCAAAAACGAATCCTGGAAGATATCATCCGAAGTTTAGATGGATGACAACCAAATCGGGCTTCAAAACGATATCTATGGGGCAGCCCTTTGCGCGGGAAACACTTGCAGCCAACTTGACCGAGGGGAACCCAGCAACCAAGCCCCTCATCGGACCATCTCATTCATCACCTGGAATCATTTCACAACCCCGTCAAAGATATTTCGCACCAACTGTCATTGTTTTTCAACTCATCATCAAACTGCCTTATCAAAAATTTTACAGATTCATGTAATACACATCACGATGGCATCAACGCACCCATACCAACAACTCGACATCGACGAGCGCGTGAAGCGAGTTCTACTCAAAACACCACTCATAGACGGCCACAATGACCTCCCCCAGCAACCGCGGGCCTGTTTCCACGGCAAGATTCACAGCAACCCCAAATTCGACTTTGAGAATGGTTTCGAGAGAGGAATGACTGACATTCCCCGGCTGAGAGAAGGTAAGACCCTCGTAACCTAGTTCGCATGCTTAGACATTTGCTAAAAGTGGTCTTGATAGGTGCCGTAGGCGGTCAATTCTGGTCCATATGCGTCCCGTGTCTGAGGTCCGCGGAGAACTTCTCGACCGCCGAGTACTCGGACATGGCTCGCGACGCAATTGAACAGATTGACCTGACGCTTCGCCTTGTTGAATCCTACCCGGAGACTTTCCAGTTGGTGGATGGGCCGGATGATGTCAAGAAGATTTATGAGTCGGGACGGATCGCGTGTTCGATTGGTATTGAGGGGTATGTCACTCTCACGGCGGTGTAAGTGAGAGTATTTGAGAAGCTAACAAAACTGTCTAGGTTGCACATGGCCGGCAACAGCATCGGTATAATCCGCGCTTTCTACCGCCTTGGAGTCCGTTATGTAAGTTTATGAGGCGCTATTCGACGTGATTTAGGGTTACTGATGTTGGTCAAGTGCACCCTCACCCATGTGTGCAACAATGCCTTTGCCGACAGCTCGACATCCAAGGTCGGGCCCGTCCACGGTGGCCTCTCCAAGCTGGGCCGTTCATCTGTGGTCGAAATGAACAGAATAGGTACACACCATATTGGAATGCGCCGGAACCGCCGCTAACTGTGTTATAGGAATGATTATAGACATCTCCCATGTGTCCGAAGACTGCGCCAAGCAAGTCCTCACTCTCTCCCGCGCACCAATCATGTTCTCCCACTCCAACGTCAAAGGTGTCTTTGACTGTCCGCGCAACGTCCCAGATCACATCCTCGATATGGTCCCCGCGAACGGCGGCATCGTCATGGTCACTTTCGTCCCGGAGCACGTCACCACTCGCAGGAGGGACGCCAAGATGGAGATGGTCCTCGATCATTTGTTCTACGTCGCTGAGCGCATCGGCTGGGACCACGTCGGGCTCGGATCCGACTTTGACGGTATCGCGTCTGTGATCCCTGGGTTGGAGGACGTGAAGTGTTACCCGCGGCTTCTGAAGGCAATCCTCGACCGGGGCGCGACGGAGGAGCAGCTTGCCAAGGTTGCAGGGGAGAACATCCTGCGGGTGTGGCGCGGGGTTGAGAAGGTCAGGGATGCGATGAAGGCCGAGAGAATCTTGCCCGTGGAGGATGTCTGGGAGGGCCGGGAGTGGTGGAGGTATGATGGGTATTACCAGATGCCTGACCCCGATCCCGAGGATAAGTTGGGATTGGATTGGTACGGTGTCCCGCCTCCGGATGAGGGTTTGTATCTTGAAGATGATAAATAGAAAGGTTTCTGATGGAGCAGTTTTCTTTGAATGCAGACAATTTACGATGATTTTTTCAATTATCTGTTGCAATAATTATGGCTTGGGAAGTCAAGTGACGAAATCTTGCAGATGCTGTACATTAATCCAGAGAGCATCTCTTCATCTCTTTCACACTTTTGGTTCATACTTCACATTGAGGATCTTGAAGATCACCATCAATTGGACGGATCTACGATAAGTGAAAACAACGTTTAGTTGAAAAAATACCGGCCTGTTGCAGTTGAGCGCGGGGTCGAGTCGTCCGCGGTTGAGTTTAAGCGGTGATAAGAGTTCCCCGCGGGGAAGCAATTCACACCTTGCCATTTCCACCAGTCTTATCAACTCTATCCATGTTCACCTTCTGTTTGATCATGCGTAGGATGCGGGGCAACCGGGTCTATCACTTACACTGCCGATACCCGTATAAAGTCATGCGTGCCTAAGTGATGTACAAGAGGAACGCCTGACGCTAAGGCCATTGAGAATCGCTTTGGTTTCCCTTGATTCTAGTTCTCATATGAGACACGGCAAAATGGCGACAAAAGAAGAACTCATAGCTTCCGAGCCAACGAAGTCTCTCGACCTCCTCGACACAGCAGAAGGCGAAATCGTCGACCCCAAAGAACAGTCCTTGCTCCGTCGTAAACTAGACCTGCGACTGATGCCGCTGTTATGTATCACCTACGCTCTACAGTCCATTGACCGCACGACTCTCAGCTACGCCGCAGTCTTTGGCGTCCGTGAGGACATCGGCCTGACCGGCTCAGAGTTCTCCTGGGCCGGCGCCCTATTATACCTTGGCTACCTTTTCTGGGAGTTCCCTACCAACGTGATGCTTCAGAAGCTACCGATCAACACATTCATGTCTGCGACCGTCATTCTGTGGGGTGTAGTCCTCATGTGCCACGCCGCGTCACATAGTTTTGCAGGACTTGCGGCGACAAGGACATTCCTGGGTGCGCTGGAGGCGTCGATCAACCCCGGCACGATGCTGTTGTTCTCCATGTATTACGCACGCAGAGAACAACCAGTACGCATGGGAATCTGGATCGGGTCCGCGGGGTTGGGATACATCATGGCGGGCATCGTGTCTTTTGGGATCGGGCATATCCAGGGGTCGATCGCGAGCTGGAGGATTCTGTTCCTCTTTTGGGGTGCGGTAACGGTTGCTTGGGGGATTTTGATGCTCATCTTCCTCCCAGGTTCGCCACTCACGACCAAGTTTCTGAGCGAGAAGGAGAGGGGGACAGTCATCAACTGGGTTAAGACCAACGGCTCGGGCGTTGAGAACAAGAAGTTCAAGTGGCCTCAGTTCAGAGAGGCGATGATGGACCTGAAGACTTGGTTGTTGTTCATGTTTGCCGTGGCGAGTAACTCGCCTAATGGAGGGTTGACGACTGTAAGTTGGAAACAGCTCTGATCCTGCAGAAAAGCTGACTTGAAGCTAGTTCCAAGGTCTCGTTATCAAGGGTATGGGATTCTCAACTCTCCAGACAACTCTCATTCAGATGCCTTCTGGAGGAGTGCAGCTCATCTTGTGTCCATTGGCATGGTAAGTTGGCTCTCGGTGCTTGTTTAGTCCTTTTTCTCACAATTTACAGTTTCTTCGCCTCATACTACTCGAACGCCCGTATCGCCATCATGCTCATTTGCCTTATTCCTTTTCTTGTGGGAATCCTAGGTCTCTGGCTTATTGACCAGTCCAATCCGTATGGCCGCCTGGCCTGTCTCTGGATTTCCTTTGCCTACACTGCCGCCTGGACGCTCTCCATGTCGGTTGCGACGGCCAACACAGCCGGCCATACCAAGAAGATCACGACAAATGCAATGCTGTTGATTGGATACTGTCTGGGAAACTTTGTAGGCCCCTTCTTCTTCAAGGCGGAACAGGCTCCGAGGTACACGCTTGGCGTGGCGATGATGATATTCTGCGTCGGCCTGCAGATTGTTTGCCTGGTTAGCATCTGGGTTCTTCTCTGGGCCCGCAATCGCTCCAGAAAGGCCGGGCATGCAAACAGCCAGGAGAACGAACGGCAAGCATACGAGCGGGGTCTTCTGGATCAGACGGATCTGGAGAACAAGTACTTCAAGGTAAGGTTCCTCCAATCATGAGAAAGCCCAACTAACGTAGTTCAGTACGTCTATTAAGTTCTCATAGCGGTCAGGCTATATAAGGTGTAAATTTCGCAACTTTGCGACGAGATATAATAGAGATGATATATATTTGATTTGACTGCTAGCCTCAGTACAAAATACGGCCAGCCGTGCAACCACCGTGGAAGTCCGGAGCCGGAGCCGAAGTGGGTCCGGGCCATGAGCATTCTGAGGCTTCATTTAATCTTTCACACCCAGTCGACCTTGCTAAACTAGGATCTGCTTGGGCGAATACAGGTAACCTGTCCAACACACTACCCTCAGATCAAGTTGCACGAGTAGCTGCGGACGGTATCGTTAAACCGGCCATTTCCATCCAATAAGTTGGCGGCGTACTGATCGCTGTAGGATTCTCCTTGGCATTCCGAGTCCCTGTAAGATGAAAGAATTTGTCTTTAGATATGGAGGGAAAGCTGATAGAAATGACAGCATTGTGGGCGGTATACTCACCTATACCAGGTGCATTTGTTTCTTGTTCTTCTGTTGTTTCGAATGGAACTGATGCGGTTCTCCCATCCCTTTTTAACTTTACCTGGGCGATGTTAGTCAGATTATTAGGGTGAGGTTTCTCACCGACAGCAATATCTTGTTGAGTAACTATGAATCACAATCGGGGTGACTTACGGCAATACCTAAGAGGCACGAACGTGGAATGGCACTCTCCCGACCAAAAACTGTGTTCACAGTAGGTAATGGAAGCCCTAGCGACAAGAGAGCTTTTTGGGTTTGCGTTGGCCGCTGAAGCTGCCGTAACGGCCATGAGCTGGACCGGTAGGACGTAAATTATTGGTGTAATAGAGACCATAGTAGCTATTGATATTAGTAAAGGGCAGAATGAAACCAGTCGACTAGTTTTTTTGGCAGATTGAAAGATATGAGGAAACTTTTCTGTTATTTTGACCTTTTGGCTTACTTTCTCGATACTTCTAGCTTTCACGGGCTCAACAAAAGCTCATTTGATCAGAAACCTAATAAAAAACCGGCATCCAGCATTTATGTTTCTCTCAATTTCAACGGACCTCTTCAATTCGTAGACCTTACCGATTTCGCTCCCTGGAGGATCTCGCTGTCTTGAGAGTCTCTTAGACTATTGGCTTGGCTCGTTTCAAGCCGATCATAATCGAGAAGATTCAAACTCCCTAGAGTAGGGCTGATTCAAGGAAGGCGGTGCAATAACATTGGGGTCGGAATGAAAAGAGCTCATCTTTTAGGCAGCATCTCCTGGTTTATACCGATTACCTCGCCATACTAGTAACCCAAGATGCGGGCTTACATTTCATCTGAATATACAAACTTGATCGGCTTTCAATAACATGGATCTTCCATCTAGTATACTGTTCTTATCTCCTTTTGCAAGAAAAGCTGCTGATGGAGTCGTTGAAGCGGCCGTTCCCGTCCCTCAAGTTGGCGTCGTTTTGGTTGCTGTAAGATGCTCCTCGACAGTTCGAGTGTCTGGCAATATCGGAATCAGTCACTTGGACGTGACCGCAAAGACGAGCTGTTAAGGGTGGTATACTTACATATACCAGGTGCATTTGTAATCCAACCTGCTATCATTTCGGATGGAACTGATGCGGTCGTTCCATGCTGCAGGAACGTTTCCTGAACCAGGTTGGTAAGTAAATGTATCGTCAGGTTTGATACAAAGAGAAGGGACAAACAGGGTTACTCACTGCAACTGTCTAGTGGCACAAGCTGGTTTCGGCACGCTCCTGTCCAGCGAATGTGCTCGCACATGTGGACGGAAGCCTGCGCTATGAGGGCAGTTTCGGGATTTGCACTGGCCAGTGGAGCCGCTGTAACGGCGATCACCTGAATCGACAGAGCACACAGGACTGATTTAGCAGAGACCATTATGGCTGCTGATATGATTGAGGACCACAATGAAGATAGTCGAAAGATGATCGGTGAAATGGTGCTGTGAAGAGGCTGCCCTGGTACCTGCGCTATTTTACTTACTTCTCTTGGTCTTGGTAAGGTATTTATAGATTGCATGAACTCCGGGGAAGTACGTCTTGATTTGGTCTGACAACGCGAAGCGATCCGGCATTCAGCACTTGCACTTCTCCAAGAGGCCAATAAGCTCGTTGAGCTTACCAACATCACTCCCTGGAGAATCTTGTTGTTTAGAATGACTCTTGGCATAGCCCGGCTCAGACTCGCCATCTAAGAGACGCCGAAAACCCCTTACAGCAGATTCAATTGTTTGAGCGAGTTACTGATCTGTGTAAGTTCTGTGTTGCATTTCAGCAAGTCACACCTAGGAGATTCCCCAGTCTACTAGCCAGCTGTTTCACTGAATCAGTTGAGTCAAAGAAGCCTTTCAGCCTTGCCTAATACCATGTTTGCTAGCGGGGTTGCCGGTGCAGTGTAAGAGATTACTGCGAATCTGTGAAGGATAAGATACTAATTCTGCTACATATTGGAACTTGTCAGACGTTCGGTTTCAATGAGCATAATCACCGTTTATAATTAAGTATATGAAATCACCACGTTGAGGTCTATGTGGTGAAGCGGTTGACTAGGAAGGACAGAACTTGCTGGTCGCCTAAAACTTTGAGACTAACGTTTCACAACTCATATCAAAGACACCTAGTTGAAAGTGGCAATATACATGTCTTGATTCGCCAAATTGCAACCACAGCTCAGTTTATAAGGCGACAGCGAATCCGGGCGCAACCGAATTTTGATCTTGCAGCATGATCTGTCGTGGTTCCCTTGCGTTGTCGAATGTCATGCATCAGCCGCATTGACTTGTCTTGAATTGCTTCAATAGCCTCCTCTCGATCAAGACAACTGTTTCGTGGTCTCCCTTTAATCATTAGCGTTTAGACATTTGCGCAGCTTATATCCAACCAAGTTCGCATGTGAACACGATGAGATGGTGAGTATGACAGTGAAAAATTAATCTGATGTTCGGAGACTCATCTAAGAAACGGCGCCGTCCTCCTTATCAGTAATCCGATATGAAAGCACAAAGAGCCGACCCCAGGCCAAGCCGATGATAGCTACAGGCGATGAAGAGCCATCATTGGCCTGGCTTCGGATCACGAAGCAGATAGATAGTTCTTATGTAAGCCGCTCCTCGTTACCTGAAGCGCTGTTGTTCAGCCGCATTCAGCCGCAGAACACGACTCTTCAATGAGGCAGTCGAATGAGGACTTGAAACTTACGCGCGCCCTGTCAAAGTGCTTGCGCTTTTTGTGACTTGCGATAACCACGGATTGAAGATACGGTGAAGATTACTTACCCAAATCCAGTCTGCCACAACCAAAGATGGCGCTATGTGTCCGTTGCAGCAATCTAAAGCTATCAGTTGCTGACTTCTACCTCGACGATGACGAAGCCAAGAGGACACCGAATCCACGAAACGTGTTTGACCCAATCACAAAAGATGTTCGGCTATGGAGTGATTTGGAAGGCACCGAAGACTGTCCTCTCTGTCAAGCGATCAAAGGTGCTGTAGAAAATTCGCGCGTCGATTGGCAGTCGTCTAAGCCACCTCATTCTTGTGTTCTCAACCTGAAGAGATTATATGGGTCAGGAGGTCAAGAGGCCGGGAACTACAATGTCCGTTACCTCGAAATCATCGCAAACTATGATTGGACCACATCGCACGGGATTGAGTTGTTGCCGGTCGAGTCGGACGCGTATCCTGAGTGTTTCCCTGGGCGTATCGTGAACCCTTCTGGAATCGATGTTGGTCGTATTCAATCATGGCTGTCCCAGTGTCAAAGCCAGCACGGGGATATCTGCCGTTACGCAGAGACCTCCATTTTTCAACAGCTCCGTCCAAATCTTCTTGTATTTGACGTCGTGGAGCAGTGTCTAGTCACGCTACCCCCAGCTGCGCGGTATCTTGCTCTCAGCTACGTCTGGGGGAAAATGCAGGACCCAACGACTCTAACGAAGAATGTAGAGTCATTCAAGGTTGCAAAAGGGTTGTCGACAATCTACCCTCAACTGCCCAAGGTCATTCTGGATACTGCTAGATTGGTGGCAGACTTGGGAGAGCGATTCCTTTGGGTGGACGCTTTGTGTATCGTCCAAGACGACGCTAACCACAAAGACCTGTTGATCAACTCCATGCATACAATATACGAAAATGCACTCCTGACCATCTTTGCCTCTGCCGGGGCTGATTCCAGCGCGGGTCTTCCTGGGATGCACCCAACACCCCGGGGATCTTCACAGCTCGTTGTGGAGGTTGCCCCTGACTTAAAACTCGTTTCTCCGATACGTTACCAAAACATCAAGAAGTCAAAATGGGAATCCCGCGGGTGGACATATCAGGAGTACTTCTTTTCTCAGCGTCGGCTGCTCTTCGTCGAAGGACAAATCGTGTACAGGTGTAACAAGGTCCGATGGAGAGAGGATATCGCTCAGGAGCACCTGGCAAAGGAAATCACCCATTTTCAAGTCGATGGCGCTGGGAGTCGTACAGACTGGGATCCACCCGCCGTGAAATATCCAAACGCACCAACAAAAAATTGGAGTCGTTATCATCTCAACACCTACGTCCAGACGTACCTCGACCGGGATCTAACATTCGACGGCGATATACTATCAGCCTTTGCCGGGATTACCAACGAGGCCGAGAATAGGCAACTGCCAACATGCTGGGGTCTAACCAAGAAACACATTGGTATGGACATACTTTGGATGCCTTGCAAATGGGTCACCCGGCGTCCTGGCTTTCCCAGCTGGTCTTGGGCTGGCTGGAAAGGCCCCATTATATGCTACACCAGTTCCGACCATGGTCTATCGTCTGAGAAAATATGGCAACAACGGAAATCTTGGATCGATTTCTACATCTTCAACAAGGATGCTGGCCGGTTTCAGTTGCTGTCAACAGGCTATTTGCCGCAGGAAGAAGCCACGGTAGTGAAACTGGAGGAATCAGAGCGTCAATATCAGAAGCGACTCAAAGACATGATGCAAGCAAGAGGCGATGACAGTGACAACAGTGTCGACAGCCCAGCCGATACGTTCGACGCGGGAGTCCTTGCGTCTCTACTCTGGAGACTCTGCCACAGCCACACCGTGGTCACACCCTCTGAGTTAGAACCCCCCTACGCGATGTCCTACACCCCGACAATTGATGACCAGACCCTCCTTTTTCAGACATTGACCGCGTATGTACACATATCCACGCTGGGTCCAAACGGAATCCCGTCACTTCCGCCTCGTGACGGCCAGCTTCTCCTCCCTTCCGCTCCGACACTGCACCTCTACGCAGGTGACGGCTCACATATTGGTTGCGCCTGGGCGCACACGCAAGAGCTTTTCGACAAAGTTGCAGCGCACGATCTGAGCCTGGTGCATGATCCATCATCAGATATCTTGCAGATAGAAGTCGCGCTCCTCGCCGGCGCTCTAGAGGGCGATTGGCGTACGCGGAACGAGAAGCCCAGCACTTATGAGTACATGCTGGAGCTAGCAACCGCCGGGCTTAACTTGGGGGTACTGTACGCACTATATGAGAAGAGGTTGTCATACGAGCAGGCCATTGCTCGAATCTATGTTGAAATGGTCCGTGAGCGCCAGGCGGCGGAAGGGAATGCCGCAGAAGTCGAGACACGCTTGACAGTCGGCTTCTGGCAGGAGTTGGAGGCGCGCATCGCTCTTCAGGACCTCAAGAACACGTTCCCGGGACACTGCGAGGAGACGCTGCGGCCCATCATTGAGGGGCTTACGGCCGCGGGATCAGGCATGAGGGCGAAGAAGGGGCAAAAGTTCCTGAAGCTGATGTTGATCGGGGACCTGTGTCATGGAGAAACTAGTGGAAGCGGGGGTATCAAAGAGAAGGTTGGCATGGGAGAGATCAGGGACGATGCGCTAGGATTAATGCGTGGATTGGCATGCCGGGATGTAATGTTGAAATAAGATATGTTATTCACACATTATGGCTGACTATCAGACCGAGGAGTCAGCAAACATCATTCCCGCGGAACAGGGTAAATCATGGATGGATTTGAAGTCGTGAAAGTCATCTTTTCCATTTAAACAGCCAGTCGTACGCGGCGTAGCCTCCAGTCTGGTGACTGCACGCCCACCATATCGCCATTATCTACGAATGACCCTCCAGAGGGTATTTCGCCAAATCCAATGGCAAACACTTTGTCTAATCATGCCCTCAGGTTCTGAATTCGTCATTTCATATCTCATGATTATAGAATTACCCAGTTTCATACTCTACAATTGCATCATTGACAACGGGTGTGAGCATATGTATTGCTTTGCGTTAAGCCGAAGCCGCCGCCTCCTCCTGTGTAGGCTTTCGTCCCCATACGGAGTAACTGATCAGTGTTAGCGGTCGTAGTATTTTCCAAGGCAGTAAAATGGGCTTACATCGGGTAGTACGCATGAATACTTCGGTCGTTGAGTTCCTTGCGAACGTCGATCAAAAGAATCTGGACTTCCTCCTTCTTCCATCCAAGGAGTCTCGTCAGGGGGGCCATCAGGAAGCCTTCGACTCCTGACATTAAGTTCTCGTTGTTCCACATGCCTATTTCTTTATGTTTCGGGTCCTTGGGCCAAGTGTTGGTCGGCCACTTGTACCGGTTCATGGTCACGTCAAGGAATCCAATTTCGACCATCATGTCCCTCAGCTCCGGAATGCTCTGAAAAGAACGACCCATTTTGGCTACGGCCTCAACCGCCAAGTTCATGCTTTTCAGTAGCGCATGATCCTCTGTGAGGGTGCCGTCGTCTGAGGTAAGGGGGTCCATTTCGTTAAGCTCGAGGTAGCCGCCAGGCGCTAAGCCACTGAGTAGTTGAGCATGATGAACTCGGCGCTTGGGGGTCCGGTGGTACATACTCGTAGCATTTCTGGAGATAGCTTCTCCAGTTTGAAAGAGCCGATGTCATCATCCGGCTGTGGATGTAATCGAAAGGCTGTGTGTGGGTCCAGGGTTCCTCGATATCGTCGATCTCGAACTTCACATTTGGAGGTGTGCTGAAAGAGTCAGATGACAATCTTTCAGCGAAATACGTTGAATGGAGGCTCGTACAAGTCTGGCTGTATGGCAGACAGGTCGATGCCGATGACCTCGGCTTCGGGATGCTCCTCGCCATACTCAATGGCCCAAAGTCCAGTTCCCGTGCCCACATCTAAGACGCGGTTCGCCCGGAAACCTTTAGAAGAGTCTTTTTCATTCGGGGGAGCAGTTCCTAATTTGTTGTCATATGTGATGAGGAATAGATTGTGTTGCAAATCTGATCATATTAACAAAAATTGGCCTGCAGGTTGGAGAGTAAATGAAATTACCTAATCTGTCGTTTTCTCGCTCGTCGTTGGGATAACTGTATTCTGAAGTTGTAAATATAGATGCTTGTTCACTAAGTACCATGCAGATGAGCATACTTCCATCTTTGTATCTATGATACGTTCTCCCATTTTCGAGCCTGTAATCGAGAATCGAGCTGGTCACGCTCGTGCTTGATGATGCGATGCTCTGATAAGTCAGAAATGAGCACACGTAATCGCAGAAAAGGGACATACTCCTAGCTCGGACGCAGAGTCATCCGTATTCTACCGAATGTAAGTAGCACTTCACAACATTGATGCAAGATTGATGCAATACCTCATCGGCCACAAGCACAACGTCGTTGTTAACCTCCGCCATGGTTGTCAGTGTTTTCAATATTGATGGTAATGCGCTGTCGGAACGCTAGCAGAATGAGACCAATGCCGCTTCAATGATGGCACAATTGGCAATTTATCTCCCTGTGGGAATCACCTGAGCTTTTTTCAGGTCCTTACCCCACTTCTCGGTTGTGGACAATGATGCAGACATGTGACGAACGGTGCATAAGCGATGAATTCTTGTATTTGTCGATAAACGGTTGGTCCTTCAGTTACAATGAATGACTGGGGGTAGCTCTCCTGGAACACTCAAGTCGGCCCTGTTGGGAAGAAGAAAATGGAACCCTGACTTCCAAGCCAAAGATCCACTGAGCATTTCAACCAATAGGAGTGCCTTGTTTTTTTCTACGGCTTCATTCCCGTCTCCCCGATACAGAACTTATGTATGTTGCTACAGGGTGTTACAGCTGTATCTTATGTCTCCCGGCCAAAGAACAGGGGTACAGCTACCAAATAGAAGCATTTCCAAGGGCTGGAAGCAGCCTTTCTCAAAACACAGCATCCCCGTGTCCCTTTCTATTTTTCTTTTTTACTTTAGGTTTGGAAAAAGAGGCTCTCGTTATCGCCTACCTGTCTGACCCAAGGAGATGGGATACTTCGGAGGGCCGCGCGACGGTCGGTACGGTCGAGCCGGAGCCGGGCCCACATCCCGGAAATCGTCACCGCTTCAGGCTTGATTCCCTAATGAGTCGACGGACGCAGCTTGCACTTAAATGAAAACCTATGCTAGGATACAATGCTCGGCGCAAGTTGCACGTCAGACATGAGCCCACAATCTTTTAGCTTTTAGCCGGGAATTGACATTCATCCGAAGCCTCACGCAACTCACGTGTCGTCGCAGCCGTGTTGTGACTGTATGTGTGGCTTGTGTACATCCTTCCAGCTTACAGAATGTGGAACAGGCCTTTTAGTTGCTTTTTTAAGTTGACTACCATGAAGCGAGTGCTCTCAAATCTACTGCGCAGAACATCTAGAACTTCTCAAGTGTTGTGCCCACCTTGTGCTTTCCCGCCAACTCCAGAATGACCTTTCCTAGCGACAAGTCCATGATGCCAATTCCAACACTCTTGTAAACGATAAGACCGTTCTCAAGCCATTCACGCAGCGCATTCGCCTCAGTCTCGCCGGCCTTCCTCAATCGCTCGGTGAACTCACCAACCTCGATGATCTTCTCCGCGGGGACCTCAGCCTCCACAAGCTCGCCTGCCTCCAGGAAGCAAGCCTCGCGGCTATCTACGAAGATGACGCCGTCCTTGTTCTCACCCTGAGATGCAGTAAATGAGCCCAGAGGCGTATCGATCATTGCGCGAAGGAAATCGGGGTCAATCTCCTTCATATTGAGCTTGTAGGACCCAATGGCGGCAATGTACCGCGTCTTTGCCCGGGCGCGGTCCGAAGTCAACCATTCCGCGGGGAACAGACGCTCGGTAGACGGCGTGGTGCAGAAGATGACGTCGCTCTCCTCGACAGCAGAGCGCAGGCCACTCCCGTCGGCGGGTGTGCTACCGGGCGCGGCTTCGATGATGGAGAAATCCACTGCGGAGCAATCTCCCACGCCGCTGGCAGCGCTCATCTTCTGAAGCCTTTCAATTAGCTGACGAGCCCGGGCCTCGGAACGGTTCACCACGGTGATGCTCTTGATGTCCTTGCCGCGAAGTACCAGCGCGAGCCGCAGGTGCCACAAAGCCTGCTTGCCGGCACCAAACACTACAATCTTTTCCGTCTGCTTGCGATAGCGGTACAGAAGGACAGAACCGAGCGAGGTCCGAAACGCCGTGAGCTCCTCCGCGTTGATGATGCCGACGGCTTTTCCCGTGCCGTCGCAAACGGTGAGAACGCAACGGAGGCCGCTGGAGCTGTTTTTCGGCGGTGGGAGGCCGACGATTTTGACGGACATGCCGCCCTCCATTGTCGCGGGCATGAAGAGGCCCGTCGTGCCGTCGGGGCGGACGACGGCGGCGCGGTGGGGCTGAAATTGCGCTTCCTGGCCCACGGAGTAGGACAGAAACGCGTCGGTGAGAACATCGGACATGTGCGAGACATCTTCGGGGCCGAAGTTCTGGAATAGTTGTTTGACGTCCTCGTCGGACAGCACTGTGAATGCCATGGTGGGATATCTGTCTATAAAGTTGATGAGAAAACCGACGGGTGCTGTGAAGCTTGGTTTAGATGCTGTCTACAAGATTCAGCAACCCTAATGTGCAGGCGGCTTTGAAATATCGAAAACGAACGTCTTTGAAAATGGTCTGAGGTTGTAAATGGTGGCCGATGTAAGCCGGTGCCCCTCCGAAGAGGCGTCTAATGTGGGGAACCGGTCGGACCCCTGCTCCCGCGGCCCGATCTCGGATCTCCTTGGTGGCCTCGGCATAACCTACCGGTTCGAGCGTGACCGCGCCTACGTTGCACAAAGCATGTCGGCAGCTAGAGACCGGAATGTGCCATGCTGTATCGGAGATATAACCCGGATTTCCTTTTTTGGCATTTGTTCAATTACAAACAAGGCATTTCCAAGACTGCTTCTTTGCTTTCTGGCTCATCGATGATTAGGTATGATTCATATGAGACATTGCAGCTGGACCGACTACTGAATTGGTCAGTCGGCATGGACAGTACGTCAAGACGGTTAAGGTTAAACCTGCACATAACTGTTTAAACCTGTTATTGCCAAGTTGATGTTGTACATCGGCATGGTGGGTCCGCCGTTTTTTTGATGTCAGTGGTGTCTGCCCTGTGGAGCATTATCCCGCTTGCTAGAAGAATAACCTACCACTACTTGTTATATCCAATCTTGGTGTCGTATTGCATAACTTTCAGATACGACATACATTTCACACCATGTTCTACTCACTGCACCGTCTGATAAATACCAATGCCAGTGGTAAACATAACCGACATGTGCCACGGCGAGCTTACCTAGGTATCAGCCGAGAAGCGCTGGTCATGTAATTTTTTTTCTGTGAATTCCGATTTGACGTGGTTTCAATAGCATGTAGACAGCAGAAGCCTGTTACATTGGTGAAGGCCAGCAATGCGCACATCAAGTTCGGCAGTCTCGAAGTAGTAATATCGTGTATCGCGCTAACCCTCCGAAATTTTCATTCGCTTAGAAGTTGTCATTGATTTCGTTGCTCAGTACCTTGGATTTCTGTGTGTTGAGTTCCATGTTTGTCGGGCCGCGGAGGACCTCCTCGCCGACCGCGGAAAACTATAGGCGGAGATGGCGGGGATAGTGAGGCGATGAACACGACTATACACATCGGATGAGCACTTGACATGAAAAGCCTGCAACCCATCGAATGAAGCAGCTCATGAATTCCAATCAATCTATGGCAAATTATCAGCAGGCCTGCCAAGACAGAGTCGGCAGTGCCAGAGAAGGTCTGAATGACTCAGGCCCCATCCCAACTGAGCATTCAGGTCGCATCTTTTAATGAGACACACCAGGATTTCGGCCGAATCCCATCTCATCGATTGAACCCTCAGGTTCTCTACCGGTTCGGACCAATTGCCAGTGACCAAGTTCATCACATTACATCACGGCGTCCGTCCGGATGGTTGAGATGAAAACAAACCACATTGAGAAACCGGAGCGGCGCGGCGGACGTGGCACAGCAAAACAAAGGCAGACCTCAACAAACTCCGTGAAAGGTCGGGGGAAAGGCTAGTACTTCGGATACAATTTGACGCAAACTGGTGCCGAACTCCGTCCGCCTGCAAAGTTGCAACTCCACCCAAAGTCCGCAACGCAGTGCGGGGATCGGCCAAGCGAGCGGGCATATGCGGGACAGGCCCAGCAGGTTTCTCGGGGGGGCCGGGACATTGTCGGACACTTTTCGCTCCCTTTTCTGCCTGAGTCAACCAGGCGTCACCGTGGCCATGTCGATGCTGCGGTGCTACAGTAAATATGCGCAATTATAATGAGAAGAGGAGAAAAAAAGAGTGTAGAGCGGGTTCTGATAATGCGAAAACGAACCGCTAAGTGTGCCACGCTTTGTTGCATGGCCACGGCCCCAATTCTGGCCAGTGTCACTGGTTATATCCACGCATGTCAAACTGTAATCGTACCGAACTGTCTTGCTCCTCGGCGCCGACATGCCATTGTAGGAAAAACGCACAGCCAGGGATGCTGCTTTTTTAGATCCGCACGGGAAGGCTTGCGCATACCCGTCCCAACCCCTGCCCTTGACCAACAATACCGACAGCTCACATCGCTTGTCGAGATCTATGGACGTCAACGATTGAATTCAACAAGGTTTTCACCTTGGCCCAGATAGTGATAGGTCCGCCGATCCCTCTATTGCGGGAACCATGACGCGTGGCGGGCCGTTTGAACGATTCCCGCTCGACCTGCAGGCGGACTTTTACGATGGGGGGAGGGGGAGGGTATGGACTCTTATGCACGACGGCGTCTTGATTTCTCCGTCCTTGCGAGAAGATACCCTGAATCCCGCTGCTGCTCGGAGGGAATCTAGACCAGACCACCCCTGGCAAGCATTTACCCCACGGGCGACGAGGGGGGGCTATAGGCTGTATGTGACGTGAAGAAGGTCTTGAACGGTGCGAGGGCATCATCGTTACCTGGGTTCTTGTTTCAAAGATATGTTAACTCCAATGAGGGGAATGATATATAAAGATGCCGCTACGACCCGTTCGTGGTTGTTATAAGTTTCCAATCTCAAGCCACTCAATACAGTCGACCTAGTAGTCTCTCATCAATCGCGGTGCTTTGTTCGACACTTTCTATTTATTTACACAGTCTTCTGTCTTAGTCCCTTAAACAGTCTCAGCCATGGTGGCAGATTTACAAAATATGAGCCCAAGGCTCTCACCGTTTATTCTCTGGCCCATCGTGGCCGTCTCCTTGGTAGATAACCCTCCCCCCCTCTCTCACTTACACGTGTTGCCACCAATCTCCAGCATACCTAACAAGTATCAACACACAACTAACACACCCAGTCATTCCTCTACCTCTTCCTCAGCGCCATCTACAACCTAACCCTCCACCCCCTCCGCAAGTACCCCGGCCCAAAGCTATGGGCCGTCTCTCGCATCCCCTACGCACTCATGCTCCTCCGCGGCGAACCCCACAAAACCATCCTCGAGCTCCACGCCCGCTACGGCGACACCGTTCGCGTCTCGCCCTCAGAGCTGTCCTTCCAGTCCCCCGATGCCTGGAAGGATATCATGGGACACCGAAAGGGAAAGAACGAAGAGAACGTCAAGCACCCTGACTTCACCGAGATCAAGCACTCGGACATCATCTCAGCGGATAGGGAGAACCATGCGCGCTACCGGCGCATCCTGTCCCACGGCTTCTCGGCAAAGAGCATGCAGGAGCAGCAGCCCATCATCACCTCGTACATCAACCTCTTGATCGAGCGGCTTCACACCATCTCCAGCCAGGGCCCCGTGGACGTCGTGGCCTGGTACAATTACACCACGTTCGACATCATCGGTGATCTCGCCTTTGGAGAATCTTTCGGGTGTCTGGACAAGTCGGACTACCACCCGTGGGTGAAGATCATCTTCGACAGCATCAAGGTTATCAACATCCTCTTCGCGCTCAAGGGGTTCAAATGGGTCGAGCCGGTGCTGAAGATGTTCGTACCCAAGTCCATGACCGAGAAGCGTGATGCGCACAAGGAGCTCGTGAGGGAGAGGGTCGAAAGGCGGATTCAGCTGGGCACGCCGCGGCCCGACTTTGCTGAGTCCATGCTCAAGAAGAAGGGAGACGAGGTACGAGGCCCCCTCATTCTTATTTTCTCCGTCTTTACACACATCCACGTCAGACTAACAAAACCAAATAGTCATTGACAAAAGACGAGCTCTACGAGAACTCCAACGTTTTGATCGTCGCCGGCTCCGAAACCACCGCCACCGCCCTCTCCGGCGCGACATACCTCCTAACCACGAACCCGGAGGCCCTCGAGAAGCTCACTGCGGAGGTCCGCGGCGCCTTTGCTTCCGAAAGCGACATTGACATCCTCAGCACCGCCAAGCTCGGGTATCTCCAGGCCGTCCTCGAGGAGACGCTGCGCCGGTACCCGCCCGTCCCCAGTGCGCTGCCGCGCATCACGCCGCCTGGCGGAGCCGAGGTTTGCGGGAAATGGATTCCCGGTAACGTAAGTACATACATATTTATTATTTCTCTTGCCAGGACAACTATTCTCTATGAGCCTGACGGCTAATTCTTCCCCCCGCAGACGACGCTCGGCGTCTGGCAATGGCCAATGTACCACAACGAAAAGAACTTTACCAAGCCCTTCGAGTTCCACCCGGAGCGCTGGATGGGCGATCCCGAGTTCAAGGACGACCAGCTGGAAGCCATGAAGCCTTTCCACACCGGACCCAGGAACTGCCTCGGCATGAAGTATGTGTTCCCCTTTCCCCCGTCTGTCTTGTATACATACATACAACACATCATCGAGTGAATCACTGACTTGAAGCTCAACAGCCTCGCATACGCCGAGATGAGAATGATCCTCGCCAGAGTAATCTGGAACTTTGACCTCCGCCTAGCGGAAGAAAGCAGGAACTGGCTCGAACAGCCCGTCCACATCCTCTGGAACAAATCGGCCCTCAAGGTCCACCTCACGCCGAGGAAAGACATCTAAGACGATCGGTGCTCAAGAACACTTGGAAGTTGCCGAGGAATTATTTAGACTCGGGGGTAATTACTAAACAAGTCGACGGCGCCTTATTGGCTTACCGCATCTGCCGTCTGCGTTCGGATAGGATAAAGGGTTTCAAGGGGGGGGAAAGCATATTACTGATGTTGAGCCGGCACGAGATTGGACCGCACTTTATAAAACTTTTTTTTACGTATTTTCATTCTCACCCCCCTTCATTGCATAGCAGCATTAGTTCCTTTTTTTTTTTTTTAAGGCGAGATAACGAAAATCAATTACATTGTTATTAACCTTGTTGGATATTGACAAACGGCTTGATGTCCCGTCAAGCTTTCTGCTGAGGTCAGAACTTTAAAATCACCCTTGCATAATTAAAGTTGAGCTAGTGTTGGTTCTAATATATATCTTGATTCTTTTCTAGAGATCTATCATCTCCCTCTACTACTTTATTCTATGTAATTTTTGGTTTAGTCATGTAATTTGTATGTGCGTGTATGCAAAGTCATAAAGGTCGTAAGGTTGACTCTCCTCGTCGGCTCCGGAATCTCTCAAAGCTTCGCGTCCGCCGCCTTCTTCCGACCATGCAGTCAATGCTTTCTCCTGGGCGCGCGGTGGTACTGGTTAGACCACTTGATGGGCACGCCAATCTCGTCGGCGATCTTGTAGACGAAGTTGGGCTCCCTCAGGAACTGCCTGGCGACGAGAACGGCGTCGGCCTGCGTGACCTGGCCGTGCTCCTCGTCAATCTCCACCGTGGCGGCGCCGTTGGCCGCCTGCTGCGCGCCGTTCTGACCGTTGGCCTGCTGCTGCGCCTTCTGGGCCTGCACGATGCTGCGAGCCATCTCGCCGTTGGAGATCATGCCCACGGCGCCGATCAGGAGCTTCTTGCCGTCGGCCTCGAGCGCCGCGCGGATCTTGCCGGCGATGCTGACTTGGTAGTACGGCGAGATCTCAATCTTCTGCTGCGGGTGGTTGCCCGCGGAGGAGACGTCGAGCAGGTCGATGCCGGCCTCGGGGAGGAGCTTGGCGAGGCGGATGGTGTCCTCGACGGTCCAAGAGGGCTCGGATTGGTACTCCATCCACTCCGTCGCGGAGATGCGGAGGAAGACGGGCATGCTGGCGGGGACAACGTCGCGGACCGCCTTGATGGTCTCAAAGAGGAAGCGGGTGCGGTTCTCGAAGCTGCCGCCGTACTGGTCGGTGCGTTTCTGTACAAAACATTAGTATTTCATGCGGTTCTCATAAGAAAAGTAAAATAACTCACGTTGGTCAAGGGGGAGAGGAATTCGGTAATGAGATAACCGTGAGCGCCGTGGACTTCAATGACGTCAACACCGGCCTCGACAGCACGCTTCGCGCTCTCGGCGTACTTCTTGGTGAGCTCGTGAATGTCCTCGACGGTCAGCTCCTTGGGAGTAGCCCAGCCCTCGGTGTAGGGAATAGCGCTGGGGGCGACGACATCGTTAGGCCAGCCGCCCTCGTCCTCGTGCGCGAGGTCCTTGCCGCGGTTCTCGGTAATCCACGGCGCAAGCGTGCTGGCCTTGCGGCCGGCGTGCGCCAGCTGGATACCGACGAGCTGGTTCTGCGAGTGAATAAAGTCGACGACGCGCTTCAGCGGCGCAATCTGTGAGTCCTGCCACAGACCCGGGCACTCAGGAGAGATGCGGCCGCGGGGCTCGACGGCGGTAGCCTCAACGATGGTCAGGGCCGCGCCGTTCAGAGCAAATTGGCCGAGGTGCACGAGGTGGAAATCAGTCATGTGGCCATAGTCGGCAGAGTACATGCACATGGGCGAGACCCAGATGCGGTTGTTGATGCGCAGGTCGCGGATCTGGAGGGGCTGAAAGAGCGTCGGGGCCGTGGCGGCGTCGAGAGGAGTGCCGGCAGGGGGCTCCTGGGCGGGGGTGTAGAACGGCACGCCGGCCGCGGGCTTGTTTGCGGTCTTGACCATGGTTGCTGTTCAGTTGAAAATCAAAAAAAGAGAATAAGTAGAGTGTAGGGTTATGTCGGGAGGCACCCTTGGCGAACAATGGCAGAGTATGTTATGCCGGTAGTCGAGTTGATGAATGTCGTGGTGATAGACTTGAAGATGACCTGGGGGCGAACGAGGGGTTTATGAATAGTCTCAAAACGGAGTGAGGTTGGGTAGTGGAATCTAAATCCCGGCAAAAAGGGTCCCCAGTCGCAAGGAAATCTCTAACGTGTGATTTGTCAACTTTCTGGGTGCAAGGCTCTTGTGGAAAAAGGTCACTAGAGGCGGAAAAGAGGCTTGTTAGTCTTGGTACTGTTTCCTCTTTGTTCTGATAACGGCATTGTGGGGGTGTCTGAAATGGTTGATTTATCAGCTCGATGAAAGCCTGCCCATTGACCCCCCTCTTGACGGGCGCCCTATAATTTCGCCCTAGGCGATTCCGTTATTTCGACAACGTCATGAAGCAATCCCGCCTCTTGGTTGCTGAGTAATGGAAAGTGGTAGAGTCCTTCTTTGAAACGGTCTGGCGCCTTCTGAAAGTGGCCTCTGGCACGTAATCCCGAGTTATTTCCAGTGGCGCCGTTTCGGCTGGCCTTTCCAACCAAGTCAGAGAAAATTTCTAGAATAAACGGGAAACCGGCCTCATTGTCTTCTACTAAGCCATTAGCTCAGTTTAACGTTAACATATTCTCTTGGCCTTCTTCTTCTCCACACGTGGTGCTATGCGCTGCTATGCAAATCTTCTTCATTCCCAACTTCTAAAGGCCAAGCTTTACCTAGCTGCCGTGTCCTACCGACACATACCATAAATCATGACTACGCCCTCCAATAACGAACGACTAAGCCCCCATGCCAACTTTGATTGGTGTCTCACTACGCCAATCAAGCAACTCAGGTTGTCTCAACTCGGATGATGAATAATTACACATGCAACGGCTGACATGTCACAAAGCGGCCCGGGGAAAAGAACATGATTAAATCAAGATCATGAATTCATGAACATACTAACTACATTAGACCTCTGCCCGTTAAGGGGCTTTCGTGTCTGTATCTAGGGACCCATCCCTGAAAGCGGTATCTGTTGAATGCCTGACTTTTCCCCGAGTCCCAAACCCGCTTGCAAAACGCCATGGAGATATGTTGAAAAAAGAACGCCTATGTTGAATGTGTCTGAGCCTTTCCCCTTGAATTTTTCCGGTTATCCCCGCGGGTATTGCCACGTCATGTCTGTTGAAAAGACCATCGTTTCCCACCAACACCTAAATCACACTCATATACACCACACCATCCGCTTAAGCCTTGTCGGCGTACTTGTTGCGGAAGAACTTGGCAGCGTTGACCATGTTGGTCAGCGCGGCCTTGGTCTCGGCCCACTGGCGGGTCTTCAGACCGCAGTCAGGGTTGATCCAGAGCTGCTCAGGGCGAAGACCGTTGTTAAGCATCTCCTCGATGCGGGTCTTGATCTCCTCCTCGGAGGGAACACGAGGAGAGTGGATGTCGTAGACACCAGGGCCGATGTGACGGGGGTAGGCCTTCTCCTCAAAGACACGGAGAAGCTTGGCGTCAGACTTGCTGTTCTCAATGGACAGGACATCGGCGTCAAGAGCGGCGATGGCGTGGAAGAAGTCCTGGAACTCGGAGTAGCAGAAGTGAGAGTGGATCTGGGTAGAGTCCTGGACACCAGCGGTGGACAGCTTGAAGGAGTCGACGGCCCAGGTGAGGTAGGCCTCACGCTCCTTGCCGGAGCGGAGAGGGAGACCCTCACGGAGGGCAGGCTCATCGACCTGGATGACGAAGATGCCAGCGGCCTCAAGGTCAACGACCTCGTCACGGAGGGCGAGGGCGAGCTGCTGGGCCTGGACGGACTGGTGAACGTCGTCACGGGGGAAAGACCAGCGCAAGCAGGTGATGGGACCAGTAAGCATGCCCTTCATGACGCGCTTGGAGTTGGCAGCAGCGTACTTGGACTCCTTGACGGTCATGGGCTCGTTGTTGCGGCGAGAGATGTCACCGACAACGATGGGGGGACGGACGCAGCGAGAACCGTAAGACTGAACCCAGGCGTGGGTGGTGAAGACGTAACCGTCCATGCGCTCACCGAAGTACTGGACCATGTCGTTACGCTCAGGCTCACCGTGGACGAGAACGTCCAGGTCGAGCTCGTTCTGGATGGCGATGACGTCGTCAATCTCCTTCTCAATGAACTTCTCGTACTGCTCAGCGGTGATTTCACCCTTGGTGAACTTGTTGCGCTGGATACGGATCTCCTTGGTCTGGGGGAAGGAGCCGATGGTGGTGGTAGGGAAGAGGGGGAGGTTCAGGTGCTTGCGCTGAGCGGCAATACGCTCAGGGAAAGCAGACTTGCGGTTGTGCATCTCAGCGGTGACCTCAGACTGGCGCTTCTTGACGTTGGGGTCGTTGGTGCGGGCAGAGGTAGCGCGGGACTTGATGTCCTTGGCGTTGGCGTCAAGCTGGGCCTGGACGGAAGCGGCATCGGTGATGGCCTTGGCAATGATGGCAACCTCAACAGCCTTCTCAGAGGCGAAAGAGAACCAGGCGTAGACCTCCTCGGGAAGCTTCTTCTCGGAGGTAAGAGTGTGAGGGGTGTGGAGGAGGGAAGAAGAGGTGGCAACGATGACACGGTCCTCGCCAATCTTGGCAATGGCCTGCTTGACGGTGTCAATGGCACGCTGGAAGTTGGTCTTCCAGATGTTACGGCCGTCAACGACACCGGCAGAGAGAACCTGCTTGGGGCCGAGCTTCTCAAGGACGGGGCCGAGCTGCTCAGGGTTGCGGACAAGGTCGACGTGGAGACCGTAGAGGTTGTTAATGGCGGGGAGGACATCGAAGTTGTGGACGATGTCACCGAAGTAGGTGGCCAGAACCAGGTTGGGGAGGCCAGCGGCAGAGAGAGCCTCGTAAGCGGGCTTGAAGGCGTCCTTGGACTTCTGGGGGAGGTCGAAGACGAGGATGGGCTCGTCAATCTGGACAGTCTCGGCACCAGCGGCCTTGAGCTGCTTCAGAAGCTCGACGTAGACGGGGAGGAGCTTGTCGAGCAGAGAGATGGGGTCAACGGACTGGCCACGGTCGGGCTTGCCGAGGTGGAGGAAAGAGACGGGACCCAGAAGGACGGGACGGGTGGCAATGCCAGCCTGCTTGGCCTCGTTGAACTCAACAACGGGCTTGGGGTTGGAAGCAAGCTTGAAGGTCTGGCCATCCTGGAAGGTAGGCTTAACATAGTGGTAGTTGGAGTCAAACCACTTGACCATTTCCTATTTGATGGATCCGTCAGTATTTGTTTTACGTTATGGTATTTGTGTTTATCGCTCGTGCTCGAGCTTTGAGCGGGGGTGGGGGCGGGGCTTACCAGAGAGGGGACGTCAATGCCGTCCTTCTGGTGACCACGGCCCATGGCGAAGTACTCGTCAATGGGCTCAAGCTTGGTCTCGGCGTAGCGAGGGGGAATGGCCTAATGGGAATGTTAGTATTCCTTTTGCTCTTTGCTTCTTTTCGTGATGATTTCGGATGCTCATGATGAGTCACATACGTTGAAGAGCTGGATGTGGTCAAGGACCTGGTCGTAGAAAGCAAAGTCGTTGCTGGGGATGATGTCGACACCGGCATCCTTCTGGATCTGCCAGTGAGCAAGACGAAGTCTCTTACCCTCGGCGAGGAGCTCATCGCGAGAGAGCTTGCCACCCCAGTAAGCCTCGTTGGCCTTCTTGAGGTCACGGTTCACACCCATACGGGGGAAACCAAGAACCGAGGACTGAACCATCTTGAATGCTGTTGCTGTAGTACGCAAAAGATTCAAGTGTGATAAAATGGTGGAATATGAAGAGTTACCCCGCCGACAAAAAAGCAAGGTAAGGAGAAGAGGATTTGGGGAGTCAGGCGGTTAAGGGAAGAAGAAGAAGAGGGAAAAGGAAAAAGGATGAGAAGAGGAGGAGGGGTCAGATGAAGTAGTCCTCAGGTCGACGTGTGAAAAAAACTCTAGCGGCCCCCAAGTCGGTGAATTGGGCAATTGCGTGCGAGGGGTGAGAGGCTGGGCTGGGTCCTGGCTCATCGATTGGAGAGCGAAGTCGGCTTCCCAAGTTATGGACACTTTTTTATTACGGATACTTACGCCAACCGTGGCCCGGAAGTTTTCGTTATTTTTTTCCCCTTGCCTTCCTGCCCTTGATACTACGTGTGCAGCCGAAAAAATGAGGTGAGAATTCCTTCCAGTAGCGTTGAGGTGGGGTAGTTTTGGAAGGGAAGGAGGGGTTGTCGCAGATTGCCCTTGGGAAATCGGCCTCTGACACGACGTGAGAATGCAGCGTGGCGCCTGGCGGGGGACTCAATTGGGGGGAACTCTGCTTGAGGTCCCCACTGTTGGCTTGGGCAAACTGATGGCGGGGTACGAAGCACTATCGAGCCCCAGCGTGTTTACCGTAAGCCACCCATTGTCTTCTGTTAGTGCCCCTCCGTACCTGGCTCAAGCGCCGGGAGCTTAAGGTCCCCTCTCTGTGACTTTTGTTTCCCTCACCTGCGTCCTGTGCACTCCTATAGTTTACGCGCCACTGCCTGAGGATGGTTTCTTAAACTCGTAGCATACGGTAAACGAGGTAGAGTCAGACGTTGCATAAGACGCTAGAGCAAGGTCAGACCAGCTAAGGTTCGTTCCGACAATGCAGGCCAGACAATGGAAGACGGAAGGACAAGGAAAAAAATGAAGATGAGCAAGGAGGGGCAGTCAAGCTGTCATTGGCTCAATCGGTCACAGGGCGGCAGGAACGCAAGGGACCTGCCTCGATATGGAAGGGCGGTGTGTATAGCGGTGGGAACCAGATTTTGCCTTCTCGCTGGATGAAAAATTTACCTGCCTCAGGAAGAAAAAGAAAGGCCCCACTAAGCTTAGGCATCTCTAACTCTGGTGGATGAGCTCGACAAGCAAAGCGGCAACTAGGAAACTTCTCCTTTTCTCATTGGTCTTCCTCCAAGTAGCTTCAGTTTACTATGACCTACCTAAGCTGAAGCTCAGAGTGACCCATCACCCATTCTGGAGACTATGGGATTTGCCCCCCCCTTCTCTCTCGTGGTGGCATCAGTCATTCAATCACATACTTCTTCGTATGTATGGCGACCTGACACATTGTCTCGTCGGTTGAGAAGAATGATGCACGTTGAATTCCTCGCCGCCACTTTACCGCAAGTCAATGTCTTACCTGCACGCGCCCTTTGTTTTGTTCTCAGTTCTCTCAATTGGACAATGCCTTCACCGTCCAACTTGGGCAATGTGTTGACGCCTACCGCCATCTCGAAGCTGGTCTAGCTCTCGCCCTGCCTTCCTTTTCCGCCAACGGTATCCAATGAAGGCCGATCCGCCACCTGTCACCGCTCAACGGTGTCTCGGTTGTACAGAAAGAGATAGAAAGATTTTTTTTATGATGATCTATGTTAGTCTCGACCACTCTTTCATCTACTAATCGATCGTCAAGGAAGCTCCCGACGTCAACGGCGAACCTTTTGAAGATCATCAATGCCCCTCTTCTGTCAAAACATGATGGACACAATCTCGACCACGGCGTGAGCATGGTCTTGACAGTTTTCGTTTCTGGGGCAATCCGCAATGGCGTGATCGGCCAGAGACCCAGATTTGCTCCAGCATTGACCCAGAGCCCTTGACGGTTGGCGATGGGGCACAGTGTCCGACAACCGCCTGCGGATGTCGTCTGGAGCGAGAGAAGAAGTAGAAGAACAAAAGGGAAAAAAATCCGCGCAAAACAGATCACATCCTTGCTTGCTCCCGGTTCTTCCTCTTGATACGGGTCGGGGGGGCGGTTGTCGGGGGTGTCGGAGGGTTTCGTTCTTAACCCCCTCAACTCCACATCTCCATACACCTACATCGGAGCAAGCTGGCGCCGATATTGCAGGTCCCCCTGGACCGGGCTTGTCAATGGGCACCGCCTCGAATTCTGCCCCCCTCTCCCGGGCCGACAATTGCCCTGTGCTCCAGTTTGGTTTTTTTTGGCCCCCTATTAGCTTCTGGAAGACTGCGACATATAGGAAATGCATCGTGGGCGACCATGTCTCTCAACTCCGCGCTTCCAAGCTTGGTTTCAAAATTCTGTAAGCGAATACAGGCCTCTGATTTCTCAGCGACACCAACTCCACGACTGAAACCAAACGTCCCATGGTAGCGATATAGGTACCTGGCTCTTAGCATCCGGTCTTTGAGCTCGTCCATTGCACGAAAATCCCGCGAACGATGATCCGCGAACGATCATCTTGTGAGCGTTGCACCGCCCCGGCGATCCAAGCAACTTGGGACGGCCGCAAGAGCGACAAATGCGGCATGGAAAGAACTATATGCTTGCTGAGATCATATCATGCAGTCGTTGCGCATTAACATGTCCCCTTTAGAATGACTCTTCAACTCCTGAACCAAAAAGTTAAGCCCTCGGTTGAGGCGATGCTAGCCACCATGCCCTCGCAAGTGCAAGCGGACTTGACGGAGAGATTGGGTTGTCGATATAGCCAGGGGTTGTTGACGCTAACACGATCCTTTAACGACATTTTTTCCTAGCTTGTTTAGCGGCCACCACTGACAAGGTACGGAGCAACGATGATTCAAGTCACCTGGCTGCCCTGTCTCTTCGTCTGAGGTGCTAGCTCCAGCAAAAGTTTTTTTTCTTCGAACAAAGTTTGGATTAAAAAAGAAACCTCTCATCCGAAAATAGGAATCGTGATACTGTTTTTGCAAATCGTCTGTGTGCGGATTGACAACAACCACATGGGGCGCTACCACTCTCACGACCTCACAAAAAATGTCTGGATGCAACTCCACGTCCAGTCTGGTAAGAGATCGTCTGCACAGACGAGACGATGGTTGACAGGGCCCGACGGGAACGTCAAGAAACGCACCCAAGCACTGCATCCCGGTCCTATATCAGCCACATCTAAGCTGCCCCAAGCTCCGCTACAGCCGTCTGCGCGCGCAAAACCACAGCGCGCAACCCTGCCACCTGAAGCAGTCCAGCCTGGTCGAGGGTACACTTCGCGCGGCACGACTCCCACACCACTGCACTCAGTGTGTTTGACAATGACGTTTGAAACCGCGACCCCTGCCCTTCCCAAGCGACTGCATCTCGTCTTTTACGTGAACCGCTGTCCCATATCAGCCCTCTCTTAAGTTCAGCATCCAGGAACGGACCCAGTAATCACCGTTACAAGCCCCAGGTCAGCACCAAGCCAGCCACAGCTTTGCCCTCATTTCTGAAACCGACTTAACGTCGATTATCGCGTATAAGCTTATTCGTACACTGCGCTTGGCAGACGGCAAAGGGGGTTTCGTGTTAGGGGGCGTTAGGCAAGCTCGTGTAAGCCATGCCGCTCTCCCATGCCCGCCGCGAGCTCCGCCCATGCTGTTCCCAAGCCGCTCCCATGCTTGATACCTCCTCTCCGCCCCGGTTGAGTTGCATTGGGGGCATTCGAAGCAACTCATAATGGGGGGAGGTTCCTCGGTTCTGGGTCTGAGAGTTCGTGTGGTCTCTCCTCTTTTCTATTCTCAAGCTCTCTGGGAGAGTCATTACAACGTACGAACTGTTACGGCCTTTTATTTGTGTGTGGTGTTACTCGGATTTCCTTGGCTTAGTATCTTTATTCCTATTTTCTCTTTTCCTCTTCTCATACAGAGCTGGCTCGAATATCTGGTGCTGGACCACTTTATCACAATGGCCCCAATGGCGAGACCAAAGGCTATCTTCCAAAACCCTTCCCTTGGAAATGTGTAAGTCATCTTACCCCCCCCTTTAACACAAACAGCCTTAACAAGATAGCTGATCTCATCCCTCTACAGATCAGACGAAAATGACAACGTAGCTCGGGTATTTGTTGGCAGAGGCGAGAAGATGAAGGAGTTCCGCGTCAACAAGAAGATGCTCAGCAATGTTGCCCCTTTCTTCGAGGAGCAGCTAGATGCTACGCCGGCCGGCATCGTCAAGACGTCCGGCAAGCCCGTGCCAGTATGGCTGCCCCAACAAAACTCAACCATCCGCCTCCCGAACGAATCCGCCTCCATGTTCGAGCTCTTCGTCGTCTGGCTGCACCAGCGTGACGGCTTCCGCCGCCACCTCGACGAGATGATCACACTCGTCAGTGACGCCCCTGGCGTGCCGTGCCAGCGTCTGCACTGGGCTCTGGTCCGCCTCCACATCTTTGCTGCTCGTCTCGACCTGCATCACCTGCAGGACTTGGCCATCGATGGCATTCAAGACATATACCTCCGCTGCGACTGGGACGTCAACCCTTCGTTCGTCGATTACGTTTACGGGCAGTGTGACGCACAGGCAGCGATGAGACTTCGGCGGTGGACGGTGGCGATGGTGGCGTGGTCGGTCGCGGGCGGTTCGACATCGATCGTAAAGGATGACGGCGGGCTCGAGAGGTTCCAGGAAATGTTTGAGCGTTTTCCGGACTTCACCACCGACTACACGTCGCACCTCCGCAAGATGAAGTCAAGCAAGCTCGACACGCGCATCAAGAACCCTCAACTCCGCATCCCGGCCAACAAGCTCCGTAACGAGGAGCGACAGTTTGGCTTCCGACAGTGCTCGTTCCACAGCCACCGGGCCGCCGTCGGCGAGCGCAGGTGCCCCCATACCACCGCCAGCAGGGAGCTGGATAACTTCCTCCTGGTGCCGTTGGTCATGGAGGTGGCGCCGCAGCCGTCTCGCATCACTTCTCGTCGGGACGTATCACAACACCTGCGCCAAAAGGCGATGGCTCATACAGCGCAGGCGTGTTAGAAGTGTGATACGCAGTGGACCTTTTCCCAGGTGGACGTCCAACCGGCGAGGTCAACAATCGACACTGAAGAAAAAAAAAATAACCCTTTAAAACCCATCCATCACCCCCCCCCCAAAACTTTTAATCTTTCGGCTCGTCACTCGTCCATCGGTCCTCACAGATCCTCGGGATCACTACTTTGGATCTTAGGACACCCACTACCCATAAAGACGCCAAAACCATCCTCCGGCTTGGATGCCTGGCGGAAGGCGACGCGGCTACGTCCTGCGTCGGCCAGTTCAAAGACAAAGCTGCCGCCGCCGTCGCACCGGCCCAGGTCGATCATCTGCGTGCCTGGCCTGACCTTGACGGTGCCGAGAAGGTTTCGCTTCTGACGGACGGCGTCGTCGTCGGTGGCATCGGCAGGGACCTTGAACACCCGAAGGGTGGTGGCGCCCTCTCGCTGGATCAGTCCCCAGCTCTCCGAATCCTCGGGCATGGCAAAAACGAGTCTACAGTCAGTCGGCTCTGCTTCCAGAGAAGCGCCAAAGGTCACGAGCTGCGCGACCCTGTTCGCCTTGTTCCCTGCGTGAAGTTTGAGTATACCAGGGACGTATAGAAAAGAGAGCAACAGGGCCCACCCGGGACAAGTGGGGAAAAAAGGAACTCGTACCTGAGGCGTCAATATCTTGGTTGACGTAGAAAAAGGCAGACGGATCTTCCTGCTCAAAGGGCTGATCCTGCAAGAGCCAGGTCAGAGACGAGGGAGCCTCGAGGCGCGCGCATTCTGTCGAGTGTTGTTGCGGGTGGCTTGTCGCCTTGTCGAAGGCTGATCCGGCGACGGACAGGACGTGGGTGAGGACGACGCTTAGACGAGCCATTTTTGGATGTATATAGTTATATTACCCGGGGGGGAAATCTTAGTTTTTTTTTTTTTTTCTTCCTCCAATAAACACTACTTGTTATTGCTGGACGTTGGTTGCCGTTCCCTTTTAATATGTGTTGCCGTTGTCGTTGTCGTATTATATCCTGTCAGACTTGTGATTACACAGTGGGGTCGAAAGCTGTCGATGGTGATGTAGGCGTTAATAGTCGGTAAGACTGATGACAGACGACAGGAGGGGTGTAAACCGCTTTAGTATTATCCTCGGGGAAAGTCACAATTAAAAAAAAAAAAAAAAAAAAAAAAAAAAAGAGACGAGAGCGGGAGAAAGGTGTGGTGGTACGGCGTGTGACCACGATATTATAATCCAGAATGGGGGAGGGGGGAGGGGAGGCGGAGGGAAGGGAAGGGTAGGGAAGGGGACGAAGAAAACTGTAAGCAGCCGGGCGTTCGGTTCGGGGGTTTACACGCGAGCAAAAGAGGTGTGTGTATGTGTGTGTGTGACACCACCGAAAAAAGCTTGGACGGGCTTTTTTTTTCTTTGGTGCTGCTTGCTGGCTCTGGTCTGATCTCACCTGAAGGAGACTGACACCCCCCCGAATGACACGGCCTGTTTTGTTTATGGGGATCCGGTTAGGTGTGTTCTTTGCTTCCCTTTTAGTTGGTCCTTTATGGAAAGGAAAGGTAGTAAGTACAAGTAGCAAAGACGGTACAAGTAGGCGAAGACAGACGGCGGCACTTTTGGGGACCTCTTTTTTTTTTGCTGCTGCCATTCCCCAGCTTGTTGAGACCGGGGTTAACGTCCCATTGGTGCCCTCCCAAGGCGTAACGCAGTAACCTTTTTGTTTGCTGTTCACATTTCTTATTTCGGCATGTTACGTAGCTATGCTATGCTAGTCGAGCAGAAAACCCAATTGGAATAGGTGGATTGGGGGAGGGATGGATGGATGGATGGATTAGGGGCGCAGGCGGACGGGAACGGGGTGTAAGGGTACTAGTAAAGGTACATGGCAGGCAGCCATCAAGGGACCTGGAAGGGAGCTTTGTCTTTGCTTCTTTCGTCCATTTGGGGATCACTTTATTCGGGCCTCTCTTTCGGAATAAGGCCGTGGGTCTAATTATCTTTGGGTCTATTCTGTCCATGACGGGGACTAACCATGCCTTGCGGCTCACCTCTTTTTTTTTTTACGAGAGCGAAGGAGGGGAATTACACGAAGAGAGTGAAAGAGAGATGGACAGGGACGGGTCAGCCTTGGAGGGCCCTTGTCCAGCGTAAAGCTACGAAGCCTTAGCTCCAGTTATTTTAGCCCACCCTTGCTGGAGCTGTATCCAGCTAGGCTGGAGTAAATTTAAATAAAGGTGCTATTTGGGGGATGCAGACAGACGTTGACAGCTCTTTCGCGCCTTTTCCCGCGCGTTTGGGTTCTGCGGTTCGGGTGCGATCCGGGTGTGGTCGTTTTTTTTTTTTTTTTTTTTTTTTTTTTTGGCGTTTACCGTTTCGTATCGTTTACGAATGGAGAACGAGAGTTTGACGGGTGTTTGTTTCCACTCCGACTTCCGTCTCTATGTCTCCATGCGAGATAGGGATGTTTCTTTCGACAGATTTCTTGAGTGATGTAATATCTCCCTTTCATGAGGTAAGACGACGCTGCTTTCAGGCCACTTCGCCTTGGAAGCAAGACTTACCAGCACTCCTCGCAGTAGTTGAACAACACGCCAAGGCCAGTAGCAGCATGGAGAACGAACCCCGCTGAGGCTCGGGTATGACGGCGCTCGTAGGGTGCTTTGGTTCGGGGGGGCCTGGGAACAAAAAAACGACGGGGGTTTCCCTCCGACTTTGCTGGGGGTCCCGGTTTCCACCCCCCTTACTTTAGCTGAGAGGCCCTCCCTCTTCCAGGGGAGAAGGCCCTCCTTCAAAAGGGAAATTTCCACTGGTGGTGCCCTATGAGCGGAGGGGCCCCTTGCTAAGGGCCCGCCGAGTTGGGTTTGTCCACTACTATGTCCGTAGTAGGCGACTATGTTATACGAGGAGAGAACGACAAAAGAGAACGTAGATCATTTCTCTCTGCTCATTGAAGACGGGGCTTGCCCGTGCTGCTGCTATTATTACTCAGACGGGCCCCTCTATCCCATATTCAATCTCATCAAAATGGTAGCAGGCCTTATACTAGTTTCTCTTCCATTTTCTCTAAGCTGCCTTTGTAGGTGGGTTTACAGGGTCTTGAAAGGACGGGTCAGAGTACCAAGACCTCTCGGCCGGCTACGTCGGATCTTTGTATAGGTGTCTGTATACTGCACTACATTGTATGCACTACGTAGTAAGTGTGCAAGGGATTGTCGTCGGGCTACCAATTGTCACGCGCTCCCCGCGGAATTGGGGAGATTCGGGCATTTGTGCCCGCTTTTCGACGCAGGGGAGTTAGGGAACCTTGGTCCCCCTGTAGCGTCTTGGGGGGAGACGGTTCAATTTGGGGAAATGTCCAGCGTGACCACCGCTGTTGGTTCCCTCGCTGAATACGCCTTGGCTACGGGTACTACATAGTAGTATACGTAGTACACAGCCAGCAAAGCCGGGCGTAGCCTGAGCCTTGTCGAGAGGCACAGCCAGCACAGCGCAATAATGGATGACCGCTGCCCTCGTCTGTTACCCGATGAGGCCAAGAGCCTCCGGGGACATGTTCATTTACATAATTAACCATAAAATAATGCCCTGATGCTCAAGAGGATGATGTAACCGGTGCAGATCCATTCAAGCCACGGCTCGCCCTGATCGATCGGACTCTGGGGAAAAAAAAAGTGCAAAACGACGGACTGAGAAAGCTACGGCCGTGCTGAGGATGCCAGGTATAGCTATAGCAAAGCTGAACCAATTGTTAATTGGCCAATTGCAACAAGTCTCAAGCCAACGCCGGACTCACCTCATACTATGTAGACCAGACCAGACTACCGGTACTGGTAGACCACAGCTAACACAGCTCAGGGAGCTCCCACTGTTAGTTCCGCCAGCGCCATAATTTACACATTTCCCGTAACTTATCCGGTAAGGCAAAGCATGTCAAAATACTGCTACTATCCACATCTCGGCCGGGCACGCCGCGCTCCACTCCGTCGTCCAGCAAGGGCAAAAGAAAAAAAAAAAAAAAAAAAAAAAGAGTATCTATCGGCTCTCTCGGGATCCGGTCGCGCTCACGTTACCTCTTACAGCCCCCGAACGGAGGGAAAACTCTACTTTCTACTAATACAACCTACGTCACGCCAGCATCCGCAGAATTTCAAATTGGCCGGCCGCCGCTCTCGATTTCTGACTTTTTGATGCGAAACGACCGCCGGGACGGGGGGGAACGGAACGAAACGAAACTCTCCATTCCTCACGTTCAAACCTTTTACGATGCCGAACTCGTGGGGGGGGGGGGGGGGGGGGGGGTAAGCAAAGCAGTTTCCAGGCCGCCAAAGGGACGGGGAACGCGTGGATGGAAAATGAGACAGCAATGGTCTGGATTCCTCAAAATTCGCTTTTTTTTTTTTTTTTTTTTTTTTTTTCCCTCTTCCCCCTGCCCTTGGCGTCCGTCGGATATCCGACTCGTTTCGAGCATCCGAACCGCCCAACTGGATGGATGTCTTCCTTTTTTTTTTGAGCGTCCGGGATTCGCAAGTGCATTTCTCACCTCATTTCTCAAAACACGATGCCGCGCAAGCAGGACAGGGCATTCCTCCGTCTGGGCGTTTTTTTTCGCTCTCTTATCGGCCGAGTGGTCTTCCAAAGGAAACACGCTTCTTACTCCTGACTAGAGTTCCCCGTTGTAAAAGGCTCATCTTTCGAGGTGTGTAAATCGGATATTGGCAGACGCAAACCACGATTCCCTGCGTCACTCATCAAAGGCAACCAGCGATAGTTAAGCATTTAACCGCCAGAATTCAAACACGAAATGAAAGGAGACATAAAATCCTCCCTACGCACGCCAGTGCGCCAAAAACAGGAAACCCAAAGACGCACGAGAAGAAATCAAGTACTACGTGGTAGTAGTAGAACGCGTGCCCGAGTCTCACACTCCCGGCAAAACTAAACCCGCGTCCATCCAGCGCTCGTTCCCAAGCGCGATTTATTCCACAAAAAAAAAAAGGTGAACAGCTTGGCAATGCCTTGAATCTCAGACGCAAGTCACCGAAAACAGAATCATCGATCCGATTTAAACCGCACGTGAAGTGGTCGATGCACACACACACACACACACACACACACACACACACACACACACACACAGACAGACCAAAACCCATCAGGATCCAAGGAAATATAAAGAACAATGTACAACAGAAAAAAAAAAAAAGGGAGGGGCTGGTCTTCTTCTTCTTCCCTCCAAATCTCCGCATCGCGTCGCGGGCTCCTTGCATTAATAAGACGCAGCAATGGTCACCACACGTCCGCGTCTAGGCCGCTCATGATAGGCCCAGCCACCCTCCCGCGACGTGCTCTACCGCCGAATCATCGCGTGCGGGCACGACGACATGCCGATCGTCGCGTGCGGCGACTTTGCTTTTCGAGGGCGCCAGACGTCCATCTGACGACCGTCCTGCGTCAATTGACGTACGAGACATCTCACGTAAGAGAAGTTGGGCCGTCTTGCAGACTGCCTAAATATCACACTACTCCAGCTCGTTCATACGCATCCCTCTCAGTACTCATTGAATTGAATCTCTCTTTCTTTCATTTCTTGACTTCCTCTCTAAAGGAACTTTTTTTTCTTTTCTTAAATCACTCGACAAAACCGTCGGGGCCTCAGAAGAGTCCGCCGGTCTGTCAATAATTACACGTAACAAAGGGGAATAGTAGGAGAAGAAAAAAGATCCAAAACCAAGAAAACGTTGACATCCCCTTTGGGAATCCCTTTGGGCGTCGTTTCATCATGTCCATCGTCATGGTTCTCATAACTGGAAATCGGCTGGCTAGCCAAGAACAAATGGGGATGACGTCCATGTCGCACACCATCTCAAGCAAAGTGGAATTAGTCCTCCAAACCTGGAGGATTCCGTCCCCTCGATATGTGAAGCAAAATGTGTCCGCGAGAAGTGAAATGTAGAAAAAAAAATAAGGAAACCATCATCAGAACGTGCTGTCGTCTATGTACCGTTGAGGGGTATGTCCTTGCATGAGCCTGTCCGCATGGGTATCGGGCAGACGGCTCGCTTGAACTCATAAAGTCGTCAGACAATAACGGGGCGTCACAAATATACAAAGAAAATGGTGTCACTTAAAAGGGCGATTCTGACCGGCGGCGATTGCTGTCGCGCCGTCTGAACTCCCTGAGACGGTCGTCAATATAAGCCAGGCGGTTGGCCAGGTTCCGAGGCGGAGCTGTTCCACCATCCACAGATTGTTGCACCGTCGCAAATGGACGGCGAATGGTTCCATGCTCAAGCTCCTCCGGTTGCGTGAACCGGTTGGGGAATGAGAAACTCGTCTGTGACCCGGGGAACGGCGAGCCAAGACGTGCTGGTGGCGCGCTGGGAGGGGCCAACGATGGCCCCGTGGGGTCAGGCCGCGCCGAAGGTATCGGTATCGGCGCGGTAAAAAGTCCCGAAAGGCTCGTCCGGGGCACGAAAAGATCATCATGCACGTTGCTGTTCGTTGAGCTGAACTCAATTTCAGGCCGGAGAGGAGTCTTGGGAGCGTCGTCGAATGGACTCGGCTCGGCCCAGAGGTCTGAGCCGAGACTCGGTCGCTTCGTCTTGCGCGGCTCATGGGTCGCCACCCGCGGTCTCCCGATCCGCTTCTGTGTGTTGGATCGGCTTCTGGTCAAGCGCGCCGGGGACTGAAGGGTGGTGCGCCGGTGGCCGAGGCTCTGGTTTTGCCTCTGTGGCATGGAGGATATCGCAGCAGAGAGTGCTCCGCTTGAGCTGGGTCCGTAGCTGTTGGCCATAAAAGGTGAGCCGAGTCGTGGACGCTCATCCACAGGTACGTCAAGGCTGGATAAATCCACCGGAAGTGGAGGAAACGGCTCCGTCATTGGTTCCTCGACAGGTTCCGGGGTTGACTTTGTAAGCTGTGCCAGAGGGCCCTGGGGTTGCATGGCCTCCGAGGTGCTTATTGTAAGCGACATTGACATGTCGTGTGCCGAAAAGACGGAGGGAGATCGGGCCGGCGTGGATTTCCGGTTCCAGTACCTTGTAGCGGTCCGCCCAAACGGCGTCGGGCTATTGGGAAGGAATTGGCTTTTCCGGGCCGATGAGGAGGCCGCTTTAAGTTTGCAGAGATCCCTCAGGTGCGCTCGAGTGGCTGCGCAAGTGTGTGGCCACTGTAAAAAGGTGCATGCACCTTCAACCGTGGGGGTGTTGCTTCCACTTTTTGGGTTCAGTGACTTCCTTGCGCCCTTGGGACCTCTCCAGCTCCTCTTTGCTTCCCTCGCGACGCGGAGACAGACCCCGTGGGGAGGGATGCAGCTTTTGCCGGTGCGAAATGGGGTAACTTTAGGGTCCTGTAGATACATGAGGTAGGTTGCCCATAGATGATCGTTCATAGCTTTCGTCCAAGGAGCCTTCCTTCTCTTCCCCTTTACTTTGGCTGGCTTTTCGACCACTTCATCAGCAGTCTCCGAGAAGGCGCGATTGAAATGGTCCGAGGCTTCAGTCTCAGGGCTGATGCACTGCAAGTCTTCAGATGTCAGGGAGAATCGGCTGAAAATGGAAGCGCTGGTCTGGGTGGACCGTGCTGTTGACGGCCGGCTCGATTCGCATTCTGGGGTCGACTCGCCACTACTGAAGGCAGAGTCGATGGACCAGTTAGGATATCGCCTAGGGGATAATGAGGGAGCGGCGCCGGGTGCTGGCGTCTTGGGTGGAGAAAATCGTCTGCCGCGAATTTTCTGTATCCCGATATCCTCCAAGTCCTTGAGGTTGTGAATAACCGGATATGTCATGCTGGATATGTGCATGTTTCCACCAGGTGCTTCTGGTTCTTCGATGCTCGGAATCGGCACATCAGCGGTAGCGACAGACGCGAGGAACTGGCTTGTTGGGGCGGTCAAGTTGGAGGCGACGCGCCTTTTCAGTTTGAACCGTGGACGCGGCGGTGAGGGTGGCTGCAGTTCCTCGTTCGAAGCGGATGGCTCCGGTGTTTTGGGGTCCTGCAGATCTGGATCATGATAGCGGAAGCCTTTTGGCAGTGTCGCCGCTCCGGAATGTTGAGAAGTCATTCTGCTAGTAACACGAGTGACTTTGGCACGCGACGGCCTTTGAGAAAATGCCAACGGCGGCGGAGCTCCGAGGGATGGGGGCGGTTGATGGATGTCCGGCGCCGAGAACAAAGACGACGCGTCCCTTGAACCTGTCTTTGTGGCTGTACTTCGAGACAGGTTGGAATTTTTACCCCTTCAAAGGCTCGTGTGAGAGAGCGCGTGGTACGACCTTAGGCCAAGACGATCTTAACAACACTCAATGCTAATGTCGCAAGTTGCGCGCGCGGAATTTTTTTATTCGCACAACACGTCAACCAAAGATGCCAGGTCTCGTGCCGACTGGACGAGGTAAATTCTGACGGATAACAATAGGCGCTCAACCAAGTGGGAATAAGATATGCGTAGACCTCGTCTGGGTTCGAGGTCTTGACAATGCAGCACACTCTTAGGGTAATTATCCGAAGAAAAAAGAAGAAGAAAAGAGAAAAAGAAAACGTCGCTTCGTTGTCGTCGTTTCGTGTTGGGGTTCGTGGTTTAAGTCGTAGATATCGGTGTCGCAAGCGCAAAACTAGCGCAACGCTGTTTGGATCAAGGAAAAGATTCGTGGCGGCGAGCCGAACAGACGTATATCGTCGTCAACTTGGTGGTGAATGGCTCGTAATCGTAGATTTGTCGGGCGGGAATCGCAGCGCGCCCCCACCACCGAGGACGGCTGATACTTGCGAAAGGAACGACTGTGGTGAAGAAAAGGGTGGGAGGAGGAAGATCGGAGCGGCTTGGGTTGAGGCGGACCGGTGTAGTATGTATGGCAGCTCCAGACGGTGGGCGGGGTGGAGAAGAGAAGAGCGGGTGGCGCGAACCTTGCACTGGGATGCCGGGGCAGGGCAAGACGCAAGATACGAATGGGAGGAAACCTGTGCCTGCGCCTGGGCCTGAGCTTGTGCCTGAGGGTTGCAGCGAGAAGTATCCGTAGCGAGGTCTTTGGGGGGCCCGAAGGTACCTCAGAGTGAAATGGGGTTCACACTGCTTGTTAAACCACCGTGCAGACTACAGCGTGGTGGCCCGGGGGGGGGGGGCAGTTGTACAGCGGTTGAGTGCGCTAGAATCCCCCACCAGGCTAAGCCCAAGGGAACCTAGTTATGCGGTCCAAAGTGACTGACAGTGGAGTGTCTATGAGTGACGGACCAGCGATAGTGCCAGATAGGTCCAGAAGCTCAACAGCACATGTGGCAGGGTGGAGTCTCGGGCGAGTGTAGTGATGGTCTCCTTGTCCGCAGAGAGGACCCTGAAGATGTGCGGTGAGGTGCGTTGAGGTGTGAAGCGCTCGTAGAGGGAGGGGACTGTTAGGGTGCTGTCTGCCACCGGGACTGGGTCCGGCTGAAGTGGCTCGTTCAAGACTCCTCACTTCTTCACAGGGATAGTAGAGGCCCTCCAAAAGGAACTTGGCAGCGGGCGTGGGATGGGTGTCGGTGATTGCAGGAGGCGCATGCACTCCGTATGCACTGTGTTGCGTGGTGTAGCCAGTTGACGGACACGACAGGAGCGCATGTGCAGCGGATCATGGAGCTGTGGGCGACGAGGGTTTAGAGTCCGGACGAGCGAGCATAGCAAAGCAAAGCAAAGCAAAGTTCTGAACTCCCGTTGGCCGATTTGATCGTTCGCAGGTGCAAGGCAAGGTACGACGCGCGCAGAGTCTGGGAAGCGCGCCGAGCCAAGGATTGGGTTGGTCGAGGCCAGTCAGCCAGAGCAGGCCCCCGCGGTGCTGATGACGGAGGTATCAACAATAGCAAACAAACCACTGGCCCTTCCTGGTTGACAGGCGACGCAGCAGACTTAGCAGGTGCAGTGGACAATAAACAAATACCGCGACGAGCTGGAATCAATCAGACGGCTGATCCGACAAACGAGGAAACGGGCCACTTGGACAAGGTGATCTGGAAATCCGGACAGACACTGGCAGTGGAGTTTCCGAGACGGTCAGGTTGCTTGGTTGGTGGGGCGGTGAGACAAGAAACCAGATGATGCTGGCAGCTGGATGTGCGTGCAGGTTCGTGCTCTCTCTCTCTCTTTCTCTCGCTCTCTTTTGCACTGGGATAGGGCGCGTTTGCCCTGTCGTGATTGCCCTTACGGGATTGCTCTTTGGTTTAAAGCCTGTCTTGTGGTTTACGCTCGGCCGTTGGGGCCGGGGCCCGGGAAACGCAAGAGGCTGGGTTCTTCGTATGCAGTCGACAGGCCTGTTCGCGCCAGGTCGTTCGTTCTTGGGACGAACAGACTCGCAACGTGCAGCGAGTGAGCGGTTAACAAGCCACAAAGTGATGGGCCGGGTGGGTAGTAATGTTGCCGGTGGTTTGAAGTCGGAAGTTATCGATTGTGAATCGGCGAGACACAGTCTCAAAAGAGCGTGGATATTTGATTCAGAGCAACACCCATCAGAAAGAGCGGGAGCGGGACGAGCAGAGAAAAAGAAAGCAGAATTCGAAAAAGGAACGAAGCGGTTGTGATTTGCAATGTCAGCTAAGGTGGAACTAGACAACAACAGATGAGGCCCAGGATGCAGGATTACTACTAGATGTCGGTGAGAGTCAAGGTGAGTACGGAGTACAGCGAGAGCGGGCAACGACTCATGGCATCACAATTGTGGGCAGTGACGTCCATCAAAATGGAAAGATACATCGGCGGGGTGTCCTCACAGCAAAAGGGAAGGATGATGGAACCAAATTGATGTGATCCGTGCGAGCCGTGAAAAATTTCTTACGTTTGATGCCCAGCTGGAGGTGGAAAAGTCGCGACGAGAACGCGACTTAAACGCGTCGACGCGATTTTAGTGGAGTCGCTTAATATATGGGTCAGATAGTATCTGCTTCTTCTGATTGGAAGCTGGGACTAGTCTGTGTGTACAGAGTACGTACAGTACACTATGTGCGTGTCTGTGTTTGTGAGCTCCGGGCAGGTCCAGGTCCAGGACCGGGCCACACACCACAGGCTTTTCATGGTTGAATTGGGAAAGCAGCTTCCCGTCTGATAGCCCAGTGCTGTGCTCTTTCCTTGTTCCCTCCAAACTTGAGTATCTGGGGGCGCAGAAGGTGCGCATGAGCATGCCATGCAATTATTACTGGCAGGCGCGGTTGTGCCCGGCCCGGTGGGGAGGAACGAAGAGAGAACCTCCTCTCCATTTACTCCATTTACTCCATTTACTCCTCCTACCTTGTTAACATGTCAAGTTCAACAGCTGCTGAGAACTACCATTTTCAACTTCAGTCACTGATTGTAACCTGGGAAGAGATCTAGATATTTTTATTTATCCCTACAGTCAAGACACAATTGGCGACTTCCGACTAGGATACTAATGGCGACAGTCTGTGCTATTCAGGTGTCCGGCCTTTGAAGCTACCAACCGACATGGGCCATGAAGTCAATTCCTCCCAGCACCAACTAAACTACAACAGGCCTTACATGTCACAAACGCTTAGCAGTTGAGAAACGGATCACGGACTATACCAATACGAGCCTCGCGGTTCGCGCGAGACCACGAACTATATCCAAACTGCGCTGCATTGCGTTGTGTTGCGCTGCTTTCTCCCCCTTCACCCCCTGTTCTTTTGCCCGCTATTCGCAGCCATGCCGCTTGATGTTGAGCCAATCGAAGCACAACATGGCGCATTCGCCGGTTCTCAATGCCTGCTTCGGTCTGCACGACAATGGGGTCTTGATGCGGTGAGCCCTTTCTGGGATGGGTTCACCATAGACTTGTCCAGCTGTCCATCGCCCAAGCATCCTGCCCTATTTAGTAAGTAGACTGCCGCCAACCATCCTTGCTGCAAGCACACCGTCCAGAATGCCGTCTGATACTCCCTACTCATGAACCTCTGTGGCTGTCAACCAGGTTGAGCCTGGCTCTGGCACCGCAGGAAGTAGCAAGGAGGGCCCGCCGCAATGATCAGCAAGATCCGCAAAAATGCAAGGACTGCTGCCTTCATGCGAAGATTATGCTCTCTGCCGCTCTACGTCTGGGGCAATCGGCACTCGTTGACAGGATCACTCTAAGTGAGATCTTGCCTGCCTTTAGCTCACGGTCTTGTATTTGTCAATTTTTTTTTCCCCGTCTTGGCTTTAACTCAGCACCGTTCTCTAGAGCTGTGTTATCTCGTGCTCAGCATTACGAAGCAGCTCAATTGAGTCAAACGAAACGGCCGGGAAGACACAGCAACGGGACACCACAGCACTGGCCGGTATTGAAACCTACGAATCACTCATGAGGACCAATCAAAATATGTTACCACCACCCCCCTGCGCTTTGCGGTGTTCAACGTCGCTTTGAGATGCAGGCGGCATACTATGTACTAGAACCAAAGATGTTCTGATGCTGCAAGGCCGAGCATGGCATTCCCTGGCAGAGTTTGCGCACAAGAGCGGGTAGGTTACATTCAGTAAATAATTGCAGTTAGATGGCTACCCTGTGAGCAGGGCCGTGAAATCTTGAACGTCTGTCAATCGAAATAACGTCTCAGTACCAAGATTGAGACAGTAGCAGAATGAACAGCTTGACCTACAGGGTCACAGAACCCCACTCCTGTCCAATGGACTTCTCGACATTCCTCTCTGTCAACCTGTCTGTCCGAGAGGATCAAAGCCAGTTTCCATGCGAGTTCAGTACAGCTCTACATGTCGTTTATAGGACGTACACTCCATCACTGATGCGCAGTCAGTGGGATTGGGCAGCTTAGTGAGCGCCGACGCTTGAAGATATTGGATAACTCATGTTGATCTAGATTGAGCTCGGCAGATCAGAGCCGCAACTTACTTGTCTGAGCGACAGCTTAAATTGCGGCTTCATGTTGTGGCCCCGTCAAGTGGTGGTGCCAGCTTAAAGAACGCCGACGAAAGATAGCCCTTGAGCTAGCAGTCTTTTAGCTACGCTATCACCAATCCTATCCCTTCAATGTCTGTCGATCCACGCCATGCCTTTCCAAGAACGACAGTTTGCGCCACATTTTTCCTACTTCAAGCCATGGTGAAGCTTTCCATTCCAGGCGCTTCGCCCTGGACGAGCTGAACATCTCCTTTGATGTCCTTCTACTCCTCCCCGTGTGACTGATGTCTGCTCATGCTTTCTCATCACGGTAATTCGGCTGCATCACCATAGGTTCACCATGCTCGGCTCAGTGTCTGCCAACCAGCTTGCGAAGATCGTGGGCCCATTCCTTTTTATCGCTTGGTCGGTTTGGTATTTGGGAATCACTCGCCAGGAGATTCAAGAGGTCACTCGCAAGTTTCGTGCGCAAAGGAACCTGTTCATCGAGGACTTCCTCGAGCACGAAATCGACGGCAAATTCGATGGCGGAGCTATCAGCAATCTCTGCGCCACCCGTAAATGGACGCCCGGCTTGATTATGAGCTGCGACTCGGCACACGCGGGATTAGGTGTTGTGCGAAATGCCTGCTTACATTGTATTCGTTTTGCCATTGAGGCTGGAGGTAAGAAACACTGCGTCCAAGACGCGCGATCAGTCTTTGACAATGCAATAGCCGAGTTGGTTCTTCCGGAAATCGTGCCTCGTTCGGAGGATAACCTCAAAGATATCGTATCGAAGCCTGCCGTCCCCCTCGACCACTTTTTCGACGCTGATCACCTACACTATGTGCTCTCGACCTACTGCCCGCAACTGAAGGTGTACAATTCGTTCAACGACCTCTACAATGTCCCCCAAGTCGCCAATGCCATCGAGTTTATAATACCGGACCTGAACACTGACTGGGTTAACGGTACAGTGCTGGCAAACCCGAAGGGTTGGAACCAGCAGTTCCATACGTACTTGGACCGGAAGTCGCCTCCTAAGGACAGGGAGTGGCCTCTTCGCGTGCACTTGAAGCACACACGTTGGGTGTGGCCAACTGCGAATGATACGGCCGCGGTAGCCTCGTCATTTGGACGCATTTTGCGCATTCGAGAAGACGCTCGACGACTCGCGGCGTCGGCGCTCTTCTCGCTTGCGCTACGCTTCAGACTTAACATCGACCCTCGTACGCGATACCACCCAGAGAGTTTCGTGGGGATTCATCTGCGCACTGATGAGGATGTCAGTGAGGGCTTTCCAGACTACATAACGCAGGCGGCGGATTACTTTCACTTCCTATCAGACGCAAATGCCCCCGTGGCCTTCCTGGCATCCGGAGCGACACCAGCCAACATTACAGCTTTTACGCGACGTGCCGAGGATTTCAATGTGAAAGTCGTGACCAAGAGAGACATTCTCGACGAGGAGGAACTGAAAGTACTGGAGGGATTCACCTGGGATCAGCGCAGCCTGGTTGACTACGAGATCATGTTGAGAGCCGGGCTGGTGGCAGGCGTGAGTGGGAGTAGTTTTGCGTGGAACCTGGCACTAAGGCGATCATATGCGTTCGGGTCGGGCCCGACAGCGGTGCCGCATCCGATAGGGAGCACAATTGCGTGGAAAGACCAGTTCACTACGCTGTATGGGAAGCACGAGGAGCATGAGAACGCGATGAGGGCGACAATATGGCCATGACGCAAGACCAACAGACTTGATTTCCAATGATTTTTTTTTTTTTTTTTTTTTTTTTTTTTTTTTTTTTTTTTGGGTTCACAAAAGAGTGATATGCAGTACACATGTAAGCGCCGGCTTAGGTACTTGGCTAAATGCTTACGTTGGTTCATCGGCGTCTGTCACGTACCATCTGCATGCAAGAGATAGCATATCTGGTCGCCTCATGTCAGCCAGAACGTCGGTCGCCCCAAAAGACTGGTGCGTGAAACCCTGTCCAAGTAGATGACAGTCTTGTCCAGCCTCGAGGTCCAACCGACCCCGTTTTCGACAATATGACTTGTCATCGACCCTTTGCTGAGAATCGGAGCACAAACCCCTCACTTCTGTGGAATTAATTCTCGTGCTTGGGGAGTATTTGCCGACGTAGCCCGTATGAGCCCGCTTGGCCCGGCGGGAAAACCTCACCGGGCGGAAATCGGGGTCTTCATTGGCCGCATTATCGCCGTCCACTCGGCTCATGGAGAAAGGGGGGCTCTGGCTGTGTGTAACGGAAGAGTAAATGGAAGAAGGCAGAGAGGCACAGAGAAGGGGGGAGGGGGGGGGAACAGAGACAGAGAGAGAGAGTGAGAGGGAGGGAGACTCGGAGACCAACACTGCTATGCAGCAACATGTCCATAACTTGGAGCCCCTCGCCCCTCCACCGTCGTCAATGAGGGCTGGCAGGTTGCGACCGTGGCTGACCCGCATGGGAGAGATATGCATCCGCCTGCAGACGAGGTGCATCTTGTGTAGCCCAGGCGTCAGTCAGTTGTTCCGTCACGCGACCCCTCATTCACTCTTACTCCAAACCTAGCGGCTCCAGAGGGAGGGCGAAGGAGATGATTCATATTTTTTTGCACGAGAGGTTGGTTTTGTATGGCAAAGGAGAGCCAAGACCTGTTTGGGCTCGGTTCGGCAGATGGGCGATGCGGTGTAAGCAGTAAAACTGGCGGAACAAGATCCGTCTGCCTGTTTCTGTGTGTATGTGTGTGTATGTGTGCTGTCTGTCTGTCTATCGCTGCCTGCCTGCTTGCCTGTCTGGTCTGTATGTCCGTTTCGGCGTTGGAGGGGTTGACTGATTTGAGAGGTGGTGAAAGTGGGGGGGGAGACTTTGCACTTTGCCCCGCGGCTCCAGGGTTTTGGCTACGATGCGCATCATTGTTTGCGTCTAACTAGTGGCCTCGCTGCATTTGCCTTGCCTGGGTCTAGGATACCTTAGATGCGGCCTTTTCTTTTTTCTTCTTTTTTTTTTTTTTGTTTTTTTTTTCTCTCTCTTGTGTTTCTTTCTGTAGTTCTCAGAGCCTCTCCTCGGCTTGCTTGTTTGCCTGCCTGGCTTCACGTGGGTGTCTGCCCTCGCCCTCCTCAAAGCTTCCAACAAGTATATTAGGTTAGGCTGTTTCCAAAGGTTCCCAAAAGGACAGACACCCTGCTCCCCCCCTTTGGACGGACACGCCTTAGTTGTTGTAGCAGTCAGTGGGTTCTGGGCCTTCCTGCCTGCCTTGCTACTGTTCTACTAGTAGTCGCTGATATCCACTAACTGGTGCAACTGCCCCATTTCTCCCCTCGTCTCTTTCCACTCTCCAACGTTGACAAACATCCATCACCAAATCTCGTGATCTTCCTGCATACATACACATTCTCTCTCTCACACATACATATACATACATATATATATATATATATATATATATATGTCTCTTCACATATACCCATACATATATCGCTCTCCACACAGATAACCGAACGAACAAACAAATCGAAAAACGCACCGACGGGAGTCAGATGTCGGCAGCCGACATCCCGTGATTATTCCTCTGCACAACCTCCTCGATCAAACATCCGAAAATACTACCCCATCCCCGGCTCTGGCCATGGCTTCCAGCTCTGACATCATAACGCTTGACAACTTTGAGCAGCGACTGCCAAGATGGGATCCCGCAGGTCCAAATCACCTATATGCGCTTGTTGATATGGGCAGGTTAGTCAGATTTCTTCAAGTCCAAATTGCTTTTTCCCGTCGCTTCTTCCCTCTGGGTCGTTCTCTTTGCTTTTTTTCTTCTCCTTTCGGGGGGGTAGATGACCCCTCGATGCTACCCCCCAAAGCTCCCCCCCCCCCCCTCCCCTCCCCCAAACATTTCCGCTGGACCAATGCTCTAGCCACTGACATAGGCGGCCGCCGCCCCCGCAGTAATGGCATCCGCTTCTCCATCTCGGACCTGACCCCGCCCCAAACCCGACTCCTCCGGCCCATATACCGCGAGCGCGCCGGTATCTCCCTTTTCGACGCCCTCAATTCCTCGTCGACTGCCGCCTCTGAGCCGTTATATTTTCCTCCCGAAACTATCACAAAGGTCGCCGAGACATTGGCCCGTTTCCGCCGCATTGCCGATTCCTATGGCGTCCCTCCCGCCCACTTCTCCGTGCTGGCCACAGAAGCCATGCGCCGTGCCGCAAATGCGGCAGATATGCTCAAGGCCATCCGCGAGGCAGCCAACATTGGTGTTCATGTGCTCGCTCCGGAGGTTGAGACCCTCTTTGGGGCCGTGATGGGATCGCGGTCTGCATTTGTCGACATTTCCCGTGGTGGACTGTTCCTCGATCTTGGCGGCGGATCAGTGCAGATGACCTGGGTTGATACCCGACTACCCGACTATGAGATTGCTGCCGCTTTGGCCGGAGAGAGCATGCCCTTTGGCGCCGCTAGGTTGATCCGCATCCTAGAGGGGCAGTCGGAGGAGGTTCAAACACTGGAAAAGGAGAAACTGAACGCAAGCATGCAGAGCGCCTTCGCTAAGCTATGTGACAAGTTCCCTGCCCTGGCGCAAGCAAAGGAGGAATGGGCGGCGGCAGGAGGGGTCGTGAACGGGATCGTCCCTGGCGGCATCGACGCCTACCTTTGCGGTGGTGGCTTCAGGGGTTACGGGTGCATGCTCCAGCATAACGATCCAATTCAGCCGTACCCGATCCCGTCGGTAGGGACTTACACGGTGACGGGCGAGTTTTTCAAACAGACCAAAAAGATGCGCCGCGTCAACCACGAGTACCCGGGCAAGATCTACGGCATCTCGAATCGCCGACGACAACAATTCCCAGCCATCATTGAGGTCGTCGAGGCCTTCATCCGTACCGTTCCACACCTGCGTACCGTCACCTTTTGTGGCGGCTCCAACCGTGATGGTGCGCTGCTGATGAAGCTACCCAAGAGCGTTCGGGAAAGCAACCCCCTCGAAGCTCTCGCTGGCTTCCCCATTCAGGGGACGTCCCCAGATGGGGCGCTGACCGTCGCTCAGGCGGTGCTGAAGACTCTGTATGGTGCTGTGCCTGTCAACGTCGACATCTCGCGCACACCGACCGTGTTCTCGCTTGGCTTGGGGCCGCTTTTCGCGAAGCAGATATGGATTCATCAGGGTGAGGACGACGACGCGAATGCTTCGTATGCGCTGCACGAGACCGTCACGCGGGATCCCAGCGCGCCCGGGTTGACGCACCTTGCGCGTGCCGTGCTGGGGCTGACGGTCTGCGCGAGATGGGGGTCGAATCTGGGACCGATTGACGCGCAGCTGTATGGTAATCTGAAGGGGCTCGTGGCGGAAGCCAAGCCAGAGAGCGTGTTTTGGGCCGAGTATCTCGGCGCCGTCGCGGCTGTTATTGTGGATTTGGTGCCGGCTTGGCCCAGCAGCGTGGAGGAGCTGGAGTCGACTCTAAAGTATGCACCCTTTCATCCGAAGCCTTTCGAACAGGTGGTAACGTTACTAACAATGTCAGATTCGAGACCACCCAGACAGTGGACCCCGAGAAGAAGCGGGCAAGAATCGACCTGACCATCCACGTAGCGCCCGGCGCCACCGTAGGCATAAATCCCGAGGACGTTATGGGCCGGCTGGCGAACGTGGGGAAGAAGCGGAAGGACGGCACGAAGCCGGAGAAGAGGGTCACGGTCAGGATCCAGGAGATGAAGTAGTTGGTGACCTTGATGAAGATACCCCCTGTGAACCTCTTGGTCTGTAGTCCTAATGAGTCGCATTCGCTTGTTGACTGCTTGATCTTCAGCAATTCTTGCGAGTGAATTGTGGACATGGTTGCGTGTGCTCAAGTAAACATGCTGATGAAAAGCGGTTCTTGCGCTCATGGATTGTGAGTTGCGAGTGCGGTCGAGGTGATTCTGGAGCAGGTATAATGGTGATAGGGCGAGCGTCCGATGCTGGTGCGAGAAGTCAGTCTGATTGTGACAGTAGTCGTAACGAGAGGTTTCGTTGTATCGCCAACTGCCTCGAGTGCAACCGAAGCAAGATGGCTGTTGAAGAATAGTTCTTGAGCAAAATTCTGGGCTGGCGGTGTCGTGCCGAACAGCGTCGTGTCGAATGGCGTTGCGTAGAATGATACCGCTAGTAGTGAACTGCGCTATGGCAAGATGAAATTATAACTTCTACTATGTTATGGATGTCCCCAGAGGAAACTAGTATTTTACGTTAGAAAATGGTAGCAACCAGCGTTGTTGAGTGCTCTTTGTTTCATTTGGCCAAAATGTGATTAATCTGGCCGCGAATTATGATACTACGAGGCGGCGTGTGCAGTGATGCAGTGGCCGGCAGCCACGATCTCTTGTGAAGCAACGGCAACCGAATGTATAAGTACCCTCGTACTTTTCACTCTTCTTGAGAATATCGAGAATCAAAAACAGGACAATCCCAACTTGGACCTACACTGATCCAACCTGTCACGAACATAATACCTGGTTCCCTACTATCTGCGAGCGTGTCTTCAACACAATCAAGCAGGAAACTAGAATGAATCGCAAACCCTCCGCACAAAGACCCACGACAACGGACACTTCTTTGCCAGCCCAGAGCCCAACAGTTCCGCCAGACCAGCCTATCCCCTCCGCAACGAAGCAGAAGCCCAAAACGCCCGCAGGCAAACCAGTCGACGTGGACCGAAACACGGCAATGCATAGAGCTGCCAAGCTCGAGGCGACCAAGTATCTTATTCGCAGTAGTAGCGATGATGATGACGACGACGACGAGCCTGCGTGGGAAACCGACGCCGACGGCGACGTGGTTATGACTGACGCGCCGGATATGGAGTATGCGCTGCTCCTCGTCGAGTACATTAAGCAGTTGGTTCCGGAAAAGTTGGAAAAGTAATAGTTGGTGTTATCGATGTTGGACTGTCATTTACTGCGGAACTAGGTATTTTGGAGTTCGTCGAATCAAGAGACACTGAGATGTAGATAAATAGCTCTTGTGAGTAGTTGTAGCCTACCAACCCCCGTTCGGACAAGTTGCCATGCTGAACCAGTTTTGCGTCTTCCAGCCGCAGCAAGATCCGTCGCCGCCGCCTTTGCCAGTCTGTGTTATTGCAGGTCAGTGAACCGGTCGGACGTATTGGGCTCTTGCTAATAACAGGAAATAGGGTAGAAACGAAGAACTTACACATTTTCCTTTGTCGCACGCGTAGTTGATGCCGTTGTTCCACATGCAGGATTTTCCGTTACATATCTTGAAAATGTGTCAGTTTGTTACTTAAAACATAGTGGGGATATTTAGGGGTTGCCGTACGCCGTAGACTGCCCAGTTTCTTGGGCACGCTTTTTGATCGCCGACTGGTCCGCTTTCGATGAGTGGTGCTGGGGGATTTGCGCCGGCGTTCACGGCTGCTGTGGTGAATGCCATGGCGAGTATGGATGTGGTCTTCATGTGTTTGGTGGAAACTAGGATTCACGGATGGAAGGTTATTTATTGACTGGTAGTAGTGGGATTGACAATGGTTTCAAGTAATTGAACAAAGTAAATTCGTTCTAAATTCCTTGAGCTATCTCCGACAGTCAGCTTTGGAACTTTTGTAGTCTTCCAAGCGTTCAGATGTTGCCATGGTTTTGGGAAACTTACCGGCGCAGCAGACTTACGTGCGCCGGTTCTTCAATCCCCCCGGGCCGGCACCGCCGTTCGGACCCACTCCGGACCGCCGGTGGACCCCACCTAGGTAGGCAAGGATATCTGTACAGCTGAGAAACCCCGGTTGCTCAAAGTAAACCCCGCTTTCCTTCCGCGAACTCTCCCCAGCAGTGCTGACACGGGACAGCGTCCCCAGCATATCATGTACCACGAAAGTAATATCGTGGAGGAATCCCAAGTGTCTGGTCAGCGGCTGGGTAAGTTTATCACATTCCGAAACCATTCGTGAACCCCACTAATGCCTGCAGGATACACTGGCGCCGCCACACTCCCACGGCTGCATAACGCCAACAGGGAGCTGCGCCTCTTTACCTTACTACCTGGTGTCCTCGAAAGTCCTATAAAAGGACGGTTTTCCATCGCGGATGTGGATGAGAAGCCCTCGTATCAGTGCATCTCCTACGCCTGGGGGAACGCGCAGGACGCCAGAGAAATTAGTATCCAAGGCCACCCATTCAGGGTCACCGAATCTCTTCTCGCGGCCCTAATTCGCATCCGTCGTGAACATGAACCAGTTACTCTGTGGGCCGACGCAATATGCATCGACCAGGAGAACAGCGTGGAAAAGTCGTTGCAGGTCAACATGATGTTCGACATCTACAGCAACTGCACCAACTGCTTCATCTGGCTGGGCGAAATAGACACTAATTTCCCCGGACTGACACTCGAGAATGCGAGACTGGCGCTGGAGACAATCGAGTTCCTGGCCGGACTCGGTATATCGGACAACCTGCCCTCAAGCTTGTCAACTCTCGAGGCACGCCAAGGTGCAGGGCTGGCAATCTGGTATCTGCTTGCTCCCGCATGGTGGTCACGCATCTGGACCTTGCAGGAGTGCATCGCTTCACGCGAGGCGACTGTCCTTTGGGGTCCGCTGTCCATCTCCTGGGCAGCCATGCTGGGCGCAGCAGACAAGGTGATCGCACCCTGGGTCCAAGAGGAATCCCAGTTTGCAAGGTCAGGCCATCTGGGGGATCTCCACCAAGTCATTGACTTTTCATCCATCGTACGGCCGCTTCTGTTAGTCAGAAACAAGATGAAAGCAAGCGAGGCCATGATGGACAACAACCTCCTGCACGTCTTTTGGCGCTTTAACCAGCGCCAGGCCACGGACCCGCGGGATAGGGTGTATGCTTTGTTGCCGTTTACAGCCGGGCTCTTACGCAGCGTCAAGTCGAGTGATTACGGGTTGAGCACCGGGGAGCTGTACGGTCGAGTGACGGTGGATCTCATACGATTTGGTCATTGTTTGAACCCGCTTATCGGACGCCCGCCGGAGGAAGCCGTTCCATTGGAAGAACCGTCCTGGGTATTAAACTGGCAACGCATAGCTGATGTGACTGGGGACAACAATTTTTGGGTCTCTGATTGCTTTTATCACAGATTTGACGCGGCACATGGTCTCCCTGGAATAGATATGGACTGCATGACTTCGGAAGACGGCCGCCAACTTGTTTTGCAGGGCTTTTGTGTTGGGAAAGTCGCCATCACGGGAGTTGCGCCTAACGACTCACCTGGAACTGACGCCTCTTCTAAAGATTACGAACCAAAATCTTTGCTGGAGCGGTGGGAGAGGTATGTAAAGGGTGACATATTAAACCTCTTGGAAAGGCAGAAGGAGCTGCCTCATGGAGACGCGGGCCGACTGTTGCAACTGAATCGCGAAGTTGCCGATGTGGTGAACGGCATGATGATATCCGACAAGGAGCCTGACCCCGGCGTTCTGGGTCGGTCTTTGAGGGAGGCTTGGAAGGAGAGTTACCTCCACAATGGGAAGCGGGACTTGTTCGTCACGGAATGTCGCAAGTTTGGTCTTGCTCCTTGCACAATGAAACCTGGTGATGAGGTGTGGGTTCTGAGCCATGGACGTATGCCGATTTTACTGAGACCGGTTGATGCATTTGGATTAAATGTAGGTGATAGTACTGATGCTACATCAAAAATACCACAGAAAGCTGGTAGTTACCGGCTTGTTGGAGAGTGCTATGTGCATGGGATCATGCAGGGCGAGGCCGTGGAGGAGGGAATTACGGCTTTAAAAACCGTCACTCTATGCTAGTGATCAATCATATAAAGTAGATACCTGATTAAAATCCAATTAAACCACTATTAGATCAATGCCTGATGAGAATACTACGGAAAAGGGGCTGGTTCACATCCGCCTTTCTCATTTACCAACGGGGACGAGCGCTATGCATGTGGCAGGCAATTGATCAATGTTTGGTAACACTACTTCCAAGTTTATTTGATATAGAACGGCCTCTGTTCGAGACCCCCTTTAAGGACTTTATGCGCGTACCAACCGCCTTCCATGAGTCCGTCCACATAACACTCGCCAATGACCACCCACATCGACTTGTTGTCCTCCTCATGACTAACGACCTTTCTCAGCACTACCGGGACCGAACACCCAATCAGAATACAGATGGCATCGCCCTCCCTAGCTATACGAGGCAGAAATCCCATTGACTCCTCAGTGACCGCAAATCTGCGCTCACCCGAGAGCATAAACTCCGCAGAGACCAATACGTCCTCGTCTGTCTCGCACGTCAAGTCAAGTCTGGTTTCTTCGGCATTGCTTCCCATCGGGAGAATCTTTCTCGCGGTCTCAATCCAATCGTTGGACGGGGGGTCAATGTCCGTGAACCACGCGGAACCCTTACGAATGATCCGCCTCATGCCGGTGAGTGTGCGGAAGAACGCATCCGGCAGCCCCTCGGTGTCCGCGTTTTCCAGGCCGGGAACTTCATTCCAAACTGCACCCCCGCCGCGGACTAGGATCTCAACACTATTGTGCCTGCGGCTGATGTGCAAGTCGGGCCCGAATGCTTTCACGGTGTCGGCGATGAATCCGTTCAACACCATCAGGCCGCCGAGAGTAGTGAACTCGCTCGCGACACCAATTGTAGAACCTCCGGATGCCCGGTATACAGCGCTGGGGAACTTGCGAAACTGATGGCCGGGAGTATGGCTGGAGCCAACAGTCTTCATACAGGACGAGCAGTAATCGTAATTACCACAGTCGACACATCTGTATTGCGCACCGCGGAGTTTTTCGTCGCAGCCATCGCAGCTGAAGCCCAGCCAGGGCCCATGGTTTCCCGCAGACAAAGGCTGTCCAAAAGTCGTCAGGGACTTGGTGTTGTAGCCAAAAGCGAGGCCAGGACTGGTGTCGTCGGTGGATTCTAGCGTCCCGTACCAAGGTACCCAGCTCGTCAAGTCCATTTTGCGCTGGCTCAAGGTCGGCATTGCGCGGCAGATAATGTCCGCGCTGTTCGCAGTCCGCATGATTTGCCAAGTTGCTCGAGCATAAACCTCACCGGCCGTCGCCTTTTCAGAGTAGTCTGGGATCCAGTCCTGCGCGTCACTCGCCATTGACAAAAAGGCATAGATGCCATCCCTAGGGTCGTAGGACTCGAAGCTGACGAAACCGTCTACCAGCATTTCCAGTGTCAAGATGTCGCCCTGTTCTACTGCCTTGGTGATACTATTGAGGTGTTTGAGAGATTCTAGCCGATCTGGAGTTACTCCAGTAACTAGCGGTTTCCTGCCACTCAATGTAAGGTCGCCATGGTCCAGCCTGTTTTCCTTTGTGAGCCCGCCCTCGAGATGGCGACCGAAACGATCCATTTGTGCAATCAGCGGCATTAAATGGTCACTGCAGAAGTCCCTGTCGCCGAGATATATGTGCTTATGCGCTGACAAGACGAACTCTTGAACAATCCAGCGACGAGAGAACCAAGGCCGGCAGATGAGATCCCACAAAGCTTTCCAGGCACTCGATCGGTTTGCACTCTCCTTGAAGAACACGGTGGCTTGCTCGGCTTCTATGTCCCTCCATTCCTCGATGAAGTCCAAGGCCTCGTCGCTGTTTTCTGACTTATCTCCCAACCAAATGCGAAGTTTTCTCCCCCGGTATACTTGGTCCATGTGGCGTACCTGGTAAGCCTTCTCGTGGTTATCTTCTTGGTTGATGCAGATCGCATCCACCCATATGAGCAGAATGTTCTCTTCGTCACGGAACCGCCTGAGCATGGTTTCCAGATTAGGGCGGATGGCAAAGTGCTGGAAACCTGCGCCGTCAGAGGCATCACCCAGGCCTATCAGCCACATTTCGGACGTTGGGTCTTGATTTCCCCAGGTATATGAAACTGGGTTGAAGGCAGGGGCATTGCTTCGACGGACGTGGAGTAAGCCTGCTTGGAGAGGGGCTTGCTTGTCTGTTGCTGGGAGAAGCAGCAGCAGACGCAGGCAATCTGCGGGATCGTCAAGGCTTTTGTAGACGTACTTCTTAGAGCTCATGGGAATGTCTCTGATATCATCGACCTCTTCGTGCCAGACGGTATAGGATTCCCGCGGGGGAGTGCTATCCTTCTTTTGCTCCATCTTGCGTTGTCACGTAAGGGTAAGTACAGCTGCGTAGACGTAGTGATACAGCATTCATATAACTCAGGTAAGGCTCCAGGCTTCAGCTTCTAGAAACGAAAATGGTCTTCATGGATGTCAGCAGTGCGGCCTTTAACTCGCTCGCAGGTCAGTGGCACAGCATCCACGTTCTTGTCCGCCATTGGCCAATCAAACAACCGTATTGATCCATATCGACAAGGATTAATTTACAGGGTTCTACATTAAGATGTTGAGGACCTCTCGGCGTCTTCTACCGCTGGCTCCGGTTTCCTGGTGTGTGAGCATGTCCGCTCTGCTCTAACGTCTTGGAATATGACGATTACCCATGATGTTGAAGACAGTTCCGACATCTCCCTGACCATAGTGACTAGTATATCATGTTGCATTGCGTATGCTGGCAAGGTTACATCTAGGCACCCTTCGTGCTCTCCTTATCAACCCTACTCTTAATTAGACGCCACGACCAGACTCTCTGCTCTGCCTGCCTTGGAATTGAGATATCGATTTCTGCAAAAGAAGACATTATCAGTGAACAAGTTCATAGGCTATGATCGGAAAGCCCCGCGAAAGCCTACCTCTCATCGGCCCAGTACATCACATACCACCCGGCCACCATCGGCGGCGCAAAGTACCAAACCTGGCTAGCGAAACGTCTCCATACATTGAATATGGCGTTATGAGCGGCGCCAGCTAGCGGGTTCAACCGGTTCGGCGCAATTCCGTATGTTATGATGCCTCGCTGCTTCTGTCCTCCTGGTTGTGATTCAGCTTTCAGTACCTGAGTCGAAGCTAGCATGAACAGATTAAGACAGCTTAACATACCAATATTACCCCACCAGCCTTTCCATCTATTACGTAGAAAAATGTCAGTCAGCCATACAGAAGTGGTCCTGTTAGGTTGTTGATATGTGTGTTGATGTAGGGCAAGCGACTTACACGCCATATCTTCCCACGGGGACGTGTGGGCCTGACTGAAGGGACTGTGTCGGTCTCATTTTGTTGAAGCTGGCAATCTGGATATTTCACAGTCATTGGGAAGCAAGAAGGGTTCGTTGCATGTTTTAACGCCCCGATTCGTGCTGTTGAAGGTTTGCCGCCTCGGATTCGGCCCTCGGAGTCGGGTTAGGAATCCCGTTATGAGTGTCATAGCCCGAGAACATGAGTCTCCACTGAGGCTTACAATCCGTCTAGAAAGAAATTCAATAATTTATCAGCGGTCTTATCCTGGTGCAACTCGATGTACTCATTTCCCCTTCGGTTCCTGTTCGAAGTTGATCTGACTCGGCTCCAAGGTCGCCGGATCACTATATCGCTGGCCCTTAAAGCCTTCATTATGATGGCACAGATAGCTTGCTACTCTATTCAGGCTGTAATAAGACAAAGGATATATGTTGATCAGTTTTCTAGGCCATTAGAGCTGTGAGCGCCCTGTAAAGGCACCTAATCACTGAATGAACTTGGGGAGTGTTTTGGTCATGACCTTAACTTTTACACCACAACACGCCTGAAGAACCTACTTTCTTTTGAAAATCATCGGCTGGGTGTGACCTCACATCTCTATTGCCAGCATAGGGTCATTCCACCCTACATCCGGAAACTCGCAAGCCCAGAAAGCCCCTACCATGTCCAAGTCGCCTTCATCAATGGAAGAGGCAGGCATCTCTTGTAATGTTGGCTGATCCTTGACCATTTCCATGAGAATATCAGCTGCATGATCTATCGCCTCGCGGCCCCGTTGTGCCATTGCGTTCTCAACTGGGTTACCCTTCATCGTAGCCTCAATATTGGAGAGGATAACAGCGAAGAAAACATAGTCTTTGACGTTCTCTTGCCCAGCTCTGATGCGCTGCTCCGTCAATCTTATGCCTGCGCGAAGCAACCAAAGCTCTTCCGCGATGCGGAGCGCCGACCCCGTCTCAAGGATATCTTTCTCCGCCACAAGGGAACCAAGATGTACGGCGATGACACTTGTTGCAATGTGCTGCGCCGTTCTGAACGGCCCCGAACCGCAGAGAGCCAAGCGCATAAAGTCTGTACACTGCTCTGCGACCCCAGAAGTCGCCCGCATTACTTCCGATAACGGCTCGTCTAGTTGCGATAGCGGAAGGGTGAGATAGGAAAGCTTCATAGCGGCGTCGACGCATGTCTTGTGAGAGTGGCAAAACGCTGGATCCGACATGGCGACGTACGGCATGTGGAGGTTGAAAACGTAGCGAATAAGCACCATGTCGCAAAGCTGATGCTGGAACTGTGACGTTTTTGGGTGGAATGCGTGGAGAGTACTGATGAGAGACTGGCGCGCAGCCCTCAGCTGTGAGCTTAGATGCAACACAGTTGTGTACTCCGTCTCTGGCTTAATCCTGCTCCAGTGCTTAGATATAGACAGCCTGAGGGGAATGGAGCGTCCTAAGGCTATCTGAATCGACGCGTCTGTGAAAGACTTCTGGTCTTTGACAACTATAGGAGCGTCCTTGTCCGGCCCGATCTGATCATCATCAACGTTAGAAGGAAGCTCGCAGTCGTAGTCGTCTTGTGAGATAAGGGCTGGCTGGCCAGAATCAATGCTTGAATCAAGAACGAGCTCCAGTATTACTGTCCACAGGCGACGGCGCATTTCGGCTTGGAATATCGACATGCGCGGTAGCCTCGCCGGATCGCGATGAAGCCCTATGCACATGGCAGCACGGAGGAGAGTCCCGCCAAGGATCCATACCCGATCGCCGTAGATCGATTCTGTTGCCTGCTGAGCTAGAAGAAGTAAGCACATAACCTGGACACCGGTAATGGTTGTACGTCTTTTCTCTGAAGAATCTAGCCATTCTTGAGCCTCGTAAATCCACTGAAGAGCGTATGAGCGCATCGAAAAGGTATCGTCGTGGATGCATGCTCCGAGCGCCAGGCACAGCTGGAATACTATGATGAAAGTTGAGCTTGATCCATTGGGATTCAGTAGAAAGCCTTCGTACTCCAATTTCAAGGTTGGTACGTGAAAAATACGATACACGGTCTCGAATGTGCGGAGATAGTTGCCAAACAACTGATCCGACGTAGTTTGATCCGGTAGGTGTGACCCATATTGTCCAGGTATTCGCAAGAGAAGACGTTGAGCCTTGAGACTCTCTCCTAATGCTTTGCAGCGTTGAAGGCCTTGCCAGCAGTCTCCCTGCTTAGATACTTCCTGATCTAACCATTTCAGAGTCGGCAGAGACTGTTCATTGTCAAAAAATACATCAATAACATAACCTCCTAAGCTGACTCACCAACATTGCTGAATGTAGCCAATGACCCGGCGGGAGGTATCTTGACTTGGCCATCAACATGGTAGGCGGAGCCGACAAATCCGTCAACGAGCCGATGGTGGGGGACTTCTCTGCCGGCTCAGGTCGGGCATTATCCGGCACGTTTGCCGGTGATGCGGCGACAACCGCCGTATCTCCACTCCATGCAGGTGTGGGAGTCTTGGTGACAAGAACACTACCGAGAGATGACGAATGCCATACCCTAGTCTCAGATGGAGATTGACCTGGTTCTGAGGATTTCGCAGCAGGCCTAGGGGGCCGGGAAATGACTGCTTGCTCGGGCTCGGGCTGTGTTGAACATTGTGGTAGCGGGCTGGCATGAGAATCGGGAACAGTCTGCGACCGCACTGCAGCCAATGGCTCTGGGTAGATGCATATCCTATCCTTCGACCTCTGGCAACTGGTGCAAGGGCGTTGGTGATCGCACTTGAGCTTCCTCTTTCGGCATTGGGTACATGCAAGAGCTCGTCGGCGTCGGCTACGACGCTGTGTCTGAGAATCCGTATCCATTGTGTTGTCTCCTTCTTCTCCGTGCCTTTTCTTGGTAGAGACTAAGCTGTAAAAGATGAAGTTGCAGCCATGGACTGGGACAACGGGATGGGAACGGGCTTCGGGGACGGACTCGGGCTCGGACTCGGGCTTGGAGTCCAGAATGTGGGCCTCAGCGCGCCTTTGTCCGAGCCTCTGATGCTAACGGCAAGCGGCAATGTTGTTGATGATCATGACATTCCATCGCCCAATATTCATTCACGTCAAGTTTGTTTAGTCGGCTTGACTAGAATCATGACAGTAAAAAAATAATATGAGGCCACTGAAAAGGCGACATTGTTAATCTTACTACAGATTTGTGATGGCAGCCTATCAATGCTTTGCCCGCAAGCAATTGAAGCCAACAGTTGAACTAGGAAACTGGCTCAAGCTTTGATGGCAGTAAAAAGTTGATTTCTTTGAATTGTTTTTATAATCGAGAGTCACATTTAAAAACAAATTCTCTAAGGCACCACACATAACTTGAATGATCAAAATCTTTGTACGCCGAGCCATGTAGGAACAGCGTCGTTCTACTACCAAACTAACTCGCCCATCATATGAACCCGAGAACCCAAAGTGAACCTTCCTCCTCAAGCCTTAGCCAATCTCACAAAACACTGCCTTGGCTTAACAGTCAAACCATCATACCCGTTATAGCAAGAAAGCTCAGGGGGGCATGACTGTAGCTTAAAGTCCCAGAACAAAAGTACCGTAAGCATCCGGAGCTCTAGATACGCCAGTCTTCGTCCGAAGCAAGCTCTCGGCCCCAATCCAAACGCCATATGTGGTCCGGCCATGGCATCAAAGACCATGTGGTCGGGATTGTCGGTTGACGGCACAAGCCATCGGTCAGGTTGGAAGTCGGCCGCGGGATACGGAGAGGATTCCCAGCTTCGAATGCGACTCGCGGCGTCGAGTGCTGTTTTTGTGCGCTTTGTATCTGGAATCTCAAAGGCCGGCTTCATGATGCTTTCACCGATGGTGACAAGGACGACGGTGGTGTCTTTGGGGATATGATGGCCCAGAACAGTGGTGTCTTTCAAGGCCTGTCGGTCCGCGACAGAAGTCGTTCCTGCGCAGCGAAGAATCTCCTCTATGGTGGCGTCGAGGTACGGAATACTGGTTTTCATTATCTCCTCATACGTTGGCTGCCTGTTCTCCTCTGCGGCCAGGGAAAAATGGTTTCGGAGCGCGTCGCGTAACTTGACCTGGGCATCTTGGTGGTCTGTAAGATACTTGAGGCCCCATGCGAATGCGGTGGCGGTCGTCTCATGCCCTGCCATCAAGAAACCAAAGATCTGTATTTCCAATTTGCGTAAGCATCTTTTCTCTCAACTATCACAGCGACGAGCTGCAACATACCTCGCTATGCATCCCCGGGGACTTGAACATCGGCTCTCTTCCTTCTTTCTCGGCAAAGAGCTTCTCCCTGTACATCATATGCTCTACTGCGGAGGAAATAGGCTCTTCTGTCTCAAGCTTTCGGATGGCAAGGTCGATTTCGCGGTTTATGAAATTGTCTCGAATCTGTTTCGCCTCTTTAATCCGTCGTGTTTGGTGAAGATACCAGCTCGTTAATCTTGGGCTCATGGCCTTCCTCGTTCCCTCTATGGTTTCGGCCAGCGTCAAAATGGCTTTGACGACCCTGTTTTCTTTTTCCCCTGGGAAAATAACAGGCGCGTCCGAGTCCGGCGGTTGTTCGATGTCTCTCAGCGATGAAATCAGCTCAAGGCGGGCCGGTATCGACATGTGAGCAAAAGAACCGCCGAATGAGAACGAGAAAACAGCATCGAGAGAACCATAGTAAATGTCATCGAAGGCGGCAAAGGGGTGGCCTCTGGCAAGACGCGTCTTGTGCTCCCAAAGCTCAGCTACCTTTACAACGTTCTGGTAGATCAGCTCCGCTGCGACGTTGTGAAGGAAATTCGGGGTCATGAGGTCTTGTAACCACTTGCGCTGCCTCTTATACAGAGGATTTTGAGTCTTCATCAGCATGTGGAACTGCGGGAAAAGAGGCCCAAAAATGTAGTCCAAGCTGTCTGCCCGATCAAAGTCCCTGGTGCGTCGCATACTGATGTCTTCGGCTTCGCGGAAATCTGCGAGGACAACCAAGGGGCGAGAGAAGGGTCGCACCCACAGCTGGACTATCGGAGATTGCAGTTGCTCACACTGTTGTGCGACCCATCGCCATATTGAGATGTCATGTTTCTGGCTCTCCAGAAGAGCGGGTATGTCACCCATGATCTGCCGGGCTGCATCTTTGTTATAGGGGATGCCAGGTATGGGTTTAGGTAAAAGATAAAGATAGAGAGCGTAGCATGAGATTGCCACCAACCCAACAATGAAGGGATTTGTAAAAAGAGCCAGTGCGACTGAAGCCATGGTATGCAATAGCTGTGTGAGGGTTCGTATGTATAATTTTTCTGCTCCAGCGAGAGTTAAACATCTTCGATGGGGAGACAAGTGCAACCAGATTTTATATTGACGAATACTGCAGCAAAATTCGGCATTTCCAATTTTACTATTGTGTTTAACTCGTACTATTGAATTCATTCCGTTGTGGACGGACTTGTTGACCGAGGAAGAAGTCTGATTCGGAGTCCGAGTTCGGTTTGCTCCTCCGTGAGAGAAAAGGCAGTCCATACCGCCTGAACAGCACCCACTGCCATTATTAATGATTTATAGATTTCATTTAGTCCCTGGAACCCGACGTTGTTATTTGCATGGAGCACAGTCAAGGTGGTTGCTCCAACGTTTGTCTCCATGCCCAGATTCCCCCACCTTACCCGAGGACTCCCCTGGATAACAAGACCACCACAACCATCTAAGGCAATTACACAACACAAAAAATTGATTCTCTCTTGTTCCAAGAAGAGAAAAAAGCTGGACGATCAGGGAATCGAACCCTGGACCACTCACATGCTAAGCGAGTATTATACCACTAAACCAATCGCCCCGCAGATGTTCTGTATGGCGTTGATATCGTATATGGAGTAACGGGGCCGACGAATGCAGTCTAGCTGCGATAGGACGCCCCAGCTCTCGTGGCGTTTCAGCTGATACCTGCTTTTTCATAACTGGTACGACGAGAGTCTGTGAATAAGTAAGCAAGCCGTCCCGAGGTCCCTTGGATGCAAGTATTCCAGTGCTGCTGGTCACGTCAACTCATGATGCAATGCCATTCATTACCGACTCGAAAAATCCCCCCAAAATAATGAGAGCAAAGAGCACAAAACTCCAGGCTAGATAAAGACTCGCACGCCGTTACCAATCCGTGATCCAGATCCATGCTCGTTTCGTTCCTCAAACTTGCAGAAAATGGGTTGCCCTTTCATGCCTCGCATATTACATAAGACCGTGAATGCATTAAACACGCAACTCGACAGCAATCTTGTCGTTCTCGCTCACGACCTGGCCCTCGTTTGGCTTGTTTCTCCGCTTTTCCAGCTCGCTCTCGACAATGGACCGGATGAGCTGGACTGTCAATTCCGTGCCCCTAGCCACTGACTCCTCAGACGCGTCGGACGGCACGTGGAGGAAGACCACGCGGCGGTGCTTCTGCTGCTTCCAGAGATGTGCGAGACTGGAGAAGTAGATGAAGTCGCAGAGGTAGAGCCCCGCGTCTTCAGATATGCGGAGATCGGAGCCCTCCTGCGGCATCGTCAGCACTGATAACTAGTATTTCCGCCGCACTATCCGTCCTTCGTTGCTTCGGAAGCATGAGAGGGAAACGGTGGCTGGCGATAGAGAGCGCTTACCGGGCTATGTCCCTTCCACCGGTCCAACACATCGCCCAAATCGAAATTCGTCTCGAGTTCAGTGGGCATTCCGTACCAAACCCAATCCTCGCCTTCCCTCTTCTTCCTGTCTTCATCCTCCAGCAACTTGCCGTCGACGTCCGGAAACGCGTATCCTTCGCGGTGTCCGCGGCGCTCGATTGAGTAGAACAGCCTCGGGCCTGCCATGCCGATGTGCACCATGGCATCTATGCGCGGGTGCTTCGCCGGGTCCCATAGCTGCGGAACAAGAGCGCGGACAGTCTGGTAGTTTACGCGGACGGCTTCGGGGTGGACGAGGATCCGAACGGGGGGTAGGGGGCGAGCTGATGTTGAGGAAGGGTGGTCTTTGGGGTTCTTAGCACGAAGAGGAGGGAGGTAGGACGGAAGAGAATGGGCGATTTCCCATGACGGATTAACGGGGTATTGGGCCTTGAAGGGCTGTGAGAATTGATTGGGTTACGTTAGCCTAATTCCTGAATTGGGAGGAACGAATATTCGAGGAAGGGAAAGTTGACGGCGGGTAAGAAGCCCCTCCCCCCCCCCCCCCTCGCGCCGGCCGGGTGCCCCGAGCAAATAATCAGAACATTGTCGTTTGTATGGCGGGGCAGACGACCGGTGTGAGGGGCAATCGGGTGACGGAGATGATAGTGGATAACGTACGCCGAAGCCGGTGACGAGCACCGTGAACTCTTCCTGAGAGTCGATTTGGGACCCCATGGCGCCGATATTTGCAGTCGCGAAAGCTGGCCCGGTAACTGAAGAGAGGTTTGTAACAATGGTAATTAGTCGTGGTAGTGGTGGTTGGTGGTTGTTTTACGGAACCTCGACCGTCTTCCCCAGTGCTGATTGTCTCGCGATTATGTACTTCCCCTGTGGCCATTCTAGAAGTGGGATTGCTTGCGCTGTAGGGCGGGGTCGCAGCGCTAAATGCCTGGGCAAGTCTGGCGGCAGACAGGGAATGCCGCCCTGCACTAAGGGACAGGGGGGGTGGACGCCGCACCGCACGAACATTGCGGGGGCACCAAGATCCGAAGCGAGCCTAGATGTGTGTCTACCTGCCTTTTAAAGACGACACCACATCAAAGCCAGTCAAAGTGTTTATCAACGGATAGATAATCTTGCCACAAGGTCTTTCACAAGAGAGCTTTCTCCATCAAGTCTTGGTGGATTGGCCATTCACAAATGACCATGCGGGAAGTTCTATGCGGGCTGGGCGGGAGACTACAGGTCTAGAACGTGGAAAACGTGTGATCAAACAGTCCACTCCAGGAGACAATCTAGGATGGGTGATGCTGTGCCACGAGGATACCGGGGGGCACGGGTAAAAATAAAAAAGCAGCACATGGCAAACTTAACTGGAGGCCGGGATAGCCACAGCAGAGCAGACCGGTTGTGTTGAGAAAACTTTACACTTCAACTTTCGTCCAAAACTGTCACTGCTGAGCATGGCATCTAGTCAAGAGATCCTGAATTCATGCTACCATCTATCTGAAGCAGCTCGTCTATCTTTTTCGTCGTATCTAGTGCGCAGAGCACCTCTGCCGGTGCGGGTATCAATTCTTTTTGTCTTTTTTTGGTATCCAGTCTTGGTCCAACCATGGCTGTACATATGTAATCGTAACGTCAAAAAAGCGAACTCACGTCAAGCCCAAATGCGGCTCATCGAGAATCCTAATCCCTCCAGTTTCATCGTATTCGACCCGTCCTTGATCGACGGCGGTCCTCATCTCCTCCCGGAGAACAGTTTTCTCTCCCGTTGCGGGATTCCATTCCCAACCTTCGCGCATCCACATCCACCGCAGACATGCCCGAAGCTCCTTGTCATCGGGACGCACGCGCATCCACTCAGGTTGGAAATTAGAGGCTGCACCCTTCCCGTTCCAGTCTTGAGCGCGCCCAAGGAGCTCGTCGCGGCAGAATATGCGCCAGCTATCGAGTGCATACTTGCCTTGTGTGAAGTGGCCCATTTCCCATGAGTCCTCTGCTTCTCCTGCGGGCCCTACGGTGGCGTCTTCGTTGGCGTCCTCGTCAAGATCTTGAGACCGAAAGGTAAGGGGCTGGACGTCTCGTCTATCGTAGTTCTTCACCCTGTAGGTCTTTCCTGCCATAGGTGGCTTTTCCAACCACAACCGTGCATAACGTTGTATTGCTGCTGTCCGAACAACAGAAAGCCCCAAATGATGTATCATGCTCGTGATAGTAGCCGTTGCCTCGGGATCAGCCAAGGCAGTCGGCGACGGGAAACGCTCTTTGATCTTGCGGAACGTAGGAATGGCCAATGTTCCGGCTGTCTTTACCAGGAATGTGACGACAACCAGGAGCCAAAATGGTTCATGAGCAAACTCTTCTTGAATGAGACCGAATTGAGGTGCTGACAATGTTGGGAAGGGAATAGTTGAGACGACACCTGCAATCCATTTCTTGGGTGACTGCTTGATCTGTGGTTGATTAAAAAAAGGTGATTTTACAGTAGTCTTCCGTTTCGGTGAAGTGTCTTCTAATCCTCGGATTTGATTCGTCTCAAATCCACCGGGGACAGTAATCCGGATGGGATCATCGGAGGTGAGCTGTTGCGGGGGCTTGGCGAGGATGGCGTGTCTGCCCGGAGATCCCTCGCTGTCTGCGGGCCGCTGCCTTTTAAAGCGCCGGCATCGTCGCCATCTTCGCCGTCCGTTTGCCCGGTAATTCTAGCGCCGCGGCTAGATCGTAGCGGGTCTGAAGCACCTGCCCTCAAGGCCTCATTCTCGACAGATCGCTTGCGGGGTGTGCTGCGTGGTGTAGCAATACCATTGCGGACGATTGCCGAAGTACTGGTTTGTACACTACTAGCGGCCGGAGATGCTGATTGCTGGGGCGCTTGTTCGTCCGCCGAATGCGCAAAGTAGTGGGATGTGGACGGCTTGGGCGCGGTTCGCTGTCGCTTGACTCGCTGTCTGGGTTCTGCCTCAACTGCGTCATCCTCACGCTCACGCTTCGAAACTCCCTCTCGCTTGATAATTCGCTCCACGCCCCGCACGACAGGCTGCTCAGCAATGATGCCTGACCGATGAGCCCGAAGAAGAGCGGCCAGATTTTTGATGGACTGATCTGTAGCTGCCCAACCCTTGCGCAGCTTCTCGTCGGCTAGTGTGGCCTCATTGGCTCGTGGCACAAAGGCTAGAACATCTCGTGCATCCAGGTTTGAGGCTGCCGGGCTTCTTTCCCTGATTGAAGCCGCACATTCGAGCATCAGATGCCAGTCCTCGAAGCCGCTAAACAGGCAGAGGTCGTAAACGGCGAGCTTCTCTTCCCAGGGCGTGCCAGGGGCGGCCAAGACATCAAGGAGAAACGGCTTGTCGTAGTCGGATACGTCAAAGCCGACGAAGAGGTCGTCTGCTAGTGCATGCGCCATTGCTGCTAGTGTGGATGGGTCTGATGGGACGGAAATGCTGGTGTCGTGGAATTGAGTGCGTAAAGAATTGGGCAGGAAGAAAAAGTTTTGCAGTTGCGAGAGATATTTGAGGAGGGAGATGAAATGTTCCGGAGATAGGTTTTGAGGTGCAGCGAAAGGCACCCGTTAGACCTGGAGGACCTGAGGTTGAAGCTCCGGAGAAAGGGACGGGATTTCTTCAGCTAGGGGTGAAAGACTAGGGTCATTGAGGGCACCATTGTCCGTGGTAGGTGGTCAATGGCATCCAATTGTAGTGTCAAAGAGAAAGAAAAAAAAAAATCATGCATGGGAAGAAACCTGAAATGCGCAGTGGCAGCTGCAAATAGAAGTATCCTGCATTTTGGGGACGGTGCTGGTGAGGTGAGGTAGCTGGAGCTCTCTGTATTCAGGAGACTTTTCCATATCGCACACCAGAAAACCTGCTAAGTGGTTGCTTAGCCTTATCCGGGTCCCCTTGACCTGCCAGGTCCTTCTTTCCTTTCAGCAGCGTCATCAAACCAGCCACAACGCCTATATAGTTTGTCTTCGCTCTGTTATTAGAGATTTTGGCTCAGGGGGAGAATTAGAAGCTTTTAGTTGGGCCAGGGCTGAGGTGAAACACCAGGCAAAGAACCACGAAGGACAAAAACGGCGGCCCGAGAAGCCATCGCAAAGTGGCTGACAATGCTCGTGTGCTTGTATGTTGATCAACATATCTGAGGTTGAGGTGGTGCAGCCATCTCATGGAGTATACAAATACAGGAGGCAGTGCCTAACCTGCCAGAATGATATGTACTACGTGAATACCGGTGATGAACCACGTTGGCCCAGCTTATTGGAGATCCTTACCATTTATCTACGTTAAGTACCCACAGCCGAGAACAGCAGCCAAGGGGGCCTGTGGTAATGGTGAGCTGTCCAACTGGCAGCAAGTTCCAAGATGCTATCCAAGCACCAGCGCCCAGGGGTACCTCACCAGAGCCTCCCTACCCCAGATTATGCGTTGCTACTGATAGGGATAGGGATAGGCCAGATACAGCCACCCGGTTGGTAGGCTCCTATCGCATTGATCTAGTTACGCAATCTTGACTCCGATCGTGTGACTTGTCTAAGGTCCACTCTTCATAAACAAGTCTCTGGACAGTCGGGCGGAGGAGCGCGAACCTCAGGAACCAGTGCATGAGAATCGCCTGCTCGAGCGTGTTCCGAGGCCAAGTCGCATTGATTGCAACAGGAACATGGCGTGCTCAAGCTCAATAACTCTGTTCATAATTGAGAAAGTATGCTGCGGTGGGTGGGCAGGGAGTGATTGTTTTCGTCCTTGCGAGCTTTACTCTTAAAGTACGGATACCCGGACCCGGCCAGCCAAAGAAGGCAACTGTAGTCGAGATTGGAGAGACGCCCACTGGCCACGACTACAGTAACATTTTCAATCCTCCAAGTTCAACCCCCCCCAACCGCCTCTACCAAGTGTAATATCAAAAACACTACTTGCAGTGACTTTGTGCTCAGTGGCAGTGACATTACGACCAACTTGCAGAAGCCTGAGTCTATCCGGCCTCTGTTTTGTTTTAGTGAGCGGAGACCGAGATAGGCGTTCGGTGCCACGTCGACGGAAAGCCGAAGCGAGTACGTACCAAGGATCGTTGCCAAGTAGAGTTCATTTGACTCTGGGAAGGTGTGGCGGTACGTACTCAGATTCAACTGTCTTCGATGACGGGACGCATGATGAGTGGTCCACCGCGTGACGGCGGGTGGGTCGTTTGTGTCACGTGGGCACATTCGCCCAATCCTTGCACTGCCGCCAGTCCGTCGCCTCATTTACTGCCTGCTCCCCGTTTTCGCCATTCCTAGAACTTCCAGATCCTATCCCAATCTTTCCGCCTATCCCCCATCAACCAGCGCGTCCTTGTCCTTTTACGAGCGTTCAACATCCCGAACCGAACACTCACAGCGTCACCGAGCATCGAGAGATGAGTAGTCGCGGCGGTAAATTAGCACCAGAAGTCAACCGGTGAGTCCGAACTTATTTTTCAATCGCCCGTAACCCGGCCCTGTTTTCCCGCCTGCGACTCCCTTTCCCTGGCACGAGACCCGGAGCCGGGCGAGGTCACCCCACGGCACATACCGCCCACGCCCGGCTTTTTGGATCTTGGTTTCTATTCATGCCCCAGATCGATCTCGTTATGTTTACGTGCTGTGATGACAAACATGGCTGACTATCTTAATAGAGCTCTGTTCGTGAAGAACTTGAGGTAAGCCTCACCATCGATCTCGACATTGACATCGATATCGACATCAATCACAACCACGTCCACGATGACTGACATGTCGATAGCTACAACGTAACTCCAGAGGAGTTGTTCGACCTGTTCGGAAAATTCGGCCCAATCCGGTATGCACTCGCCGGTCAACAAACTATCGATCGCCATATAGATGACTAACCTCACAACAGACAGGTCCGCCAGGGCATTGCCAGCGGCACCAAGGGCACAGCCTTCGTTGTCTATGAAGACGTAATGGATGCAAAGCAAGCCTGCGACAAGCTCAACGGCTTCAACTTCCAAAACCGATACCTCATCGGTGCGTTGCGTCGTGACAACATTCTTTCTATACATGTGCTAACATTATATAGTTCTGTACCACCAGCCAGAGAAGATGCTCAAGTCAAAAGAGGACCTCGAGGCCCGCCGCGCCAGTTTAGCGCAGCTCAAGAGACAGCACGGTATCGAATGACAATCCGACGGGTCTGCGACACGCCTTCAGACATCCCTCTCGTCTGCAGGCCCGTCTACGTCTTCACCCACTAAACCGACGGCTTCTTCCTCTCCCGAATCGAAGAAGACGATCCTCCGAAGGGGCAAGCCGACCATTACCACCGGACACGCACACAGAGCCGGTGTCCGATTCGCCGATGGAGTGCGACCTAACTCGCTCCAGGCCCAGACTTGCGCTTAAGGGAAACGGTGGAGTCGTTGTAAAACATGACCCGCCAAAATACCAAGCTTGTTGCAATGTTCTGGTCGGGGAAATATTTCATGGTGCACAAGACACGCACAACATCTTTTTATTGTCGTCGCTTGGTTCTGGCTTTGAAAACTTGCCCGAAAAACTCACTCAACCTCTCCTGGAGAGTATCATGACCTGATATGAATCTTGTGCGATGGCAGGGCAATTAGGGAAAACAGGAAACCGGGGTTGAAGGCCGTGCAATGGACTTCATAATCTCAAACAGTTCTTGCCGGCGTTGTCTTTATTATTTTTTTTCTTCTCATTTTTTTTCTGTCACTGTGTATTGGGAAATGGAGGGGGGCGTACCAACATCACCGGCTTTTTTGCTTGTGGATGCTCTTCTTCGGACGCTATTCACTGCAAGCCGCTATCGTCAGAGAATGCATGACAAACGAGGTCAGAAGACCTCGTTATTTCCCCTCCTCTGGCCGTTGCCGTAAAATGGCCATGCCAACAAATGCCACCGTGAAACATGCATACCTCTTGCTGGAATGCAAATGGGACTCATCATGTCCGTATGCTCTCCAGTGTCGTAACAACCCACTCCATGAGCTGCCCAGCCTCACTACCCGACATGTCATCCTTGGCCGTCAAGCATTTCTCAACCACTTGCTTGTACAACTTGCCGGTTTTGCTTCCGAGCCCAGGCACCAGCACCGGCAAGATGATCCTGTCTCTCCAACGCTCTGCCGAGTAGTGCGGCTTGTAATACGTCTGTAACGCTTTCCACAACCCAATCTCCAGTAACACTAGTCCCAGGCTATAAATGTCATAACTCTTGCAGTATTGCCGTCTGCTCAGCCCCGTACCCAGAGACCGCGGGTCGCGGTGGAGGTCCAGGATGCTGGGGTTCCGCGGGTTGACGCTCATCTCGGCGTCGAAATCAGGCCGCGAGGCGTCGAAACCTACCAGATACGGCGCGCCAATGTCCGGGACGAGGGCGGCGGAGGCGGTCGCGCGCTCCGCGGACGCGGAGACGGCGGAGGGGAAGAAGAGGATGTTGGCGCTGCAGATGGACTTGTGCAGCCAGTCGAGGGAGTGGAGGGACCAGAGGGCGCAGGAGAGCGTGCAGGCGAGCGCGATGCGGTCGTCCAGGTCGGGCGTTTTCAGGTCCGTCGACGCGATCAGCGTGTGGAGCGTCGAGTGGGAGGAGGCCCTGACGGCGGCTGTCGTCGCTGTTGTTGGTGATGACGGGATGGACGGGAGGACGGGACAGCGGTAGACGAGCCCGTACCGCGCGTTGGCCGTGTCGTCCGTGTACCCGACGCAGTCTATCGTGTGTAGATCCGGATGGCGGTCTGAGGCGGAGTGCATCATCCGGGCGAGGTCGTCGAGACGGCGGAGATGGAGGAAACGTTCTTCGGTGTCCTGCGGGTCATATTCCACCCACTCCAGGAGCACCGGGCCATGCGTCGCGTGAGAGGCGTGTATCCTTGTGGTTGTTGTTGTTGTTGTCGTTGTCGTTGTGCCGACTCCGCCGTTCCCGCCCTCGCCGCCTTTGCCTGCGGATGACTTGGACTTGGAGCTCTTGTTGCTGCCGGTGCTGTTTTCAGAGCTGGAAACGCCCACGGGGTCTCCGTTGCCCAATGGTAAAGGGGCGATGTCTAGATCGGAACGAGGGACCTTGAACGCGAACGTCGGGCGGAATGAGGCCTGGGGCTTGGCGTCGAGGTTTATCCTCAGCTTCTTCAGGTTCGCCGATGCGTTGAGCTGGGGATATGAGTCTGCGGATGACGATTCAAGAAGGGTGAGCTGGGAAAGGTCTCGCTGAGCTGAGTCCAACAGGGAGTGACGCCAAGCGCGGTGAAGAGAAGGAAGGCGAGAAGGGGGGAACAATTGTTCCAAACCATCATTGAAGTCTAGTATTGTTAGCCATTTAATCGGTTTGCTCTTTCTTTTATGAATATAGGTAGACGACGAAAAAAACATTATGCAACACACACATGTTCATTCACTCAATAGGGATATTCACCTTTCAGGTCTTTTAACAAAGCCGTAAACTTCTCCTTGTCTATCATTCCCATCAGTAAGGGCGGCGCATGTAAGCGGGTATGGCAGCAAACATACCAGCAATAACCCACTTTGCCCGTTTTGAAATTTCCTTCCTCCAGCTCTTCTCCGGCACCTTGGTCTTCTGATCCTTCTCTTCCCTCACGGCCGCCCCCTTCTTCTCCTTGGATCTATCAGGCATGATGACCGTCTTCGCCCCTTCACCGCCTACCGACGGCCCTTCCTCGACGAACCCATACCGCTCTCTCAGTCTCTGAAAGTCCGTAACCGTGGCATGCAGTTCCCTCATGATTCCCTCTGCTAGCTGCGCCATCTGCGGGTTGCACTCTCTCGACTTCAAATGCGCCTCCAGTTTACCCTCGGCGACGCCCCACTCGCGTCCCCATACGACGAGACGCATCTCTTCGATGCGGACCTTGCAGAGCAGCCGCGCGGAGTCGGTATCGAGGTTCGCTGCGGCGGTAAAGTACCCATATGCTTTGACACACCCGTCGAACAGTTGACCTAGGAAGCCGACGACGCCAAAGGCCGTCCCTATTGCTTCAGCCATCACGGTGTTGGTTCCTTGGTATACTGACTGTGTACTTTCCTCTCTATACGGACCCGGTCACTTATCGATATATGCCCAGATGCGACAAAAGGGTTGGGGGGGGGTTGTCGAAAGTGGGGTTTGCGTTTATCGCAAAGGGAATCTAGACCGCCACTTAATTTTTGAATACCAAAGGTATCCGTAGGGTAAAGATAGTCTAGAGAGGAAACTAGCCAAGCCTCACTTGAGTCTTTAGCGGCAGCACACCAGAAAACGGGGGTATCGGTAAAACTTGAGGGTCAAGGGGGGGGAATAGAAGAAAGAGTTGCGTGCGGTATAAAGTCCAATGACGACTGTTGAAATGTCCAAGAAATAAATAAATGAAAACAAGAAAGTAAGCAGCAAATTATGCAAGATTTCGACGCTGCGTGTACTGCTCGCTCAGCCGAAGGGGTCACTAAACCTGCATATGATCCACCCAGAATCTCACCCAATGGTGGGCGGTGCAAATGGCCGTTGTATTCCCCCCTCCGGATCGGTCGAGCTGCCGCCGATGCAAGTCACCGCGGAGGGGGGGGGGGGGGCAACCTCGTACCGTCCTTGCTTTAGTCCCGGCGCTTGGCGGCGCCTTCCGCTGGGAGATCACTTGCTAGTGGGCGGATTTGGTGACCCACGAGGACCTTGAAAGTCTTTATAATGTTCAGAAACCCTAGACGGAGGGAACGATAAAACCATTAAATGGTCGCAATTGCTTACGATTGCTGCTTAAATTTGAACTTGTTGTCTCTTCTCCATTCCCAAGCGCGCTTCTTCCCGTATCAACTATTGTTCTCCTGTCTACAATTCATATATATGCCACGATGCGATACCGCCAACCGTAATCACAGTACGGGAGTACAACCTTTTTTGAATGCCGTTCGTAATGCCAAGAAACCGACCAGATGTCGCTGGTCGTCGCCTTCTTAAGTTTCCTGTACCCGTCCGAAGCCGGGCTTTGGTGTTTTTCTCTTTAATAGACCTTCTTCTTCTCATCGATGGAGAACTGGCCGGGGCCGCTGTTGACAAGCAGCAGAAGGCCACCAACGATGGAAAGGATCTGGAAGAAGTCGTACTTGGCAAAGTCCTTGTGAGGGTGGTGCTCGTGAAGCTAAGAGAGGTGTTAGTGCATGTAGCAGAGCGCGCGCGCGAAAGAGGGGACAAACGTACAGTCCAGAAGTTGTTGACAAGGATGTTGAAAATGCTGAGGATAAGGACCAGCAGGGTAGCACTGAACTTGGCCTTGAAGCCAACGACAACCATGACGCAGGCAACGAAGCCAATGAGAGAGGTGGCAATGCGCCAGATGGACCACGAGCCGCTGAAGACAAAGCCGACGAAGAGGAAGATGAGGAGGACACGGCCAGCAAGCTGGAAGTACATCTTACGGTCCTTCTCGTCGAGAGTGGGCAGACCGGCGAAAGCCTTGGTCTTGCGAACCCAAGAGTCGGAGAGGACCATGAGAAGACCACCAATGACAGACAGGTTGCGCAAGAAGAAGTTGAGGTCGAAGATCAGGCCGTATCCCAAAGCCTGGGTAATGACAACACCCATGAGACCGGCAACAGCGTAATCGGAGTACTTGCGGATGATAACGAGAACCGAGCAGGCGGTCATGACGAGGACGTTGATGATGAGGAACAGATGTGTGATACCGGACGGGACTGGAATGGGTTAGCATCTGATCGCAAGCTTGTCATTTGGAAATTCGGAAGACGTACTGTGTCGGTAGTCGTGCAGGTAAAGAAGCTGGTCGCTCCACTGGGTAATAATTCTCAAAGCATCCTCAAGGAAGGTGACGACAATCAAGAAGCGGCCAATGGCAGGCAGGTAACTGTTGTCAGACTCTGGTCAGCACACATCTCAGACAATCACACGAGCTTCTTGGTAAGCTCCCTGCCAAGGCCCAGGGGTTCGACTCACGGCTTGATGGGCTCGCTCAGAGTGTCCAGCATATCCTCAATCTTGCTCGTCTGCTGTCGGATCATGTCCAGAGGGCTGGACTCAGAGTTGTCCGCACTGGAGCCGCCGAAGGACGGGGGACCACCGGCGCCCAGGCCGTAGGAAGGGCCTCTTTGTTGAGCCATCGCAAGGGGTAGGTCGGCGAGAGGAAAAGTTCAAAAGGGTTTGGGTTGACGTGGCTGTTGCACAAGAAGGTACAGACAGGCCAGCTGTTCGCTCTCTATATGCTTTTATTGCAAGGCGCTCGTCGGTAAAGGCGGAAATTTGTTTGGTGGAGTTGGGGTCGAAACCGAAAAAAGAGGGTTAACTGCAACTGAGTATCTGAGGGCTAGCCTTGACGTTTCGGCGTTGGGTTGGGCGGGAGGTTTGCGACGAAAGGAAAATCAGAATTGACGGAGTGCCCGTTGGCGTTGGGAGAGAACAAGGCCGTGAGCTTGGGTCTGGTGGTGTGGCGAAAGAAACGAGGTGCGACTTGTAGTGTCGAAGGGAAGGGAATGGAGACAGGAGGGCAAGCTGGCCTGAATTGCCTGGATGACTTCAGGTTCGGTTTTGGTACAATGTGTCCTTTCGACCTCCCGCGATGGATGCTCAGAGGTCCGAGGTGTCCACTTTTTAGACGGGACAACCAGAAGGGTAGGTGGCTAGGATGTACCAGGGCTCCTTTGGGGTACATCTTTAACTGCCGCACCGTCCCGCTCTCACCAATGTACCCCCGAGGGGGGAAATACCGACCACACACCCAAGCTTTTGGAGGGCCCACGGGTTACGGTTAAGGTACGTATCCGCTCTCGGTGGGCTGCTTTCAGCGGTTTGAGCCACTGAACGCTTGCCGCTTACTGCCTTTATGGATGCTGGCTCGTGCGCGCTCAGTCCCTGGATTCGGCACGAAAGCTTTCTTTGCTCCAGCTGTCCTTAAGACACTGAACCTTTGATGACGGAAGCTTCAAAAAAGATGCCAGACGGATGGAGAAATCTCCATTACGTAGTTTACAGCGATTGAAATGACGAGGTAGCTGAACAATAAGTAAGACATGCCATCTTTAGTTGCAATTCAGGAAAGGTTGGACAATGACGGAGCTTGTTTTGGCGAATTGAATCAGTCGAAGTACCCCAAAGCTAAGAGCTTCCCCTCCTGCTCATTGACAGGTAGTCCCTTGCAGCGAGACCAACCTTTTCTTCAACAGTAATCTGGCCTTAAAAATCACATTCCCTTGAAGCCAGGCACCATGAATACAATGTTCAGGAGCTCCTACGTGCATCTACATTACAATCTTGGCTACTTTGAAGCTAAACACAAGGAGCTGAAAATTCCATTGCATTCTGGAAGCTTTGGAACCTTAAATTTTTCTCACTGTCAAGGCATGTTGAATGACCTCGGTATTGGTTTGGGCTATGAGTCAGCTAAAAATAGAGTTGTACCTTCCGGTAATCTCAGCACCTGATGCATAACTTTTCGAGGGGCCTTAACTTCATTCTATGTTGAATTTTCTGTTACAGAACCTAAGGAAATTGTTCTCCGCTACCTCTACTTGGTGCTTGAGCCAAGTCGGAGCTCTTGGGCGCCTGGGTAAACAAGAGGCACTGGTAGCAGACAAAACAGCGTGTCCAGTATTGGACCTCCTCACCTGACAATCATTTGGAGCACCGTCACAGTGCATTGGCCTATGTCTCTTTCCTTTTTTCCCCAGCAGTTCTTCCATTTTGGAATACGGCCATACTCTACCTTGTTTACAGATATATTCTCACAGCCGAAGAAGCCGACTTCAGGCTATTGACATTATCCAGCAGACGTGAGATAAGATTGATGGGTATGAAATCTGATATTATCAGACCTGACCAAATGAGCTGCACATCCTCTTGGTGAATTGATGATGTCTTATATTATCCAAAGGCAATGCTGTAAGGGCTTGGCTTCTGCGAGTATCAGTTGCTGTTGTATGCCCTTTTGAGGAAGTCCAGTCTATCACATGATGGTTTGCGGTGGCTCTGACGTTATAGTATTTTTATCACTTACATCAAAGCTATTGGCGGCGCTGTCGACGAGTGTAGTAGACTGCTTGGTATTTAAAGTCGAGGAAAGTTCCAACGCACGCCTTTTCGGCTCTCGCGGATTCTCTGAATAGCTTCTTCATGGGTATCTGCCAGGTGGTGGGTGATGGTTCAGCGGTTATACGTTCTGATTGCAGGTCTATGACCGAGCCACAATAATCTAAGCAAGCAACATTGCCATTCTGGCTTCCTGGGCATGCTTTATACGGGCAATATGTAAGATTCTATCGCTCATCTTGCTCTCACAGGAAGGCGTTGACCTGTTGCTAATCGGAACAGGAAGTCACGGTTTGCCCGAGATGTGTTCTCCAAATCAGTCGTTTTGGGAGGATCATTCCATTTACGCCTATAAGCAGTTGATTTTGGTAAAGCAACGAGTCTTGAACGCAAAAGGAGCGTCTCTAGCGTCAACCCTTAGGAGGAGTTCTTGGGATCGTTCATCTGGGGGCGAGGCTTGTTGTCACGTCCGTTACATCAATTGGTACATGTGGGCTGTAACTTCATCTACCGGGAGCAGCACCTTTGGGATGGGATTTCTCTTACCATTTCAAGCTAGCATCTGGGCCATTTCCAGTCCTGATCAAACAAAGATAACCCCTGTTCCATCCTAAATGAATTGACCATACAAGTTACTAGCAGTGCCCACACTCAGAAAAGTTAAGGCAAAGAGCCAAACCTTGCCAACTCCCTCCTGATCTTCTTTCTTGAATTTTAACAAGCATTTTACATCAGATTACCTAGCCTGCATACCGTCCCTGCTCGAGGTCTCTCATTTGGATTTGTCTTGAAGGGAGCCCGACGTCAGCCGCCACTATCCGGCGGCTCACCCCACTTTTCGTCCAGTCTCTCCGCACCACCTCTCATCATCCTATATGTACCACAAAACATTCATAGGTAGTAACAACATCCCAGCGGGACCCGTAACTCAGCTGGTTAGAGTATTGTGCTTATATCATGTGATCTCACATCCGTATGCACCACAAAGGTCGAGAGTTCAATCCTCTCCGGGTCCATTTTTGCTTTTTTGGTGTTTTGTTTTATTCCAACTACATTTTCGCCAACCTGCGCATGGGCTGGCTGGCTATTGACATGATTGATATAAAATGGCATCTCCTTTTACTTGTGGGCCAATAAGTGTTTTGCTCTACATGTCCCTTCGCGCTTCCCATTACTGGCTACTGAGCATAACGACATCCCTAATGATCTAAGGATTCCGTTTGAATGAATGTGTACCTAATTCGGTGGCCGCGTAACTTTTACTGAGAATGACTTAGTGTTGCTCTCCGATGCTTGAAAAGCTGTTAGGAACGAATGACGATAGGGAGAATATCGACAGTCATCAACGAACCTGAGGGACCGTTGCTGGGCGAGGGCTCTTGAGCTTGGTACGCGTCGTTTGCCCATACGTATCATTGGTTTTCCACTATGCCAAAGTCTGAGCCCAAAATGGCGAAAACTAACGAATCTCAAAAGGCTAATGTGGATGAGACCGCTGACCCGGAAGCTCATCCTGGCTGCACGAACCAGCCCTGCCGTGGGGTTGAACCATTCATAATGAGAGATCGATGCGGATGTGAGAGCGGTTTCCTTACGCTTCCAATTTTCTTACGGAGGTTTTTGTGGCAGGCTGAACATGTCTTAAAATGCTTCAACAGCCAACATCTCATTGTTTTCTCAACCAAGATACAAAGTCCAAAATGTTGCAGCAAGAGACCTAACCACGAGGCCATTCATAAAACAAGAAAATGCAGCATGACCTAGAACAGGTGTCCTCGATTCAAATACCCGCCCCCCCAACGCCGTGCCTCTGCGGCTTGATCCATTTCTAAGTTCAACACTGGACATTCATTAAGTATGCAATTATCCGCTGGCTCTCATGATTATACCAGTTCCTTATTCGGCGCGTACTCTGATTCTTTCCCTGTAAGTGAAAGCCTTTTTTGGTAGACCGGCAGCGTAGAATTACTCGAGTTCTCAGAAACGGGAAGCTCAGCCGGCGGTGCCTCAGGTGCAGGGGGTATCACGGCCTGATTGTCAGGAACCTCGACGGGAGCGACGCTAGGTGCTATTGAGGAAACGCGGTGGTCACTTTTCCATGTTAGTTTTGACACACAAAGACATCTCATCTCGGGAATAGAGGTACTCACTAGTAGGCTTGTTGCATCCCGTTCATAGCATGGGGGTATCTGATGGGCTGAGGGCTAGTCGGGGGACTAACACCGGGGAAGTTGGCTAGAGGGGCTGCCTGGTCGTGGTAGGCCGTGCTGACTTGACTGTAGTGGCTGTTCCTCCACGCCTGTGTAGAGGGATTCTTGGGTTGTGCGGTATAGTTGATCTCCGTAACAGGTGGAGATCCCGCGCCCGGTGGAGATGCCGGGTGGTACGCCATCGTTGCACGGCGGTAAGCGCGGTCGAAGCCGCCGCGCCGGCCGCAGAGGTAGACTATGAGACCGCCGAAGAGCAGGAAAGCCGCGCATCCGATGACGATTCCGGCGATTGCGCCGCCGCTGAGACTGTGGTGGAAGTTGTTGATAACGTTCCCGCCTTTTGCTGGGTCGGACTCGGTTGGGAAGGGCTCGCCGGGCAGGATCTGAGTTGTCAAGGGAAGGGCTGCGTCGAGCTGACCGTCAAGTGTCTGTGTCGAATTCTACAGATTATTAGAACCGACGCAATACATAGCAGAGGAGCGGGCCGCTTTACTTCGTTGATAACGCCGATCATCTTTTCTTTGTAGCAAGAGCCGGGAGCACCGCAGTAAAAGAAGATGGGGTCGGTGTCATTAACTCGGACTCTATATCGTGGCATCTGTCACACATTAGACTGAAAATCATAATTTCCAATATGCAATTCTTACATCATTTGTGATAGCTTTCACAGGTTGAGGGCCGCTGTAGAAGCCTGCACGACCGATATCGATGTACTCGTATGGCGTGCATGGGAAGCCGTACTCGGCACGTACAACTGAGTGCCCATCGGGGTAGAAAATCCATTCTAACTAACGCGTGAGTAGCTGGCGTCTTCTCACGAGGATGGGGTTTGCTAACCTATCGTGTCACCAACCTGGGCCCTCACTCTTGCTGGCGAGAAGGAAAAGCCAGACTGCATGAAAGTCAACATGAGTTAAAGCGATGAGAAGAAGGATGACCTACTGCACCAACAGCAATCGTATGAGTCATGGGATCACCAGTAGCTGTCGCTCTAGCTGTAGCGGTTCGAGTGGGAAGAGTTGTGATGGTGCTGTAGAATGGCGTTGGCGTGACTGGGTCTGTTGATGTTGTTGATTGGGCCTTCACCAACATCACCAGACCGGCGATCCCCACGATTGACGAAAAAAACATCTTGAGATGACTATATATCCTCGATGAATATCTGGCGTCCAAAACCTAGCACTCAGCAAAGAGTTGGTGCAACGGTAGAAAGAGCTAGAAACCGAAGTTGACATAGAATCTGGGGGCAAAGGAATACTTATTGTTGCCAGCGTCTCAGATGTGCATTTCTCGGGCATGGTGATGAGGAGCTGGTACTCGGTCCCTATGGGCTAAGGCCGCCTAGTATGCAGCTGGCTGCCCCGTTCCCACTGCCAACAGAAGCTCACATGCAGAAGCAGGAGTAAACCCGACAAGGCGCACGGCATCCCACGAGTTTTCCAGGATGTGGTCACTGCCTCCTTTGCAGGTCACTTGCAGAAGAAAGTTCATGCCACCATGCAGCCGCATGAGACCTGGGAGGATGTGGAGTACCAGACATAAACAAAGAAGCTACGGGTATCATCCGACGAAAGATAGAAGCTCAAGGCTGTACACATATCGTGGCTCAGCGAATATTTAAAGATTATCAAATTAAGGTTCTACTACATTTCTGATGGTGACGGGATATCGACTCTGGATGTAACTGTAATACAGAAAAGCCACCAAGTCTGTTTTCTGGGCAAGCATAGAACGGTACCTGCGTACATTCAAGTATGAGTGTTAACCAGGAAACTACAAGATGAATGATCCAAACATATGGCTACATGTCAGACCGCTTGTGCGGGTGGATGCACCACTAGACATACCTTTAGCGAACCGCAAAGGTAGACGGCAAGGGCTTTAAGTTTGCTGGATGTATCTTAAACTACAATATCTCATAATAATTTACGAGGATGTCCTCGTGGAGGTTGACTGCCTCTGGCGGAACTTCTTGAGCCATGCATGGTGGCGTTTGCGCTAGAAGAAGCCTGTTTGGAGCGATGAGAAGAACCCAGGCTAGGACATTGCGAGCGTCCTTAGCTTCTGGTATAGACACGGGACATTTCTCAAGTTCTTGAAATCCCCATTGATGTACTGGGGAACATGTTATTCGTCAGACGAGCACTAATTAAGTATGTACCGGGAGGCTGGTGAGGTTCTGCTCTGTCCATGTCAGATGAACCTATCTAATGGTATCACAAACATACAACCGAGTTCATCTGCTCATTTTTAAACGAAGATTTGGTTCAACTGCCAAATTTGGTGTCCGGAAAGATATGACAGAGCTCACAAGGAAACAACCGATGCTCCGTTTATGGCAAGCTGTGTTCGGACAGTACAGACGCTAGAGCCTTGTCAACAAGAATGGTATCACGCTAACGCCAAGAATCAGGCACTGCGCATGTTTGGCAGGGGCCCCAGGGCTGAGAATGAGACAATATTTAGACAAGTCAACCGCCCTCCCTTCAAAGCTCCTTCATCCGTTGTCTGTGGTTGGGCGGTGCCCCTGAAGCAAGCTGAGCTAAACCCGACAGGATGAGACTGGACGGCGGGATACCCTGAAGTATAGTCCGGCCAAGCTCACGACTTTTGCACTTCGTTTGGCATCGCCGACCGCACTGGCTCGTCAACATCCAGTGGAAGCGCGCTTCAGTCAGTGCAAAGTGTAGGCCATAATAGGCAGAGACGCTGCTATCTCGACCGATCGGTTTTCATAATTGTTATGAACCAGCGAAATAAACTCAGGTTTTTATATAGAGCTCATTCGTATAGTAGTATTTTAATGGGTGTTAGACCACGACCTGCAGACCTGAGATTTCACACCTCTAGCAATGGTCACCAAGGGACTTTTCGTCGCAGATAACTCAAACTGCGATGGGTGATTCGCCCAGCATTGCATTCTTGAGTACGGAGAAAAGTTGGATGCATGAGCAATGACGCTAAAGGATTCAGCTCTGCAGTTGGTGCCCGGGAGTCGGCCGGAACAACGCAAATGCACGGGCTAAGCATGATCGTGCGGTGGCTTGACGGGACTCCGACGATCTTAAGGAGCGCAACATCCGGAATGCAGGAACCGAAAGAGAATATGTGTTTAGATTCGACCATGAAACGGATGAGAATGAAGTACATAGAAGACATTGCGCCACCAGGGCGCAGTGTGCCGACGTCCCGGCCGTTTGGGCGAAGCTCAGCTCAAGCTGGTGATCAGAGACATCCCAGAAAAGGAAAAAAAAATTAGATTGATAAAAACGATTTTGGGGTAGATTGGATTGGGATAAGTTCCAAATGTCTTGAAATAGGCAATCGTCTTCTCAAGATGGCTACGAGGACGCGATAGTGCTGATGTTACGATGCGTGTTGTATACTCCCTAAGAAGAGGCATAAGGCAGCCTTCCTGGGATACTTACACGTCTGCAAAAAGAGGTAGATTCGTAGCTAGTCGTAAATAGTTAGTCAACCATATATAGATCTTGTGTCCAAATCTGGTGCCTATGATGAGAGGAGTTTCCAAAGGATAGATTTACTATGAGTTGACAAACAGCAACCATAGATGGTGGTATTGTCCTCTACAGAATGACTAATGACAAGCTAACCCAACGTGGACTTGGCGTGGAAGAGTGCTTCAAGTGGGTCTAGAGGTCTGGAGGCGTGGTCCACCCTCCGAAGAGCTTCTGGCCAATCACACCCTAGTTTCACAAGTTCACCTCTAGGGGAAAAAAGTTCCAGCCTCGCGCAAGTGGACAAGACGCCTGTGCCTTCGCCTCACTCGGCAGTCTTCAACTCCAACGTCAATCACCCTCTTCAGCTTTGACTGCCCATCATTCAGTATTAGCCTTGTCACGCCACGCGACGTCGCAATCATGAACGGCGAAGGCTACTCTCGTGGTAAGTATAATCAATGTTCGACGCGTCTCGTTTGTTTTCACGATTCTAACATATGTTGTCGACAAAGACGGACGAGGAAAGGGATCTCGCGACTATCCGGTAAGAAACACCGCCCCTCCTGCTCTTATTGGGCAATTGAACTAATTGATCGCAGAGGGATCGCGATGATAGACGTGGTGATAGAGATAGACATCGCGAGCGCAGACGCTCCCGTTCGCCTTATGACCGAAGCTCGAGACGTCGCGACGACGAGGACAGCTATGCGACCAGCCGTAGCCACCGTGAGCGCGAGCGCGAGGACAGATACTCTGGCCGTGATAGACGCGGTGATAGAGAGTGGGATCGCGACCGTGGATCTTCCAGACGCGATGCCAGAAGAGACGACGATGACCATCGACGCAGAGACCGCGACCCCTATGACGACCGACGCCGAGGCGGACGAGAAAGACATGATGATCCCCGCCGTGAACGCCAACGCAGCGCAACACCGCCTCCTAAGAAGCGGGAGCCTACACCTGATCTGACCAACGTTACGTCGGTCCTTGAGCGCAAGCGGCGGTTGACTCAGTGGGACATCAAACCCCCCGGTTATGAGAATGTCACTGCTGAACAAGCCAAGCTGTCAGGCATGTTCCCATTGCCCGGTGCTCCCCGTCAGCAGCCTATGGACCCCAGCAAGCTTCAGGCCATCATGAACCAGCCGGGTGGACAGGTCAACAGTGCGGCGCTGAAGCCGAGCAACTCGCGCCAGGCCAAGCGACTCCTAATCAACAACCTCCCCCCCTCGGCGACCGAGGACGGTATTGTCAACTTCTTCAACTTGCAGCTCAACGGCTTGAATGTCATTGAAAGCACAGATCCCTGCACAAGTTGCCAGCTCTCCAAGGACCACACTTTCGCAGTCGTCGAGTTCAGAAATGCATCTGAAGCTACGGTGGCGCTGGCGTTGGACGGAATCTCAATGGAGCCGGATGATGCGGCAAATGGCTCAGCCGAGAACTACGGCCTTGTAATTCGGCGTCCCAAGGACTACATCGTTCCTGCTGTCGTGGACGACGTCCCTTATGAGCCGGGCGTCGTTTCAAACGTCGTGATCGACACACCGAACAAGGTTAGCATCGCCAACATGCCGCCATACCTTTCCGACGAGCAGGTCACAGAGCTGTTAGTTTCCTTCGGAGAACTGAAGGCATTTGTACTTGTCAGGGACAAGAGCACAGAAGAGTCCAGGGTATGCACTTTCCGTCCTAATTTCTTAGGCGAGAACTAACTCAGTTACAGGGCATTGCGTTCTGCGAATATGTCGACCCTGCTGCTACGGATGTAGCTATCCAGGGGCTCAACGGTATGGACCTTGGCGACAGGAAATTGAGGGTGCAGAAGGCTAGCGTGGGAGTCACCCAGGTCGCCGGAGTTGAGATGGGTGTTGCTGCCATGTCTATGCTGGCTGGAACGACTTCAACAGATTCCGAGGAGACTCGCGTTCTGCAGTTGCTCAACATGGTTACGCCCGAGGAGCTGATGGATAACGATGATTACGAAGGTAAGACCATGGAGCTCCCCAAATCCCCGTAGCAACAGCAGCAGCAGCTAACACATCCTAGAAATCAAGGAGGACGTCGAAGAGGAGTGCAACAAGTTTGGTACTGTCCTCGATGTTAAGATTCCCCGGCCCGTTGGAGGAAGCAGACAATCCGCTGGTGTTGGCAAGATTTTTGTCAAGTTTGAAACGAAGGAGGCGGCCAAGAAGGCGCTCCAGGCGCTTGCAGGACGCAAGTTTGCGGACCGAACCGTTGTCACGACCTACTTCCCAGAGGTAAGCCCCCCCTCCTAACCAAACATGGAACATGACTGATCGTAACCGCTTTGCAGGAGAACTTCGAAGTCGGTGCTTGGTAATAGTTGTCCTGTTGGACAAATAGGAGATTGGGAAATGATTATTGGGGTCGGCGTGTCTAGGCGGGAGAAAATTCCAGGCTGATCATCTTTGACTGCCTTGTAACCAATCAAAACTGCTGTATCATATTTCTGCGACACGTTCAAGCAAGGCATGGAGCTTTCAGTTAGTCGCAAAAGTTACACACAAAGACTAGTAGAGCCCATGGCTATGGTCTTTGGTCATTATCATACAAGGTGTGGTCAAATTTCACAGAATGCTCCAGCACTTGGATGCAACGAGGCTACCGTGTTGATATGGGTGCACATTCTATAATCTATAGGAAGATTAGTTTATGGCAGCATCAGCCGAAAGAATGCTGGGCTTAGGGGACTGGCTTCACAGTATGCCATGTCACTGAATTCATGTTTGGTTTGGTCTCAATCTTATTCTTAAAGTAATCAATTTGCTATCTGCAACACAGGATACCATGTTTATCCCACGTTTTCTTCAAATTTGGATCCTAAAGACACTTGCTTCACTTGACGCAGTGTCAACTGACCCGAAGATGCTGCAAGAGTTGCTTGATTGCCTTTGAACACTGTTAGTGTCTTGTCCAAATCACAGGATTTGAGAAGAATAAGAGAAAGAAGGTGCAAATGTTCAGAAGTCCAGTTCATTCATCAGGCCCGAAGACCTTAAAATAAGAGGTACCAGAAAAAAGTAAAGTAGGTGATGATCATCATTTGATGCGAGGGGAATTGTTGGATAGAGGACGGAAATCGGCTTACCTGAGCGAGTAAAATGCAACGTTGATTCGCGACCTGCAGCCAGCTGCGGTTGCTATTGATTCATCAAAGAGATGAAGTTGAAGGAGCAGGAAGAAAAACCTGAGCTCACCGCGCTTGATGTAAGCAAAGAAACGCACGGGCCATATTCAAGCTGCGAGGTCCCGCAAGTATCCACTTAGCGGGTCTGGATGCCAAAATTTTCCTGAGAGAAGGAACAACCACTCCCGTAGGCCAAACACACATACTGCCCTAATTAAGCGAGGATCTTCCGGCCGCACAATCCTCCACCCACCGCCCCAGCGAGCGCAGCCTCAACCATTGCAAAAGTTGGATCGTGAACTTTTTTTCCCTCTCTTCCAAATCCGACCAGCGACCGACCGACTGACCCCGACCAGCCGACAATCAACCACCACATCAAACCGTCAAGATGGGCCGTCTTCACTCCAAGGGAAAGGGTATCTCCTCCTCCGCGATCCCCTACTCGCGTAACCCCCCCGCGTGGCTCAAGACCACCCCCGAGCAGGTCGTCGACCAGATCTGCAAGCTGGCCAAGAAGGGTGCTACCCCTTCCCAGATCGGTGTCATTCTCCGTGACTCCCACGGCGTTGCCCAGGTCCGCGTTGTCACCGGTATGTTTTTCCTGAGTCGAAAGACGACTTCTGGCAAATTCGACGTAAGACTAACTCGAGACCCAGGTAACCGCATTCTGCGTATCCTCAAGTCCAACGGTACGACCCCTTACGAGTGAACAATCAAGCGGCGATGCGACTTGATCGCATTCGAAAAGAAAAAAATCGTCCGCAAGAGAATGGGGAAACCCTCTCTTTTACCCGCATAATTATGCGCCTCTGTTTGGTCTAGGCTGACAGAGAGATGATGAACAGGCCTTGCCCCCGACCTCCCTGAGGACCTGTACATGCTCATCAAGAAGGTACGAAACGGCTCCCCGTGTCTCAAGTCTCGGAAATTTTTTGGAATTGCGGAGCAGATTATTGACCATTGGTTTGTGATGACTACAGGCTGTTGCCGTCCGCAAGCACCTTGAGCGCAACCGCAAGGACAAGGACTCCAAGTTCCGCCTGATTCTCATCGAGTCCCGTATCCACCGTCTTGCCCGCTACTACAAGACCGTCGGTGTCCTCCCCCCTACCTGGAGATACGAGTCCGCCACCGCCTCCACCATCGTCGCTTAAGCGTCTTCGTCGTCTCCCTGATCTGACGGTAGTCGTTCTTCGACAACGAAAAAAATGGAATGGAAGTCGTGTCGCAAATGAAAAAAAGACGCGCACGCCGCGCGGGGTGGATTCTGGTCATGGAGTTGGGGTATTAAGGATGTTTGCATTTAGAGCTCTGATGCACAACAGCTCTGGACTAGGCCCGGTGGCCGTCGTCGCGGTTTAGCCAAGGAAGAAACCAAAAAGTTAACCACACCCCCCCGTCAACTTGAAAAATAGTAGACAAATCCAACAGAAGAGGATTCTCTCTTTCCATGGCATATCGCAACGTCCCTATAATATCTTTTTTTGCCGGGCCTATCATGATGATTTCAATTAAAAGTTTATGAGAACTGTGGTATCATTCGTGTCGTCATGACCTGAAAACGGTAATGCTGAAAGACCCCCCATCAACACTTTTCGATGCCTCCTGAACGCCTAGCTAGTCCTAAAAGCCATTGAAAATGCTGAAAGACCTTCTGATGCCCGTCCCTCATGTCCATCCAAGCCCCAATATCAACTATTGATGTGTGGGCGCATGCTCTTAATTGGCGTTGGTGCCTTCGCCGCGCTCTCTCGACTTTTGGATGAGGAACTCGCCCAACACCCTCAGAGGGTCCGCCGGCCTGTAAAAGAAACTTTTGTTAATATCGCGCCTTCCTTCAAGCTGGTCGTTGTAGTGGACTCACTGGTCTCTACCAATAATCTTCATGCCCTCCAGCAACGCGGCAGTAACGGTAGAGTTGATGTACATGCGAGCGCTGTCGCCATGGGGCGTCGCCTGGCTCGGGAGGTTGACGGCATTCGCGTCGGGGTGAACGGAGCCGGCGCGCGAGCTCGCCTCGCCGTTGTTCAAGTTGCGGCTGGGGGTTCCAGTGCGCGCGGGAGCAGCAGCAGGGCTGGGAGCACTGGCAGCAGCTTGGGGGATCGGAGCGGGTGACTTTTGAGCAGGTTCTGTTAGCATGGTATTGTGAGAGAAGGAGGTAGTGCTTGCGGCCTTACAGATGCTACCTCGGCCGCATCAGCCATGGATGTGTCCACACTGTTAGTGCTGGCTTCAGCCGCAGTGGTCGCAGGAGCTGGAGGCATCGTGGAGTCTGCTGATGGCGGAAGGGCAGGTGTTGGCGGTTGAGGAGTGGGTTCTGTTGTGGGTGGGTTGGACATTCTGAAGGAGAAAAGGTCGGTCGCAGATGGAGATGAGTTCGGTTATTTATATTAGGTGGACTTAATGACGACTAAGCTGTGGATAGCTGGGTTGTTTAAACGACGAAGCCTAGTGATTCTCGTCGGTGGTGAGGTCTGCACGAATGAAGCTACGAGAAGAAAGGGCTCGGCTTTGAGAAAGTGTTTTGAGGTGATGCTGAGGAACAAGTTTCTGAATGTGCTAACAGGTACAAATTTTGCACTCATGCGACGGAAAAAGCAATTGAGGCAGGTTCGTGTTGTTATAATGTGTTTTTCGTCATCAATGGATTGCGACAAGGCCTTCAGATTGGGGGAGTCTTACGGGAAGATTTGGTGGTCTTTGGTCGAAGCTCATTTACGCGGGGTCACCTGACGTCGCGTTGCTGAATTGTGTTTTCCCCCTGTAGCTGCCTGTTTTCGGCGCGTCCCCGTCGCATGACGCCACGCAACAAGGCCTAGCCTTGGTGAGATCGACTTGTTAAGCCCCGCGCATCGGTGGGAAAATTGCCACTTGACAATGTTGGAATTTTTTTCGTTGAACGATGGATGCCTTCGTTCAGCGGCTGCCGCGTCCAAGGCCACAGTCGCCAGTAAAATCGCCAACGAGGCCATCGCCACTAGGTGAACGGCCGGCCAAGAAGGTCAAGGTTGAGATTGAAGATAGCGATGGCGGCGACGATGACAACTCTGCCACAGAGGATGCTGATACCTCAGGACTGACTGTCAACGATGCCTCTGATGACGAGGATGAAAAAGATCGCCACATTCGTGAGACTGCGATCGAGAGCGCTCTGCCGCCAATCCAGGCTGACAAGGAGGCTATCGAGGAGTACGAGCTGATGAGAAGTTCTCAAGTCAGCGCCGCCGATGAGAAAGATCCTCCTTCGTCAGACCGGAAGTGGGTTCGGGGCAAGAGCTCTATCTATGTCGATGCCTTCAATCTCGCATTAGATACTGTCTTGGCGGACGAATCCCATCTGTTCAACGCGAAGGAGCTCCATGTCTTTGAGCAGTGGAAAAATCTCGACTATGAAGCACAATATCTGTAGGGTATCTTTGTTGTCATTTCTTTTGCAGTGGGCTGATGTTTGTACAGTTACGTCCGCCTGTTCCTTCGTAAGACATCCGCTTGGCACCGTCAGGACCGGCTAGGATACTACAGTGATATTTCTGATCCAGAGTTGGCAATCAAAACTTTGCAAGAGACCAGGGATCTCCCAGAAGTGGAAACTTCGTCGCATAGCAATCCCGTGGAGGGTGTTGATCTCGAAGAATTTAGTTTGAGCGATACCTTCACGTTTGCTGACGCCTCAGAAGAGCACATAACGACCATCGAAGAAGCATCTTCGCTTCTGAGTCTTGATGAGCTCAAAGATCTTGCTAAGGAGGCAAAGTTTCAAGGTCGGAACAAGATGGATCTGGTGAAGGCGCTATGTCGAACGAGCCATCAGCAAACCGGGCTCTTCGCACATGGGCTACAAAGATCTGCCAGTGGAGAGTCTCAGAATGCTAATGGGTTTTTGGGAGGAGGACGCGATACCCCTCCACACTTGGCCAGGCAGGACTCGAACCGGACAGCACACTTTCTAGAAAAGATCAGGGCCATGACCGGTCCCTGTATCAGGCTCTCACCCTTGACTTACAGGCTCTTTGAGAGAGTTCACCTTGTCTTCTATCGGTCAGCAGAGTGGACGGAGAAGTCTCTGACAGCGATCATACTCGCTAGCATTGCTCGACGAAGCTATCCAGACTATATCGTCTGCAGAAGCACAAACATTTTCGCTTCTCGTAGGCACGTTCTCGAGTTCGAGGCCGCAATTCGCGTCGAGGCAGAGGTTGACTCTGTCCTGGAGTTCAACGGACCACCCGGCGAGGCAGGCTTCCGCAAAATTGTTGATGTCTTCGACCGGGTGTATCCCCGCTGGAAGGCCCTCTTGAGAGAAGAACAAGAGAAGGAGGAGCGGCTTTATGAAGAAGGTGAAGGTGCCTACCTCAGAAGATTCACGCCTGTTCACTCTTACACCCGTATCATACACAAGGCGGCGTATGTGTTTGGAAAGCTAAAGGACTACGAACGCGAACATTCTCTTCTCACGGAGCTCCTAGACCAGCATTTGTTCCACCCAGCACGAAGAGGGAGTTGGTACCAGCGCAAGGCTTTACTGGAAGAGCATTACATGCACGCTCTAGATGCCAAACCAGTTTCGACGGACCCAGATTTGCAGAAGAAACATTGGAAACGAATAGCTGCTGCGACGTGCGAGGCAGGTCTCCAAGATAACGACTGCCACTTGATTTTCCACTATGACCTCCAAAAGCGGCTCGTCAAGCTTGAGAAACAGCTTCGTATACCCCGTCGACTACAACATGATTTTGGTCATGTCCGTCTCCAAAAGCCCGTCGAGCACACTGTTGAGGGAATCCAGTTGAAGAAAGAAGACCCCCAAGGCAGGAATGGCCGTCTAGCAAGCACCAAGACCGTTTGGGTCGACGAGAGGGAAGATGGCGGCGAATGCAGTGTCGAGGAAATGTGCCTGAGCTGGTATCGCGGCCAGGGATACAAAGGTTACCACGCCGAAGGAGGCATCGTGCGAACCCTCTTTGCCTACCTCTTTTACGACATTCTGTTTCTTTACATTCCCAACGTGTTCCAGACAGCCTACCAAACATGCCCTCTGGACTTACACACCGACGCTTTCTACCCAACTCGAGCCTCTGAGATTAATCACCGTTTAGTGGATATTGCGAATGGTGGTGCGGAGCGCATCATCCGAGAGGTCGACAACAGAGAACGTGAGCGGAGAACCTGCGTTATCGGGCTCAACTGGGATTACGACGTCGAGGATCTTGTAGAACTCGTCGGGTGCTTCAACGGCAGCGCACTGGCCGCCGTCTGCAAGGTGATGGCACAGGAGTATCGACAGCGGGGCGGAGGCCTGCCCGATTTGATACTCTGGCGGACGGAGCCAGAGAAGGAGTGTATGTTTGCCGAAGTCAAGAGCGCCAACGACCGGCTCAGTGACACACAAAGGCTATGGATCCATGTGCTCACAGGCGCAGGCGTAAAAGTGGTGCTCTGCAACGCTGTGGCCAAGGAAGTGAAGATTGTGGACTGAGCATGTCAATCTCAGACGCGGTTTACGTGTGGAACTGCGGTTTACTATTATGAGACTCATCTCGGGATATTGCATGGTATCAAGCGGAGATTGCTTTGATATCCGGCGCTTGAAAAAGATGGAAGCGATACTGCTATGGGCTATGCCAGCGGCAAGGAATCCGACATTGGACTCGCTTCGAAAGCTGTGAAACTAACTCAACTCTTGGAGTTTTACGAGCTGTCGTTGCATTTCCCAAGCTTAGCTTAGCTCATCTCACGAACAAGGAATACGGCCGCGAACACGACATTTGTGCTCCTAAAAATAGTCGTTGATGTTCGGAGATCATCATATGCGTACCGACCCATGGAAGCATCGAAGCGTGGAGAGAAGACTCTGAAACAATGGGGCCATCCCCCCCTGGAGGCTGCACCTCAGCTCTTCACATCACCGGTCAAAGAATCAGGTTACGATGCTGCAAAGACAAGCTACCAATCACACGACCGAGATTGGCACTCCTTGTTTCAATATCATCATTTGACGAAGCTGTCGAGACGTCTTGGCTCGTGTTTCAGCGGATGCCAGGGTATAGCAGCACGCGGCAACGGGGGATGGAGGCTTCTAATTCTGGTATCAGATTATCCAGAGAGGTCCAGTCAGACACGACGGCGGAACGGACAGGGTTCGGTTTAGGTCGGAGATTTTTCCTCATTCCCTGTGACCAATCACGGAGTGCCGATGAGATGGGCTTGACGGTTTTGAGGAGGAGACTAGGCGGAGGGAAGCGTTTGCGCTGGAATAGGCTTCGGCGGAAACCAGGACGGGGAATGGGGCCTCACGCCGTGTACGGGAGATAGGGAAATTTGCCCAGACGTGCAGCTGTGCTTATTGTTTCTGATACTACTGCTGCTGCATCCTGAGAAGGAGTTGTCACACACGGCTGGCCTAGCATTTTTTTTTGTGCGTGGCTAACGTGGTCCAGGATACGTTCACGTAGATGCTAATGTACGGGACGAGGATACCGGTCATAGCGTTAGACGGCAAATCTCTTTAATTTCTTCACCGCCAGATGGAAGAAGGGTTGCTGTTGGTAACCAGCCAGCCTGATATCGTTTGCTTCTAACACGGCGACCAGGCGAGGAGAACAGCAACCAGCATGATCCCGTATACAAGTGCATCCAATCTCTCTCGTCTCATCTTTCGTCTCTTCACAAGGAATCACCATCCTTGACTCCTCCGGGAGAGCGACGAAACAACGTTTTGTTCCGAGACTAAGAGTGGCAGGCAGCGCGTTCAGACGACTACCTACTCTGTTCCCATCCAGGGTCGCAAAGGAAAAAAACCACACAGCCAGAAAAGTGCACAATGCTCCCCACACACAGAGCACGCCGGGCGCTTAACGCCCCCGACCAATCCCCTTCCGCCATCCGCCAGCCGTTGGTGACGGTCCTGACGGGAACCGGGACACGGCCGCATCCCTGCAAGCCCCGACCAACCACGACCCTGGACGCCGAAGAGGACAGGCGCTTAGCAAAGTTAGGTGACTGGGGGGGGAGCACTGTAGTGTACGCGACCACTTCCACAACCCATGCAGCGCCCGGGATTCCGGGTCATACCATGGCCGGATCTGGCATAGCGGCACAGGCTGCTTTTGCTGCTTGGGACGAAGGGGTGGAGGAGGGGAGGTGATTCTCACTGGTGGGCGGTTCTCTCTGGTGGGCGGTACTTTTTTTTTTCCCATGCCCAGTGAACGGCGCTCCCGTCACGGCTTCGGAGCCGGATGACCTACGCACCCTTTTTTTTCTTCTGTCCTTTGCTGCTTTCCACCCTTCTCTCATGTCTCTTTTTTGCTTTTTTGTCATTCTTTCGTTATGTGGTGGGTGGTGAGTGGTTGATGGCTCTTGATCTCAACCGCGAACATGCTGCAAGACATCTTTGGACCTGACGCCTAGGCGTGTGTGTATGTGCAGCGCAGACTATGGGGGGACCGCAGTCAAGTCATCTACCTCTACCTACCTTACCTCACCCCATCCCACGAAAGTGATGGAAAGGCTAAGACGACGAGGGGAGCCAGGGGGGGCGGGTTGAAAGGGCATGGGTGTAGTTTTTACATTTTTTTTTTTTTTTTTTTACTACAGTCGTTGCAACTCCAAACATTAGCTCGGCATGAGAATGAGTAGCAGTCAAAGAGGGCGGCTGGACAGACACTGGATCATGAATGATAGATGGATCATTCGCGCGCCATGGCTGTTGCTGTTGAGCGGAGAACTTCCCATCCACCCCCCCTCCTTTTCCCCCTTCTTCCTCCCCTCCAGTTCGGGGCTGCGCTGCACTGCTATCCCAAGTTTTTTTTTTTTTTTTTTTTTTTTTTTTTTTTTTTTTTTCCAAGAAAGAGGATGCTTTGCGAAGCGGGCTGGCTTTATGAGGGGAAAGAAAAATGAGATCGACGAGCTGTTGCTACTACACTACCGGGATCCTCCCTTCCATAGCCTGCCTGCTTGTTTTGTGATGCGCGCCTTTGTTTCCCCCCAACCAAAAAAGAGTGAGCAAGCAAATGGACAGACGAACTGAAAGGGGGTAGCGGGATGGGATGGGATGGTTCCCCATCATGTCCCTCAGCGCAAATCGAGGCGGGAGCGGAAGGTTGCTTCTCTCTCATCGCGATTATGAGTTCTGATCCCCCCCCCCCCCTTCTCCTCCTCCGAACCACGCACACACATTGCTCCCGTGATCTCTCCCTGTGCCCCTCCCCTCCTTCGGCGCTCTCATGTCCGCCTGTTGAGGTTCCGGTGTAGTCTTCTTTTCCTCTCTCTCGCGGGGGCATGGTTCCTTTATACACGCCCGCCAGTGAAGTCACTTGAAATCAGCATCATGTATGCAGAGAACGAAAACAGGGCGTTTCTCGGCACAAATATCCCCTCCCATCTGTATTTTTTTTGTTTTCTTCATCGCTTCAATGTGCCCAAACTTTCTGCTTCTATGCGTCATATTCGTCTGCCCACCCCCCCTCCGGCCGACCACCTCTCGGCCATCGCGGCCTCCATCCTACCTGCAAGCGGGGCCACATACAAACGGGGACGCAGGCCGCATCGACGGCCGCGCTGCACGAGCACGCTGGCCGTCATACGGTAAACAAATAAACACAGCCATCACTTTTGCGGTCAAGGGTGCAGGATGGTTTGGTTTACACACAGTTTGCTGATTAGACTACCTGGCTTGCTGTATACTAGGTATCTCGGCACCTGATTGAGCCTCTCCTCCTTTCCCCGCCATGTCTGCCCACCAAAAAAATAAAAGACAAGGACGTATTCCAGTCCTTCCACCCCCTGTGATTCCTGGTATCGAACATGAGCATCGTGTAGATGACGCCAGAGAACTCCGGTTTGTCCCAGTGTAGATTGGTTTGAAACAAGAAAAACATGTAAGAAAAATTCGAGTCGCTTTCCTCCTTTCTTTCGCGCAATATATTTCCGCCCAGTTGAACCAATAATTGGTAGACTCCGCCGTCCCGCCTTTCGTTTGAAGGGTATGGTTTGCGCTAATGATGTGCGCTGGTGTGCTTCCGTTAAGTCATGTCGTTTGGATAAGTCCCTTGTGGGAAGAGCCTGCTTCATCACATTTCCTTTTTTTTGTTGCCGTGGCGCTAGGCCTGTGTTATGGGGTGATGGGTGGTTTGCGGTTTCGGTTGGTTGTGTTGGATGTTGGATGTTGTATTAGACAAAGGAAATACAGGGATGTTGTTTGGGCTTGTTGGTGAGAGTTAATTTGCTTGTGATCTGAGAATCATTCCACCTTCCTCCTCTTGCCTTTCGGCGCTGGGTTCATTCTTGGCGTGTATGTCACTGTCCGCGTGACAACCTCACGGATATGCTTCACACTCGTCCTTGACGGCTTCTTGGCGTCGTTTAGCCTCTTTGCCTTGAGTGCTGCCTCCCAGTCAAATACTGAGTGGACAGATCTGGCGCTGAATGGCGAGCGCATAGTGCTGGCGCTGATGGGAGAATCTAGGTGTGATACTGCTGGCGAAGGCGGGATCTTGAGGCTCGGGAAGCAGTTCGCGCCAGTGGGAGGCGCAGACATTGGCAGCTGAGTGAAGGGGCTCGGGGGAATTGCGGGAGCGGTGGCTGGAACCTTGTGTTCGAGCTCACATTTGCAAGAGACGTCTGTCTCTTCACTTGTAGTGGTCGACGGCGCCGAATCAGCAGTAGATTCGGGCGTAGTGTCACCAGAAGTGGATGGCTTAAAGGCGGCTGGCGAGTTGAGGGACATGACCTTCAGGAAGTCCGTGTAGGCGGTTGGCGGGCTGATAGGTGTCTTGATGGGAAGATCTTTGCAAGACAAGGGCCGGGCGGAAAGAGGAGTCGTAGCAGAAAAGATCGTCTCCGAAGGAAACGTGCTGGTTAGTGGCGTGGCCAGCTGTGCCAACTTGGGCTTGTTGCCAGGCATGTTGACTTGAGGCGGGAGAGTGAGTGAAGGCAAGGTGGTAGCGAGTGTGTTCCGGGGAGAGATGTCCAGTCAACCGAATGACTCTGACTTGGTGAGGGAAAAGTCAAGCTGCCTACGAGCTGCAGAGACAAAGTCGCCTGTGGGAGAGGAAGAGAGGGCAGGTCGGCAGTTGAGAGGGTGGGAGGACGTTATATTATTTCAGAGAGGTGAGAGGGCGCTTGTGTGGTTGTAATGTAAGTGGCCAAGGTAAGGTTGAGAAATGACCGCAGGGCGAGGTTAAGCTCTGACGGCGGCAAGGAAGTCGAGGAAAAGCTGAGGTGCTCCCGGAAGTCTGGTCTGGGGTTGCTAGGGGGGTGAACAGGTGGGAAATAACAAGCCGGTACTATTCGTCAGGGAAGCGTTTGGACTTTGGGCGGGAGACCAGCAGACAGACAGGAAAGCTGGCAGTCCGTCCTTGGTTGGTAGACTGGACGATGGGAGGGGCAGACGGGGAGGGGTGTGAGAGGGGGCGTGATAGTGATGGGATCTCGCGAAAGGAGGGGTGTGGTTGTAAGAAGAGCCTGTACAAAATTGCTGTTGTAGCGCGTGGAGGATCCTGTGAGGTGAAGAGGAGTCGTGGTGCGTTGGTGACAATAGGCACGAATGGTCCAACGAGAATCGAGGCGTGGCGCGCGGCGGGAGCGTCGACGGGAGTGAGAGACACGAGTAGGAGCAGAAGAGCGTGGTGGTGGGGATGGGAGCAACAGAGTGGACGGGAGTCGATAGAGGAGGCGGCCGGGATGCCGTTAAAGCGGCAAGGGGACAGCGGGTAGAAGGAACTTGATTGGCCACAGAGCCTGGACAAGCGACGACTCGATTCGCTGAGTGGGCGCGTGTGGTGTGTGGTGTTCACTGCCTTAGTGCGTGCTGAGCCTGCTGCAGGAGACAGCGCGACAGCGACTGGGCAGTGAGACGGGGCCTGGCAGGATGGAGAAGACAAAACAGACAAGGGTTCGACGAGTAAGGCTAATTTGCCTCTACGTTATCCCTATTGGGACGAATAGGTTTGTTGCACGCCAAAAGAAAGCGGGCAAATTTGGGGGCTCTGATTGACCCGGCGATGGTGACCTTCCCACGCAGTGATGGCTGTGATGTGCTGTGCTTCGTGTGCTGTGTGCTGTGTGCTGTGTGCTGTGTGCTGTGTGCTGTGTGCTGAGCGAGCCCAAAGCCCTTGTTGGTTGCCCTGTGCTGTGATGGGATGTGCTCTTTGCCGTTCCTTCGTTAGTGCTGTTGGTGCTTCGAACACGAAACCGCCAATTGGAAGTAATGGCTTGGAAGAAGCGGTTGGCAGACGACAATGGCTGGGATTACCGTTTGTCCCGTCTTGCTATCGTGGATGCCTCGTAGCCTCTCGCCCGGGATGTGTGGTGTAAGGAAGTCTTTTGGATTCGGTCCACGGTCGTCGGGTATCAAGAAGCCCGTGATGCGGTACTGGACTATGATGACGATGATGTTTATGTTTAGGCGTATTAACAAGGATTGGGTGCGCAGTACAGGTAACCGGCACCTGTAAATGTAATTGTCCAGTAACGATCAAGTCCTGGGTTTCTGAAGTCGCGAGGTTACGAATCCCCGCAGCATCAAGTGGATGAGATGCGTTTTGGAAGTGGAGAGGATGGCAGAGCCACTTCTAGGCTGGCAAGAGAGCGAGAAGCTTGAAGTTCGAAGTGAAGCAACCCAAGCTAAAAGACGGCAGCTGCCCAGAGCGGATAGACCTCGATGCTGGTCTGAAGCTTTAATTGAAGCTGTGATTGGTTGCCTCAGAGGCCGAGGTGAGGTGTTGTGCAGTACGGCCTGCCCGTAGCTGGGGCTAATGGGGATGCTTGGAGGCGCTAGAAAAGCCCGCAGTAGCCAGTGAAAGCCAGTGGAGGATGTCTCTAAGTGCCAGGGACCAGGGCAGGAGTTCGGGCTCCGTTCCGCGGATGTCTTACTATTCTTAGTGCTGAGTCCTTCTGATTGGAGCCTGTCCAGCGGCGCTTTCTCACCTGCACTTATGGAAGCCGTCCACCAGATCTCGCATATGACTCTTCTGCCAGGAAGATGTTTCGAGAGCTTGCACCGACGGTGATGGGTGGCAAAGCTTGGTTGGATTCCTGTTGGCTGATGGGAACTAGGAAGCTAACGGTGGCAGGACACAATAGTTGATGACCTGCTTGGGGGGAACGTCTTGATGACGATGAGTTCGGGCAAAGAGGAAGCAAAAGAGAAAACTCTGCCGTCTTGGGGTGTCGTCAGACTTCGTGATCAAATGTGGGGCAAGAATGAAAAGCCGGGAAACAGAAGCCGCGTACGTGAGCTGGGCAAGGAAAGAAGGATGCAAGGAGATGGAGATGAGCCAAGGTGGAAGCCACGGAACAGTGGAAAGGCCAAAATTGGGCAAGTACGATGAGGTTTGACTTTTGGAAGGAAAGCGCTGGGCTCTCGACTTCTAATTTGGAGGGGAAAGAACGAAGGAATGATCTGATCACGAGATTCACTTTCTCAATTTCATCGGATTCATACTTCATTTTATTCAACTGTTTGTTTGTTTGTTTACATGCAATTTCTTCTTTTCCCTGGCTGCTCTATTTTCGACTCGTCTCCATCTCGGCTTTCGTTTGCTGCTTCACTCCGCGCGCGGCACCTCTTTTGCGTCTCTATTTTGACGCATCATCGAGTAATCTGAACCTGTCTTTTTCTTTGCTTGAAGCGCTCTCAACCCCAAAACCATCCAAAAACCACCCACCAGTTCGTCCACCAGCCATCTGGCCAGCCGGCGGCGGGCTGTTTGAATATGAGAGCGCGCGCCATGTGATGCACAGCTACAATTGGCGCCCTGTCACTACCCTACCGTTGGCTCTCGATGGCCACAAGACTTGCACCCATGTATCGAATATCCGCCAGAACCCCATAACAAGGCCGGCAATCTACACGCCTTATTCCGATACACTCCTTTCCGTCCCCGGGCTCACAGCGCGCGCGTGTCTGTGCAAGGTCGGGTTATTGCCCGGTCTGTCGACCCTCCGCTTCCGCCCGCATCAACTTGTCTCGGAGAGTGACGAGCATTGCGGTCGAGCCCTCCCAGACATCGCTTCTGGTTCATGAAGCCGCCTACAATCTGCCGACTCTTTACTTTTTCCTCATTTTCCCTAGCCGAGGGCCTAGGCTGCTCAATCCTTCAATAAGCGCTTTCCAGCATCCTACTCACTTTTGTCATTCGTTGGTCAGTGGCATCGAATCCTTCGCGCCTGTTCCCTGCGTTCCGCCTGCAATTTCATTTGCTCAAACTGCGCGGCCTCGCGCACATCCGAACAAACTTCATATTGCTCCTTGGCTGGTATGCAGCCACATTATCTCGTCAACAGCTGCGGTAAGGCACAGTCGAATGCTGTTGGACCACACGAGCGATGTACTGCTGCGTTTACAACGAAACCAGAATCCTTCCGTTGGAAAGCAAGCGTTATCGCAACGTGGCCGACCTAAAGTGGTCGAATCCTGATCTTGGGAGCCCAATGGCAATGAAGGCCGTGTTTGTTGTGCCTTGAACCCCCCGTCAGATTGTATGCGGGCCAGGCTGAACAGACGCCTCTCATGTATGATGGATGTACTTAGCACGCCCATGGTGTAAATGTTGGACGCCACTACTCTACGGTTTTCTTGAGGTATGCTAGCTTCCTGAAAAGCGGCGGCTGTCCAGTAGGCCGACGAATCATGCTTGCCTTGACTTCTCATACGAAATATGTAAAGAAGCTTTGGGTCGCTTACGCAGAGACCAAGGTTCGATCCCCAACATTCTACCCCCTGGATCAAGGAGTGACATCCCAAAGTGCAATGATTTGGCGTGACCACACATACTTCTACGAAGCGTTTCCGCTTTCTCCGAGATACTACCACTGCCGCTCTTCTCTCTTATCCATCGTTGGTTTCTATATGCCCTAGCTGACGACATTTTCTTGTACAGAAAGGCTAATGCAAAGGTTCAATTCATGGCCATGACCCAGAAACCCAGAGCGGTAACTATCAAGGCTACTTTTAAAACGCCGGTAAATCTCAAACCGTTACTGGCTACGCTCATGCATGAAATGTTTTTAGTTGCTTCCAAATGCCGACACATGTGTTATGAGGACCACGCTGTCGTACTGGCTCATTCGCCAAAATTAGCAATCCGGCCGTACAACATGCGGCCATGGCCCGTGGATGATAGGATTGTCCATAGAGTTATCAGTGTAGACGCTCTTGTACGTCACATAGTCTCCGTAGGGTGGCATCGTGTCTTCTTAGTGATGTTCATTGGTTGCTCACTACACTACAAGATAAACAGGAGAGCTGACTTGGACGTGTGTTTTCTACTACCTTTGCTGATGGTATTCTAATGACACTTTGTGTGCGGATGAGACGTTTGATGCATGGCCTTTAATCAAGTTGATGTAAGCTTGGCAGGGTTGCGAAGGGAGCTGTGCTCGAGGGATATGGTGACGATAGACGCCATATCCAGAAGGACATGTTTTAAGATTTGAAAGCCAATGTTATGAGCGTGGAATTCTGATTAAGAGGTAATGACAAAATAACCCGCCATGAGGGCTAGTGCCCCACAGCGCGTTGTACACCGTCTTACCTTCACTGAGTTATCTAGGTATTGACATTGCATGAGCTAAGGAAAGCAATAATGATATCAGGATTGGATTTGAAGTATCAAGGGAGGAAGGTGAAACTATCAAGAGTCTATAAATCATGTAGAGCCTTCGCAGTCACGCGAAGTCGAAGCTGGCCCAGCTAAACCATCTAACGACAATTCAAAGACGTCAAACGTTCATGTCCTACAACACTCGACTCTTACCACCAACTCTTACCCTTTTCGTTACTTGCGCCTTCTCTCTGCAACTTGAGGAGCACATTGTTATATACATTCACTCTACACGTGTAAATCTCCGAACCAGAATCCTGATCAACACCTCGAACTATGTTCGCCGTGATGCGTACTGAGCCCAACTTTACCTCAAAAGATGTTGGGGAAGCACTATTCGCGAGGGTAAACCTCCAGAGCCCTGAAGACCAGTACCCTTCAGCTCCACTCGGCGCTTTTGTCCCGATTTGAGCGATCGCAACCCGGGGTTCATAAGGGTACATCCCCTTGCCAGTGCTGCAACCGAGGAAGACGTGCTTGTCCTCTGAACCTTCCACCACTGCTCTGATGGAGACGTAGCCGCTGAATTCGGTGGCGTCGGGGACGAGGAACTGCGAGGTGCTCTCGTCCCAACTCTCTCGGGGAACTTGGCCAGATATCTCAGTGCGCGTTCCCTGGTGGTTTTGTATCCGGATCCGAATGACTTTCTTGAGAGCTTCATGGATCTGGCTATGGATTGAGGGGTTCACGTGAAGAAGCACGCAGACGTCTTCGGCAACTTTTGGCTTTTCGGATGGAGGTATGCTGATTTGCGCCGGCACTCTTACAAAAAGGCCACGGCCGATCTTCCGAAGAAAAATGTCGGTATTCCTTGGGGTTTTACCATCCAGCTGTGATAACTCGTAGGGAACCTCCCAACCGAAACATTGGATTCCCGTGCGTGGGGTCCAGTAGAGCGTCTGCTTGCCGAGTTGGATGCCGCGGTTGGTAAGGGAAGTTGCCTGCCTATCAAATGGGACCCAGGATCCCGGCTTATGCCTCATTGATCCGCAGTCCGCAAAGTCTGCTGGTGACTTGGCAAACATATCGCAGAATCGGAGTTTTGACAACTCCAATATTGTCTCTTCCTCGTTTGGGTTGGATATGGCGGGCTGAGTCCGCGGGGGCGAAAAGCAAAAGATCGATGTATCGTTATAACGCCGAATTATTTCTTCTTGGAGTCGTAAGAATGCTTTGTCTCCTTCGCCGTACAGCATGGGCATGTTCACGTCGAAGATACCGAGTAAGCAGTATGCAGTGTCTTCCTCGCGTGTCGTGATCCGCTTCGATGCCCACGACATCCTACGGGCCACTGGCAAGGAATACATGACGCTGCAATCTTCCAGAACGTCCCCATCCACACCAGTAATCGCGGCGATTGTAGGTTTCAACTCAGATTTGGAACCCCGGTAATTCCAAGACTCATCGTAAAAGGCAACAACCTTTGGAGCTAACAGCTCCTGTAGACACCAGCCACGAGCGAACCATCGACAGTTCTTCAGAGCTGTCTCGGTATCCGAAGCACTGACGGACAGGTCGGCGAGGTAAGCGAAGCAGATTTGGGAGTCTTGGTACCAGCGGAACATGGAGTTGATGGCCTCGCTCAGTTCGGCACTGCTCGTCTTGTCTATGCAACATGTGTCGACCCATGCGTACTGTATACCGCGCCGTTTCGCCTTTTGGCATGTCGCGACGATCTTGTGATACCCGGATTTTCGGGTTGCCTCGTGATCGGGGTTGTCGGCGATCTGGCACATCTCCTGGAAACTGACCTCTTCATCTTCGACCCACGTGTGTGATAGAACGGCATATCCCTGCAGCTTGCTGTTGCTGAAGAAACTCATCTGCAGCGTCTCCGTGTTGATTAGTCTAATGGGCATGTTGAAAGATGCTGTCCGCTGTGTGACAGAAAGCTGTGCAGAGACCAATGTAATGACAGAGCTAACAATATGGTATTAATCCGCGAAAACAAATTCTGACCGCCACACGAGATGCGAGGGACAAGAGATAAGGGCAGCCAAAAAAGAGAGACCGGAAATCATTCGAGAGAAATATAGCATGTCGTTCAGCCTGATGAACGTATAAAATGATGACATGCCTGCTTGGCAATGCCTTATCGGTCGCTAAGCCACTCGGCTATTCACGTGGCGCTTTTTCCTTTTCGAATAGCTGCGCCCGACAACTGCATTCTGCATGAACGTGAGGGTGGTTAGTGAGATGTAGGAGACTGGGATTGAGGAGAATGCGTCGAGATTGGTGACGGTACAATTGCCAAAACTACCTTACTAGACCTCATAGACTTATTTCCCAGGCCAACCTCTATCAACCCCTCGGTGATGATTTGCCGCAAAGAAGATGTGTTCCCAAGAATATGAATTGCACGGCCGCTCCGCAAATCATTGCAAATCAGCGCTGTTCGAAATAGAGTGAGGCATAAGGGAGATTTAGGTCGATCTCTTAGCTGTGAAATCGATATGAAGGATGAGCAACTGCCAGTACGTAACGGAGTCTCTTTGCATAGTCTAACTGAAAAGAGAGAAAAAAAGTCAAGTAGAGGTAAACATACAGATTATTCGCAATCTAAGTCACAATAGACTCGTCTAAGACCTCTTTGCATAGCCTCTACCTAGGTAAGTTGTGCTCTAACGCACCCCGCGCGCTCACCCAGGTCGCGCGACCTTAGTGCGATGATGATATGGGGGTGCTTGAGCCGTATTTTTTCTCTCCAATTTGCTTTGGCAATAACTGCCAAGAAAAACCTGCCCCCTTTTTATAACATGTATGGTGTCGTTCTCGCGAACCAAAACTCAAGAACGTGACTGTTTCATTGGACGTCCTTTGCACCAGAGTCAATGACTTGAATCCCTTCTAAATGGACTCCTATGGCAGACGAGGCTATATGTAGGGGATACTAGGATGCACTCAGAAGACCTAGGGTGTGACCTCACCTCCCTCCCACTAAGAAAGTGTTTCAACCATTTGAGATTAGTATTCAATTGAAGCTCAACATCATGAAAAGAAGCTGAAAATTCACAGAAGATGAGTCTGGAGATCAGACATTGTGTATATTGATCTGGAGCAGTCTAAAAGAGTGTTTCCTCTCAACGTGTATCATCCCTTAGTTGTCGGCTGCCTCAGCAAGGTGCCAATAAGTGCAAAAAGTGTACTATTCGAATCAGAGGTTGCAATAAATCTAAGAATTTCGTACATGGCTATGCAATCCTTCATTGAGTCCCTGAGGAGCTCTAGCACCTCCCCTTCTGGGGATCAGCACTGGTGAAATAATTAGTTCCGCGTACCATAATTGCTTTTTCGGTTTAGCTTACCGGAATCTCCAACCCGCAACAGTGTTTTGCCCTCCTTGGCTAACGCCGTTCTCTTGGCAGTCTCTCATGAGATTGGCAAATTCCTTCGTGCAGTCTCCATCGTTGAGGTCGAACGATTGCCGACTGTTTTCGTTTGTGACCCACATCTCGAGTTTGATATCGTTCTGAAGGTTGACACAAGCGAATTTCACCTCGTTTGTCAAGAAGATGCCTTGGAAAGCACCTCTCTTCCCGTCGTAACCTTCGCAAGCCCGTTTTGAATGGTACTTGATCAAGTCTGCAGTAGCTCTTTCGCCGGTGTAATAACAAGTAGCAGCGCTGGCGAGCGTGGCGCCTAGGATGGCAACAAAGGTGGCGGTCTTCATCTTGACAACGGTTTTTGTAATGCTGCTTGATACCAATGAATGATGAGTATTGCTGTATCATGAAATCTTCCAACTGAGAAACCAGAGGGGTCTTATATACTCAGAACTGGTTTAGAAACTGTCAAGTCCTTGAACAATACCAAGCCTTAGCATCGTATATTTCCTTACCTAAGTAAGATTATACCTGCTAGCTTGGCTGTATTGTCTATCGATAGTCTCCCCCACGTCGTATTAGAACTGATGTAAGCGAGTTTGACTGGACCTAGTAGTCTCCCATTTTTGGTAAGTTGAAGTATTTTAGACTTCTTTCTGCCTATTTGGATACACAATATCCTCGACTACTGCACGTCTTTAGAAGTCTACCCACCTCGCGTTTAACCATCTCCACCCGCAGATGTTGGGTCTGGCTAATAGTAGGAGCCGCCGCGTGCACGCTGTTTGACACTGTTTTGTCCTTACTGGCAACCTGAAATATGCATGCGGCGCTAACGCTGGGGCAGCTTTAGCATGGAGATGAATCAGGAAGGTAGTACGACGGAAGACGCAAGGTAGCGGGTCCTGTTTTCGATCTCGCTTACCAGTCACTTTTTTTTTTGGCGATAGGGGACCACTGAATATTACCATCTAATCATAAGATCGTTCGTATGTGCTACTCTCCTGCTCAACTTGAATTCAAGGTATTGTTTACATGCTAAAGTAATGGAGATATCATTCCCCCACTTTTCAAGAGCTCAAGGTCGAGACTCTGGGAGTCTTCGGGCCGTCTAGCTCTTCGGCCTTTCCTTGTTCGATAGCTTGGGTTTGCGTCAAATAGCAGCGGACAACCAGCAAGTTTGTGCTTGCCTCTGACTCCATTTTATTACAGCTGTTTAGTAAATCATTTGGCCCACCTATTCCGACGCGGATCCTAGCCATATTCAGTCTCACTCATCAGAGGCTTCAGTCAAAATTATAAATATGGATTAGGTGGCCTAGTTAGAAATATACACCATATAAGAGCTGATCGTTGAGCCTATTACATACTTTCCACGTCAGAATTGCCAAAGCTACAAGTTTATATGGAACATTTTCCTGGTTAATCCATCTTGCTATATAAGAGCCCTCCACCCACGCAATTAACACCCAATTATTGTTCCATGAGATTCGTCCGACGCCTAATTATACTTCATTTTCCCATTCTATAAAATCTGTGCCCAAACCCTCGGCACCTAAATCCATGTCCCATCTAAAGGGAATAAAAGACTCAGGATCACCACTAGACGGAAGCTGGCCTTCAAATAAAGCACTAGCTAAGTTCCTTGATGTCAGCTCAGTAGCTGCTTCTCCGATCGATTGTGCAAGGACCGGGGGCTGTGATCCCGATGCTGTTTGTTTCGTTGTTGCCTGGTGTGTGTAGGCATGAGGCATGAGGCTAGAGCCGTGAGGCCTACTGGTGGCGGTACGAGACAATCCAAAGCCAATACCACTATCCGCGAAGGATTCAATGGAGTCTGCTGGAGTCTGTGGCAGCTGTCGAACTTTTTTTTGAGAGCTGGTTTCTCTTGTCTCTGTAGTTGAACGAGAATTGATTGGTTGTGAGCAAAACCAACTGTCGAGCAGCCTATCGATTGTCTGAGAAAGGATTGGCTGTATATAGGTTTGAAAACTCGGCCCTGGCTTGGGCTCATCTGAACCTGCAGTTTCAAGTACCTCTGATAGTATCAACTTGGAGTTGTCTCGGCAATACCTCCGTAGCGACTCCATGGCCTCCGAAAGTTCGGTACCAACATAAGGAGAAGCAGGTTTCTGGCTTGAAGGATATAAGATGTGCCAAATTTTGAACCATTGGTCCTCCACAGACAACTTTGGGTCAGACTTTTTATTGAGGTCTTTTCGTTGGCGGGTTGTAATACCTTCCAGGACAGATGAAGGGGTACAAAAGAGGCCACCTCCGTCAGCATTAGAATGCTCGTCGAGCTTCTCTTGCGTTTCAAAGATGCTTTTACACCTACCACAATAGTATTCTGGGTCGTGTTTTCGGTGTATGTGTTGTTTAACGTCCTGTATACGGCTGAGTCTGAATTTGAAGCAGGCACGATGCTTTACCGGCTCGAACTTGGAAAACGGACAAGCAAAAGACATTCCCAACTCATTTCGAGACTTTTTGTGTGACGTCAAAGTTTCCCCTTCTTCAGGATCATCTTGGCTGTGTGAAAATACTCTCTTTCGACTTGATTTCGATGTTCTTGAGGGCAACAAGCATGTGTAAGCGACGTCCGTTGTGATAGATTGAGTGGAACGAGAATTATCCGTCGAAACACAATTTGACGGCCGTCCTTGACAAACTGTGGTCACAAAGTCTGCGAAAAGGCAGCTTGATACGAGCTTTATGACCGGGGCCATGAGTTGAAAGTCTACAGAATCAAGTTCCTCGGAATTGTCTGACAGCGAGAAAAGATCGGAATCCAGAGATGATTCCGATGATAATGGGGAGTTGGCGTGTTCATCATCTGATTTGCTTAATATTGAATCAGCGAACGTAAAGCTGTTGTTGAGATCCTCTTCCTTCCTTGATGGTTCAGAGCAATGCGCTGCTTCTGTAGTTGTGTATACACACTTCGTGCTATGAAAGGCTTTTTCCGTCTTTAAGGGACAAGAGGGGGTGGTGGGAAACCCATTATCGTTCAGGTCCGAATATGTCTCTTGAACAACACTCGATATTGCAGGATCTGTGTTTTCGAAGCGTGTCAACAAGGTCCTCTAGAGAAAAAGCGACTCTTCTCTCTTACCTTCGTTAAATTCGTCCTTGATGCACGATCTAATGAAGTGGCGACTGGTTTCCATATCCTTCAGGCTGAAAGGAAACGTTTTGACTTGTTCGGATTTATTTTTCAGTTCTGGACAAGAACAGGATAAGCCTCCAGGTCCTGGAGATTTGTGCCAGATAAAGATATCATCCGTTCGTTTCATAAGAAAGAAACGTTCCCTGAGTCCCATTAGTTCCTCCCATTTGCTGGGAGGACTGTATAAAAATCGGGACCCCACATTCGACAAAACTTTTGCGGACATTTCAAGCCCAGGCAATGCAGCTAAATTTCGCAAAACCGGATAGCCGCTCACAACAACCCAGTCTCCTCCTCCTATATCCGTCAAAGTATGTTGCAAACGAGCATTCGGTTCAACTTGCCGGCTCTTTATATCGAAAACCAAACAACTCCCAGCACCAGTTGTAGGAGAAATGATAGGCATGCGATGAACGACTGACCCAGCGCCGCTTGCGTTGGGCCAAACTGCGGTTTCAAGCCAGGCAAACAACTCCCCAAACTCAGCAATACTGTAAGCTGGCCCAAAAACTCCCACAGAAAGATCGCCGATGCCTATCACACCTAGTAACTTTGTTGAGTTTGGCAGATTTACTATATGGATGTAAGTATGTAAGCAACTTTTGTAGAAAGGAGGAGCGACTTACCGCCATAAGCTCCTTTCTTACGGCCGTTTAGTAATTTCAGAAAGAACTTGCGTGTTTCTTCCCAAATAGACGGCCATAACTGTTCCGGATACTCTGTAATAGTCATAGCCTGAGCTCCAGAGTCACAGGAGGTTACAACAGTAGACTCGAAGATCGGTATCTTGGGAAACAAGCCATGGCTAAGCTTTTTGATATTGGGGTTGTATGATAGTAAGTTGGAAAATCGGAACCAGACTTCGTAGGTTCCCGGTTCTTTTCCCTTGCTTAGTCTTCCGGTTGGTAGATGGTCAAGAATCATTTGTCTAATAGCTCCGCGCGCATTTGGGCAGTCAGTACCGTTCTCACTGGGTGTTAGGGCAATTTCCCTTTGTAGGCTCTCAACGAGCCAAGTAAGAGAAGTGCTCTCTGTGACCACTTTGATGTAATCAGTCAGTTCTGTCGCGAGCCCCTCTTCCTCATCGCTTTGCTCATCGTCGGGCACCCCTTTGAAATACTCTTTGTTTTCATATAACGGAGTTGTCTCTCTTGATTTACGCTCCCACATAATCATTTTCTCCTCTAGTAACTTTCTGCTGTCTTTGTTGGCTTGGAAACTTCCTAAGTTTTCGGTTGGTTCTTGCCAGTCAATCAACTCTTTGCCGATCTGATCTGCGATTTTCCTATTTCATATGTCAGTATCATAAGCCTCTGCTTCCATGTGAACTAGCAAACCAACTCACAATACACGTTTATGCACAAAGCACATAATTTCCCGATTTGCTTGCGATGGAGACTCGAGTCCTAGTCTGATGGCAAAAGCCTTGATAAGTTCTGATATAGTGCTTGAAGCGGAAGACCAATGCTCTGTGTCTATAAATGGGCCTAGTCGCTGACATACAATGTGGCTAAGCTCAGACACGCATTGTTTGGCCTGTATGAAAGGAATTGTGCTTGCTCCGGAGTATGTTGTTCGACCATCCCCCTCCTCATCCACTGCCAATCGAACGACTCTTTCGGAAAAATCCTCTAAATGGGGAACCGTGGGATTCTCAGAAAACTGCTTCGATGCATATCCTGAGTCACTCACTTCATAAACACTTTCTGACTTCGAACATGAAAACATTTGCATCGACGCCCTCACATCCTTCGCCTCGTTTCCATGCTGAGAAACGTCCAGTAGCGATATTTCGCCCAAGGTGTCTTGCATAAGTTTTTCAATAACCGGGCTTTCAGCATCATCGTGTTTTATGTCTGAACGAACTGGCCGGTCCGTCGAGCCAGCTTCCCACGAATGGGCTTGATGGACTGCGGGCCAGGCTTGATTTGCAACCAATGCGAGTAACTCTGGATCAATTGTAGAGACATCGACTTCGTCGTGAATGTATGGAGAACTTGGCTTCTGAACATTTGGGAATACAATATCCCAAATGTCATACCATTGCTCTGCTAATGTACGGTTGCGGTTGGATTTTCGACTCAATAGTATCCACTGGCCATCAGTAACACCATCAAGAGTCATTGACGGAACACAAGAAAGGCCTCCAGGTTCCGAAATGTGTGTTCTGAGGCTCCCTTCACAGGAAAAAGTTTCCTTACAGCGTGGGCAATAGATTGGCGCATGACGTCTCTTCAGATGCTGTTTCACCTCCCGTATCCGACAAAGTCTGTATTTAAGACAATGGGAATGGTTGGTATTGTTCGATTTCCAAAAGGGACAGGCAAGAAATCTGCCAGATCCTCCGTTAACGCCCTTGGGAGCAGGCGAAACTGGAACGGCACAGGATGATTTCTCAAAGCTGGACCCAGGGCCGGGGTCTAAGTCAGTAGCGATAGATTGCCGTTTGTCAAGTGTGCCGACCGAAGAATCAAGGAGTGTTCGGGGCATTCCGTCTGCTGTGTTTTCAGTTTCAGCAGACAGCATCTTGATTAATTTGTAAAAGAGACTGAGATTGCTGAATTAAGAACTGTGAGATGAGAATAGTAACGAATTTAGGATTCGGTCGCTAGAAAGTTCGGTTGTTGTTTGGAGACAGTCGGTATAGGCTTGCGTCAACACGAGAAGTTCAATATAGGCGGAGAGCACATTTGTGCTTTCCAATCCCATTGGTCACGACTTTCTCCGTCATGCAGTATCTTTCATTCAACCAATCATGACGGAAAAGAATAATAGAGATAATCAATTCCTTGATGGCCACAGTGCTTTGCTTGTTTTCTGGGCATGCTTGAAAATGTATGGCTCCAAAAAGTTTGCTGGTTGATTAACAATTTATTTTCAACATCATGTTTTCGTGTTTGTGCAGTAAAACAAGGTCTTCCGCCAAAAGGGCAATGTTATTCTCAGTGGAAGCCCTATGACTAAAGACCGTACCTAAATTATTTCTAATAGATAGGAAGCTGATTTATTAACTAGTACTAGCTTTTTTAGCTAAAAGCATAAGGATAAGGAGGCGAGAGAGGGGATAAGGAGTTACCACCCAACTGGTAATTGGACTGGAGCTATGAAAGGCTGGCCCTTAACCCAAAAAGGGTCAAGAGGCTAGAGATAAATAGAGTCACTCTTGAAAACCCCGTTTTCTGATCTCTTTACATTGCGCCAAAACCCCTCTGACAGCATCCCATTGTGCCGATGGACCAGGTTTGTTGATATTCAGTTCCGGCATCAGAACGGAGTTTTGCCAATGAGGACGCAGCCGAACTCACGTCGTGGCGACCTGTCAATGTTTGACATGTGGTTCGCATACTCTAGGGAACTCAGTAACATTACTATACGTGGAAGTAAGAAGTTTCAATACAAAAATGATGGGAACGTAGGAAACCATAATGCTAACTCGATGGCCACTGGCGCAGTCAAGATTGCTACCTAAGAACATGTTCTTAGGTGTCGAGACGTAGAGCTATTACCCCAGATCGAAAGCAAAGAACAACACTGCGTAAGTCTGAGAAATACATCCCTCCCCAGAAACTTATATGAACAGCACTGATAATATCTGTGTCCAAATTTGGTAGCATCTAAATAATCAGCTGATTCGTTCGGGGTATCCTGCTAGTGGCATTTTGCTCCCCTCATTACACCTATTCTTCCGCTAATCAACTTGCATCTCAGTCCTGCTCACATCAGGCCACTAAACCCCCCAAAGAATAGCAGCATCGTTATTCCCATCATTACCAGACTTGGCGGCTTAGAAGAGAGCATAGAGATTGACTCTTGCTCAATTACGAAGACATCATCAATCTCTCCCTCCAAATTAAGCTGCCCCGCTAAACACTTCCATAGATGGTGCGTCGCGTTGTCCGAAGTCTTTTTGGCCTCCTTCATGAAATCCCTCGAGAGTTCGCACCAAACAGCACATGTATTTTCCGAAGTCTGGATCTGATTGGGGGAGCAGCATTTCTGCATCGCTTCGTTGAACTCTAGAAAGTTTGGGGCAAGACCGACGGTTATATTCTTGGGAATGTCATTGTACCCGGGGGTCTGGCCGGTCAAGTTCATGCAACGTTGAATATCCATGATAAGTGCCTGTGGACGTATAGCAAATTTCAACTAATGATGTCGACAATGGTCCCAACTATGACATTTGTGAGTTGATTTAAGCTTGTAATTCTTTCAATCCGAGGGGAGGAGAGCGTACGTGTGAAGTTGATCTGGAAGCTAGCTCTGCAGACACTTGAAGCTCTGAAAAAAAGTTGCGGTGCACTATGTAATTTACCAAGGCAGGTGGGCATCGTAGACTTAAGTACTAATTGCATGATCGTGAGGAACTGGGTGGTGAGCATTGCTGTTCATCCAGCCTTTGAATGGACTGCCACGTAATTTGACCGACGTCACTGGAATACAATTCTACGGCTCGTTTAAGGGTAGCGAGCAACAAGGTGTAGGTAATCTTTGGGCCAATTGCAGCAATACCAGCTAACCAGTAAGTCGAAATCGGCGATCGCCAGGCTACGTTTCGCTGGAATGAAAAGAATGAATCAACAGGCGTACTTCTAACTATTACTGAAAAGCAGGATCAAATGATCGGCAGCCTGAGCACCTCGTGGTGACAGGCCTGGTGGGTGCGAAGAGCAAACACTGGTTCAGGTTGGAGGTACACTTTGCCTTTCAGTATGAACTAAGCCCTTTGGGTCTTTGAGCGATATCAGCTGTGAATATGGCGGCGAGCTTGGAGTGGCAGTGGTACAACTTCAGATTGTACGGCACAATGCCTGGGCGTGATTGCCCAACAAGGATAAAGATAGTATGATGTCATGAGAAGTCACTCTCAGGTGTGGCTGGCGCACTCGCTAAGGTACCCAAAGGCCGCCCGCCCAATCTGGATAGATGTGTCTTTGCCAGCCGTCAATTACTGAATCTGGGAACCCAAGACATCATCCACGCCATTTGTGAGCACGCGAACATTACGATGCATGGAAGAAAAATCAATTTTGCGAGTGGCTGTTGAGAAGTTTTCCAATGGCCATCACTGGCTATCTAAGGTAGTAACGGCTTACCAGTCACACCACCATGCTGACCTTTGGTATTTGGATCTCGAAAGATTTTTACGCATATCGGGACTGAAAAGGAGCGTTAATTACCAGCTGCAAACTGTTTCGATAACATCATATCTTGCATCATATTTAGCCATTGTTGGCGACATAACATGACTATATTAAATTGCGGGAGTAGAAATTGCCAGAGCTACAAGTAAAAGTCTAGGTGCCTTGAGGATGCAGATGCCCTGCAACTATGACGCTGGAATCGAAAGGGGAAGTTTATTGCCTACCTTGCCGCTTAGCTTAGTCAGGGGCTATTCAGTGGCAGCAAGGGACGGACAGAAAGGAAACAGGGAACGCTCGTAAGCCTGATCAAATGACCAAACGAGCATACACCTACCAGACGGCCAATTCAACGCAGTTTAGAGGCTCGCATTATGGAAGGGTAGGGATCGTGTGTAATTTAATCCCAAAGCTCACTTTAACGCCTAGCAAACAAGGCATATCGAACTCAATTCGAGGACGTTCTTATGACGGTTTGCTCTTAGTCGTCAGCCTGATCAGGCCTCTCTAAGTTCCCAAACCTACTAGAAGTGCGTTCAAAGGTTGGCGTAGCAGTCCATGTGAAATACATGGTTTTCGTACAATAGGTAAGAGCTTTCTTCCCGCTTCGTTCCATTTAAACCCTTCCTCGAGTAATGATGCTTCTGTTTCAAGAGTTTACATGCGCGGTTTTTACTCCCTCATCTGCCGTGATAATGCTGTGAAGGATATTCATGCTTACACAACATACTGCACCGTTATACCACAAGATAGTGAAGCTCGTATATCATCCAATGCCTTATCATGAGTTTGTATACGATAAGGTACTTCCCTCAACCCGAAGCTTCGTACGCACTCAATGAGGAAGCTTTTCTATTTGATCCGCGCCCAGGTGTATACCATGCCACTAATGAAGCCAATTGCTATCGCCAAAACACCGCCCGCCGTGACGGGGGCTGAAAAGAAGAGAAAGCCGCTGATAGCAATCGGCAACTTGTTAAGAGAGCCCACCATAGAGTATGTCGTTGACGAAGTGACTCGGATGCACCATGCAGAACTGTACGAGATGAGAATAGCAGCTAATCCAGAGTATATCATGCCAACAATGATGCTATTCCGCGATGACTCAGGAAAGTTTCTTGCGAGATTGACAGCCGACCAGTCTTCGGTTAGAAAAGAACAAGTGACCAGAATGGGAATCGTTAGTAGATTGTTGTAAAACATGGCTGCAAATGTCCCAACGTGGTCAGCTCGAGGATCAGGTGAGGAGGGTGAATGAACGTACTGTCCCAATCACTGAATTGCATCTTCTTTATAACTTTACGCATGGAAAGAACAAATGAGGCGCTACAGAGTACGTTGAGACCCATCCAAGTATATCCGAGGTCGAGGGTAGACAATGCAATCGCGGAGTCATTTGTGTTCAAGACCTGAGCTGCGGTTTTCTGGTCGTCCCACGCGGCAACAACCGAGCTCAAGACCATCAAGCCAAATGAAAGTAGAGCCAACGGCGTGACCTTGCTGCCAAACCACAGGACTTCGCCATATGCGATAACAATAATAGTCAAGTTTTTGAAAATTGTATACACCGGGACGGACAGAAATTGAAGGGCTTTGTTGCCGGTGTATATCATGCCAACAAGAAGAAATGCTATCGGAAACCCTGGCCAAGAATAAAGATTAATTCATGTGGGGGAGGTGAAAGAGGGTATGGCGCCGTACACTTCCTTGCTTTGGCGGGGTCAAGGGGAGACAGAGCGTTGGTCAGCCGCAATCTCTTCGCCGCAATAATGGCAATGGTGGAAACTACGGCCTGGATAGCGAGGTAGAGAAAAGTAAGGTTCCACGCTCTGCCTGATACCACGTATTTGTTGACAACCGTCATGCTGATGGACGACAAGCAGTAGGCGATGATAGACAAAACAGGGCTGTTCTCGATCCGCCCTGCGCCGATTGATGTTGACTCAGATCTGCTGGAGGGCATACGCGGAAGGGAGCCTGACTTAGATATCGCGTCGCGATCGACGCGTGGGCTATCCGGAAAGTTGATGACATAGTCACCCCTCTCGTTGGACATTGTTGGCTGAGGAGGAGTAACTACCCTGAGGTAAAACGGTGGAGAGACTGTCGTAAAGACCAATGAAAAGAGTGAATGTTTGGAGCAAAAGAAACTATTAAAAAAAAACGAGCCTACAAGATGAGGAGAGGTGTTATACGGGGAGAATCTTACAGCTGCGAGCGAGAGCGCGGTTTGACATGTTTAGTTCAGCTTTCGGTGACTCGGAGATTAGACTTTCGTCATCTCAACCAACGGACTCTTGGCAGGGTTTCTTGTCCGCATACGAGCAGCGCAGCCTTCTAAGCGATATGAACCTTGGCCATGTCTGGATGCTTACGTAGTAATTATAGTAGTTTAAGAAATCCCTGTTAAGATGTGATGAATTGCCCGCTACATTCATTTAGCAGATAGTTTCGAGTAGCTGTGATGGACAATAAATAGCAGTACGGCTTCCGTGGCACCCGGATGACAACGAAATCCATACAGTTTCCCTAGACCAACGCCTAGAAGTGTGGCCTTTTTTTTTCTCTCCAAATAACTCGCGTCCACTGACATGAGAGATTGATCGGAGGTGAATGTTCTGAGGCACTTAGCCAGACATCATCAAGCGGTGAGGTAGGTAGGAGGCGGGTTGAACAAAGAGGAGGGCCGATTTCAGCTGAGGCGCACACCAGGGCCTACACTTGTAGTTGACAATAATACCTATTCAATCCACCTGAACGGCCTTTCATACTACGGGACTTAATAACATTTAAGAGGAATATAACTTGGATAACAAACACGCTAAGCAGGGCATGACTTCGAGTACGAGATGCCCCCTCTTTCGCTACGGCTAGCCCATTTTAATATCCACTTTTCTTCCGTATTTCAGTAGGATTCTACGCTATTATCCCTATGTATGTCCTGTTACTACAATGTAAGGTAGCGTTTTATATCGATAGATTGCTGGTCTCTCTGTAAAGTCTAGAACCCTTTGACAACAGATATATTACTAATCCCTTTACACCATGATAGGATGCATGAGAATTTGGAGGCTCGATTGGTTTTTCCCTTCCCCTTGACGGCAGTGGGATTCATCTCGCACTCGACGGCATAAGAATTGCGAAGGGCCAAGTCTGCGATTTAGTTAATGGCAGGATGCTTCTACTACGAGAATTCAAGCTTAAGGAGAGGAGACACTTTTGCAGTTTATGTGGGAACAAACGGTCAATACTGGGAAATCGCCCGGGTCCCCGCTCCGGTCCGTTTGCCGGCGTGGGGCGCCTATCCATACCCCTTCTCCGCTGTCACAACAAGCCCAGAGCTTCCCACATTTCGACACTTAGAAGCGGCATCAACCACCATCATCATGCGGTATTCATCTTCGCCGCTGCAAAACAAACCTGGCGTGGAAGACCATTATAGCTAAGCTACAACTCCAGAGCGGGCTCAAGGGCCTGACTGAGCAGCTTAGCAATTCTACTTGAGCGGCTTGACTGCTCTATTGAGGAAACTCTGCAGATGAATAATGAAACTCCCAGAGCCTGTCTATGAGATAAGACGGGAGTCATAGATTACGCGCCGAAACTTGACGAGTTGATTAAGGGTTTGGTTTCTCAAACTGGAAGACTTGAGTAGACTGCCTCTAATTGGTCGACTGACAGCCACTGTTACAATACAATATAGGAGCGAAGCTTTGCTACTATCACAGCAGTATAGGTAGTAAGACATGTGAAACGTTTGCTTGAAAACCGGAGCGTCCTTACAAAGAAAGACATCGTAAAAGTATGGTGAGTCCGGTAGGTTGGCGCATCTTTACCGACTTTATCAGCTTATGTTGATACGGTTGCACAGGTTTATATCCTCATAGCCAATAACGGCTAAAGATCTTGTAACAACTATACGTTAACAATCTTGCAAAGCAAGGGAGAGGATTCTAGACATGTAGTCGTACAGCTTCTCACAAGGATGTATCTATCTCGCGATCCAAGCACCATGGCCGGTTTAGTTATGTCGTTGGTACTAGTAGACGCCGGAGAAAAAGGTAATCAGTGCTCATTCTAATAGTAGGCCCTGGAGATGCCAAGGCGGACGCTGGTTTAGTAGACCCCACTGCGCTAATACGTGAAAATAGACTTAGGCCTCGTGGCTAATCGTCGCCCACTTATTCACATACTTGATGGGGGCAATCGTCTACACAGTGACAGGAGCGCCCCTTATCCGGGAGCCAAGATGCGCAGATAATGCAACGGGAAGTACAATCTTGGAATAACATCTTCGAACAGTTTCTAATGGAGAGTGGACCATGTTAAAGGTTGAAAGCATCGAGATCAGTCTCACAAGTGGGCACAATTTTATTATCAAAGTTGACCATTAAATTCTGTCAGATTAACATAAACATTAAAGCTAGCTAAAGAGTAATCTTCGTATACGTTGTTTACTCTTGTTTCGTAACACGTCCACCTTGGTCAATGACACATGGTGTTTTCATGAGCACTTAGACACGGCGGTCCGCATCATTGTTGTACTCCTTGTGCTCACCCTCCTCGCCATGCGCAGCCATGACCTCCATCTTCTCACTAACAACAGCAGACGGGGGCGCAGCGGCACTTTCGCCGTCGAAGATGACCGCAATCTGCTCGAGCGTGTGGCCGCGCGTCTCGGGGTAGGCAAAGTAGGAGGTGATGAGAAGCAGGAAGAGCACGACGATGAAGACAATGTAGTACTTCCAGTGAATAGCCTCGAGCGCGATCGGGTTGACGAAGGTGTTGATAAAAATGGCGACGACGGCGGCGCACCAGGTGACGGTGAGACCGCGGGAACGAAGGCTGTATTGCCAGATTTCGCAGGGATAGGCGGTCAAGAACGGTGTCCTAGGAGCATGTTAGCAGCGTTCGAAAGCATTTTCAGGTATTCGGGTGACACTTACATGGCGATATCGTAGCCGGCAAAGAAGATGAACAGGAAGGGGATGACTGCCATGCCAACGCTCGAAGAAGCGCTTTCGGCGAACTTGGCGCTGAGACCAGTGACGATGATGAAACTGACCAACATGACGCTGGCAGAGGTCAAGAACAAGAAACGACGGCCGAGGCGATCAACGTTGGTTGCAGCGGCAATAGCCCACAGCAAGTTCCACACGTTCAGGCAAGCCTGGATCAAGGTCTGATCCGTAACAGATTCAACTCCGACAGAGTCAAGCACGAGAGGTAGGTAGTATGAAACAACACCGTTACCCGCCCACTGGGAAAAGACACCGAGGGTGATTGAGATGAAGAGTCTGTGGCGGTTTCCGGGCGTCTTGATCATGTCGGCATAGGAAGCGCTCGCAGAGGCCTCCTTCTCGGCGGTGATGGTAGCCTGAATCTCAACAACCTGGTATTGGACGAGAGGGTCCGATCTGTCGCCGCCGGCATGGTGTTTGGCCAGGACTTCGGTGGCCTCCTCGACTCGACCGACACTGATGAGCCAACGAGGACTCTCGGGAGACATCAAGAAGCCGGGAAGTGCCATGAAGGGCAGAACGATCTGCAAAAGCACCGGAATACGCCACGACCACTCAGAGGGGATGTTACGGCAGGCGAAGGTCACCCAGCCACAGAGAGTGCCGCCAAAGTACCAGCCAACCATGAACAGGGCGTTGGCAATGGATCTTTGCTTCGGATGGGCGATCTCGTTGATCAGTAGCGGGGCGGCGTTACCGAGCCAGGAGGCGGCGATACCGATAAAAAGACGGGACACGGTGAACGTCTTCTCGTTCTGAGCCGCAGTTTGCATACCGACACCGAGGATAAGAAAAAGGTAACCAATGTAGATGCCAGGCTTGCGGCCCCAGCGGTTGGAAACCCACGCAGCGACGGGGAAGGCGACTCCATTGCCTAGCCAGTAGATAGCAGCAATCCAACCGAGGTATGCGCCGGTAGGGAATTCCATGAAAGTGTTCCAGGAGTTCAAGGCCAGGAGACCGCCCATGATTCCTCCATCGTAACCGTTGGCAGAGGCTAAAAGAGTTGAGGTTAGTTACGACGGACAAAGATAGGGTATTGGGCATGGGCAAGCGTTCGTACAGAAAAGAACCATGGAAAGAGTAATGAAGTTGAGCTTCAGCAGGTAGCCATGCTTGTACCAAGGCTTGCCGTCGCTTGGCAGATTGGCGAGTTCCTCAACAGTTTTCGCCATGTTGACGGTGCCGATGGGACAGGTTCCGGGAGTTAGAGATGGTTATTGGTAGCAGTAAAGAAAGGAGGTAAAGAAGTTTGGAACCAGGCAATATTGTTGGCTGCTACAAATGCTGTAGACTCTATGGAGCCTGGGATTCTTGTAGTACAATGGGGCACAATACAAAAGCCAAGGGGCCAGGGCAGGTCTATATATCCGTACAGACAAACCAATCCACATGAGACGACCAAAATGAGTTCAAGGTGAAGAGTAAGAGTAACGAGAAAAACCGAGAATGTGGAGATTGTCATCCCGATGCCCCGTCATCGCGTGTTCAGCCGGAAGGAAGGAACCGGACGACGCATGGCCCATGGGGCCAGAACTGTTTAGTGTTGCGCCCCCCCATGGAGAAGAAGTCTTCTGGAGAGGTGCTCGCGGGGGCCCATACGACCCACATAGTAGACAATAAAAAAGTGGTCATGCCTTGTTGTTGTTGGAACAAAGGGGGGCATAGAGACGGAGAATTGAGTCAGTTGCAAATGGTGATGGTGGGAACAAAAAGTAGCAAAGTTGATGGAGGCAGGAAATGGGGGAAAAACTGAGGACGAGGCGGAGAATTGCACCTTCTTGGCTTCCTTCTAGTTTTGGCAACCAATTCCCGATTAGTCTTAGTGCGTCGCGTGTGGTCCCACTCCACTTTCCCAACCGAATGGCTCGCACTTCTGTCCGACTCGTAATTCTCCGATCTTCCGAAATCTTTTCAGCCATCATGACCGGCGGCGCGTTTGGTTCACTCTCCACGCGACGATAGTGAGGCAACTACGGAGTCGGCGGGCCGAAGGAAACATTTTCCTTGCTTCATGTGAAGATACGTCATGCCTGTCATGGTTCAATTGAACCCCTCTTGTGGGCCAATACCCCGCGGTTGACCCGGACTGGAGCTCTTGTACGCATTCTAAGAACAGAGAAAAGCGCTGATCACCTTGAATCTCTCTTCTATATATCAGAGACATCTCTATTCTTCTTCTTTGGATCTCTCAAGTTCGTTCTGATATACTTGTTGTTTGTTTCTCCCAGATCTCTCAGAGGACTCACGAGTACAAGTTATCACAATGGATGTTGAAGCTTTGCTTGAGCAGCTTACGCTGGAGGAGAAGGTGGCTCTCACAGCCGGTAAGATCTTCAACTGATCTCATGCAGTCTATTTCTAACTGAAATTCAGGCAATGGATGGTGGCACACACAAACTATTGAGCGCCTAGGCATCCAGCCTATTCGCCTGTCTGACGGCCCCAATGGTGTGCGCGGCACCCATTTCTTTGACAGCACTCCCTCCTCTTGCCTCCCTTGCGGCACTGCCATTGGCGCGACATTCGACACAGAACTAGTCAAACGCCTGGGTCGTTTGCTCTCAGATGAAGCTCATGCCAAGGGCGCCCACGTTATCCTTGGACCTACCATCAACATCCAGAGAAGTCCACTCGGTGGTCGCGGCTTCGAGTCCTACTCGGAGGATCCCGTGCTTTCGGGTATCCTCGCCGGCCACTACGTCAACGGAGTCCAGGAGTCTGGTGTGTCTGCTACTCTGAAGCACTATGTCTGCAACGACATGGAGAGCGAGCGCATGGCCGTCAACGCCATTGTGACGGAGCGTGCCCTGCGAGAGATCTACCTCCTCCCCTTCATGATCGCAATCGAGATGGGCAACCCCAGAGCCATCATGACATCTTACAGCCAGCTTAACGGTCAGCACGCTGCAGAGAACAAGCACATCTTGCAGGAGGTTCTGCGCGACGAGTGGAAGTGGGACGGCCTGATTATGAGCGACTGGTTCGGCACCTACAGCACGTCCGAGGCCATCAACGCTGGTCTTGATCTGGAGATGCCGGGACCAACACGCTGGCGTGGCCAGGCACTCGCACACGCCGTGACATCGAACAAGGTCAAGCGGTCCGTCTTGGACTCGGCCGTGCGTAACATCTTGAAGCTGGTCAAGCATGGTCTCGAGAACACAAAGATCCCGCCAAACGCCCCAGAGACCGAGGTCAACACCCCTGAGAACGTCGCTCTTCTGCGCGAAACGGCTGCCAAGTCGCTGGTGCTGCTGAAGAACGAGAGGAGTATCTTGCCTTTCGACAAGAACAAGAAGGTCGCTGTCATCGGACCCAGCGCCAACATTGCAACCTACTGCGGTGGCGGCAGCGCTGGCCTGAGAGCCTACAAGACTGTCACTCCGTTGGAGGGCATCAAGGGTCTTGCCAGCGATGTCGTCTTTTCTCAAGGCGCATACGGTCACCAGTCTCTGCCTCTTCTTGGAAAGCGCCTTCGCACACCCGACGACAAGCAGCAGGGTTTCGTCCTTCGCATCTACAACGACCCCCCTGCCCCCAACGGTGCCGCCGACTCTCGAAAGCCCCTCGAGGAGCGCGTCCTCGACGATGCCAACATCTGGTTCGTCGACTACGAGAACCCTGACCTTAACCCGCTTTGGTGGGCTGAGACCGAGGGCACCCTTGTCCCGGAGAAATCTGGAGAGTGGGACTTTGGCCTCTCGGTGCACGGCACTGGCGAGCTGTACGTCGACGGCAAGTTGGTGGTGTCAAATGTGGAGAACCAGCGACTGGGAAGCAGTTTCCTCGGCTGCGGAACAGTGGAGGAGACGGGACACATGCATCTTGAGGCCGGCCGCAGCTACCGCATCCTTGTGCGCTTCGGCTGCTCTGCCACTAGCAAGATCAAGCCTTCCGGTACCGTTGATTTCGGCCAAGGTGGTGTCCGCTTCAGCGGATGCCCGAGACTGGAGCCCAAGACGGCGATCCAGGAGGCCGTTGAAGTTGCCAAGAGCGTTGACCAGGTCGTTATCTGCGCCGGCCTTAGCGGCGAGTGGGAGTCTGAGGGATTCGACCGGACGACAATGGCGCTGCCCCCGGGCACCGATGACTTGATTGCCGCTGTCGTGGCGGCTAACCCCAACACTGCCGTTGTTATCCAGAGTGGCACGCCGGTTACCATGCCCTGGATTGACCAGGCTGGTGCTGTCGTCCAGGCGTGGTTCGGTGGCAACGAGTGTGGAAACGGCATTGCCGATGTGCTCTTCGGAGATGTCAACCCGGTAAGAATGAAGCATACCCCCTAGAGCCTAACGGGAAGATGGAATTGCTAACTACTGTTTGTCCAGGCTGCAAAGCTCCCGCTCACGATGCCTCGCCGGTTGGCGGACAACCCCGCTGCTTTGAACTACCGTTCCGACAACGGCCGTGTGCTTTACAGCGAAGATGTCTACGTTGGCTACCGCTGGTACGACACGCTTGATATCACTCCCTTGTTCCCCTTCGGCCACGGCTTGTCATACACCACTTTCAACGTCTCAGACCTCGAGGTATCACAGTCCTCCGAAGATAGCGTTACCGTTCGCGTCAAGGTCACCAACACCGGCTCTCGCGCAGGCGCCGAGGTTGTCCAGGTCTACGTCACGCCTGCCGCGCGGACACCCCTTACAAGCACCATCCGCGATACCATCACTCGCGCGGCCAAAGAGTTCAAGGGATTCGCTAAGGTTACCCTTGAGGCAGGTGCCAGCACCACGGCGGAGATCACGTTGGATGTCTTGCGTGCTACTAGTTACTGGGCTGAGCTGGAGGACTGCTGGCGCAGCGATGCTGGCAACTACGGTATCTTGGTGGGTACAAGCAGCCGCGGCGAATTCCTTGAGAAGTCTCTTGAGGTCAAGCAAACAAGGAGATGGAAGGGCCTGCGGGCCTAGACATGCCCTCCACATTATTGCGTGCCTTTGGAGATTAAACTATTATGCGCCGGTGGGAATGAGATGACATGTAAAAAAACACATAATGAGCCACTTTCACGAGATAGAGAATCCTAAAAAGAAAGATAAAAATTTGTTAATAAGAACTACTATGTATGGTAACTGGACCCGCACTGGATACTTTTGTCTGATTTTTTTGCATAGTATTAGTCCCGCCAACTCAACTAACTCCCCTATTCCGATCAAGATCGAAACACAGTTCGGAACTCGTCCGATTCTCCCCAAACTCCCTAGCGCCTTTCCCATCTTTCAGCCGGAAGGCCATCCCATGTCATATGATTTAGAAGGGTAATAATTCTTTTTGCTGGGGACCCCGGGAAATAGTCGGTGAGGGGCGCGCCGCCACTTCCCCCAGTCACAAACTAGCGCTGTCAGACATTGACACTACACTAAAAGGGGAAGCACGTCCAATCCTCCCACAAAACCCTCTTCCCCCCTCATTTCTCCGCATTTCTCAGTATTTCTCCCCCTCAATCGCTCCGCCTTTTCGCCGAACAAACCACACTCTCGGGGCCCCAATCTTCAGTATGGGCGCATCGGTTGTTGTTGTTGTTGGTCCACAATCAGCATGCGTCGATCAAGTCCTCAGCTGTCACTATCGCCAACGACGCAGAGGAGGAGGAGTAGGACCAGCAAAACACCCGAAACCGCTGCCGCCGCCGTAGGTCCGAGGGCCAACTTGGCGAGGAGGGCGTGTGATGCGTGCCGGGCCCGCAGGAGGAAATGCCACTTTGATGACGTGCAGAGTCCAACTTCGGCACCTCTGGCGCAGCAGTGCCGTGATTGTGCTAGGCTCGGCATCGCATGCAGCTTCCTTGTGCCCACGAGGCCTCGGGGGCCTAAACGAAGGTGAGCGATCCGGGGTTATTTTCACGCAGGGGGGGATGTGTGTTTCTCAGTTTGTCGATGTGCATGCATGTATACATACCTTTTTTTTTTTTTTTTTTTTACTTACTTACAGACCCTGTAGGAAACGCCTTCCGTCAATGTCGGATAACAGTGATAGTGAGCATCCACACGAGACTGAGACACCCCGGGCAGAGAAGCTGCCTTCGCAGCCGGCGTTGAGCCATGAGCCCGTCCTTGTCCTACCGGAAGATGAACCTCGTCTGCCGGGGCGGCCTTCACAAGTTATACCGTCATGTGAAGCCTCGCATCATGTCGCCAATGGTCCGTCGCCGCACGCTACCGTCGCAGTTCAGACCGAGTCCCCGTCGATATCCGGTCCCGGATTCCCAACCGATGAATTATGCTCGCGGGCGCTCATCAACATCATGATGGCCGACTACCTCGACCTGGTCTACCCCTTAGTCCCCGTCGTCCATCGGCCCAGTTTCCGCCACGATCTCGCAAAGAACCGCGACGTCACTGACCCTGACTTCTTGGCCCTGCTCGTGAGCCTCGTCTCGCTGACTGTAGGTCTTTTGCCGTCCCGGTTTCGAGTATACCGGACTGTGGACCCGGAGGCCGGCATGCGTTATGAGACGCGTACCGCCTTCATCAACTGCTGCGCCGAGATATGTATGCGGCAGAGGGACGCGAGCTACTGGAACCACATCAACTTCCGCAAGTGGGCCGTCTCGTACGTGCTATCCGTGGCATGCTTCCAGACGGGGCAGGCCAACCGGAGCCGGATGTTTGACATTGAATTCTACCAGCTTGGGAGGCTGTTGGGGCTGCACCGGATATCGGACTATGAGGGTTTGAATTGTATCGAGACTCAGTTGAGAAAGAAGGCTTTCTGGATGCTGTTTTATGCTTGGGCGTAAGGATGATCAATAACTTTCCTTTTTTTTTCTTTTTTTTCTCTTGTCTTATTTCTACATGAATAAACTAACACGTCGCAGCCATAGCAAGGTCCAGAGCGGACGTTCGGACCATCTCACATATTTTAACCCAAACGAGTTACGCGAGGTCAACTTTGAAGCTCTCATGCCTCTTGACGTAGATGACGAGCAAATCTTTGAAACTCGAATCGTCCCTTCATCCGCATCCATTGTATCGCCGGGAACACCATGTAACGCCCCCCAAGAACCGCGCCCACCACTTACGCTTGCCAGCGGCTTCATCTTGCACTCGGAAGTGTTCCTCAAGGGGCTCAGGGAAGCCATGTACAACGTCGGCTGCGAATGCGAACTCCGCCGAGGCCCTGCGGTCCGTCTCTCCCGCCTGCGTGATCTGCTGCAAGAGCTCCGGTATATGCTCGACGACGCGCCCGGTCCGATGCGCCAGTGGGCCTCTTCCGAGAGCTTCGATGCTGCCCCCGTGACTCCCCGGTACGACGGGGGCAGCCAGCCGGCTGTGTCGAGTTACGACAGTCCGACGGCGGACCACACCCGTTCTTCGGAGCCAGGGAGCTATGCAAAGATCATCCAGGGTCAGGCGGAAATTATGCGGGCCAACATTCACGTCACGCATCTGTGGCTCCAGAGCATACTCCTCGAGCAGATCGACGTGGTTCTTCAAGAGAGTGCGATTGGCCCTAATGCCGCGATGGGCAGCGACGACGTCACCGCGGCGCTGAAGGCGAACTGGACTGAGCGCGAGGATATATGCCGTCAGATGCTGCATTTGCTGCACAGCATACCGTACGTCTATCTGGAGCCGAACGGCTTGTACCTGGTAAGTTGAAAGACCCGTTTATGCCCAAGATGGAAACATGCTGAATATTTCCTTTCCGATAAGACGTATAAAGTTCGGGATGTCGCGGTGACGCTTCTCAACTGTCCCTTTGAAGCCCACGAGCGCCCTACGCGGCGGGCTGCAGAGTACATGCGCGACTTCACACGGGCGCTGTGCCGCCTTGACCGAAGCGAGATTGTCAACACTAATAGTCTGAAAAGCTGGGTTGATGTAGACCGTGAGGTGACGAGTCGGTCATGCGGTCCGTTGCCATGAAAGATCCTATGACGAACGAACATTGATTCACGGCATCATCGCCAACTAATTACACCCGCGGTTCCAGCCTGGTGGTAAGGACACGCGATATAAACCACATCCACCGGACCAACACCGATTACGAGAAAAGCGATGGAAGGAGCGTTTCGATTTTGGGTAACTGTAAATTGCCATGTCGGCTTTTTATCTCACTAGACTTTTTCTAAATTCGCAGCGCCGTCGCCCTCGGCAGATCCAAACTGTTGAGTGGTGTACGCACAGCAAGAAGAAACCACATGCAACTTGGGCACGGGATCGCAAAAGTCCCCCAGCAGAGTCCTCCGAAACGTACGAGAATCCCACGGGTCGTGCAGTATCTCAGGCCCCGTGTACTTTATAACGGACGCGCAGAAATCGGCCGACTCGGGGTTCGGAGTCCCCAGCGGCGAACGGAGCGCCGTGCCGTTCGTGTCGGTCCGCTGGACGATGATGGTGCGGAGAGCAGGACACACCGCCGCCAGGTGCTGGCACTTGTACAGGAGGCGCGAGAACCTGCGGCGCTCCAGGGCGACGTGCCTGAACCGCCGCAGCTCGGGCAGGGCGAAGCTGTCGAGGGCCAGCGTCGAGGAGACCGTGAGGCTGTCGAGGTAGACGACCGTCGTGTCGAGGTTGACCCAGTAGACGCCGCCCTTGCCTCCTCCTCCTCCTCCTCGTTTGCTGCCGCGTCCTGGTCCGTGGAGGGGTGCGCCGTATAGTTCCTTCATCAGTTGTCGGGATTCCGCGCACGCGAGGCCTGCGAGGTAGGGGCGCGCTGGGCCGAGGAACGTCATGGAGAATGGCCGTTGGTTCATGAGGCCGTCAGGGTCACTGGTGTTGGTGGCGGCCGTGACTGCCCAGACGGCCGGCTCTAAGAGAGCCTCGGTCCATATTTTGAAGCGCAGCTCTGGAGGGAGCGCGCTGAAGCAAATAAAGGTTTTTGTTGACGACATGTTTTTTTGGGAGGGAAAGTTGAAATGAGGAAATGACGATGAAATTTAGAGGCATGGCTTTGTATTTGTACGCGCTCATGTTTGCTGTCTAGACGATTGTCTCAACCGCGGTTGCGCTAAACCTTGAAAATTGGAAAGTAATTGGTAAACCTTGAAAATTGGAAAGTAATTGGAAACCCTTCCACTTAGCTAAGACATTGTCTGACATTACTTTCAATATTCCTCCTTGTTACCACTGTGGCCGTGGATTGTCACATTTTCTACCATGGAACCAGGCGACGGAGTTATACCGCCACAACCTTCTCTGCATCGAATCCCCCAGCCTCAGCAAAGTAGCCCCTTTGGTTGGCCAGTAGCCGCAAAGGTAAAGCATCCTCTCGTGAAACAGTGAAGTCGCAGTTGAAATGTGTGTGTCCGAAAGCCCAGACTGCCACCTTTTTGCTCTTGAAGCATACCTCCTGAGATAAATCTGTCGAGAAGCCGGACGCAATCAGGCTTCCAGCATGTTTCGGATCCGCAGCACGAACGTCCTTTGATGGGCTCCAATGTGTGAAGATCATAATGTTGTTGTCGGTCTGCTCAAGCTCTGCGACCTGCTCGTTGAGCCACGCAACATCCCGCAGATGTGCCTCGTTATGCGCATCAACATCCCAGTCGTTAATGAAAAAGAAGTCGTTCAAGCCCATGCTAACGTCGTGGTGGCTTTCGGGTGGCACGTAAGAGAAGAGACTGCAGCCCAGGACAACGGTGTTTGAGTCTGGAACTCTGAAGAGCGTGCGATCCATCAAGAGGAACTCCCCAAGTGATGGGTCATTGCGGGACTGATCTTCGAGTTTACGGAGAGAGGCTAAGACTTGGGGCCAGCTGGAGCGATAAGCTTCGTGGTTCCCTGGTACGAAGAGAACGGTGCGGAAGGCGGTGAGTTGGCGGGTGAGGAAACCTAGGAATTCCGCCTCGTGAGCATGGATGCTGCCTATGTCGCCGAGAAGGGCCAGTGTAGGCGCTTTTGGGACAATTTCGAAGTAATCGTAGGCTTTCGTGGCCTCTAGGTGTAAATCGGAGACTACCTGTACTGACATTTTTTTGTAGTGTAGGAAGCAAAGTTGGCGACGTGATGTTGGAGGTCCAGGACAGCTGCCTAAAAGCGCGATCAGATGGTGGCTGAGGTTAGATATAGTGCCGGTTGGAGATGCGTACTGTGTTTGTTGTTGCGAGAAGTCTCCAAGTCTGTAGAACACCAGGTTCTTATCGTAGCAATCGTAATTAGTCATACATATCTGTTCAGGGCCATATTTAGTTCATACATTAGTGCCAGTATAGAACTTCGCAACTGCCTGCACCGAGAGTTGTGTTGTGGGAAGGAGTAGCGGATTCGTACGGTCCTGGTCGGCACCATTGGTGGGTGCTTGTACATGCCAGAATACGGATTGATGGAAGGAGGAAACCAGCAGAATAGAAGACTCCGCGGCAACTAAGAAAGAACGAAGGCACCTGATTTTACAAGAAGAACCCCCAAAAGACAGTCCATCCATCTCTCTTCGGTCGTCCTCTTTTCTGCCCGAAAGCAACATCAGGTCATTATCACCGCTACTATCTTTCTGTTTTCTTCATAACATAAAGACACCTCACACACACATCAATATTTCAAACGAAAACAGCTTTCTGTTTTATACAACGAGGCCCCTCGGACTTTCCCAACTCCTTGCATAAAAACAACCCTATTCGCCACCATGACGAAGGCTTCCTGGACTGTTCTGCTGAGCACCTCATTCGTGGCTATCGCTATGGGAAGCGAGCCAAAAAAACACTTACATCGTCCAGATGCGAACAACAATAGACGATGTTGATAGGCTTCAAGATACCACGTTCCGCCAGGCCTTGCTAGACAACTCTCTCCAACTGGTTTCAGCGAGCCCCGAAGATGTCCTTTACACCTACGAGAACACTATAACCGGTTTTGCCGCTCAATTAACCGAAGAACAAGCCAGAGCATTGCGAGCACAGCCTGAGGTCTTGGCTGTGACACATGACCAGGTCTATAGTCTCTTCACCACAAGGAGCTCTCAGTTTCTTGGATTGGCCAGCAACGCAGGCAACCAGAGGAATCGACTCTTCAACAGTATGCCCGTAGATCCCCAAGAAAAAAGCCAAAGTGACGGTGCAGAAGCAGAGTCAAACATTATCATCGGCTCCTTTGACAGCGGTGCGTGGCCTGAGCACCCAAGCTACAACGACAACGGAATGGCTCCTATTCCAGCACACTGGAAAGGAATTTGCCAGGAGGGGGAGCAGTGGACGACCTGTAACTGCAACAGAAAATTAATCGGAGCAAGGGCTTTCTATAAAGGCAATGAACTGGGCCTCGGCAAATATGACAACATATCCAAATGGGCCGATGAATACAGGTCCGCAAGGGATGCCGACAGCCACGGAACCCACACTTCCACCATTGCTGCTGGTTCCGAAGTAGCAAACGCCAGCCTGTTTGGTTTAGGACTCGGTACAGCTCGTGGCGTGGCAAAGGACGCACGCCTGGCCATTTACAAAGTATGCTGGAACAATGGAGGCTGCAGTGGTGCAGACACACTGGCTGCCATCGACCAAGCCATCGCTGATGGTGTCAACGTTGTTTCTTTTTCTATAGGTATCTCGTATGATCCAGATGCGTCGCCGTTAGAACTTGTTGATTCTTTATTCATTGCTACTTTTAAAGCAATGAAGAAGGGCATTTTCGTCTCTGCAGCTGCTGGAAACGATGGTCCTGGTCTCTCAACTGTCACCAATGTTGCGCCATGGGTGTTGACTGTGGCCGCCAGCACACTTGATCGTGACTTCGCTGCTCACATTACTCTTGGCAACGGAAGAAACTATACAGGCGTCAGTTTTTACACCAATGATTCTGTTTCAAACAAGACCATGCTATACGACGGAGGAGATCTGCCTTTAATCCACGCAAATCTTGCAGGCAAAGACGGCAAGCTTGGACCATCTAATTGCACACCCGACAACCTTGATCCAGAAAAGATTATTGGAAAGGTTGTTGTATGTGAGTACGCTTTTAGGCCTCCACCAGATGATTTTTTAATGGCTTCTGGTGCTCGCGGCATGATTCTTGTCAACAAAAAACTGGGTGGGGAGAGCTTAAGAGGAAGCCTGTACGACCTTCCTGTCGTACATCTCGGCTTCAAGGACGGTCTTGAAGTGGCAAAGTACGCAAAAGAATCAAACGCAACAGTGGTTTTCGACTTTGAAGGTACTAGATTTGGCATTCCTGCACCACAGATGGCAGAATTCAGCTCCAGGGGCCCCAATGTGCTGGTGCCTGAGCTTCTCAAGCCGGACATCACTGGTCCTGGTGTTGACATTTTGGCAGGCTGGCCCCGCAAGAGCCCTACTGCCCTTCAAGCAGACTCACGCAAAGTCTTTTTCAATATTGATTCTGGCACCTCCATGTCTTGCCCTCAACTATCTGGCGTCGCGGCGTTCATGATGGCCAGACGGCCGGGGTAGAGTGTCGCCGCTATCAAGTCAGCCATCATGACCACTGCTTACGTTACTACCAAAGACAAGTCGTCTCCGATGTTGGAATCTTTTACTGGCAAGACAGCAAGCCCTTTCAGCTACGGCAATGGTCACGTTGATCCTGTTGCTGCTCTTGACCCAGGTCTCATTTACAACATCACGGTGGACGAGTACATCGACTTCCTCTGCGCCTCAAGACTTCCAAAAGTGAAGATTGAGAGTATTGTAGGTCCGTATTTTAATTGCAGCTCCAACTCGAACATATACGACCTCAATTACCCTTCATTTTCTGCTCGATATATTACTGAAGCAGCGATCAACGGAGTATACACAGCCAAGTTCAAAAGGACCGTCACAAATGTAGGTGAAGCAGGAACTTACAAAGTGGATGTGTCTATCCATGAGCCCGAACTGGTGAAAATATCAGTGGAACCCAGTGAGCTCACTTTCAACTCGTATGGAGAGGAACGAGGTTTCGTTGTGACTGTGGCAATGAGGACGCCGCCTGAAAATTCATGGGTATCGTGGGGGAGGCTTATCTGGTCAGACGGCAAGCACATTGTAGGAAGCTCAATGGCCTTTGCTTGGGGCGATCCTAGATCATTTGGGCAGACGATAATGGTATGAAACGATACAAGTCATGCACCAGCAGAGCATGACATTGTCGCCAACAGCCTTGACGATTCAGTTGAGGGAAGTAGGGCGGGTTTTCGGTGCGTGGATAGGGGTTAACATTAGCAATCAGTAGCAATAAATGCATTAATAACGCAAAGGATAGCTGATTGCGATCTGTTAACCTTGGTGTCCCCTCCATCTTCCACTCCAGGTGGGGATTCGTGCTTTTCAAAGAAAGCAGTCAAAGTCTGATAGGTACCAATTGACTCTACACTATTAATGTATGTGTTCGCGTCCTGGCTGATGGCGAAGCGCCAGTCGCGGATTTCTTTACACGAGTAGCCCTCGTAGTTGCCGTACCACCAGGTACACGCCTTGATGGTGTTGAAGTCATTCGGCAAAACGTGCTTCATTTGCCCAAACACTCCCGACTAAGAACCAACCACTAACTTTGGCTATTCAACTTAGGCGACGGTGCTTAGAATTACCAAATTACTGAATACTTATAGTTCCATGTTTCAGTAACGATACTCCTGTTCATAGTGGCCAAGAAAGTACTTATAGGGCCACAAGAGTTGATCATTTTGCGCAGCTGAGTTTTGATCACTAACAATTATTCCCTTTCAATGCAGCCTAGTTGTGACAGGCTTATGTCCACAGTATAACGACGTGTTTCTTTAACATAGCCATTAACACGGTTTCTATTATTAATTTAAAAGTCGCTATTAACAATGTATAGGAGTACATTTTGGAATACTTATTATCTGAATTTTGCTAATTAAAACTGCTTTCAAGGACCTTATATAGGTTAGAAGAGTTTTAACTGATAATTTAGAGCAATATGTTATTATAGTATAATATGAAATCTTCTAAACCTTCCAAGTAAAATGACATTATTGTTGGAATAGCCGGAACTCCGGGTTGAAGTGGCTCCGTCGCCGGCAGTCCTGCCGGCACCCGGGCTGCCCACGTGACGGGCAGACCGGCTGACGGCTATAAGTTCAACAGCCACTTCGTCCAGCACTTCTACTGGAACTTCTTCCAGATAGACATACAGACAGAATACAGACCAGTTCCTCCATCAGTTATCCCACTTCACGGGTATCCTGTGATACCAACAGTTATAGTTCATCTTGAATCTTAGGTTGAGACACCTCTTCTGGATCTTACTAGTAACATCTAGAATGGTTATTAAACCTTCTCCTACTCCCATTAATCTAACTCCCAGTTCTTTAGACCATCTTTTCTCAAGCTTACTTCTAAAGCTCTCATAACAACATAGCTTTGCAAAAGCTTCATGGTTAGCAGATTGCTTGAGGAGACTGTGAGCTAGCTTGTATCATTGTTGTCACAGCACTCCCTACTGGTTGAAAGCTACAATAAAGTGTGGCTTAGACCGTGATGTAATCAAACAAAAAGAGCGTGAAATATAACGATGACAAGGCGGCTTAGATATCTGTTAACAGTGTCAGTTATTCGTGAAGTTGTCCTCATGAATCTACCATGGGAAAGTGTCCTATACAGGTTGGTGGTCTGCGCGTGGTATATTACCTGACTCCTGGGACAATCCCAATAGAACTGTGGTCATTGTTCATGCGGCGTGCATGTCCGAAGCGCATTTGTGGGGGCACTCTTGTCACCTATGTCGTAGCTCGCATACAGGACATTTCATAGCATCAAGGGAAAGTTTATAATTTGCTCAAAATCAAGTATTGATGGAATAAATATCAAAACAAAAAGCAGGAGACAAAATGCTTTTGTGTGCTTGCCTTTGAAAAGTAGGCTAAATATCCTTACTCTGTTTCTTATATTTTCCCCCACTGCTTGAGCCGCCAAAACTTTCAAGTCAGGCCTCTCGTATGAGTCTAGCGGAGCGTTTAGAGTTTCTGTCGCGAGTGTCAGCAACTAAAATCCCATGAATGGTATAGCAAAAACAAGAACTCACAACCCTGGCACTTGAAAGACCGAACAGGGCCCCAACCGTATCTTTCCAAACTCGAGCAACTCCACCGGCCGTTCATGTTGCCTGTGTGCAACGACTTGCTTCCCTGACAGTTGGGCTCATTGAAGGCTGAGCACCTAGTACCCTTGAACACAACAGACCGCGGGAGCAGCGAACCCGACACGCAGCCGCTGTGTGTGGCACCGCCCCTCTGGAATTCGGCGCAAGAGGTGCCTGGCATGTCCTGGTCAAATGTGTAGCATCTCTCGTTGTTAGATGCGCCTCCGATAATTCGGTAGCGGGTGTTGTCGTCAGCGTTGCAATCGCGGACATTGTCGTAAGCAGTGACTTTTTGGAGGGGAATCAGAGTTAGCGACTAGGTGATTATAGCCAAGAACGGGTTATAACTACCTTCCCAGGCCTGGGCGCTAGCGCACAGCAGCGCGATGATACCAACAGTAGAGAAATGCATGATGAATATGACTTGTGGGAGGAGGTTCAAGAGCACGATGCAATTAGATGCTTTGAGTGTAATGATCCAAGTCTGTGTTTGAACAGGAGTGAGACCGTTATTTATAATTAATTCCTGTTCCACATATTCTCTAGTAGGTCATTTCTTCTCAGATCAGATGAGCGATTGATGTGGATATTCTCTCACCGTATCCATGACCAACGTGAAGTATCAGACGGGTACGGACTGATAGCACGACTGAAGGAAGAAACATGGGTACCTAGGATCACAAAAGGCTTAGGCCGACTTAGCCGGGGTTTTGGTTCTCTCTCACTTTGCCTAGTGAAGCAGGTGTAATCTTCACCATCATGCATCCTGGGACGTTTGAACTTCTGCCCACCAGGTTGGGTTCTGAACCCGAGACGACAAGGACAAGCCTAGAACTCCATTCTCATGACATGATCGGCCCCGGTGCCAAAAGCATTCACTACACGTGTAGCAGCAAGTGGTGGGAATAGATGGCTCCCTGTGAATTGATTGGGCAGTGCGTCACCTAAGAGGATTGGTCAACACTCTGTTTGGCTGAGTTGACTGTTGCCTGTGGCGGTCCGAACCGAATAAATTGCCACACATTGAGCGAGGAGCAGGACCCTAGATTAGCAGAAACCCCACAGGCAGTCGTACTGTAGTCCGAGTAAACCAATTGCAAACCCTAGGCAAACCCATAGTGGCCCACAAAGAAAGTGTTTAAAGTGCCCGGTTAAGCAACTGAGGGGGTGCACTAAAGGATTATTGCTTACCTTCACTGGGTTTAGTCTAGTTATATTGTTGGTACCTAGAATGGAGACACTTTGATGTAGTTAATTAGCTTAATCAACGTCTGTTACCCCACGTCAGACCTATCCACTAACTAGTAGGTCAGAGGTTTCGTAGATTTGGGCAGCTGGCAACATAGCGCCTAGGAACCGGCTCAACGCGTGTTTAACTGCTTCCGTAGGGGCGGACAGATTGCGGCGGGTGGAGTCCCTCCAGCTGTACAATGGACTCGCCGTCCATGTCTTCCATATACGCGGAGACCCATCCGATCAAACTGTAGGTTTCACAGGGGGTGAAACGGAATTCCGTTCGTCAATAACAAATAACAGTAAATTGGTTCTAATCGATGGTTCATGATAGTTGAAAGTGGTGTTGTTGACTAGAAGGTGGGGATATTCCCCCTTGGCCTGTCACGTGGGTCTGGGAGGCTTGGGCCTCTCAGCCTGGCGGGCGTGTGGCTGGAAGTGCTATACGACTCCGTATTCTAACTATCGCAACACTGGAAACTCTCTTTTTATGGTGTTGAAGCGGTTGGAATACGTTGTCCCTATATAGTTCCGTCTCCTCGTTAATTCGGCCTCCTATCCCTACTTTCTCCTATAGTTACGGTCTTGTTACTTATCCCTCTATACGTATCGTTATCGTATTGCTATTAACGAATCTCTCGAAGGCTCGATTTGGTTTGCTCTTCGTAAGGGTATTAGCAGGGTTGTCTTCGCTGTTAATCTAACGAATTTCTTATAGTTCTCGTCTTTCGTACGATTGTCTTAACGCTATAATATCGATTATAAGTCGCTTTTCTTTAGTAATGCCTAGCTTTACGAGATACTTATATAGCGAATAAGAATCGGTATAGATAACTATCTAAATCGTTAGTAAGTTAAGGTAGTTAGTAATTATCGCTAGGGTTATAGCGAGGGCGTAGGCTATATCGACGCTAGCGACTATCCCGTAGATCTCTAACGCTAATACGCTATAAGTAACTTATTTACTCTTCGTAAAGCTATAATAAACAAGGTTACTGTAAATCGTAAATTCTCTATTATTACTATTAGAGGAAGTATCGTTAGCTAGGATGATTAGAAACCCTAATTAGGAGGAGAGGTCGTAGTTATTAGCAAACGACTTATTAACGAAAACGAATAGCTTAGCTATTATAAGGTCGAGTAGGATAAACGTTATTCCTCGGTTAAGTAATTCTATTTACTATCGAATCCGTTGATTTAGTACTTTTATCGCTTCTAGTAAGGGGTCTTAGTATTAGGTAGTAGTAGATAAATCGAAACAAGCCTCGGGTTAGTAAATTAACGCGATATACGCCTTTCTAGCGCGTTATTCGATATATTACTATTTTAGGTTAGGTTTAGTAGTCTTAATATATCGTAACTTCTTAGCTTATCCTTTTTGCTTTAAATTAATCGAATTATCGGTTAATAGCGCGATTATCCCTCCGTTAAATTAGAGGGGTTTGTTAATTATAAGGATATTCTTTGCTTTTGCTATAAAAGCTGCTTTTTCTAACTATTCGTCTTCTAATTATAAGAACGCCTTGTCTAATAAACCGAGGGTATCGTCGGTTTATATACCGATATAGCTAAAGTATAGATTTTCGGTAGATAAGATTAATAAGCATAGATCGTACGAAGAAGTAACTATCTAGAGATTCTCTCTATAATGCTTATAATACGTTGCCTACTAGTAGGTTCTAGCTTCTGCGATTCCGTATAAAGGCTTTACAACCTTTATAATAGTCCCTTTTAGGTACTAGTCTTGAATTTGCTTCGGTAGGTAGGCGAGAATAGTACGATTAAGCCTTATAGAGGATTAAACGTAGGCTTATATAATATCTCGAAGCTATAGTTATTTCCCTTCTCGTAGGAGTAATAAGGTAATTAATAGAATTAGCTATTAACTTGCCTACTAAATCGTTAGCGATTAGGTTAATATAGCCTTCTTGCTATCGTCGGCGTAACCTTGTATTATAAGTCTCGATTTCTCGTAAGGTTTAGTTGTTTTACCCTTGACTTCGTTAACGATACAAGATCGGAAGATTCGTACGTTCTAATGCCTTCTTTTATTAAACTAAGTAAATTTAAATACTCCTCTAGCGATAAGGCTATTAATCTCTTATTTAGTTAACTATTCAAACGGTTTGCTTAGTATAGTAATAATACCTTCTCGTTATAGTTTGATTACTAATTCTTCGTCTACTTGCTTCTTAATCGATAGGAATATTTATTAATAATCCGGGTTATCGTTAAATTCCTCTATAAAGTAGGCGATTAGTAGTAGTCTCTTCTAGGGTCTGCCTGGGCGTCTTCTCGGTAGCTCCGGTGCCTCTTGCGGTTCGTCTGGTTTACTACCTCTGCTAGCGACGATAATTTCGTTGCGTACTACTTCCTACTATAGTATCTTAGCTTCGGGTTCTTCTTCTTCTAGCATAGCGATAGAATTAAGTAGTTAATCGGGATCTTTATAGTATAGTTTAACTATAGTAGACCGGAAGGTCTTCAGACTATATAGCGTATCGATAGTATAGGTTTTACTATTTATAGCTACTAAAGTAAATAGTCTAGTCTAGCCTTTCTTTTCGCGCTATACTTATACTTACGACTATAGTAGTAAATTAATAATTAGCCTTATATTAAGGCTATTACGAGTAACGTCCCACACCCACTTCTGGGCACCCCCCACATTTGGGCACCCCATTTACACCAAAAACGCCGTTTTTCGAAATTCTATATTAAACTAACTACTATACTTACTAAGAAAAGAAAATATATATAAACTATGTTAAGTATAATTATAGCCATCTAATTTTTTATAAAGGTTTAAATATAATAATAGTTATAATATAGAAGTTTAAAACTAAAAGCTTTAAAATGTTAGTAGATACTAGTAACTTACTAGTATTCCTTAACATTAGAAAAATATATTTTCGCTTATATATACTTATTTAAAAAATCTAGGAAATTAATATTTATACTTATTAAAAGTATATAATTATATCTAAAAGAGATTTAAAAGTATTACTTTAGTAAATATAGTATAATTAAGGGTTAAAATTCTATAATAGAAACTTTTCTTAAGGGAAATTTTAAAATATTATTCTAAGCTTAAAGAATTTTTTACTAAGTATAAGAATATATAAATCTACTATATCTTACTTAAAAATTCTAATCATATTAGTTAAATATCTCTACCTATTTTATATATTAAGATATAGGCTAGGTAAATTAGTATTATAAATGTTAAACCTTGAATTTATAATACTTATTATCAATAATACTAGTATATAGCTACTTAAGTATTATAATTAAGTCTTAATCTATTTAACATATATTTATTCTCTTTAATAAGTAAAGTATTTAGTTTAATATAGAATTTCGAAAAACGGCGTTTTTGGTGTAAATGGGGTGCCCAAATGTGGGGGGTGCCCAGAAGTGGGTGTGGGACGTTAGCGATAGCTTTTACTACTTATCGCCTTACGTAAAGTTTATATACTTTGCTTATCGCCTTCTTAATTGCTTTCGCCTACTTTATAACTTTAGGAGATAGTAGCGAATCGTCGGTAATTCGTAAGTACGAGCCGAATACTAAGAGTATTAGCATTATTCCGTTTAGGCTAGTAGTATCGTTAACTGCTTTAACTACTATTTAAAGTGCTAATTCTAGCGTAATTATTAAGTCTTCTACTTTAATAATTTCGTACGCCTTCCTTAGAGGTATATAGTATCGTTTAACTTTCTTAATACTATTATAGGCTTTTATAGGAATTTCCTTAATTTTAATTACTATTCCTCTCGCCGCGTTTCGGAATTCTATTAAGCAGAAGTTTGTTCTAGCGTCGGTAACTAGCTAGTCTAGGGGTCCTTGATATATATCTATCTAGCAGAGGCGTAAGGCTTCCTAAGTAGCTTTCGTAGAAATATCCTTAAGGAACCGGGTAGCGTTAAACGCCGTAGCGGTATCGACGACGTAGAAGACCGGTCTATTACCTTTAAGGTATATTACGTCGGCGATAACCTTATAGTTAAATTCGTAATCGTCTCGTAACGTAAATTTAAACCGTAATAGCATTAGTACGTATATTTAGTATCGATAGTAGACTTTCGATAGTTGCTTAATTACTATAATTTCAACTAGGTAGCTAGCCTTCTAGAGCACCTTGTATAATCGTTAAATAGATAGGTATCCGAAGCGAC